TAACTTATTTGAAGTTTAAAGCCTCCAATCCATTGTCAACACTCCAACAAGAAAAGAACAATGACAACTACCCAATATACATCATCGTCTTTATCTAAGATTCAAGATAATTGAAGTCTACATCATCTCCAAAGCATTAATTTTCCATGAAATATTTTCATATAAGTTATGGGTAAAACTTATTGACTAATTCATTTTTAATTACTTGTGAGACTTGTCCATTTAAAAAGTTTTTTGCCTCCTAAAATCATGAATCTATATGAAAATTTCTAAGTAAAGTTTTATGAGAGTTGAGCCTATCAATCAATAGTACATGATTAGATGAACAATTTTAGTGAAACCCAAGAACAAGGTTGTTCTTAGAAATTAGAGGTAGCTAGTGAACTAAGCCACTATAAAAATTTCAGACTTTTTTAATTATTAAAGCTAGGGGCAAAATAAAAAAAGAATAAGAGTTTAAATATATTGAAGTAGGTTCCATGAAAAGAGATATAAGAAGAGACGAATTCAACCCCCCTTTCTTGATCTTAATACATGTCAAAGTTCAACACCACTTATTATGATCATCAAATTATATATGAGTGATTGTTGGATTTAACTTTCATGAAACCTCACCTCAAAATTTTCTTCTACATTCATGACTCTAAGAGGGAAACAAATGTTAACAAAGATATCTCACATGAGTGATGAAAAAGACGAATGACAAGTTTATCTCATAATAGAGATAAAATTATTTCATTGTGGTTGATATTCTGGAGATGATGTAGACTTTGAGTATTCATAGAATTTTGGCAAAGAGGATAATGATAGCTAACTTGAAGTTGATATCTTTTTTTGTTGACTAACTAGCCATGAGTTGAAAAAAAATTAAACTTCAAACAAGTTAAGGATAACTTTTTAAAGCTCTAAAAAAAATTAGAATTAATGCATGTGTATAACTTGACTTGTCAATGCAATTATCATCCTTTTTTTGGTTTAATTTCTTATGTAAAAAACTTATTACAAAGGTCGAGATCATAGAGAGGGTAAAGATAATTGTTCTCAATACATTTTTCTCATTGGAAGATGGTAGAATTTATAGGCAGTTCTTGCATGAAAATCTTCTTGGATCTCTAGTATTTTCCAACAACCATTTTCTATAAATAAGATTAATTTGAATTTTTGAAAAACTAATATGATATGTAATTTTTAATATTTAAGATACCCTTATGTAAAACCAATATGTAATTCATTTAATCTATTAATGATCTAATAGAATAAGAGTGGAATCAATGCAAGTGTCTCATTAAACCTATGATTAGATAATCCAAAAATGATGTGAATTATCTTGAACAAAGTGCAATGTCTAAGAAGGATCTTGATTGATGATCACAATATATTAAATCATGATTTGAGTGATTCAAATAATAAATACAGTTTTTAGTATATATTCAATATTGTCAAGAAAGTCATATTTTGCATTACCATATAATCTGAATATACTATGTTTATTCAAAGTCGAAGTCGTTCCAAACTTAGGATGTAAAATCATGGGTTTTATCTTAAAAAATATTGTTGATTTAATAACTTCAACATCCTTTCTTACTAAGTCAGTTTCTACAAATATTGGCAATTTACATAGTCAATTTAGCTAGTTTAGTATCAGGAGTTACAAATATACTTAGCAAGTTCACATATAAACTTTTATTGATGCTATTTTAGAATATATGTCAACATTTTATGTTTAATCTCTTACCATACATATTATGAACTAGACATAATTCAATCTTTTTAATCGATCTTTCAACTAATTTTTAATCATCAAAATATTATGTATTTTAGTGCTCCAAGACTTATGATGACACATATAAAAGTTACAACTTATATTAAGAATCTAATCTTCTTCTAAAGAACCAATGGAGACTAATAAAATAATCTTATTATAAAATAGTCTCTATTAAAATAATATAGTTACTATATCAAAAGAAGACTTAAATAAGAAAGTGCTTTCTAATTATCATGTTTCTCCTTTTATATGTTGACAATTGAAGAGTTGATGTCATGACCTTAGTTATTTGACACAAGGTTCCAACAACAAAACCTTGTTGTGCATCTAAAGAGTAGGCACATAGACTTGTGTATGCTTGGGCACTCACATAACGACATGTCAAGTGACCTGACTTAGTCATTGTATATTAAATCACGTAAATTTAAAATTTATAAAAGTAGAAAATACTAATTTTTAGATATTTAAAAGTATTTCTAAACAAATATATTAATTATAATTTAATAAAACTTCTAAAGATAGTGGTAATTTTTCAAGTTGATCATAAAGATGTAATATAATATCAGGTAATTATTCAAAAAAATTCTCAAAGAATACTATTTTCTATAAATTTTATACTAGAAAATAAAAATAAAATAGATTTAAAATTTATAAAAAAGGGAAATAAGGGTGCAGATGTTAGGATGACATCAACGCCCGGCGAACGCGAATCGAATAGAAATAAAATTCTAACTAACAATTCTTAAGTAAGCGATTACAAATGATTTAATTGATCAAATTAAAATCTATAAAAATTAGAAGAATTATAATTGAATGAAGTATAGCTTGGTAAATTTAAATCACACAAATTATTACTAAATGAAGTAGAAATTAAGTTGAAAGCAAGAAAACAAAGTTCCGACATCATGGCGGTGATGCATTAGTGATACACTGAAATCTTGAATATTGGGAAGGATCGTCATATAGTGTTTACGACCTTGAAGGCTTTCCTTGGACAAGGACGACATGGGCAATCTCTAGATCTCCTTGCGAAGTCTAGAGATTAATGAAATGGGTCGTCGAATCATCTCTGATGACTGCCACCTAGTGGAACAGAAAAATGGTGACTTTAAAGCTCTCCGACGGCTATCACCCGACAAAGAGAAGCTGAATAGAGGTGGGACGTGTGTCAGTGAGCTTCATCCTCAAGTCCACGCAGCAAGAGGAGGCTCTTCATCGCATCTGGTACACTCTCAAAAGGTGACGACTTGTCTCTCGATGGATCGTCATCTTTCCGACGACGACTTATTCGTCGATCAATCGGAGATGATTTACTTGATGGATTCACAATCCTTTTATCGCGAATCGTTCAACAATTTTAGTAACAATCCTCCACAAATCGTATTGATGAGATTTTTGCTGATAATCTAGTGATTCTATTGACTTAAACCTTCACCGGCGATCTATAGAAAAGTCGCGATAATTAAATAAAAATATGAGTTTTGGCTCTAAGAGGATTCGAATCCACACTGATTGCCTGCCTACATGAAAGAGATTAAAATAAGTACTCTAATTCCCTTATCAAATGACGTCATCATGATATATTTCTATTATAAATAAGGGTTATTTTAGGTATTAAAATCTTCAGAGCCTTTCAGGGGAAGGTGTGACACTAGTTTAGTTCCACATCACTTGTGCGTTGAAATTTTGGATGAATATATAGTAATATTACATTTGTAAGCAATGAGTCTCTTTCTCTTGTGTGTACGACCGCTCTTTGTCCCACAGTTGGCTGGCCACCAGTGACGTGGAAGAGGAGTAGCGCACACATGCCCCCATCGGTCCTAGCCACTTGAGCCCTTGCTCGTGGCTCCTCCTCGACTGTACTTCCGACGTGCTTGCAGGCTTGACTAGCCAATGGGTTCCTCCCCCCCCCTCATTTTGCTATATTTTTATTTTTATTTCTTTTTCTTTATTTATCTCAAAAATAAGACTATAAAATCATATAAATTCATAAAAAATCACATAGTTAGCTAAAAATTCACGTTAATTAACTAAAAACCACTTTTCACACTTTAACACAAATATAAGTCTATTTATCATGAGTTAAGGCTAAAACTATATTATTTACTAATTATTAATTCATGATAATAAAGACTTGTCACTAAGGCCACTCATTAAGAGTAGTGGCAGGACGTGGCATGCATGACAATGCATGGAAGGTATTTAGAGGCATATAGCACAAGTGAGCATCTCCACTAGTGAAGAGTAAGGCTTTGGCAAGTTTTATAAGCATGGTGCTAGTATACCACAATATGGCAAGATAGCTATACATAAGGCAACACAAGTAGGTGCAACGATACACAACATAAAGTGTGTTGGCATCGATACACTTTGTGTTGTGTAAACACTATGACATATATGGATGTAGCCACCACGACATGCATAGGAGGCATGTGGCACATGAGTTACTACCACAGCATATGGGGAGACACATAACATGATTTATAGGTTCTAAAAATAGTATAAAATTTCTAGGTCGATGATAAGTCTTCATTATCATGAGTTAATAATTAGTAAAGAATATAGTTTTAGCCTTAACTCATGATAAATAGACTTATATTTATGTTAAAGTGTGAAAAGTGGTTTTCAGTTGATTAATGTGAATTTTTGGGTAATTATGTGATTTTACATGAATTTATATGATTTTTACAGTCTTGCTTTTGAGATAAATAAAGAAAAAGAAATAAAAATAAGACAAAATGAGGGAGGGACCTGCTGGCCAGCCAGGCCCGCAAGCAGGTCAGAAGCTCAGTCAGGGAGTAGCCGTAAGCAGGGGCTCGAGCGGCTTGGACCGATAGGGGCACATGTGCGCCACTCCCCTTCCACGTCACCGGTGGCTAGCCGGTTGTGGGGCAAGGAGTGGTCGTACACACGAGAGAAGGGACTTTGTTTAGAAAGCTAACATTACTAAATATTCACCTGAAAAATCGACGCACAACCGATGTGAGACTAAACCCGCGTCACACCTTCCTCAGAAGGGGCGGACAACCGACGCGGGTTCGAATCCTCCCAGAGTCAAAATTCATATATTTTTATCTGATTATCGCGACTTTCTTGCAGATCGCCGGTGAAGGATTAAGCAACCAGAATCGCTAGATCATCGGCAAAAATCTCGTCAACGCGATTCGCGGAGCATTGCTACTAAAATTGCTGAACGATTCGCGATAAAAGGATCGTGAATCTATCGAGTAAATCATTTCCGATTGATCGACGAACAAGCCGTCGTCGGAAAGAGGACGATCCGCCGGGAGACGAGTCGCCACCTCCTGAGAGCGTACCAGATACGATGAAGAGCCTCCTCTTGCTGCGCGGACCTGAGGATGAAGCTCCCTGACACGTGCCCCACCTCCATCCAGCTCCTCTCCGTCGGGTGACAGCCGCCAGAGAGCCGCAAAGTCGCCGTTTTTCCGCTCCGCCGAGTGACAGCCGCCGAAGACGACTCGGCGACCCATTTCATTAATTTCTAGACTTCGCGAGAAGATCTAGAGATTGCCCACGTCGTCTTTGCCCAAGGAGAGCCTTCGAGGCCGTGGACACTGCACGACGATCCTCCCGAACGCTCAGGATTCCGGTGCATCGCCGACGCATCGCCGTCGCGACGCCGGAACTCTATTTTCCTACTTTCAATTTAATTTACACTTCATTTAGTGATATTTTGTGTGATTTTAATTTACCAAACTATACTTCGTTCAATTACGATTCTTCCGGCTTTTACAGATCTTAATTTGATTAATTAAATCGTCTGTAATCGCTTACGTAAGAATCGCCGGGCAGAACTCTGTTTTCGCCCAATTCGCGTTCGCCGAGCGATGACGTTATCCTGACGTCCGCACCCTTATTTCCTTTTTTTCGTGAATTTTAAATATATTTTCTTTTCATTTTCTAGTATAAAATTCATAGAAAATCGTATTCATTAAGAAAAAATCTGAATAATTACAAAATATTATATTACATCCATGTGATCGACCTAGGAAATTACTGCTATTTTTGGAAGTTTTATTGAATTATAATTGATATATTTATTTAGAAATACTTCTAAATATCCGAAAATTCGTATTTTCTAGTTTTATAAATTTTATATTTGCGTGATTTAATATACAACGACTAAGTCACGTCAGTCGATCACAAAGATATAAAGATAATATGATTATATTTATAAAAAAATCTCAAATAATATGATTTTTTATGATTTTAAAACTAAATGATGAATATAAAATATACTTAAAAATTTATGATTACTGACGATTCAATTTGTAAAATTGAAATCTATAAACATAAAAGAATAAAAATTGACTAAGGAGTTTTAAAACTTAAAATAAAATAAAATATTATTAATCTAAAAATTAAACTAGTTTAAAACAAGTAAGACATAATTTTGGTGTCACAATGGTTATACATCAGAATTTTAGACATTTGAGATGATTATCATGTGATGTCTATGGCTTCAAAGGTTTTCTTTGGACATAGACAATTTGAGTATATTTAGATCTCTTTTTGAAGTCCAAAAAATGATGATAGAAATTAAATTAGTTAAAAATAGTAAAACATAGTTCCATCATCACAGTAGTGATGTGTTGGAATCTTGAGCGCTTATAGAAGACTATCGTACAATGTCCATGACTTAAAAGACTCTCGTTAGACATGAACAATGTAGACAATCTCTAGATCTTCTTATGAAGTCTAGAAATTGATGAGGTTAATCGATGAATCTAATGATTGTCACCTGGTGGAGCGAAAACAAAACAACTTATGAATCTCTAATATCTATCACATGATAGAGATAAGTTAAATAGAGGTGGGGTACATCTTAGAAAGCTTTATCCTTAAGTCTATATAATAAGAGGAAGTTCTTCATCACATCTAGTATGCTCTCAAGAGGTGGCAATTCATCTTTTGATGAATCATCCTCTTTCCCACAAAGACTTATTTGTTGATCAATCAAATATAATTTACTTGATAGATTCATGATCTTTTTATCTAAAATTATTCAACAATTTAGTAAAGATGCTTCGTAAATTACATTGATGACATCTTCATTAATCATTGAGCAATTTTGATGATTTAATCATTGAATGACACTCTATAAGAAAATCATGATTTAATTAGATAAAAATATGAGTGTTAACTCTAGTAAGATTCAAACCTTTGTCGGTCATTTGACTACATAAAAGATAGTGAAATAAGTAAATGAATATCTTTATAAAGTGATATCATAAGGGTTATCACACATTCTACACATAATAATATGTTGGTCCACATTTGACACTTTGATTACTCTCATAATTAAGATTGTAACTATCAACCATTAGAATAAGACATGGGCCACGTCCTACATTTTTAAAGAAGATAGTTATTAAGGAGAGCTATGACTCCATAAGCTCTCTCTTATAAGTAGGGGGTCGACCTATATGACTTCTTCCTTATATTCTTTTCTACCTCTTTTATCCCTAAAGTGAAATAAAGTGTATGTTATTCATCTCTCATCAATTTAACTTCCACAACACCTTTTATATTACAAGAAGATAATGTATTACTTGAACATGATGTAGATCCTTAAAGGATGAACGAGATCAATCATTAGAACTATAAAAATCAATTGATCACGTGACAATTGTTATAAGAGCCAAGTAAATGTATCCACACAACACATGATACTATTTATGTGATATCAATTAACATCACAAAGAGATCAAGTCACTAGTTAGTAAATCAACAATTGATGATAGAGCAAATGAGTTTACTTATGTGAGAAATTTTTAACATGAGTTCTACATAATGTGGAGTGTAGAGTTTATATATTAGTCAAGTAAAGGAGAAAGTTAATGTGTTGAAGAACTTGGTTCAAACCAATGACAACTAATTATCTACTTTGGAGGAGCAGATGGATGAAGTAAGTATTGTCTCAATGCATGTAGCATTTGATTTGTGCTCACCTTGGGTGAACAATGACAAAGTTAACAAGCTATGAGAAGGCTATTATATCTTTTTAGTCAATGTGACATTGGTGAAATGTCTAGTGACCATGGGCCCTCAAGCAAAGAGTCTCAAGTGATAGAAGGTGACAAAACTCAAGACATTTGTAAGAGCCTACAACATGTAGAAATTAGAGAACTTCATGTGGGATCTAGACTAATTTTAATAGGCGAGACTCATCTTAGAAGAAGAGTGCATTCAACTAGCCATATAGAGGAGTGGGTCCACTTAGTGAGCTTCACCTCTAGACAAGCTATAGTGGAAGACAAAGATAGAAGATGAGTTGTATACCCTTATCAACTTGTTAAGCAAGTTTAGAGTTAAAAGAGTACTTTCAACCCTCTAGACTACTTGGCAACTCTATCACACAGAGACAATTCAAAAATATGTAAAACAAATCTTCAATCATCTTGTACATCAAAGAAATATTAGATGATGATAAAATTATTCAATTTTGTAAGACAGTTATAAGTATGGACACAAATGATAGTCAAGCATTAGAGTACTTAGAATTTCAAATTTATAATGATGATAACAAATGAACTCACTAACTTACATAGCTTCAACACCTCTATGATGTTAAGAGATATAAAATAGTTAGACTAGAGAATCAATTATAAAGATTATTACAACAACACCAAGCATATAGAGTGTTAAGGGTTAGCAACTATTAAGGGTTATAAAAGACCCATGACTATTGCATTGATTATACAAGGTGAGGAAAATAAAGTTGATTGCTACATATATAGAAGATCATGTACGAAGAGTGACTATTCAAAAAAAATTATTAATGTGATGAGAACGAAGTAGAGTATATACTGACCTTCAATTCCTTATAGTGATGTGTGTGTTGTAATAATATAGAATAAGATTAAAAGAATCAATAGAGATAAGCTGATCTATGTAGAGATTTTCTATCAATTACTAAACTACACTCATGATAGTCGATAATTAAATAACCTGTAACTTCCTCTTAGAGAAGGAGATAACACAAATGGAGCTGACAATGTATCAAAGATATGAACAAGCTAAGACTATTAACTCAACAACTTGTATTCCTACCGACACCACATGGTAAAACTCCCAAATACTTGAGCTGAACAACTTTAATGTCATACTCGAAATAGACATTTTAATATATTTTCAAGTGGAGGTGTTTTATCATTTACACTATCTTCTTGTTACATATAAATATAAGCATTGGCATATACTTTATAGGGATATGCCAAGAGGCACGTCCACAAGCAGCACATGGGTATAGGTAGACACAAGTAAAGCACATGCTTAAGCAACAGTGTGCACATAGCACACACAAATGAGTATGTGATTATGGTACATGTAACAACACACTCAATAAGTACAATATTAGTATTCAACACTAAGATGGCATGGTAAACATTGCTAACACACTTTGGTAGCTTCTAGCATAAGACATAGAGAATCCTTAAAATCTATTGGGCGACTAGACATATAATTTAGCCCCTTACACATCTTTATACCAACAATCAACTATGTGATATATTCATATTGGGTGCATGACCACCACCAATATGTCTTAGAATGTTTATTTTTTGAACTCACAACATGTTATTAATTGTTAATATTGTCAAAGGTAACAAATTAGTAGGTGTATCACTCTATCAAGTAACACACTAATTTGTACAAAAACGTAAGAAATGTGAAGAGGAGGCACACAAGGGGTTGATATATGGGACACATTAAAAGTAAAAGAGCTCATATCAGAGTTGTTATGACAAAGAGTACCAAGTCAATGATTAAGTGATGTTCTACAATTCGCTCATGATATTTATAAGTATTAGAAGATCCAATTACTATTAGTACAAGTAAAAGTGAGTCGAGACTTTTGTTACATCATTAAATAGTAAGAGACACTAGAGAACAAAATGACATGAGAATATGATACTAATCTCTAACAATTCAAAAGACTCATCAAATAGTATATCAATATTCAAGTTTATGTAAAGACAAAGAATTTTAACAATAGAGGGAAGGACAAAATCTCTAACTTCATCAAATAAAATATAAGTTATGAGACTATTGTATGCACTTAAAGGATGCTTAATTGCAGGTGAGCATAGATGCATAACTAACACATTATGGTTATATAATGTGCATATGTTGATATTACTTAGGATAGGGTAAGATAGTTGAACAAGGTATGCCAAACAACATATGGATACATGCAACAAAGGAATAAGAGATGGTGACCCTTAGTTTAAATACTAATATCTTAAGATACCTTGAAGGACAATCTCTAACAATAATGTCATACTTTTTAAGTGAGAGATGATGTCATAACCATAGTTGCTAGCATGAGGTTTCTACAACAAAACCTGACTACACACATAAAGAGTAGGTGTGCAAGTGTGTAAGCCATTCAATAGGACTGATGGCATGAAGTGACATGTGTGGTGGCACATGGAAGACATTTAGAGGCATGTGGTACTAGAGTAAGTGATCACTAGTAGCATGTCCTCACTAGTGCAGAGTGAGATTTCGACAAATTTCATAGGCATGACATTCATATATCATAGTATGGTGGGGCAACTGTACATATTATGAGACATGTTAATGCACCACAGTATGACACAAAGTGAGTTAGCATCGACACACATATTACTTAGGTGACATACACACAAGAGGCACATGTGAGAGTAACTATCATAACATGTGTAGGATGTACATGACAAATATTATTACTACTATATAAAGAGACACATCACACAAATGTAACCACCGTTGAGTGCATAAGAGGTGCATGCAACATGAGTCTAACTACTATAGTGCACATAACATAAGTGATGCATAAGAGATGTGTGCTAAGTGTGCACTATAGTCGACACTTAGCACATTAATTACTCTCATAATTAAGTGTGTAACTACCAAATATTATGACCAGACATAAAACAAGTTTTATTTTATCAGAGAAGGTAGTTATTAAGGAAAGTTTTGTCTCCATGGGCTCTCTTCTAAGTTGTCTCCTCTCTATAATTTAGAGATAAGGCCACAAATTAAAAGTTCTATATATTTTTTTCTAGTAAATATTTTATTTAGAATGGAATAAAGTGCATGTTATTCATTTATACCACTTTTGACTTCCACAAAATTTTTCAGACCACAAGAAGGTGAGACATTATTTGAATGTATAATAAATTATTTAGAAACACACAAAGTCAATCTTCAAACCTAAGACAATCAACTAGTTGCATATCAATTGATATCAAAACTAGTGTTTTGTGTTTCTCTTACATAGCACATTTGATCCATGTTATGTTGTAAACAAACACTTGTCTTCTTCAAAGAAGATATAGAGTCATCACCAACACATACTACAAAAGAGTTGTAGAGGCCCTATGGCTCTACAACATGGCTAGAAAAATCACCTTTGAAAATATGAAAAGATGGCTCAAAGAGCTCTGAGGCCACAAAGATGTTAGCACCATCATGATGCTCATCGACAACAAGGCTAACTAACACCACTTGCTAGCAGTCACTAAAGATGCCTAGGCCTTTGTTGAGAGGGAGAAGAGCTTCTTCATAGAGACCTTCACCCTCCAATCTATTTATGTGAAAACCACCTTCATAGAGGTGATCTCCCACATCCATCGTGTCATTAGTAGAACTTTGGAGGCTGACAAGAACGACCTTAGTGGGGTTGTGCTGAGGGGTCAGACCACTAACATCAATGTTAAGGATGATTTCTCTACTGTGAAGAAATCGAATTGTTACTCTTCTTATACTTGGAATGGCGATCATGAATACACATGAGAAGCCTAGAGTCTTATTTATTTAATTAGACTCTCATTTCTTGGTTGATGTGATGATCTTTGTGGACAATAGATCTTACTCTTGTGGTGGCCAATGTATTTCAATTTAACTAGTAATGGGGTAACTTTCTTCCAATCATTAGTCAGTTTCATCCTTCTTCTACTCTTTGGTTAGTGAAAAAGAATTGTCATAAATAGGTTACGATATTTTTAAATATATATTTATTTAATCTCTTGCGTAAATCTTTCTCAACATGATTAGATTTTTTAATATTTTTATATCTTCATGTATCCCTCTTTCTTTATTGTTGTTCTTTAATCATTTCTATTAAATAATTATTAATTAAATTAGTGCAAAAAACAATAGATGATTTCAAAAACATTGGACCACTATGGTTGCAAGTTCAAGAAGGAAGAATGTGAAGATAATTTCAATTACTCATCAAATGCAATAAAGTATTACACAAAAGTAGACATTTGACCACTCCCATATCACAACTCATGAAGAAATGAGAATACATCATACAACAATAGTGTCAATGTATGACAAGATTATGGGATCATTGTTGTAAATTTGTTGATCACAATTGAAATTTTTGAACTATTTGACTACCTTTTTGGGTTTCAATTCATCGTATCAATTTCTATCAAAACTAAGGATGAAAATAGTGACACTAAATGGATAACATTATTATTCAACATTTATGTAAAGTAAATCTATAGAGGTTATGGAAAATAATATCAATCATACTAGTCTTCAAGGTAAATAAATTGAGACCTCCATAATGCCATTATCAACTTAGCCCCTTTTTGTAATTTTTATATTTTTTATAGATTGATTCATTCAGGTTATTAATAAGTCTTCATTATCATGAGTTAATAATTTATTAATAATATGTTTTAAGCCTTAAATAATAATAAAAATATTTATATTTATTTTAAATTAATAAAACTAGTTTTTAGTTAATTGATGTGACTTTTGGCTAATTATGTGATTTTATGTGAATTTATATGATTTTTATAAGGATGTCTTTGAAATAAAATAAAATTCTAAAAAATAGAAAAAGGGGGGTCCCGCTAACTAGCTAAGCCCGCATGTAGGTTGAAGGCACAGTAAGGGAACCATGAGTCAGGGGGGCTCTAGTGGCTAAGGGACACACACATTGCACATGTGCATCGCTCTCCTTCCACGTTGATCAGTTTTCATTATCATGAGTTAATAATTAGTAAATAATATAGTTTTAGCCTTAACTCATGATAAATAGACTTATATTTGTGTTAAAGTGTGAAAAGTGGTTTTCAATTGATTAATGTGAATTTTTGGGTAATTATGTGATTTTACATGAATTTATATGATTTTTACAGTCTTGCTTTTGAGATAAATGAAGAAAAAGAAATAAAAATAAGACAAAATGAGGGAAGGACCCGCCGGCCAGCCGGGCCCGCAAGCAGGTCGGAAGCTCAGTCGGGGAGTAGCCGTGAGCAGGGGCTCGAGCGGCTTGGACCGATAGGGGCACGTGTGCGCCACTCCCCTTCCACGTCACCAGTGGCTAGCCGGCTGTGGGGCAAGGAGTGGTCGTACACGCGAGAGAAGGGACTTTGTTTAGAAAGCTAACATTACTATATATTCACCTGAAAAATCGACGCACAACCGATGTGAGACTAAACCTGCGTCACACCTTCCTCAGAAGGGGCGGACAACCGACGCGGGTTCGAATCCTCCCAGAGTCAAAATTCATATATTTTTATCTGATTATCGCGACTTTCCTGCAGATCGTCGGTGAAGGATTAAGCAACCAGAATCGCTAGATCATCGGCGAAAATCTCGTCAACGCGATTCGCGGAGCATTGCTACTAAAATTACTGAACGATTCGCGATAAAAGGATCGCGAATCCATCGAGTAAATCATCTCCGATTGATCGACGAACAAGCCATCGTCGGGAAGAGGACGATCCACCGTGAGACGAGTCGCCACCTCTTGAGAGCGTACTAGATGCGATGAAGAGCCTCCTCTTGCTGCGCGGACCTGAGGATGAAGCTCCCTGACATGTGCCCCACCTCCATCCAGCTCCTCTCCGTCGAGTGACAGTCGCCGGAGAGCCACAAAGTCGCCGTTTTTCCGCTCTGCCGGGTGACAGCCGCTGGAGACGACTCGACGACCCATTCCATTGATCTCTAGACTTCGAAAGGAGATCTAGAGATTGCCCACGTCGTCTTTGTCCAAGGAGAGCCTTCGAGGCCGTGGACACTACACGATGATCCTCCCGAATGCTCAAGATTCCGGTGCATCGCCGACGTATCGCCGTTGCGATGCCGGAACTCTGTTTTCCTGCTTTCAACTTACTTTACGCTTCATTTAGTGATAGTTTTTGTGATTTTAATTTACCAAAATATACTTTGTTCTATTACGATTCTTCCGGCTTTTACAAATCTTAATTTGATTAATTAAATCATTTGTAATCGTTTACGTAAGAATCATCGGGCGGAACTCTGTTTTCGCCCGATTCGCGTTCGCCGGGCGCTGACGTCATCCTGACGTCCACACCCTTATTTCCCTTTTTCGTGAATTTTAAATATATTTCCTTTTCATTTCCTAGTATACAATTCGTAGAAAATCGTATTCATTGAGGAAAATTCTGAATAATTACCATATATTATATTACATCCCTGTGATCGACCTGGAAAATTACTGTTATTTTTAGAAGTTTTATTGAATTATAATTGATATATTTGTTCATAAATACTTCTAAATATCTGAAAATTTGTATTTTCTAGTTTTATAAATTTTAGATTTGCGTGATTTAATATACAACGACTGAGTCACGTCACACGTCTCAAAGGCCAATCGATTGTGGGGCAAGGTGTTCATACACACGTATATATGGGGGTGGACCACTTAGCTTACCCCTCTCCTTAGGTAGTCTTAAGCATTTTGATTCTAGTAGAGGGAACTCAAATGTAAAATGAGGCATTATTATATATTCGTATCAATCACTAAAAAATAGCTAAAGTGGGACTAAAACGACGCTAACATTCATAGGTAAATTTTTATATATTTTTATGTCTAAAATGCCTATTAATGATAAGAAGGAGACACTCTTATAACATCACTTGATAAGAGTTATTTAATTCTCTCTCTCTCTCATACTAGCAATCGACCAATATAGTCAAAATTCATATTTTTATATGATTCAATCATGATTTTCCTACAAAGCACCAATCAACAATGAAAATGATTCGTAGAATCACTCAATCATCAATGAAAATTTCATCAACGTGATTCATAGAGTATCATTACAAATTGACAAATGATTCAGTACTTGAGTCTCTTGGCATTAGAGTGCTACAACATCTTGGCATCTACACTTTTATCAATTTTTAAATATAATTTATATTTATCATTTAGACTAAAAATCATAAAAATATATATTATTTATAAAAAAATTAAAATATTAAATTATATTATCTTACATCTCTAAGATTGACTTAGAAATTTCTCACTATTTGTGAAACCTTTTATTTAATTATAATTGATTTATTTGTTCTAAAAAAATTAAAATTAATATTTTAGTTTTATAAATTATAAATTTGTATGATTTATTATAAAATGATTATGTCACGTTAATTATTAACCAAGTTTGATATTTTTTACGATAATCATGTTGATTTATTTTTCTATATTTGTAAAATGTGATACTTCTCCCCCATCTCCAACATTCCACCTAATTTTATCAATTCCTCTTGCACAACATTATCATTTCCTTGTATTTTCTTTATGATGGAAGATACTCATTTCATCAAGTTCAAGTCAATTCAAACTAGGATTATGCCAAAATTGGCTTCATCCCACATTGTTTTCAACTAGGCATCATCCCCTTCTACTTGAATCCAATTTCATCTAATAAATTTGTTATGGAATGTTATCCCTCCAAACCTTCGAAATGGGACTCATCTCAAAAGTTGTGAAATGTAAACTCATTGGTTCTAAAACAACCTTCACACTCATTTACTCATTAAATGGCTATCCTCTCGTGAATTAAATTATCTAAAGGCTATTATGAAGGCAAAAAGTGACACGTTACTTTAATCATCACAGTATTGATCAAGGTAAAGAGCCTTGAGGGTCCTATGGAAGATGTACCCACCCACCTATGTTGTCGATTAAGTAATGGGCATGCACATGGAAGAAGGGGTGTTTCTAAAAATGGTGATTCTTTGGATAAGCTAACTCCAATTTGGGGGACATAATATAAGATGGGTGTTCTAGAACTTACACTTGAGAATACTTATTTTTCACTTTGTATGTAATAATTAAAGTTTATGACTCTGGAAACTATTTATTCTCGTAGTATTTCTCTTCCTTAAAGGATCCCAATCTGATGCAAGACGAGAGTCCGATCGGCCTTAGTGGGATCCCTTAGTGGATCTTATTATTGGGCTTTCTTTATTTTACTTGCTATTTTTTGTTATTTCCCATGTAAGACCTTTGCCTTCGATGCCATTGCCACCACTGCCCACTGCCACCATCCCCTTCGTTCCCCTCGACCCGTTCTGCTGCCGTCATCGCCACCTCCCCCTTCGCCACCTGCACGACCCAGTCATGCACCCTCTCACCTCCCTCCGAATAGGTTTAAACGCCACTGGTTGATGATGCCGGAACCGCCGGCCTGAACCGGACCAGTTCAGTCTGAGCCGACCAACCCACCAACTGATCCGAGCCCAACCAGCTTGACTGCCTGGTCCAAGCCCAACTGCCATCCCCGTTCAAGCCACCCAGGACCATTGGTCAAGCCCTTCTCACCTTGCTAGTCCAAAACTTGCCGGACAACTTGGTCCACACCAGCCGCCCCTCTGGTTCGAGCCAATCCACATATTCAACACATTCAGCCTTTCGTCAACAGTCAACAGTCAACTATTAAAAGGTCAATTCTCACCACCTTGTGAAAGGTCAAAGGTCACTCTCTACGACAGGTCGTACTCGCAAAAGAGTAGGCAGGTTAGATCCTTGTGAAAGCTTGCAAAATGAATATCAGTAAGGTTTCATAAATAACTATTCTCGAAATATTATTTAATGGCCCATGCTAAGTACGAAGTAGACCAGTTTTATTCTAAACTAAACGTCACATCATCGATGAGACGGACAGAAAATCTCTGGCCTTTCGAGAGCCACTTTGGGAGACTAGGACCGACCCTAAAGGACAGGACAAAAAGTCCGCTCCTTCCCCGACTGTTCGTCAGTTAGAGATAAAGAGAGAGAGAGAGACAGAGTGAGACAGAGTAAGAAAGAGAGATACAAAGAGTCGGATGGCAGAAGGTTCATGACAGAGTTTGGGAGGAAAAGAATGGCCTTTTAACATTGAAAAAACTTATTGGTAATGGTCTCCGTTGTCTGCGGCGTGGTAGACCCGCCAATTCAAGGTCTTCCTGCACCGGCGCCGACACCAACCACCGTCGACTCGCCAATCTCCATCGGCGTGGAAAACGTCTATAAAGGGTCCCCCTCCCTGCACTCCAGTTATTCCGCGATTCCCCCGCTCCCCTGCCTCCGGCTGAGCTGTGGTGGCAGATCCTGCCTCCCTCAACGATGGCATCATCGGAAGCTGATCGTATACGCCGCCGAACTTCTGTCATAGCGCAGCATCTCTCACGGTGGGCCGCGCCTGCAGCGACGAGGACCCTGAATGTCTCCGCTTGCCTACAGTACTCCCCTCCCGAGTCGTCGGAAAAGGTGGGTTTCGATGTCGGGGAGATGCGGCGGGTGATGGACGGACACGACGTGGAGGCGCGCGACTGGGCATACCGGATAATGGAGGAGAGTCCGCTGTTCTGGTCCCCTAGCCGCCGACCCGAGGGGAGGGGTTTCATCATTCCGGACTATAACCAGCCGATGGAACACCAGAGAGAGATGACCATGCGAAGGATCATGTATCTGAAGGAACGGGGGATGTATGATGGCTGGCTAACGGGGGGGAGGGAGACGGAAATGAGGAAGTTCGCGATGTTTGAGAGCGCCGGGTTGTTCGATCACGGCCTTAGCGTCAAGATGGGTGTCCACTTCTCCCTGTGGTGAGCTTTCTTGCCGATCCATTATTTCTCCGTCGTTTCTAGGCCGGAACTCTCAAATTGATTGCGCCATTAATATGAACGAGAACGATCAGATGCTGAAATATCGTTTACTAGTGCGGCATCACCATAGAGAAAACAGATTCCCAGAGTTTAATTCATGATGCCATGGAGAAAAACAAATGATCGATCAACCATACAGAATGGCTACCCGTGAGCAGTTATTTCCTGTTGTTTTTCTCTCTATGAACCAGGTCGGCTGAACCTGATACCTTACTTAGATTTTTTATTCATTTTCATTGCAATAAATTCGGACAATGCGAGAGACTGCTGCGTGACTGATACCTTATTTGAGAATCTTACCTTGATGCACATCTGGATACCCAGGAAATTCTCAGCAGAATCGATTTCTCTGCATTTCAGATCTGGGGCAGCATTGAATCAGGCCATAATAGCCGTCTGCGTAAATTGACATCAGAATCTCCCAGTCGCTTTTTTATTTTACACCCTTTCATCCTTTTTAGACTTCTCTCCTTGACTTATTTGAACATATGTCACCATATGTCACTTTCTGTTCCCTATTTCGTCTGCTTCTTCATATGCGGCGTGATATTCTTTAGCAAAGCTTGATATGTTACTGAAGAAAATATATGCTGCGTTTGCTACTTTCGAGCTTGGGGCCAATTTTTCTCTGATTAGTGCAACCTCGAATTTCTCAGGGGCTTGGCCATCCGATATTTGGGCACAAAATATCATCATGACAAGTGGTTGAAGGACTCCGAGAATCTTTCAGTGAAAGGTTGTTTTGCCATGACGGAGTTGGGTCATGGAAGTAATGTAAGCTTAAACACTTTTCAGTGCATCCTTTGTGAGATTTCTTCTTTTAATCTTTTACAAAATCGTTCATTTTGGCGTGAAGGTTCGAGGAATTGAAACCATAGCCACCTATGACTCAAGCGCAGGGGAATTCATTATAAACACTCCATGCGAATCTGCCCAAAAATACTGGATTGGGGGCGCTGGCATAGTAAGTTTTTTTTTTTTTCTGAATCTTGGTTCGTTTCTTTTCTTGTACATGCTTCCCTGGTGTGCCATGCGGCAGGTATCCATCAGTGTAGAAATCTCCTGACGATTGAGTATCGTTTTCAGCATGCAAACCACACTATAATCTTTGCTCAGCTGCATATACAAGGAAAAAACCAAGGTGTTCATGCATTTGCTGCACGGATCAGAGATGACGACGGGAACGTTTGCCCCAACATCCGCATTGCCGACTGTGGTCATAAAATTGGTCTGAATGGAGTTGATAATGGTCGCATCTGGTAACAGATATTCCTTAATATTGTTTTTTTTAACGTTTTTCTTTGCATTTTTCTCTAATACATTGACGGCATAGGTTTGATAATCTCCGCGTACCTAGACAGAATTTGCTGAACTCAGTTTGTGATGTATTGCCAGATGGGCAATATGTTAGTGTAATAGAAGACCCGGATCAGGTGAGAACATCTCGGATAATCCCTTGGTGATTCTATTATTGTCCTTCAGTCAATTTTTTGAGGGGAGAAATTTTTTAATCCCAGCAACCTTTCCATGGTTCAGAGATTCGCTGCATTTTTGGCTCCACTGACATTTGGTCGTGTAAGCATCATAGCTAGTGCAGTGTACTCATCCAAGGTCAGTTCGATGCTAAATGTTGACTTCATATTGATTTCTTCTGTTTTCCTCATATTGTTTTCCATATACTGTCGTCAGGTTGCTCTATCTATTGCCATAAGGTACTCGCTGACGAGGCGTGCGTTCTCCATAGAACCTAATGGGCCAGAAGTTCCTCTGCTGGATTACCCTACTCACCAACGACGGCTCTTGCCGCTTGTCGCAAAAACGTAAATTCTCCCCTGCGTTTTCGTTTTCGTTTTCCTTAAAGCTGCCATTTTGGTTCAGATATAAATACTTCTTCAGCCTTTTCTGAATATTTATACTTATTTTTTCCATAATAGAATAATACATCCTACATAGAAATCAGAGATTAGGTGCTGACAATCTTTTCCCTCAGTATTTATATCTACTTTTTCATCAGACTACAGTTCTTTCAATGTATGAACCAAAAATTTGCGTAAAGGAACTTTATTTCATTTTTTCAGGTGTGCTATGAGCTGTGCGGCCACCTTCATAAAGCGGATGTATGTCAAGAGGACTCCGGAGATGAACAAAGCCATTCACATCTACTCGAGTGCTTTCAAAGCTTCAATGACCTGGCACAACATGAGGACCCTCCAGGTCTCGGACTCGGCTTAACCAAAGAATCAGGGAATCCTCTGAGGGCCATATTTCTTATGCAGAGGCTCCTAATTCTCTTGCAGGAGTGCCGCGAGGCCTGTGGCGGGCAAGGTCTGAAGACGGAGAACCGCGTCGGCGTTCATAAGGGGGAATTTGACGTTCAGTCCACCTTTGAGGGAGATAACAATATCCTCATGCAACAGGTGATCTGATCTTCCTTTTATCGCATCTGAACTGTCCCTCTCCTCGTGTTCTTCTTATGTGGCTGAAACTGTTCTGGAATCGTGCGATCAGGTCAGCAAGGCCCTCCTTGCGGAGTACATCACCGCTCAGAGGAGAAGGAAGCCATTCAAGGGGCTAGGATTGGAGCACATGAACGATCCTTCTCCAGTGATCCCAGCGAATCTCACGAGTTCTGTCGTCAGGAGCATCCAATTCCAGGTTCCTAGATTTAAAGTTCATCATTCTCCCATCTTAGCTTAATTTTTTTATAACTACTGTTGTACATCGTCTCCATTTCAGTGGAATTAGCATCAGTTTCATTCATACATAGCGTACTAGCTTCTCTCTGCGTATATTTCAGATGGATATGTTACGTTTAAGAGAGAGGGATTTGCTGGGTCGATTAGCAAAGGAGATATCCGACCACCAAGCTCGGGGGGAAAGAAAGGAGTATGCTTTCATCCTGGTTAGTACCTCTCTCTCTCTCTCTCTCTTCCTTCCCCCTCCATATTTACCACGAAACAACAATGGCTTTTGATTCATGGCAGAGCTACCAAGTTTCCGAGGAACTAGGCAGAGCCTTCTCTGATTTAGCGGTGCTCCAAACACTTGTAGAGGCTGAGATGGCTGCGACCAACGGTCCGGTCAAGGTACGTCCCTCTCATCCCTCCCAGCATTTCTCAGCTCTCTCTCTCTCTCTCTCTCTCTCTCTCTCTGAAGCCCGTCTCATTATCTCCCTCAGGAAGTGTTGGGCTTGCTAAGAACCACCTACGCCCTCATCATCATCGAAGAGGATGCGTCATTCCTCCGCTACGGGTTCCTAACCCCTGGCGGCGCCACCGTGGTGAGGAAAGAGGTTGGGGCACTCTGCGGCGAGCTGCGGCCACACGCTCTCTCCATCGTCACCTCCTTCGGCATCCCACCGAGCTTACTGAGCCCCCTTGCCTTCGACTGGGTCGAGGCCAACTCCTGGCCCGCAGTCGACATCCCCTGATCCCCATCCTCCCACGTCAAACATCCATGCATGGCACCCACATCAATAAAATAATCGTGGGTTCTGCGTAATCTCGACCAAAGTTAAATTACAGGGACATTGGTCTGAACATGTTGGAGCTGAGGATGGCGACGATGGCTTCGACGTGATGGGTAGGGCTAGGGGAAGATTATCTGGGCTTGTACCATAGGCCATTTTACTAGCTTTTGATCTTTCAAAGGATCAATGAGGTCCATCATTGGGCACATGAAATGTGTTCAGAACCCTTGAAAAATAGCCCAACATTAGATAATTTGTCATTTAGCTAGTTAATTAATCCGCATATAAAATATGCTACGTCAACTAAACGTACATTCACAGGGCCCCCTCTCATGTTCAAGGCTGTATCCATCTGTATTATGGTTGGTCTGAGCTTGGGTAAGGTACGGCGCGACCCCGTAATCCCATAACCCCACTGATATTCTCACTACACCATGGTTAATTACGTACTTCATGCATTTAGGAAAAACATCTTGACTGCAACAGATATCTCTGGTTCTAAGTTTGACCAGTTTGACCGAAGTTTTATCTTAGATGGGGAGTCCAAGCTTTTATCTTACACGTCGGCCGAGACCACGACTGTTGCGAAGTCAACTGGAACAGTGAAACTAGGGTACTCGTCCCCCCCTCATGGCAAGACGTGGCCAGCTCAGAAGTCTTTATTGAAATCTCAGAGCGCGAACTCGCCTTTCTCTCATTCAAAGTACTCAAAAGAGAAGCCATTTGACGGGGGGGAGTGGGGGGGGAGAGGGGGAGAGAGAGAGAGAGAAGCCTTCTCTTCCCCACCGATCACTTCTTTGCCAGAGAGAAAGCACCATGTGCCTAAAGCAACGCCTTTTATGGTTCCTGGGAATATGCACGGATGACAGGTCCCGGAGCTCATTTATCTCTCCCTGCACCCGCGGATTCCATCCGAATTCAGTCTCCTTCACCTTTCCCTGAGGAAAATGGACAGAGATGGGAGCCCCTTGAAGTATCAGATCCATCCATGGATTGAAGGTGGGCAGACTGCCTGGACGTTGACTCCCAAGAAGTCTCTTGTCTGACCTCCTAGCTCATCCTTCTGGGGTAGAGGGTACTCCGTGGAGAAACCTTGAAGCTGGTTCAGAACGGGGATATCACTCAATCCCGTTGGGTTCAGAGAGAACAAGTTCTCAAACTTGTTGCTGTCTTCAACTTGAATCCCTCCGCCGCCACTCTTCGAATACAAGCTCCACAGAAATGGCGGTTCGATCGGCGCGACTCCAATTTGCGCCGCCTTCTGCAAGAGCGCCGTCGCCGACATGTCCGGTGGCGGTGCAGAGGGCTGCTGGTGCTGCGTGCTGTAGAGGGATGGAACGCTCGCGAGGAGATGGTGAGAGATAGCGGTCTCCTTCATGTCGCTGGTGGTGGGGAAGGAGGTGCTTGTTAGATCAACTGAGGTGGGAGATGGTCCAGCCTTGTTGCCGTAGATACAGCTCAACTGGTAATCCAGTTGATGAGGATTTGCGCGCGTGGGAAATGAATCGCCGAAGAAGTTGGCTCCGAGGGATTGGAGATCTGAGAAGGCTGTGGCGTTGCTGAAGCCCTGGCCGGGCTTGTTAAAGGCGGAGGAGATATGTTGCACCAGACTTGACCTCATGGATCCTCCGGGGAGTTGGCAGCTGACTGCGCCGCCGTTGGCGGCAGTGGTAACGCAGCTGACGCTGGACGACGCCGCGCAGAGTCGGGCAGTCTCCTCGGCTAGGGCATCGCAGAAGGCCCTGTGGGTTATGAAACTGTCTCTCCTGTTCATGGAACCGTTGACAGAGTTGAGTTGTGATCATACTGATTCGATCGGCATTTGATGACGACGGAAATCACTAACTACGCGGTCGATGGGGGAAGAGACTAGTATATAGACAGACAGACAGACAGACAGAGAGGGAGACTTGGAAGAGAGTTAACGATGTAGACTACCAAGAGAGGCGGAGAGACAGAGAAATAAGCTGCAGTAGTGAACATACCTGGAGAAGAGCGTGCCACAATCGCACCGGTACTCCCTAGTCCCACACGTCTTCATGTGCGCCTTCCAATCTGACTGCACGGCGTACCTCTTGGAGCACTTGTCGCACTTCCATTTCTTCTCCCCGTGCTTCCGGCAGAAGTGCTTCTTGATTCCGGTGAGGTCGCCGAGAGCCCTCGAGGGGTGGTGATGGACGCAGCTCTTCTCCGGGCAGACGTAGACCCGCTTCCTCGGCTCCTTTGTGCTCCTCTGCTTCAGCTTCCATGGGAGGTTGTGCCCCCTGCGATGCAACTGAAGGTTTTGGTCTCTCTGGAACCCCTTACCGCATATCTCGCAGAGGAACCGATTAGTAGCCAGAAGGGTCTTCGGCGACAAGGCGATGACCTCTGCTTCAGGATCTGCAGCAAGACCACACGAAGAAACATTTATAAACAAGTAAATGGAAATCATACTTCATCTATCGAACAGAGACAAAGAGAGAGAGAGAGAGAGAGAGAGAGAGAGAGAGGGAGGGGGGGGAGATGCAGTCCTTGCCTGGTGTTCCTGGGAGGTTCCTCTTCTTTTTCGCTGGTGGAGGGTTGGAATCCTGGCATGGGTTTTGTGGGATTCCACTCGAGATTGCATCTCCTGCCATTTCTCTCTTTCTTTCTGTTTGAGTGGGCGTTCTCTCTGGTTGCGGCCTCTATAAGGCACCACTGGCTCTCCCTTGCGTTGACAGCAGTGACGGAAACTATAAACGATAGGATAGATCGTATCTCTCTCTCTCTTTCTCTCTCTCTCTCGCTCTAGCTCTCCATCTCTCCGAGACTCGTGTTAGAATAAAATAAAAATTCCGAAGGCCTATCCTTTCAAGTCACATAGAGGCCCTTTTCAAGAAGATAAAAATAGGGCTTTACCTTTGGGGGAGGCCGGAAAAGCAAGAGTTTTCGGTTTGAGGGGGGAGCAGTGGTGGTGGGCAAAGGTGCATGATGACACATATGATAAGAGTGGAGTAAAAGCTGCACCCTAACGCCTTTCCCCATTTGAAACTATCATCACCCACCTACTAGCATGTACTCTTCCCTTGATACGATATTCAGTAATCTTCTCAAAACCAGAGAATCAGCGTTATGTCCGACGACTAACCACAACCGATGCTGTGTAAAGTCGTCTCCCGGCATCTATCTCTTGTTCTAGCCAGATCACTGATTAAAACTCGTCAGATCAGAGAATACTGTATCTAGTTCCTTTTTATCTGATGCACTCCATCTATAGTGGAGCGGCTCGAGTAGCCTCAGCTGCTGACTGGGCGAGTGTTTCCCGATCCAGCCGGATCTATAGTGGTGATCAATGACGCTTGACCCGTCATCTCCAAAGGGTCGGGAGATTCACCATGTCTTGACTAAGAACAGACTTCATGAGCTTGAGGAAAGAGGACCTCCCGATTGGCAACTAGTCGAGTAAACGTATAATTTAATGTCAAGTATAATCCAGCCCATGTGGTGCGAGGTTATTCTGATGCATGTACGCAAAAGCAATTACGTACATGTAGAACATCACATGACCTTGTTTAAGTAAAAGATCTAACTCAAATGTCTGGCCCTCGTGAAATGTAGGGACGAAATATGCGATAGATGTGATTATCTTCAATGGACTATGGCTTTCGTATCGTTCGGCATAAGAAAAAAATGGAATAATCAACAGCGTTGCAAAACCATGGATGGATCCCTCTTCAGAAAACTCCAGTGTGCATGTTCCCGTAGCCATCTCCGTGCCACAAGATCTTCACACAAACCCTTGAGAAAAAAGGAATATCTAATTACATTTGTGAGGCCCGAGACGTGAGATTAAGGTGCAAACTACCCGGTTTCTGATGCGATCAATAGAAAAACCTGCCGCCGGCTTTCCACGTGGTTTCTAACATGGAGGGTGGAAGACCCCGAGGAAGGGAGCTAACAAGCGACGCTCGATGGGACAAAAGTCGCAGAATAATCGCCCAGAATAAAACTGTCTCGTGTTAAATTTGATTTCCAAATCTGAGGCTCTACGACCCAGATCTACTGCAGCTACGAGAACTACAGTTTGCCTATTATCTCCTTTTTTCCCTGGTCTTCTCTTGCGTCTCTTGGGTTTAGGTAGTTCTTTACCGTTTGAAGCGTTTCGAACAAAACCATTTGAAGCGTTGGTATCCGCGCGACTGCTGCTCTTCCGGGGGATGTTGTGTTTAACCCAAGCAATCACCGGATTCGGCATGATTTATAATGAAATATTTGTCTATCGACTCGTTGACATTTCCGAAAAAAGCAACAGTTTTCTCTTCGTCTGTAACTATTGTCTTCGCCATCCTTCCTTCCGAGGGAAAACAGACGAAGAGAGAAACCAGAGATAAATCAACGTATTGGGAACCTCTCACTCTCCTCGGTCTCGATAGCGTCTCTTTCTCCGTGGCACGGAGCTAGAATTGGGGTTCGTCTTCGATACACATCGGCTAAGGGTAAATAATACTTAGAGGCCCATTTACCCAGTGATTAATCTAGTGAGACGTTATCTATCTATATTCGTCAAGATTCCAACATTATAGTTCATCCATGTGTCTTCATGTAGGGAGATTCACCGTCACTTCTCTTCTCGTCACATATGAACCCGCAGGCAAATAGTGAAAGTTGGGTGGGCTCCGTCTAGACCCCGCGGTAAAAATTTAAGAGAAGAGGTTCGGTAAGAACTGGTAATGGCGTCCTATCAGAGGAAGTCATAACTCTTGCATGACATCTAGTAAAAGCATTCCATGATATCTCCTCGTGAGCAACAACCTCCCCCTTCCCTCTTGAGGTAACCAAGACTGGAGAACTGGTACTATGAGAGAATACCATGGAGAGCCTTCCCCTCTCCTTTTAGAGATAATCCAGCGGAGAAGGTGGGATCAGTAGAACGCTATCAGTGTTATGTTTGGCTGATTGGGAGTCGAGAGAAGGGGGGCTCTGTGTGGGTGAGGGTGAAGTAAACTATTGGATGCATGAGAAGTCGACGGCATGTGGGCTGACTTCGTCCAGCTCGTTCGCATCAGAGATTTTAGTTAATTAACCCGGTTTCAGGATGCTGTCTCAGTCCAGCTTTCTGTCTAAATCCCTTTGTTTAGAGGCGAGGTTTTGGAGTTTAGCTAGTGGAAGTTTGGAGGCCAGGAATATTCTCACCTCTCCCAAGGGCTCTCGTCTCCCCCGCCGAGGCTCTCCCTCCTCCGACAGTAGATTCCTTCCTTTCCGGCGCCACAAATCTACTGTTCATCAAAGCAAAGCCACAGCCTGCGCCGAACACCCACCTATCTAACTCTCTCTCTCTCTCTCTCTCTCTCTCTCTCTCTCTCTCTCTCTCTCTCTCTCTCTCTCTCTCTCTCTCTCTCTCTCTCTTTCTCTCGCTCGCTTGCATAAGATGCACACAGGGCTGACCGAGGCTAAATCAGTTGGAGCGTCTAATGCAATCAAACACAGACGAAGTAAAGTTCGAAAAGCTCTCATTTTTACGTTGACTTCCTCGGAATTCTCCCCCTTGGTGGCGTATAGAATACCATCGTTTGTGGGGTCGGGTTTACTTCACATCTTGGCTCTTGTGTTTGTATAGAGCCTCCTTGGCCGCATCCTGGTTGTCCTCTCCATGGGAAATCACAGCTCGGGCACCAACGCTGATCCCCTCCTCGCCGTCCGATGGCACTCGCCCTCCACCCATGTTTGACCAGAGAATACAAAATTGTTCCTAGACAAATCCGCTGCTCATCGGGATGATCTTCCCTAATCAGATTTGCTACTTGGTGCCAGGGTTTTAATAAAAACTTAATTTTTATTACTTCCCAGGAAAAACCAATTAGAATGCATTATAAAAAATCGATATATCATAGAAATTTAAACCAACCGTTCATTCGATCTCAATGAAGTAAGTAGTGTGAGATGCTTCACGATTGGGCTGGCCCCTTTTTCATTTCTCCGGGCTGCCTTTCTCGGAAAAAATGGCGGAACTAGCCGTGTTCCTCGACTTCTCCGGCCCACTAACATACGGCGACACAATTGAGTATCGCCGGCGGCGTCGAAGGCACCGCCCGACGGCGAGCACAGCAACGTCGCTTTGGTCTCCCGGCGAGGAGGGAAGATGTCGGGCAAAATCTTCTATTAATATTTGCAGTTTACGGGCGACCTGGGGAAGAAGAAGGGAGAGAAGAGGTGGCGCCGTCACAGCCACAGGGCGCCGGCATCCTTGAGGATGGGGACGAGATCGCCGGAGATGTGGGCGGCCATGAGGCGGTCGATCCCGCCGACGTGCCTCCCCCCAATAAACACGGCGGGAAACTGCGGCGGCGGAGGGCGGCTCCCCCCTAGCGGCTCCGCCGCTGCCATTTCCTCCACGGCGGCGGCCTCCTCGCCGTCATCGTCCACCTCGCACACCGCCGGGTTGACTCCCAGCCCCAGCAGCAGCCGCTTCACCACGTGGCACATGCAGCAGCCCCGCCGCCCCAGGACGACCACCGGGGTCTCCGACACCAGGTTCCGCATTCCTTTGACCCTGCTACCGGCGGCGGCGGCGCCGCCACCGCCGTTGGTGGCGATTCTTCTGTAGGGGATCGCCTCCTGCATCGAGTCTGAATCGGACTGCTGGGGTTGGGGGAAGGATGACTCCTGAAATATACGGGGAGGCTCGTAGAAGTGGGAAACGCCTCGTTGACGCCACGCAGGAGCCACTCCGACGTCAACGGTGGCTGCGCAATACAACCGCCACCGTTCCGAGTCGTCCCCACTGTGAAAACGTCTCCAGACTCCAGGTGGCTGCGACTACGACCCATCACATCTTAAACCAGGATAAGAAGCTTCAAACCTGACACGTGTCGTACGGTACGGCTCAGATCACCCCGACGCCGTCAAACCGCCTCATGCGTCCTCCTCATACGGTGTCCACTGCTTATGTCGGTACAACGCCGCCACCTCCCTCTTCTTACGTCCTCGGCGTCGAGCGTGATTTCTACGTCTTGATGACGTGTCGCATATTTTGCTTAAGCTGCCATTGGCACGTGTGGCTTATTCGGAGACACGTCATCCAAGCCTGGAAAGCAAGCAGAATTATGTAAATTTGTTGTTGAAATATGTAATTTTTCGAACATATCAATTAAAATATTCAACATTATTAAAGGAAATGTAAGTTGGACGTTAATTGACCATAAATTATGAGGCTTGTGAGGAGTAAAAGCTATGGGCTTTTCGTCAATCGTTCTCCTGTTTTCCCCTTGACTTCGCCGCCGATAAAAAAGCCACCATCCACGTATTCAGCCCCCTCCCCCCCACCACGTAAGCGCTGACCATTCAATTACAGTGCGCCCAGCTGGTCTCGACCCACGGTCTTCGTTTGAAAATAGCTCAGATTTGACTTTTTCATCTTACCCAATGCATCCAACAAGATACGCGTTCAGGTGTTGACCTATGAACCAAGGATGACGTGGGGGATCCTGACCTTTTGCAGATGGGACGAGACTCCAGCGCATATTTCCGTGAGTGGCCGAGCAGCTCACTAATGGGTTACTAGGCCCAATAATGACGGCCTGTCCGTGGAAGTAATGGGCTCGGCTCCGCTTTAGTCGACCCTGTTGTTGGTCCTCCATCTCCATCTCGCTCTCTCTCCTCTTTCTCTCGCTTCTGTGGATTAGGGTGATTTGGCAGCAGTCGAGGCCCAGACAATGGCGAGTCACCGCCGGTCCCGGCGGCGCCCCCACCGCCTACGGCCATGCCGGCGCGGCAGTCCCCCTCATTCTTCGCCGGCGGCCCACAGCCGAGGGGCGAGGCGTCACTGTGCCGGTGGTCCAGGGCGCTTCCCGCCGTGGCCGTCACCATCATGAACGGGAAGGGCCACCTCGCCCTCTTCCTCCGCGGCCTCCCCTCCCTCCGCAGAGAGACAGCACAGTGGACTGACAGCGGCCACTAGCTATAAAAGAAGACGGCAGCTCACATGGTGGCCTCGTGATCAAACCCCTCTTCTCTCTCTCTCTCTCTCTCTCTCTCTCTCTCTCTCTCTAGCTCGGTCGTCTCTGATTCAACGCTGAGGAAGACCTTGGATTATTACAGGTACTAGTAAAAATCTATTTGTACAAGCAGAGTAGTCCCTATGGAAATCACGGAGGCAAGCTATGGATCGCAGACTGTTTCGGGGGAAGGTGGTGGGGGATGAGGAAGAAGACGAGAGGGAGGGCCATAGTGAGGAGGACTAAGGGAGGGCCGGCTCAGAAGCCGATGCCAGCCGCGCCGATGGGCCGGTGGCGGTTCTTCCAGAAGCAGGCGTCCGGCTCCATCTTAGCCGACGACCTCATCGGCTCCGACTTGCAGCGGGTCAGCCCGAAAGGGCCGTACGACGGCGCCGCCACCTTTTTTTCCGTCGTATTCGTTCTCTCCGCCGGGGAGGAATGGGCGTCTACGGCAGGCGGCGCCGACGGTGGCGGTGGCGGGGAAGGTTGAGGAACGGGATCCGTTGTGGTCGACGTGAGGTTATTTGCACCACCGCCGCCGCTCGCCGCCGCCGCCATCGCCGCCTCGGGTTTGGGCTGCTTTTGGTGGTGACGAGGGCGGTGGCGGAGGAAGTCGGAGCTGCAGACCCACGTCTCCTTGGAAACCTCCATGGAGAGCTTTGGCTCGTACATCATCAGAAGCAGACAGTCCGGCAGTTCATTCCCTTTCTCTCCTCTCTCACCTGGTCCGCCACCCTCGCAATCGTCCGCCGCCACCGCCGCCACGGACGCCGTCGACTGGTCAAAGCTTCCGGCTCCAGTTCCCAAGTCCTTTCCTTCTCCCTCTTTCTTCTTCTTCTTCTTCTTCTTCATCTTCTTCACTACATGTTCCGCCTCCGCCGTGGTCTGGACCGGCGGCCGCCTCGTGACCTCCGACGAGAAGCTCCACCGCCTCCGACCCTCTTTCTCCCTGAAGGAGCTCATTCTCCTCACGTCCTTCTCCGTCGAGAAGCTATGCCGCCTCCCCTCCTTCTCGCCCCCGGAGAAGCTAACCCTACGACTTTCTCTCTCTAAACAGCCGCCGTTGCTGGATCTCCCGATTTTTGACCCCGCCGCATCTTGGGCCGGTCCTTCTTCCCATACCCGGCTTCTACCCGGCAAAGCGGCCTTTTCCATTGGAGCTTCTTCCTCAACCTTCGAAACTCCCTCCTCTTCCTCTTCCTTCGACTGATTGCTCAGCTCCGGACGGGCTTCCACAGAGTGTCGTTGCGGCTGCCCTTCTCCTCCTCCATTACCTGCTTCCAGCGGCGCGTCTGAGTGATCTTTAACCATGGTTTCAGCGACAATGGCGGTAGCGAGCGTTTCCTTCTCCACCGCCACCGCGCCTTCTGAATACTCATCCTCCACAACGGGCTTATCCCCATCTTCATCTTCCTCATCTCCTCTGGCTTCTTCCATGTCCTCCACCTGCACTTTGGTCGGAGAACCCCAGAATCTGCTCGTCAGGGCGGCCATCTTCACCGGATCGGATCTGCATCTCATCAACAGCAGAGCATTCCTTGGGGGAACGCAGAGGCTCTCGCCCAGCTCCTCCTTATCCTCCGCCGCCGCCACCGTTACGACCGTGGCATTCTCTCTCTCCTTCTTCTCTCCATCCATCGTCAGTTCTCCTCTGTCTACTGCCCCCACCATCACCTCAACGGCCTTCAGCTCCACCATCTCCCCCCTCTTCACCTCCTCGCTCTCCTGCACCGCCATCAACCACCTGGCGAACGCCGCTCCGCAGGACCACACACCGCCGACCCTCTCGCTCTTCTCTCCGCCATGCCGCGGCCCCGCCGCCGCATCTTCCTCCAGCTTCTCGCCACCCCCGCCGCCGGGGGTGGCGGCAGAGCAGTCGGACCTCCTCCCTCCGCCGCAGGGCAGGAAGCAGTTGAATTCGGACCCGAAGGATCTCACCGCCTCGCAGACGCTGCTCAATGGGAGGTGGACCCATTTCTGGTTTCTATTGGGAAGACAGGCTCTGCTCTCTCCCACATCCGCCGCCTCTCCTCCCCGCCTGAGATACAAGGTCCCCTGCTTCGAGGAAGAAGACCTCGTGGCCTTGCTCTTCTTCTTCTTCTTCATCCTCGCCGTCTTCACCTTCACCTGCCCAATGCAGGTGACCTTGGGAGACGACGGCTCGGCGGCCTCAATGGGGAAGCTCTTCCTCCGGTTTCCCCCCGCCCCGGGGATCGTCGCCGGCGACTGGCCGCCCTTCAAGCTTCCGCTGTTCTTCAGCCGCCTGCTCAGAGACGCCGACAGCGACGGCGCAGCCGTCCCCCGGCCGGGGCTGGGGAGCGACTTCCCCGACGGCATCCGCATGGAGGACGACGACGACGGCCGCGATGTGAAGCAGATGAAGAACTCGCTGCCGCCGCCGCTCCCCACCCGATGCGACTGCACCACTGCCGCCGCCGCCGCCGCTCTCTCTCCTCCTTCCATTGTCTCCCCTCAACAGAAACCTATCACAGCATCAGAGAAACCCCATCAAAAGAATATATTTCCGCCATTATTTTACCCCCCGAGCTCTTCTTTTCCCTCTCCTCTGCCCCCCTGCAGTCCCACCCAGTACACCGATCTTTTTCTGGGAGACGATCCCTGCCTGGTGGCCCCCACTCAAAACCGACGGCTCCGATCTCCGATGCCGTCGAATCAACGGCTACGATCTTCCCCCGCCCATTCCGCCCGTTGAGAGTTACAGCTGTTACCCTGCATGGGAGCAAGGGAAAGTCGGATGTCCCCTTAATTACTCAGATGCCACTAGTTTAATGCAGGCACGTGACCAAGCCCCCCAATACCCAATGTCTGAAGTCCACACTCTGAAGAACCTAGAGAGAGAGAGAGAGATCCTCTGGTCTTTGAGGAGGAGAGAAGACGGGGGCGTCACGTGCTGCCGGCAGAAGGCGGGGCGGAAGACTCCAAAAATACGCTGGCTTTGGAGGTTGGACGTGAGAGATAGAGGGGGGGGGGGGGTAGTATTAAAAGGCTTCGCGGACTAGGATGATTCCCTGTATTTTTTTATTAATACCCCTCTGACAGTGATTAACTATGTAATTATCAAAATGGTTTCTGAATCCTTGGGGGTTGACCAGGACCACATTAATAAATTCGATAAAGTCCCCATATTATCTATAAATTTATGCACAACCGGGGAAGATACAAAATTATACTTTTTGTCCGAAGAGGACAGTAATATACTTGAAAATTTTTAATAACTTCGGGTTCTTTTAGAATAAAATTTAAGTTGCAGGGTCCGCCAGGGGAGAGAATCGGGACCATGCCACGTCCAGCGGACCCCCACTCTCGTCCAGCGTAGAACATGGGGCCTTGTCTGTCTGCTTCTTATCTTATCTTTACACGTGGCGTTGTCCGTAAGGAATTCCGATCGATGAAACACACCAATCGAAGGGCGGAGAAATCGCCACGATGGAGCCACTTGTAGGAGTGCGTAAGATAGCACACGGTAAGTTCTAACCTGCGCCATTTCCGCCCAAAATCGGCGGGAGGAATCTCCGCATCGTAGGAAAGACGGCGGGCTCGCCGACGTGGCTGTCGCTCTCCGCCAAGCTGGGGGTGATAACATCACCCAGAGGTCCCCCCGACAGACGAACTTTCGCGCCGCGAGAGCGACACTGCAACGGTCTTCCGATCCAATTATATGATATAATTCACACCAGCGTTTTAATCTCCACGCTCTCAGGTAGAAGACACGGCCACATTGGTGTCTTACTGGGCCATTCTCACGTAGGCACAATAAAGCCCACACCTTTAGATTCCGGGCTGGCCCGGTCGGACCTATTTTTATTCACGGATGATGAAAATAATGGGCCGAACCAACGTTCTATTTGAGCCTTCATAACCCGCGACGATGCATTCCCCTTAACTGACATTTGGGCCAAACATTTTTGGCCCAATAATGATGGGCATGGCCCATAGCAGTATGATAAAATGCCGCAAAAAAGCTGTAGAAAAGAGAACAATCTTATTTTTTTATAATACATGGAAATGCAGATAAATGAGGAAAAAATCAACAGGAAGATCTTCGAAAATATTTCCCGAAAAGTAGCCAACATCTATGCACTATCTGATGGGAAAGTTCTCATCTTCCCCCTGAACTGAACTGGGCCAGGATCTGTCGTCAACTCGTGCTGCAGCAGCTCCACAGCTTCCCTCATCTTGGTCCGATCCCAGAGCCCGCCCACGATGGCAGCCCAGATGATCCCATCGGGCACACAGCCCTCTGCCGCCATATCCTCCACAACTCCGGCGGCTCTGAAGAAATCCCCCTTCTTGCAGAGGCAGGCGACGAGCATTCTGTAAGTCTCTGGTTCGGTGGAGATCCCCTGAGCCATCATCCTCCGGTGGACCTGCGAGGCCCTGCGAGGGTCCTCCCCTGCGCAGAGCCCCCTTGCGACTGCATTGTGGATTCTCACTTGCAGAGCCCATGTCACCCTGTTCGGCACCACCCCACATAGCGCCATCTCGTCGAGGAAGTTCGCCGCCTCCTGGAACCTGCAACAGCCGCAGAGCCCCGTAATGAGCTTGCCGTAGAGCCCAGCATCTGGGCGCTTCCCGTGCAGCGTCATCCTGTCGAGTGTCGCCATGGCTTCCTGGAGCAGCCCTTCCCTGCAGAGTCCGTCGATTAAGGTGCTATATGTGAATGCGTTGGGTTGGAGTCGACTGCTGGTCATCTTTTCCAGCAAGGGAATAGCCTCTGCGGATCGGCCGCCCTTGCAAAGGCCGTCCATGAGCGAGCTGTAGGTGACCACGTTGGGGGCGACCCCTTTGCAGCTCATGGCGGAGAAGATCTCCACAGCCTCGTCTAGTCGCCCGCAGCGGCAGAGCCCGTGAATGAGAGAGCTGTAGGTGACCACAGTGGGAGGGCAGCCCTTCTCCTCCATCTCCCTGAACATCCCCATGGCTTCCTCCATTCTTCCCAACTTGGACAGTCCGCTAATCAGGGTGCTGTAGGTGTAGGCATCCGGGGGACAACCTCTCTCGCCCATTTTCCCGAACACCTCCAGGGCGGCGCCCATGGTGGCTCCGCTCTTGCAGAAGGCCCTCACCAGCACGTTGTACGCGGCGGTGGAGCTGTGAGCTCCGTCTTCCTTCATGCGTCTGTAGAAGGCGTGCGCCATCTTCAGGTGGTTCGTCTCCACGAGGATGGAAAAGACGGTGACCCAGCAGCGATGGGACGGCGAGCAGGAGAACTCCCGCTCCATTTTGCGGAAGACTCGGAGGGCATCGAGGGGACGGTGACTCCGGCCGTAGGCGGCGATGATGGGGAGGAAAGCTTCCTCCGAGGGGCTGCACCCCTCGTCCTTCATGCGGCAGAGGAGGGCCTCCGCCGGCGGCAGCTGGTTCGCGGCCGCGAGCCGGGAGATCATCAGGCCAAATGTGTGGCGGTCATGGCGGAAGCCTGAAGGGTACTCGCCGGTGGCGGAGTCGAAGATGAGCTGCGCCTTCTTGGTGTCCCTCTCCGCCCGGATCATCTTCAGGACCTGCGACGGCGAGATTTGCTTCGTCCATTTCATCGCCGGCATCCTCTTCCCCCCGCTTCCTCTGACTGGAGGCGGGAGACTTTAGTCCAACATTGTTTGCTGGCCTATGATTACTGGGCTGATTTGGGTCATCATACCCTTTTTGTTGGGCTAGATGGAGTAAGGCCCATTATAATTGGGCTCCAGAGAGACGGCTGTGAACCTCAACTGTGGAAGAGAGAGAGAGAGAGAGGGAGAGAGGTGATGCGTCACTGTGGGGCCCAAGCCCAACTGTCTTTAACCACAAGTGGGCTCCACAGTCCAGTTTGACGGCAGCGACGGTTGTTCTGAGGTCATCGAGGCTGTGAGCTGTTTTTATCCTCGTGGTGTAATAAATAAAACGATTTTTTTAAAATAAAATATTAAATTGGGTTTTTTTAAATATGATCAATATTTTCTTAATTCCGACAGAATTAGACGTAAGTTTATAGAGAGCATGAGAAGGAATTGGTGGTTTACATGGGATTATATATTTTAAAATTAATTAAAAAATTATAAAAAACGTAAAAATATCTCAGATGGAGTAAAAAGATATATTTTGTCATTTTTTGGTCTCGGAAAAAAATAAATACCATTGAATATTCACCGCAAGCCCAAGGACAAGCAACAGCCAGGGTGGGCCCACTTAATGGGCTAAGCGGAACAAAAATATCCCTTCCAGCCCACTGGGAAGATCGCATGGTCGGGGGGGGGGCAATCGAGTCAGTCCGTCGATCATTCGCGGTCGTGGGGATCCAACGGTGGTGGGGGACCTGGCGCATGAGAGCGCCCTCGGGTGCAGGTCGCTGCTAGGGTGCGCCGAACCTCACGAGCGTCTCGACATCCCGATAAGGGGCCCCACGCGTCGCGGGTCAGTGATTGGACGGGACTCGCCCGCGGCCAAACGCCACTCGTCTCGTCGCCTTTTCGGATAAGGTGACGACAACGAGGCGATGGCCCGGACGATTCCTGACCCGACTCAGTCGACTCGGATCGCCCGAGTCGGCCCCGGACGACTCGCCTACCCCCTTCCACGGCCATAAAACTCCCCCCCGCTCGTCTGAGACCACATACTTCGTTTCTCCTGATTCTTCTTTTTTTCTCTCTCTAGCTCTCTCTCTCTCTCTCTCCCTCTCTCTCTCTGTCTCCAATGGCGGTGGGGGCGTTCTCCGGCGCGGTTGGGGGCGTCTCCGGGCTGCTCCGGTTGAGGAGGACGCCTAGGGAGGCGGCTCCTGTGGCGGCGGCGGCGAGATTGAATGGGTCGGTCGGGGAGGGGGGGAACCTCGTTTGGGGCAGGCAGCTCCGGCCAGGGCTCCTGCTCGAGAGCGCTCCGGTGGCGGCGGTGCCGTGTAGCATGACGGCGCCGGCCAGAAGGCGGCTGCTCCTGCCGGTAGCCTCTGCTGCGTCTTCTCCTGCGGAAGGGGGCGACTCCGCCGGGTGAGGTCCGTTTCCTCCGTTCCGACTATGTCGCCGGAACTGAGTCCGTCGCGTCAAATGCCTATTCTTCCCCGTGATCCCTGACTATTTTCTTACTGCTCCTCGACGTTTTCTGCAATTCGGGACGCGCAGGGAAGGTGAGGTTGCTGCTGTGGGTTTTCTGCAGAAATACCCCGCGCTTGTCACTGGATTCTTCTTCTTCATGTGGTAAGATTAATCACACGGAATTGGAATTGGTGCGGTTGTTCCTCGTTTCATCTTCTGCGGGAATCTTCTCCTCTGAATCCCCCGTGTTTTCGTCGTCGCCGCAGGTACTTCCTGAACGTGATCTTCAACATCCTCAACAAAAAGATCTACAACTACTTCCCCTATCCATAGTAAGTGACCCAGCATGAGTCCTTGGCGTTGACTTTCTTCTTTTGCTCATATGATTATTATCAATGGCCTCATGTTCCCCCCTGCCCGACGCAGCTTCGTCTCGGTTGTGCATCTGGCGGTGGGTGTGGTCTACTGCTTGATCAGCTGGGGTGTGGGTCTCCCCAAGCGCGCTGTAGGTGTCATCTATATTTTTTTAGTCTTGCATTAACCTCCGTAGAACCCTGAACATGAAGCAGAATCTCCTAAAGTCTACAGGCCACGATATTACAGAGCTTCAAGTCTCTCAAGTTTCAATTTCACCCTTAGCGTAGAGAGAGCGAGAGAGAGAGAGAGAGAGAGAGAGAGAGAGAGATGGAGTTGCTAAATTCTCTAAATTTCTGGAAGGATGGTAGCAATAATTCCGCTGGAAATTACAATTACCGGGAAGGATGGGCAAAATGAAGGGCTTCATTTAATCACTTTCGCGAATATTATACATCTGGATACGATTATCGTGCATCAATACATGCTTTTGGGTAAAATCACGATAATCGTTCAAGGACTGATGATTGTATACACTTTAGTCAGTATTATACCCGTCCGACTTTTGATTTATGCGATTTCATGTTTTCATTCCTTTTTTGTGTACACAACCCTTAATTTTGCATGAACGAGGGCGCTGACTGGAGTCGACTTGTCTCTTTGTAGCCCATCGACTCGAATCTCTTGAAGCTACTCATCCCTGTCTCTGTCTGCCATGCCCTGGGACATGTGACCAGCAATGTTTCTTTTGCTGCTGTCGCAGTCTCCTTCACGCACACCATCAAAGGTACCCTTCTATCTCCACTGTGCTCGGTTCATTATAAAGCTGGCATCTTTTTCTCTGGTCAATGGGGAAAGATCATCCTCTGCCTGGATCTCGATCTGACAATGGCTGATCTGTGCCAGCTCTGGAGCCCTTCTTCAATGCGGCGGCCTCTCAATTCATCCTCGGGCAGCAGCTGCCTCTCTCGCTCTGGCTCTCCCTGGCGCCAGTTGTTCTCGGTAATGTCTTCACTCTTCTCTGGGCTTGTGACGAACCACAGCCACGCCAAGTACTTGACTAGAAAGAGATCCTCTGTGTTTGGACGTTCATCCTCTTCGCCTGTGACTTCTATCTCCACTGTGCTCGGTTCATTATAAAGCCTCTTTTTCTCTGAATGGGGAAAGATATTCTGCCTGGATCTCGATCTGATGATCTGGCAGCTCTGGAGCCCTTCTTCAATGTCTCAATTCATGGCAGCAGCTCCTCTTAGTTGTTCCGGTAATGCTATCCTCTGGGCACGAACCACAGCCACGCCAAGTACTTGACTAGAAAGAGATCCTCTGTGTTTGGACGTTCATCCTCTTCGCCTGTGACTGACCTGATTATTCCATGATGGCATCCCTTACCGAGCATCCTTCAACTGGCTGGGCTTCATTAGCGCCATGATCTCCACATATCCTTCACTTACAGGAGTATCTATTCTAAGAAAGCCATGGTCTGCCCATCTCCGTCCCTTCCTCTTCCAATCTCCCCCTTCCTCTTCCAGCCTTTAAAACCTGTTGCTCTTACCTTTTTTCAGACAGACATGGACAGCACCAACGTCTACGCATACATTTCCATAATTGCTCTGATTGTTTGTCTCCCCCCTGCTATCATTGTGAGTAAACCTTCCGAATATAATGAATTCCACGCACTTTGAGGTTCATTTTTTGTTAATTTTTAGATGCTGTAGTGGCTAGTTCTTGCATTGGAATCCGAATCTTGTGAGCTTATTGAGGCATCTCGTCGATGACTGTGGTTCTGAGATCGTCTCTCCTTGAATCCTCAGGTGGAAGGTCCCCAATTGCTTCAGCATGGTTTCAAAGATGCCATTGGCAAAGTGGGTCTGACCAAATTTGTAAGCGACCTGTTCTGGGTCGGGATGTTCTACCACCTCTACAACCAGGTATTTATAGAAACTTTATCCGATGTGAAATCCCACCTCCCCCTTCACTTGCTATCCAGCAAGATGACGACTTTATGACGTGGGCAACCCTGCATACAGAAAATTAGAGTGTTCCAAACTTATGAACTAACAAAGTTCCCATGGTTCATCAGATCGCGACCAACACCCTGGAGAGAGTAGCTCCGCTCACTCATGCTGTTGGGAACGTCTTGAAGCGTGTGTTTGTGATCGGGTTCTCGATCATAGTCTTCGGTATGCATTTGGTTCAAACTCTGCCCTTTGATCAGCATCGAGATAGCTATCACCCCTTTTGACTTCTTCAATCATTGCCCCTTTGGTCCTTCTGCAGGCAATAGAATCTCCACACAAACAGGCATCGGGACCGCCGTTGCCATTGCTGGTGTTGCCATGTACTCCTTCATAAAGGCCCAGATCGAGGAAGAGAAACGGGTGAGTGCTTTCCTTCCCGTTTGATCTTATCCTCGTTGTTTAGCATCTGCCATGGCCGTTCTAAGACGGGCTCCTCCCCCGCTCCCTCCTCCCCTGCTTGCAGAAAGGAAAGACCGCATGAGGAAGAAGATTAGGGTTCGAGGGTCAACGGATGCGGGCACCGCTGTCATCTAAACCACTGGTTTCTGCTTTTTTCTATTTTAATATCTGGGTCTGTTTGATTCCTGTCTATTTGGCGTCTGAACATTGCCGATCTTCACTGTGGGTTCATGAAGATGCTTCCATTGGAGAGACGATGAGAGTCCGGTGTAAAAAATAAGGAGAGAAACTAGAAAAAAAGATGAACTTGGTGGCTTCTTCTATCATCATCCCCCTCTTTCTCCTCTCTCTCTCTCTCTCTCTCTATGGTGGTCTGTTCATAGTTGCAGGGAAGTCCTCTCTCATGAGAGATGACAGACAAGACCGTGGTTCAATGTTTGTAATTATTTTCCTATATTAGGGCCCTAGTTAGTTGAATCATTTGGGTTAAATACATTCTTAATTAATTAATTAATTAATTAATATTTTTTAATTGACCTCAACAGTCTACGAGTTGACCCGCTGGTGGTGCTGACAGTTGTACCCAGACGGCTAGTGTAGACCTCGTCGAGTAAAATCTTCTTCGACTTGCCACGTGGCATGGACCCGTGCTGTTACCAGAGAGAGCTGATGCGCACATCTGTGATCCAAGGACCGAGAGAAGCTGATCGGGTCAGAAGCGAACAGCGACAAGGGGTTCAAAAATGAAGGGGGAAATGGCTACATTTATCTTTATGAGGATATATATTCTAAGACTTTCTTCCTCAGCGCCTTCTCGAGCGATCAGAACCGTCGGATCAGGATCCAGCGGTCTCCAGCGGGATCAGCCGCCAGCCTCTTTAGAAAGCCTCTCCCGCGGCTGGCATCGACAACCACTCCCCGGGTTGACTTTGGGATATCGTAGGAGCAGATCTAAATTAAAATGATATTATAATATTTTTTTATAAATATTAATTGTTCAGAAAAGTAATATACAATGGGGGGTGTCAACGGCCTACCAGGCTCGTAGAGGATATGTACGGCAAGGGCTCCGAGGGTACCAATAAATATAGTTAAGTTATGAGTCTTTTTTAAAATATTAAAACAATAGGAGGAAGTTACTACAAATAACGTGAGAAAAGAGGGACAGCGTGGAGCGGGAAACGCATCTCACGTTATTCTCTTTCGTACCCCCCAAAACGACGAGAAAGCTGAGAGGATGAGAGAGAAACAAGAGAGAGAGAGAGAGAGAGAGAGAGAGGGAGACGCTATACCGATCTGTGGGGGCGTCTATCGGCCAGTAGCCCACACCGCCCGGTCTTAGAATTTATGCTGGGTTTTCTTGGGAAATTCAAATAAAAACATTTGCGCATTTCATCCGGTACTTTTTTCTCAAGGAAAAGGAAGGGAGAGAGAGAGAGAGAGAGGAATAGAGAGAGAATAGATAGATAGAGAGAGAGAATATGGAAGCGATCTGCTGTGTTGATTTCTCTCCTAGTAATCAAAAATCCAATCACCGCCTTCTCCCCTTTTTATTTATTTTTCTTCGCAGGATCGTCGTCCCTTTCAGGGCACGCGCATCCCTCCCTGGTCTTCCCGGACCAACCGCGGCATCCGTCCGTATCTCTCCTTCCTCCTCGCCATATTCATCTTCTTCATCTTCATCATCTTCATCTTCGTCACCATCGCCGTCCTCGTCTTCGTCATCTTTCCCGCGCGGCGGCGGCGGCCCTGGTGGTGGTTTTCCTGTTCTTATCGGTGCTGTTGATGCCATCGCGGTTGTTCTACACGCCTGCCCGATCTCGTCGCAGATCTGGAATCGACGCGGGGTGCCCTTTTTCACCTATTTTCTTCTTTTGTAGTTTATCGCCGCTCGCGGGAGAGACCGCCAATTCTTCCGTTCCCTTTTCTGCACACGGAGACATAAATAAGCGAGATGGGAGGCAGAGAGGGGTAATGACCCCGCGGGCTCCTTTTCGGACCCTTTCTTGCAGCTCATCTAGGGTTTGTTTTGGCGCGGCCGAGGGAATCTGAGGTTTTCGTGCGATGGAGGCCGCCGAAGGGGAGAGCACCAAGTCTCCCGAGGGAGGGGAGAAGCGCCCCAAACGGAAGATGAAGACCGCGTACCAATTGGAGCTCTTGGAGAAGACCTATGCAGGTCCGGGGAACTGTTTTTATCTCTCTCGGTTTGTCGATCTTTTTTGGCGACGTGTTCTGCGGATTTTGGTCTGTTCCCGGATCCTGATTGATTTTCTGTGGTCGATGTGGATGATCTGTTTCCCGATGGCCAGTTTCGACGTATCCCTCCGAGTCGCTGCGGGCAGAGCTGTCCGTGAAGCTCGGGCTCTCGGATCGGCAGCTGCAGATGTGGTTCTGCCACCGGCGACTGAAGGACCGGAAGGCAAATGAGATGGCGGTGACAGCGTCAGGGTTGAGTCCACTTGCAGAGCCACGGAAGGCGGTGGCGAGAATGGCGTCTCCAGCTCTGGCGAGGATAGAGGCAGATATGCACAGTGTTAAAAGGTACTATGACGCCATGCATCCGCCGTTGCCACCGCCGCAGACCATGCTAGAGGTGCAGGCTGTTTCATTTGTGGAGTCCCAGCTTGGGGAGAGGATAAGGGAGGATGGGCCGATCCTTGGTATGGAATTTGATCCATTGCCTCCGGGGGCATTTGGTGCACCTATAGGTATGATAATCTTGGAATTGCTCTTTTGATTTTTCTTTTTAAATAAAAAAAGAGTCTTATGGAAGGCATTTTCAATGTGTTCTCTGTGGTGTTGTGTCTTTTATGGGAATATTTTTCATGATTTTATCTTCATGATTCGTATATTTTGTAGCTCAAATGCTACATGCCCTCGCTACCATGATCATGTGGATCGAGCTAAACTGCCAACCCATTTTCTTTGGTTGGGTTTTAGTGCTTTACAACAGTCATCTTGTGTAGTGAAATGGCATTGGATACGCTCTTTGTAAACCTTCCATATTTTCTAGATTGATTGAGGAAATTTTTCGTGCTTTGCTCTACCTAATTTCTGATCGTTAGAGGCTGACAGGCTGAAAATTGATCTTATGATGTGTCATTGATCTTCTTTTCAAGGGCGAACGGTTTGTGAGAACAAAGAATGTTGTGAAACTGTCCAGTTACTATCGCTATTTAGAAGTGATTACAAAGTTTCTTGCCAAGTCAACCAGATGATAATACCTATGATATATTTCCTGACTGCCACGTTCTTCTAGTTTTGCTCAATGTGTGTGCATTTAAGTCTTATTGGTTATTTTGCTATTATTACTTTTTCCGGTTAGTTGCTAACCATATGTATCACCATTTTCCTAAGGTTGCTATTTTGATTTGGACCAGATGGATGCTTCCCTTTGAATGTGCGATTTCTACTTTTCTAGGTTATTGACTGTTATAAGTATATAGATGGTTCACCTTTGCAGTGGCAAATGCTCGATCCTTGTATTTTGGATGAAGAATAATGTCCATTTTCCATTGACGTCCTTGATGAGTGTTATATGTTTTTCTGTACGGTGTGATGCCTATGGTCGTGGTGCCTAATATATGAATCCATGCACCTGACGTTTAGATTTTATATTCTCATTTATCTCATTGCTAATTATTATATGTTTTACACTGGAAAATTTAATGTATTTGGCAAACTTGAGCCGTCTGTTCGCCTCACGATTGAACGGAGATGTGATATTATGGTACCAGGTCTTGGTTCTTGCTAGCTAGGCTAATAGTTTTTTCAAAGAAAATGATCTGTTGAATATGTTTGACTTTATGAATGAGTATTGTTATTAAAAAGTCCTATTTTTGTTGAGAACCTTTATCTGTTACTTGGAACCGTTTTCCTAGTGTGCTTTTATTTTTTGAAAATGAACTTTTTTATTGGCCCAGTAAGTCGTAGGTATAATTAAAATATTACATTTAGCCAATATTTGTTTTAGCAGATTCTTGTGTTCATCACAGCTGGAAAGAGTCCATCAATGTGACTGGCTTAGAGTCGATCAAGATTGTGACTAGCCTATCCTTGAAAATTTGCTTGTAGCTTTATTAGTCTTCTGTTCTTCTATTTAATTTATCCAATGTGAGGTTGTTTGTCTGAGTTCTCTCTGTGCAAAGTTTGATATCTTGACATTTACGGACAGTTTCATCACTACAAATTTCTGTTGTTTCTTGTGGCAGAAACGACAACAGGCCAACAAAAGCAGCTGGTGCGGCCTTATGATGGGAAACTATTTGAAAGACATGACTCTAAGTCCATTAAGGTTAGTATTTTAACCACGAGGAAAATGAATTTCTTTCGTGATATTTTTCGTATCCTTATAAATTATGCTGTTTTTTTTCCTGTTTTATCTTATAAGTCGGTTTTCAGGTGACAAAAGCAATTGTTACATCTGCCTTTTGCCATTTCATCTGTGACACTATTTTTGATTGCAGACTGCGTCATTTTTGCCCAATGTGGAACACTGCTTCATACCAAGTTCATCTAGTCATTCTGGTGGTAAGCGAAAGACAGCATGTAGCGGCTCTCTTGTAGTTCATTCTCAAGGAGCTGGACCCAGAGCGCTTCAAGAATATCAATTTCTTCCTGAGCAGCCTACTGCCCGAGCAGAGGCATATGAAAAGATTCCATCTTCTCATTTTTATGACTCACCAGTTGATAATATCAGTAGTAGGGTTTCACCACTATCAACACCCGGACCATACCTTCATGGAAATGAGCATGCTACCCCAAACTATGCTTTTCAAGGTCAAACTTCAAGCGCTGGATTTCTGCCTCAACAAGGAAGGCAGCATGCTTATAACTCGGGTTCAGAGTATGACGTTGTGGCTTCTTTTACAAAAACTAGCAGTGATTCTGTGTTTGGCTCTCTTCATAATGTTAGAATTGAGAGCCTATATTTGTCATCTGATAGGAGGATTATCCAAGAAGAGGATGCCACGCGGATCGACAGGAAGCGTAAGGTGGCTCTCTTTCTCTTTTTCTCTTGCTGTATTTATTTATTTACATCTTATGTCAAAAGCTGTTCCATGTAAAATAAAGCGTTCGATGGAGCCTGATGTGCTACACACAGGGTGAAGAAGCGAGAATAGCAAAGGAAGTTGAAGCTCATGAGAAACGAATCCGACGAGAGCTTGAGAAACAAGACGTTCTTAGGCGGAAGGTGCCTTTGTAGCCATTTGCTTAGTTCATTTTTTTGTTCGTTGAATTCTAATTTAGTGCTCTGCTCTGTATAAAGAGGGAGGAACAAATGCGAAAGGAAATGGAAAGGCATGACCGTGAAAGAAGGAAGGAAGAGGAACGACTGATGCGTGAAAAACAACGTGAGGAAGAGAGATTTCAACGTGAGCAAAAACGTGAGAATGAAAGAAGAGAGAAATTCCTTCAGAAGGAAAATCGACGAGTATGCCTCCTTATTTCCCTGTTTACTGCCTGTACCGTTGGAAGAACAGTTGTACATCTTATGTGAACGGTATGGATGCTTTATGAAATTATTTCAGGCTGAGAAAGTTAGGCGGAAAGAAGAATTGCGCAGAGAGAAGGAGGCGGCAAGAATTAAAGCTGCTCATGAGAGAGCTACTGCCCGTAGAATTGCTAGAGAATATATGGAACTTATAGAAGATGAACGTTTAGAGCTTATGGAATTGGCTGCGTCAAATAAAGGGCTATCCTCAATTATACTCCTCGACGGTGATACCTTGGAGAACATGGATACATTCAGGGGTACATAGTTTCAGATTCACTTCTAGTGTTTTTTTTTAACTACCCCTCCTTTTTTTGTTTGGATTTTAAGAGGCCTCTAAAATATTGAGTAATGTATGTTTTATTCATTAGCTAAAGAATCTCTGGATCTCTTCTCGCTTTTTGAGACTATGGGGGACAACCCAATGGAAGATTTACTGCTTCACATAAGAGAAACCTAAGGAAATTTTGCTGTCATTCAAATTATTTTTTTCTTTTCTGTTGGTTGATTTATCCAGTAGTCTAAGCTGTTGCAAATCCAAAAGGAATTATCGAACTCAATCCATTATCCGCAATGTCACTGGTTTCTCTTTGGTTGTCAGTGTCATAAAATTGTTCGTTCACATCCAATTCTTCATGTTCATTCTATACTGCCTATTTATCATTTTATAATTCTTATATACTGATACATTCCTTAAGAGCTGGTAGTTTCGGATCCATGAGGGCAACAATCTTTGTTGCGATGAGAGCCTTGGTGCTCTCGGAGCACACCTTGGCTAGGAAAGGATTGGAGTTTAGTTTGTCTTGTTTTGTCAAAACCGTGTAGTATTTACGGTCTTTAAGTAGTTTGAATTTTTAAATGATATGATATTTGAGGATTCCTTGTCTAATTTATGCCATTACTCTAATTTGAACTCCATACACTGGCTTCTTCTATGCTGGCTTATCTTTCTCTCTTGATGAGTATTTTCTGATATATAATATTTTTTCTTGGTTCAACAGACACGTTAAGCTCATTTCCTCCAACGTCAGTACGACAGCATTTTAGAAGACCTTTTGCTATTCAACCGTGGGCTGATTCGGAAGATAATATTGGGAACCTTCTCATGGTACACTTTGCCCTTTTGCATTGTACATGTAGGAAAAACAAAATAACAAAGTTATGAATTAATGGATGAGATGGATGATCCGGTCAAAGTTTCCAAAGGAAGGTTGTGAAATATGTTGTAGAAAATTTTGTTTTGGAATTAAATTTAGGACGTTTGAATTGCGTCCTGGAAACAACTTTTGACCGAAAACAAACCCTCGTTTTGGCCAGATATGAAAGGTCAGAGAGAAAACTTATGGCATATTTATGATCCATTTGTGTTGTGTCCTCTGTTCATCCTTGTTTAATTGTCCTCTCCTCATTTCCTGTGTGGGGCTGGTTTTGGGGAAACCAAGAATTCTTTCCTCGTGTAACTTAGAATGTATTCCATTTGCCGGAGTTTCTTTGTTTTCGGTGACTCTTTGTATAATGAGCTTCTTCTTTTTGGCTTGACTTTCAGGTTTGGAGGTTTCTAATTACCTTCGCTGACGTTCTTGGACTGTGGCCATTTACACTCGACGAGTTTGTTCAAGCTCTTCATGATTACGTAAGTTTATTGTGTGCACGTATTTAAACAGCGCTTTCATGTTATTTTCATGGAAAACTATACCAGTGGTGAATAGTTTAGTTGGGTTGCGTATGCAACGTATTCACGTGCTTCTGCCTTTGAGAGCATGGAGCTGAGCCCACCCTTAGTGTGGTCTGATAATTCTGAACTTTGATTTAGCATTATGTCTCTTGATTTCACAGACAGGTTAAATATATTAGGCAGCTGACCTCTTGTTTCTGAGTTAATGTGATCTCGTCTAAAATGTTAGAATTTGCGTGATTGTGCACTGCTTTATTTTTCATTCGTTTTACGTCTGTACCTTTCAGGACTCAAGATTGCTTGGAGAAATACACATTGCACTTCTCAAATCCATCATCAAAGACATTGAGGATGTCGCAAGGACCCCTGCTGTTTCACTGGGTGCCAATCAAAGTAGTGCTGCTAATCCTGTTGGCGGGCATCCACATATTGTTGAGGGGGTAAGCTATATTTTTATGTCACCGCCGGTCATTTTTACGCGAATGTTTCCTGATTTCTTCTTGGTTAGGCTTATGCGTGGGGTTTTGATATACGAAGCTGGCAACTGCATCTCAGTCCATTGACATGGCCAGAAGTGCTGCGGCAGTTTGCTCTGTCTGCTGGCTTCGGGCCTCATTTAAAGAAAAGAAATGTTGAACGTGCATATTTTCGTGATGACAATGAGGTATTCAATTTTTTCCCATATTTTCGCCAACTGAATTACTTCAACTTCTAATATTTATTTGAACAAAATTTGGTGCTCTAATACCGTTAATCTTTTGCTGACGTCCTGTATCTTTCTCATAACTTAGACTTGCCTCTTTTCGTGTGGAAAATAATGAATTCCTTAGAACTACAGATTATTCGGAAAATGATCTCCAAGTGGTACCATGTCGTTTTTTTTCGTAGGGCCATGATGGGGAAGATATTATTTCTACATTGCGAAATGGTTCAGCTGTTGAAAATGCGGTGGCTGTGATGAGAGAGAAGGGATTCTCTCATCTTCGTAGATCCCGGCATCGGTTAACTCCTGGAACTGTCAAGTTTGCGGCTTTTCACGTTCTTTCGCTTGAGGGAGGCAGAGGCTTAACAATACTAGAGGTTGCAGACAAAATTCAGGTTATTATCTTTTCTCTAACATTCCTTCTTAACTTTCGCTGGGGAAAATGTGTGTTTCTTAAGGAGTGGCTGATGAAGTCTTGTGGTTTGTCTGATGTTATCTTATTTTCCACCAGAAATCTGGCCTTCGAGATCTCACTACGAGCAAGACGCCTGAGGCATCTATTGCTGCTGCGCTTTCAAGAGATGCCAAGCTTTTTGAAAGAACTGCTCCTTCAACTTATTGTGTAAAACCTCAATTTAGAAAAAACCCTGCTGATGCTGATGTTATATTGGCAGCTGCAAGGGAGAAAATAAAAGTTTTTGAGAATGGACTCTCTGACTCGGAAGAAGCTGAAAAAGATACAGAGGCTGACGAGGCTGAAAGAGATGAAGATTCAGAAAGTGACGGGGCTGAAGATCTCGAAGTTGACGACGTTGGCTCTGGAGAAAAATTGACTAAAGAAGATCAACTTGTGAATGAAAAAGTTGCTAACACGTTAGATGGTCTGGATAATGGAGAGGGCGCCACAATCAATGTTGAAGTTGGAATGACTTCGAGAATTGGGCTCAGGCAGCTTGACAAGGGACTTTCTACTCCAATTGACAAGGATGCCGCTGCATCTGTTAATCATGAAGCAAGGAGTGTTGATCCGTATGCAGAGATTGACGAAAGCAACTCTGGTGAGCCGTGGGTTGAGGGTCTGATGGAAGGAGAGTATTCTGATCTTAGTGTTGAGGAGCGTCTTAATGCCCTTGTTTCACTTATCAGTGTTGCTCTTGAAGGAAACTCAATTCGCATTGTTCTTGAGGTACGTCTTAATGCCCTTTCTGATCTTCGTTTCCTTTTCTCTTCCTTGGTTACCTCTTTCACCGTGGCAGGGGTGGGGGACGATGCTTTGACAAATGTTTTTGCATTCTTTGCTCACTAGAAATGTAGTACATTTATTACCGTAACCCTCTAAATCTGCTTCACAATTTTTCAGGAGCGGTTGGAAGCAGCTAATGCTCTTAAGAAACAAATGTGGGCTGAAGCACAACTGGACAAGAGGCGCATGAAGGAGGAGTACATGACGAAGCTACAATACTCTTCATTTGTGGGCATGAAATCCGAGGTACCGCAGGGGGGGGCAAATGAGGGGAGTCATAGCCCATTGATTAATGTTGATATCAAGAGCGGTGATGTGACCCCATATTCTGCTGTCAACAATGAGGGATCTGATCTGATGTGCAACCAAAATAATTCTTGTGATATGGTTGTGGAAAAGAATTTGATGGGCCAAGAGTTATTGATAACTACTGATGCCACCCCAGTTCAGCAATGTGGGTACGCTGCAGAAAAGTCGCGGTCGCAATTAAAATCATACATTGGTCACAGGGCAGAGGAGATGTATGTGTACCGATCTCTGCCTCTGGGTCAGGATCGCAGGCGTAATCGTTACTGGCAGTTTGTGACATCTGCTTCCAGAAATGATCCTGGTTCTGGTAGGATCTTTTTTGAGTCCAAGGATGGGCTCTGGAGGCTTATTGATTCAGAAGAGGTAGTCTTGCCTAAAGCTCTCTTCTTTGAATGATGACGAAAGTTCATTGATTCTTTGCTACGAAATTCTTTTGAAACTAACTTTCATTTTATTTTATTTTATTTTATTTTATTTTATTTTATTTTATTTTATTATATTATATTATATTATCATTTGGGTCTGTTTTGTGCTTGGATTCTCTTATGCTGATGTCAACGTTGCCACAGGCATTTGACGCACTTCTTGCCTCCCTGGATACCCGTGGAATCAGGGAATCATATCTGCATTCAGTGTTAACAAAGATTGAAATGTCCTTCAAAGAGGGACTGAGGGGGAACAAACAGGTTATTAGTAACTCTCATTCAGCTCAAAATATTGCCAAAAAGGAAGCCGGCGAAGGGTCTTCAAGTCCAGAGTGTGATCTGGGAACTGAAAGTCCCAGAAGTACAGTCTGTTATCCAGGTTCTGATGCATTAGATCCGTCAACGTCATTCAAGATCGAGATTGGACAGAATGACAGAGAGAAAAATGCTGCGTTGAAGAGATACCGAGATTTTCAGAATTGGTCGTGGAAGGAATGCTTCCGTTCTTCACCGCTCTGTGCCATGAAATATGGGAAGAAAAGGTGCTCCGAGCTTCTTGGTGTCTGCTACACCTGTTACGATTGCTTCCTTTCTGAGGAAAAACAGTGTCCCTCGTGCTGTGAAGCCTTCGATGCACGTCAGGGTGCTGTTGATCAGAATTTTACCGAAGACATGCCTTGGTGTGAAAAACAGAAAGTGGATCCTCGTTGGAGCTTGAAGTTCTCAAAGCTTTCGCATCCTGCGAGGATCCAGATGCTGAAGGCTCAACTATCACTCATTGAGGTGTGTGCCATCAATCTGGGAGCCTTCCTTCCAAAAAGCTGCAATATTTAGCCTCTCTTATTCTTTTTGTTCAGTAGTCAGGGAAAATCTCTAAATATTATTTTCTCTGCATCATCTTTAGTCCCTTCCCACGTTTGCAGGTTTCCATCCCTCCAGAGGCTCTTCAACAGATCTGGTCTGATGATTACCGAAAATCTTGGAGTATAAAGTTGCAGTCAGCGTCATCGGCTGAAGAGCTTCTTCAGGTGAGCAGCTTGGCATCTCATTCCTCCTTCGAGAAAATCTCTGCCCCCATATAGCGGGCATTTTGGATCTCTCTTATGTTTCCTTTATTTTTTAAACCATGGACATCATCATGGTGGTCAACGAGCAGTTACTCTATTTGAATGCGAGCCATGTCGACACACACTCTAACATTCCATCATATTGGTTGGCGCAGTATCTTATGGGTTGGCCCCGTGATAAGGATAGCTCTTTTCTCTCTTGCAGCTGTTGACTCGATTGGAAGGTGCTGTATTGAGGGACTACCTCTCGTCGAGTTATGCGACAACAAATGAGCTCGTCGGTGCCTCAACGGCAGCACATGGCGTTGACAATCCTTCTTCTGTCTCTGAGCCGGTCACTGTGCTTGCATGGATACCACTGACGACTGCTGCCGTGGCCTTGAGGCTTATGGAGTTCGATGCATCTGTCTCCTACATGCTCCACCAGAAGGTCGAGTCGCATAAAGATCAAGAAGGTGGAGAGTTCCTGGTAAGTTCTTCACCATTCTTGGTCATTTTCAGTTGGCCCGTACTGCTGAGGGAGACGAGCAGCTGCTATGCAATAATCTACGCGAATGAATGAAGCATTCCATTAACTTATGGTAGTGATGATGATGATGATCTGATGAAACTGTGATTTTCCCGAGAGAATCAATGTCTAGAATTCTTCCATTTTCATGCCCTTGATTTTATTGCCCCCATAATCCATCCAATTATTTCTGCTGCTGTAAAACTTAAGTCTTTGTATCTTGCTAAACTTATTTTAACTTCGTGGGTGTTTGTTTCTTGATCGCAGACTATTCCGTCGAGGTATGCATTCGTGAAGAACTCCCAGGAGATCGAACCCACGGAATTCCAAGACGCGGTCAGTTATCGGCAAGAAGGGAGCTGGCCGGAGTTCCCCCCCGTCGTCGGCCGCGGCCGTGGCCGGGGATCCCGTGGCCGCGGCGGCGGCGGCCGAGGGCGCGGTCGCGGTGGCAGGGGTGGCCAGAGGGGAAGCTCCGGCCTCACAAGGTCCCTCTTCAAGGAAGAGGGCGGCCCCAGCAACGGCGAGACGATGACGGCAGCGGCGCTGCCGCGGAGGCAGGCGCGGCGTGGGCGCGGGCGCGGGCGAGGACGCCGGCGCGGGCGCCGCGGTGCTGCAGCGGGCCGGCAGAGGCCCTACGGCAGGGGTGCAATTGGGAGAGGCGCCGCCGGCGTGGTGCAGCGCCCGGCGGAGCCCGAGTCGGCGAGCTCCGGCGGGGAGGAGTGGAATGGAACGGCGACCGGCAGGAGGAGGTACGTGGAGGAGGAGGAGGAGGAGGAGGAGGAGCGCAGCGTGGGGCCGTCGGAGGAGGAGGAGAACGGGCAAGGGTCGGGGGACGACTACGACGAGCGGGCAGAGTACCGCGGGGAGTTCGGTGGCAAGGCGGAGGAATTGATGGACGAGGACAGCGAGGAGGACGACGACGATGACGACGATGGAGACGAAGACGTGGAGATGGACAGCCGCGACGGCGAGGAGGTTGGGGACGAGGACGAGGACGGCGGCGACGCGGAGGACCACGAAGAGGAGGATGCCTCTTCCTCCTACTCCTCTTCCGAGTACAGTGACTGATCGATCATAACCACCACTGAAGAGAGACAGACCGACAGACAGACCAGATGGTCATCTCCTGCCCTTCCTCTCAACATGGGGGGACGACGACCTGAGACCTCTCAGCATGGAAGACGGAAGGGTCGTACTCCCAGCTCCACAGGCACACACGCCGGCCCGACTGTTTTCCTCACGGGCATCTCGCTCATCGTCGAGGGTGGCTCAACACCACGCCCAGGTCCGCACCCACTCTCCCTCATCCACCCTGTAATCTTCCTTCTCCTTGCCGCCATTTCATAGATTCTCGCTCAGTTATCATCCATCCTCAGAAGGCAAGGAAGTTTGTCGCCGTTATTTCTGGATCACTCTACCCTGTCTGAACCGCCCTTTAGAATCAACGATGGTGCCAACCCTGTCTGAACCACCCTTTAGAATCAACGATGGTGCCAGCCGATTGTCTTCCTTCTTCCTTAATATTCCGCCCAGCGTCCCGCTGTTCGATTCGGGCGAGAACGTGAGCCAGAGAAAAACATCCAGACAATCGAATCGAATCAAATCGAGGACGCCCCCTCCCTCGCCCATCGATCCATAGTCACGAAAGGAGATTGAAGTTACAATAATCTACGTAGCAAGCAAGTAGAGAAACAATCGACGCGACCTTAAGTCGCCCTTGATATGTACACGGACCTCAAGATGGCACCGAGCAAATGCTACCCAAAAAAAAAAAGGTAGAAAGAGAGAGTGAGGGGCACAGAGAGATGAATGCCGCCGGTAAAGAAAAAAAAAAAGAGCCAGGGATTTCATTGTCTGGGGGGCGAGAGAACATACATCTGCACTGCCCGCCCTCGCCCTCGGCCTCAGGAGCCGAGCAAGCGCGCCATGCCGGTCTTCTGCTCGGGGGTAAGCCGGGTAGGGAACTTGATGTTGAACTTGATGCGGAGGTTGCCCCTGCGGGAAGGGTCTTTGGGGATGGGCATGCCCTCCTTGGAGACCACCTCCTCGTAGTTGGGGTGGATGATGGTGTTGATGGGGATGGACAGGCTCCGCCCGTCGAGGGCCGTCACCTGGGCTGTGTAGCCCGTCAGGGCCTCCGCCAGGGAGATCTTCTGCGTCACCACGAGGTCGTTGCCGTCCCTGGTGAACGTCTCGTGGGGCTTCTCGTCGATGATGAAGACGAGGTCCGACGGGATGACGTTCGGCTGCTCGTTCCCTTTCTCCGGGAAGGTGATCTTCGTCCCCTTCTTCCACCCGGGCTTTATCTCGATCGTTAGGATCTCTTCCACCGGTATCGTCCTCCTGATGACAAAAAATAAATAAACATACGAGATGAGCGAGGCCTTAAAAATATGAGAAAAACAGCAGTGCGGTGATTTTTCTAATGTTGCTGCTCTCTTTCAGCAACTGAATACAAGAAAATAAGTAGCAAAGTATTCTGCACATTCTATATAAAAAGCGTGTTGTATCAGAAATGCAAATAATGCAGAAGATGAAATGAAAGAACTTCGTAGGCCTCTCCCTCGACCCAGGAGTCTCTCAGTTTCTCCATAGCATATTCCCCTTTTCAAGATGCAGAAATGGCAGATGATAAAATCATCGGCTACAACATACAATGGATACATAAATTTCATAGAGACTCCAATAACCACGGTGGATTTAGCACAAGTGGCAAACCGCCGCTTTACACAACCCGCGCATGATATGAAACATAAAAAGCACCAAAAAATCTGGAAAGATCAGCAGGCAAGCAAAGTCTAACCAGAGAGCACATTCTCTGGGTACAAATAAAACCAGGAGCCCGTATTGTTCCAACCACCTAGTGCCTGAGAAGTTACCTGCCATGCTCAGATGGCTTTTCAAAAGAAATAGGGCGTTTCCAAGAGCTTTCATACAATGGCCATCTTTAGAAATTACAGTGGGCAACGAGTTAATTCTATTTTTCAACTTGTTACCAAACAAGCTGGCTGAAACTGAATAGCCTTGCTATGCACCAGTTCCACACTGAACTAGTAGTAGATAGGGGCGCCATAAGCCAACTCCGGCCACCCCGCCCCCATTTTCACCCAAAAGTGAGATAAGGAAATGAGCATGGCTTCCCACGGGACCTCCTTTAACAGTGATGAATTCATCCTTTCTGTTTGAAGTGTCAAACCAAAAAAATAGAGATCAGCTCATACTCCATTAGATTCCTCACTTTGACGACCATTCTCATGCACTTGGCTTTATATAGAAGATAAGCATGTCCCATGCTTTGCTAGGGGATCTGAACAGAAAGCACATATATAACCAACTGTACACCAGTCTGAGGCATGGGCGAGCATGGGCGAAGGCCTACTAAGCTACACATCCTACGCCAAATTGAGGACTTCTGATGAAGACAGAACGGAATATACTTAAAATAACCGGGTTGAAAGAATCATAAATTTTACAGAAGAGTTATCTTGCACATATGACGAGCCACCTACAGTGGAATGCCTAACTAGCGTGCTGATCTAGCAATGTGAAACAGTCAAACTTTAATGACCTAACATTCTCACAATGTCGTGACATAAAATATAGCCTTCTTTTCCTAGGCGCTTGACATACTCATCCAACATCTCAGTGCCACTTCCTCATGAGTATAAGAAAGGGACCTAAAGACCGAGTCTTTGTACCTGAGGCATCTAAGAGATTAAAGCTACTTAAAACAAGTGCCAATGAACTGACCATTCCCGGAGGATGCATTTTTTTGTGTCTCATTATGATGTCCATTCTTGCTGAGTAGCAGTCCAATAACATCCCATTCCAGCAGACACCACACTCACTGAATCTCGAACTCCATCAAAAACCAACAATTAACAGCCCAATTATGCTCTCTCAGTAAGTCTCTTGATGACTGGCTGGTAATTCATTAATACTTATCAAAAAAGAATATTTCTTATCACAGTCCTCAGAAATGTGAAGCACTCTATACAAGATAATGGGCACACATTACTAGATGTAAAAATAACGCATCGTCAAATAATCAAACATTAAAGTACCCCAATTTCCCTTAATTTTGAAAGCAAAAGTGGGCGCGGAAGTACATGTCCAATGTGCACCAAATAAATCCTCCATAACATATTTCAAAGTTTGCTGAAGACGGTGTAGACGAAGCTAAGCGGCCCTCACATATGAAAAAAGTAGAAGTTGGCAGAAAGCAGGAACATGCCATCGTTGAGACATAGATCTCTAAGATGATACGCCTTCTATGAAAACTCAGTTCCACATCATTTCTCGTTAATTGGTAGAATCAAGAAAAGTTACGGCTTCAATCCATTAAACATATTTGAATAAAAATAACGTTAAACTATAAAAATTAGCTCGTAGATTAACATAATAAAATGGGAAAAACGGAGCTTTCCTCGTTCAATACAGATCTGTATTCAACTACGGCGCTGCAATTTCTCTCAACTTGAAATTGACATCATCCAAGGACGGCAGAGCAATTTTCTCTGACATCAAGGTTGAATATTCGATGCGAACAGTCTAAAAGCTTACAATGTACATTATGAATTATCTAGTACAGATGGTAAGAATCCGCGAAGAAGACGACTCTATAATAAAAATTGTATCGGGAAGTATTTCCATGTAGCCAAAACTAAGATAGGGTATACTCTAGTTCAGGGGTATTTTAATACTCACCCGCTAGCATCCGCGATCTCCCTGGAGATCTTCATCTTCTTCGTTGTCCCCTTGAAGAGATCTTCCAGACTACACGGTAAGTGCCTCTCTATTGGGGGTGACTTCCGGGGTTGTTGGTGGCGCATCGAACCCTCCCCGCCCCCAAACATATGCCCAAAGACATCATCCCCGAACCCGGAAGGCATGCCACTGGAAAATCTCGTCCCTCTCATACCTCCGCCGCCGCCGCCGCCGCTTCCCATACCCCCGAACGGACTCGAGAACCCAAAAAACTCGGCAAATATGTCATCAGCATTCCTAGGGTTGAAGTAGAATGACGTGGCCCCATCCCCAGTGGAGAAGGAAGAGGCCCCGCCGGTTCCAGGGGGCGGAACCTGCCCCTTCAGGCCTTCCTCTCCATACTGGTCATACACGACGCGCTTCTGTGGATCGCTCAGAACCTAGCAAAAAAGAGGACGAGAAAAACAGTCAAAACAAGATGTGACTCAACACCTCACCACCATCAACCGTGGAAACAACAGTACGAGGGCGACTAGGTCCATACATCATAAGCCTCCGAGATCTGTTTGAATTTGGCTTCGGCCTCCTTCTTGTTGTTGGGGTTCTTGTCGGGGTGCCACTTCATGGCGAGCTTCCGGTAAGCCTTCTTCAGGTCGTCGTCCTTGGCGTTCTTGTCGACCTGCAAGATCCTGTAGTAGTCCACCCCCATCTTCGCAATCCTTCCCTCTCCGTTCTCCCAATCTCTGCAGAGATCTGCAGCCGCCGCAACCTCTTCGTCCTCGGATCGGGAAAGCAGTTGGTACAGAGCGTCCGGAGGAGTAAACGATGCCTGGAAGATAGGGGAAGAGTGTAGAAGATTCTAGAACCATCTGGTTACCTCCCCCCCCAACTCCATGTGGTTCTGTCATTTCCTCCACGTCAGTAGCTGATGGAGAGCCACGCGTATCAGATGTGGTCTTACGCTGCCACGTCAGGACCTGCCTCTCCCTCACTTGCTACCGTCCCACACAAATGGGCCTTACTTTGTATGGGCCCCCAACGGCCCTATGGTTCTGCTACCATCATGGGATCGTACCAGGAATGGGCTTGGTCAGCACCGAGTCACACAAAAGCAAGACAATCTCGGCCCATTTAAGTCGGCACCTTATTGGGCTCCGTACCCACAGAACCACCGAGCCGGAGAGAGAGAGAGAGCAGCCGAGGAGCCGAAAGAGAAAAAAGAGATTTCTTTTTTATAAGTGAAATGATATATAAATATATATTCTTGGCGTATCTTGGAGAATCTTAATTAGGGAATTTTATCCATTATCTTATTTAGTATCTTATTTTCCGGATTACAGCTGTCTGGATTGCTGCAAACTATCACCAACGTCTGAGTACAGAATATAAGCCCCGCGACTTTGACCTTCGTCGAAACCTCAGTTTTCTTGCCTTCGAACAATCGTATTGATTGCCGTTTGTTAAGATTAATGCTTCTTATGGAATTTTGTTATCCTCATTGGGAGCCATGGCAGATCGATAAGCAACACAGATCAAGGGGATTGAGATGGGAGGCGAAGGATTCTAGACCTGATACCGAGCAATATCCGCACGGGAACATCAATCATCTAACATAATTACAAAGGGATCAGCCAATGGGGCAATTGGATCACACGAACCACCTCAGGGGGGAGAGGGAACCGAGCGCAAGGGAATGTCAGCAGGGGATCTGTTCAATGAAGCATTGGATGACCTTCACCGGAAGCTTGATCAGATCCATCGCGAGATTCGCGAGCCCGGCGAAGCACATGCAGCAAGGGCAGAGGCAACTCAAGATGGTCCTGCATTAGAGAGATCGGAAACTTTCAATCTAGGAAATGAAGAAACGGCGGAGGCGAAGAAGACGGAGGATCCCAGAGAGCCGAGCCGGTCGCAAGCACTCACCCGAGGATCCAGATGACGGCGCCGACGAGGGACAGGGCCAAGGCGAGCACCGCGAAGGGAAGCCCGATCAGGAACCCCAATGGCCGGCAGTCTCCCATCTCACCACCAGAGTTTTCCTGCAATACCAATTCACCGCGTTCTCCTCCGATCTCCTCCTCTAGTCCTCTCCGGTGACGGTAGATCTCTACAACTTCCCCGTCGTCGGCCCGCGAATTCTCAGCGCCGGCGAGGAATCGAGAGAGGACGGGAAGGAGGAGACGGCAACCACCGCTCTACGTGCTGCGAAGAACACGCGGGCACGCATGGATATAGGCCCTCGCCAGCCAGGAGGAACGCGGCGGTTAGGCGGGATTCCCACACGATCGTGGCAGTTTTGGCGCGAAACGGTCAATCCAAGGCGACTTGTAGGAAGCTTCAAAAGCGGCGGCCCGAGATCCGGTGTCCCTACGTCTCCGCAAGCATGATTGGTATCACGTGATGTGGCCCAATCAGCGTGCGGCATTCCAGCGGGCCCACGGTCCGTTCGCTGGGTTTTTAAGCTTTGCGACGAAGGACAACGAATTATTTTATATATGTATATAGAAACCCCGATCAACGAAACGCGTGATCGGTGTACTTAAGGAGACATTGACCGCCTTAATTTCGGCCGATGTTACGGTCACAGTCAACGTAGTCCTTTCATGCCCCTCGTAGTGCAGTCCATTATCAGTTCCTTCGACCCGTAGGTTGACCTCTCCACAAGCGAGAGTGAGAGACGGATAGATAGATAGAGAGAGAGAGAGAGAGAGAGAGAGAGAGAGAGAGAGAGAGAGAGAGAGGGAGAGAGAGAGAGAGATTTCGGTATCGTTTATTGGGCTTGATTTGCCATTTGATTACATTAGCCCATTTGCATGTTGTTTGGAATCAACAGTGGCAACCTCACATTAAAGAAAATCCACTTCCTTGCACAAAAATATCGTTTTCTTTATCATTTTCAAGTAGAACACTGAAATTAATGCCAGGTAAAGTGTCTCATTGAAACATATTTCTTAAGAACCTTGATTTGATACACATTTTCTTCTTAAAGTATCAACTATTATTTTTTATTACAAAAAAACATTTTCAAAAAGTAAAATTAGCTTCTAATGGTGTAAATGAACATTGATTGATATATATGATGGCAACAAGTTCATCTTGCAAAGTTGGCTTCAAAGACCTACCTACCTATTTGATTTTGTTAAAAACCACATTAACTTCCATATAAATTGCTTTGATGGATTGAGACCCTCAACTACATGCTGCACATAGCTCTCAAAGTCTCCAAGTTATAGATTTTTGGCCAGATAGCCACCAAGATTTCCTCACTATCTACACATGTATGCTATATGTTCACACTCAAGGCTAATAGTTAGTCTATCTACTCTTGTGCTATATATATTGATGCTCAAACTTTAGTTTCCTTCACTTATAGTATTCAAGTTTAGATGTTGACATTTATTTTTTCACAAAAATTATGTTGGTGGTAATTTATGGTTTATCGGTACAATCAGTTTATATTATTTAAAATAATTAAAAATAAGAAGACTACACTTATTATATTCTCTTGTTCACTTATTGGGAGAAGAATAAGTGTAGACATAATAGTACAAGCTTTATATGGTTATTATTAATTTCTTAGAGAGTAATTATTTATTGTGGGTCCTTGTTATTATGCCACTAGGATGTCTATTCATTGTTTTAATTTTTTATATAGTGAAGATATTGGATGTACAAATCTATGAGGGGGAATGTGAAAGGAAATCCACATTGCTTGAACCTAATTCTTTGTGAAACATTTTATATGGTATCAAATCGATTATTATTATTATTTTGTTTTTTCTTCACCAGAATTAATTGGGTTATGAATTAACCACTCCCTCTTTTTACTAGATTGGTAAGTTAGGTCTTCTAAGAAAATTATTACCTAGTCCCTCAATTAGCTTACATTATACATAATTGAGTAAACCATATGATGATTAACAAGGTATAATCCAATATTTAAAAATAGATACTTATTTTTAATTCTTCATCCTTTTGGGTATTCTCTCTCTTTCTAATATTAGGTCTACCTCCAAATCAACAAGAGGCAACAACCAAGAAAGACCACATGTTTCTACTAGATAGAATACCACTATTTTTTATATAAAAAATAAAATAATATTTAAATATTTGTTAATAATATTTATTTATGATTACCTTGGAATTATTGGGGACATGAGGCCAAGTGGAAAGAAGAGGGAGCTATGTACGATTCATTTAGTTTATTGGGGGGGTGGGGCATAAACCAAAGAACCCCTTCTTAACACACCGGCATTATCGGACTGGGCCCAGGGTTAACCGGAGAGTGGATTTCAATATCGTAGACGGTTTCATATTGGGCCCAGTGTGGACCATTCTGGGCCCAAATTGTTCGACCATATTTTCCTGATTAGGTTGACATTAATGTGTAATCCAGCCGTGTGCCACGCCATCGAGCAGACACAGCCGCAGCCTAGAGGAGACCGAACCCGCGAAGGGGGTGAGGGGAGACCCAAATTTATCCGCTCTCTTGCTCCCCTGGCCCCTCTCTCTCGTCCAGAATACGCGCAATTTGTTGTTCTTTTCAGGAGAAGAGAGGGCGGGGGAGGTCGGAAGTCTCCGGGGATCACGTTGGCAGGGGAGCAGGCAGGCGGCGTCCGTGCGATCCGATCCTTTTCGCGGTTGCTGGATTCATCCATGGACTCCGATCTGTGGGCGTCTCGGGTTGCCGCAGCCAAGAGACAGTATTCGCTGCAGCAGCATCAGAACTCTCGATTAGGTTCGACGCCCCTATTTTCTTGCGGATGCGTTATTTCCTTTGTTTCGCGGGATATTTAGCGGATGAGGCGTTCTCCTTGTCGTTCGATGTGTGTTCTTTTGCTGGATTTATTATTCTTCTGACTTGTGGCGGTATTCATATTTCCTAGATCGGTTGATGTTCGATGATTTCGACTTGGAAGAGGACGGCCGGCTTGATTTTCCCTGTCCGTATTGCTACGAGGATCACGACATCGCTTCTTTGTGCTCCCATCTTGAGGAAGAGCACGCCTTCGAATCCAAAGCAACGGTGAGCACGTGCATCCTCTCTCCCAAAAATATTTACCCATTTATGCTTGGTGAACGAAAATCAATGGCTCGAGACTCTGTCTGTGGCTGCGATTAAATCCTAGGTGATAATCATCGGCGATCGCTTAAGAGCCGTTGATGTTTTGGAATGCAATTTCGGCCGGACCACGTAGTGTCCGGATTCTCTTGCATATCTTTACACTTTTCTTTATCGTTATAAATGAAAGGCTACCTGTTTTGGGTTCAAGGATGCTGCGTCTGACGGTGGAACCATGATTTATTTAGGAGGAAACGTAAAGGAATGATTTTACACGGGGCTCTAAACTTTTACCTCTCTAAAGAAAAAATACATAAATCATGGATGCCGCAGCATCGTAAGATTCCAACCATAGGTTTCAATTGGAAGGGATAAAAACCAATATTGTGCAAAAAATCCAAAGAGAGATAATTTTGGGAAGAGGTGGAACCTCCCCCCCCAGGCCTGTTTGGATCGGGTCTTCACTTCTGCTGTGGTTGATTTAGATGTGTTTATAAGGTTTTATCAGGGGAAGTATTGCTTGCTCTGATCTTTGTTTGGAACTTCTTGTTCTCGGGGTATAGTTCCTCCCTCTTGTTTGAGCCAAAGTTGAAGAGCCCTTTTGTCTTCCATACTAATTTGATGCAGGCTAAAGAGAGAAAAAACTTTCTACTGGATCACTCTGTGCTGGGTTATGTTTCAAAGTTTCATAAATAAGTTTTAAAAAATGAAAGATTGAAATAACGTTTTTAGGAAACTGGTAGAGGGTTAAGCATAATAGAGAATACGATATAGGGTAAAGGATGGCATAGCACTTTTCCATCCATGAGCTCACTTTTCTCTGGCCCTGACCTCTTTAGTGACTATCTTTGTTGTGCACTTAATTAGCTGACTGATCAAGGGCAGCACTTAATTTGGGTTGTTCTCGGAGCTTTGGAAATGGTAGAGGAGAGCCAAATCATAAGAAACAGGGAATATAGGCAAAGGATGACAACTTCCCTTCACCTCATGATGCCCGTTTGATTTAGTTTATGGTTTCTGTGATGGGTAGCGTTGTTTTGCTCAGAAGATGATCATTCAGAAACAGCATGGCTTCCCCTATGTAGTCCATTATTTTTCTGGTTTTATAACCCCCCCCCACCTTTGTCCTGCTTTTGTAGATGGAAACAGGGGATGGCGCTATAATAATAGGAGATCATTGAAGGAAAAACAAATTAATTTTATATACGGTGGGGGAGGAATTTTTCTGCAAGATATATGTAGGGAACTAGAGGAAGAGGAAGAAAAAAGATGATAAAAGAACCGCATAGGTGGGCTTTGAGTCATTATAAGGCCAGTGAGACCAGGTGGAGGATAGTATATTTCGTGGTAGGTTAGTATGAGTTCGAACTGTGGAGTTAATGCAGGGCATGTGGGAGAATTGTGAGGCATTGCGAGTGGGTTTCATGCAATCCAGAGGGTATAGTCCAGTGTGCTGAATTCTGATTTCAGTAATCAATCAACTTGGCCAATCTCAGCCACGAATATCCACACCCATTAGATTCATTTGAACATCTTTCACACAAAGCTGTGCTTTTTTTAATTTAGTTTTAATTTTTTCGCTCGATTTCTGTTTTAGCAAAAATATTTCAGGCTTTATTATCAGGCGGATAATCTCTCTTGGTGTCTTTTATTCGGGTATATAGTAGAGAAGAAGAAAAAGTTGCTTCTTCATGATTTAATCGCTGCTTGAGGATAATATTCGAGGAAAATAATAGTTTCAGACTCTATTTCCGTGCTGATTTTAATTGATTTTTGTCCTTACTCTGTAATCCACTGTGATATTGGGTATTTGACATTTTGCATCGGTTTTCAGGTCTGCCCCATTTGTTCTGTAAAGATCACGAGGGACATGCTAAACCATATCACAGTCCAACATGGGCACCTGTTCAAGATATCCACTTACTCTTCCATCTTCCTTGCCATGATTTCTTTTATCCGTAGATTTTATTTTTGGTAAATTATTCTTTCAATTTTTTCCTTAACCGAAGATCACCTACAGAGACGTCGAAGGTTACGTAGAGTTGCCATGCCTAACAACCAAGTCCTGGCTCGACTGAGTAGGGACCTCCGCGAGGCTCACCTGCAGGTGATCCTGGGGAATGGAGGCTATCAGTCAAGCAGTGCTCACACATCAAACGCTTCCACAGACTCACTCCTCTCATCATTACTGAACCTTCCCCCGCCTGAATCTGAGGAGCTTCCGAAATCAACCGTTTCAACTGCAGAGGATGCTTCCAAACGGGTCCTGACGTCCTCAAATAGGAAATCCAGGTGTTCTTTCGACACGTTTATCACATTTTAATAAAGCATCCCTCCGATGGAAACTTTTGAAAGTTTTAGATTGTTGAAGTATGATTTCTTGGTATGGTGTCATGAATTATTTAGAGATGTAAAACTTTTTGCCTTGCTTGGTGAAAATGTTCATTTTCTTGCCTCATTTGTTGTCTCATTATTTTTCTCACCTTTTGATTAAGGATCCTCCCCCCCTGAAACATGTTGCGACATTACACCAATATGAGGTCATAAATTATTTGAAAATATGAAAACTATTACTTGGTGGAGATTCTTGGGATCTTGTCCCATTTGATATCCAGGCATTGTGTTGACATTATTCTCACCTTTTGGCAAGGGATTCCGCTTTCGGAAACGTTTGAAAATGAGACAAGATCTGGCATGTTGAAGTATGAAGTATGATACCTTGATACGGGGTTATAAGTCACATAGAAATCTGATAAATCCTGCTCGGTGAAGATTTTTGTGTTCTTGTCTCATCTGATATGCTGGTGTTATTTCACCGTTATTCATCTTTCGATCGAGGATCCCACTTTCAGAAACTTTTGAGAAGTTTTAGTATGTTGAAGCGTGATGGCTTGATATGAGGTCCCCCTTTTGGAAAACCTTAGAGAAGTTTCAGCGTTGAAGATCTTCCAGGTCTTTGAGAAGTTTTGATACACTTGTTGCTAATGTATTTGAACTTCATTCCAAAGATTTGGAGCATTGTTTTCTTCCCATTATGTTTCCTTTGGTAGGGGTCGTTCCATGCGTGAACCCCCAATCATATGCCCGTGGGAAAATTTTCTATTATAGGGAGTATTTCACTTCTTTAATTGATACATAAAACACTTCAAAAAAAAAAAAACCTTTTTTTTTTTCTTGGGATCATCTTAGTCTGATGAATCGTGCTTCCCTTGCTAGAAAGATCCTCACTAGTCAATCTCTGAATCTTCACGAACATGAATAACCATGAAGAGATTAATCGCAGGAATTCTTCTGACGGATTGATGGCCCGGGGTTTTCTGATCTCCAACTCTCTGGTTTTTTTTTATTAGCAGCTTTGATCCCTCGTTGAGTCACGAAGAGAAGGAGCGGAAGATCAGGCAGGCTGCCGTCAGGGCAACGTTCGTCCAGGACTTGCTCCTCACTACCCTCTTTGGCGATTGACAGAAGCACGGGGAGACACCTCCGATGAGATCTGGTTTCACCGCTAATCTCTGCCATCGATGGGGGGCTCGGCTTCGGGCTGCGGGGCCCTCGGCATAAAGGTACGGCGAGATCTTTAAACCCGCTGCTGCATACGTGCCCATCTGTGCCCCCCTTGTTGACCCTCAGTGGAGGGGGAGGAGGGGGGGGGGAGGGCGTTCTGGTCTTATAAGGGAGATGGTCTGAGGAATAATATGACCATCTGGCCATCTTAGAAGCCTTGTTGTTCCTTTTTCCGATCACATGCTGTTGGGTCTCAATGTTCTTGTAGTTTGAACGACTTTTGAGTTATCTTCCATGATATAGTGAAATTATTTAACCTAGCTCTCCATTGCCGGCTAGCTTTGTTGACTTAACGCTTCCATTCCTTAATGGGGTGGGAGGGTTGACTTTTTTGAGGTCTGCGTATGATCATTGGAACGCCTTGGGGTGGGGTTTGAGACTCTCCTGAAGTGTACGTCTCTGTTTGACAAGGGCTGAGATCACCCGAGGAGCTCTTTAATTCTTCCATGAAAATAATTTGGATGCTTCCAGCGGCTGCAGAATCAGCGTATCCTCGTGTTAATGGTGATGGGGGCCTTTGCAGAGCTGTGCATCATCCATCAATGGGGCTTTCATCTGCCCGGCTGCCCTCTACCCCGCCGGGGTCTGCGGCGGCGCAACCAGAGCGATCAAATCGCCTGCTACGGCAATCCCTCCTCTTTTCTGTCCTGCGGCAGCCTGCGGCGGCGATGTCGCTTGTAGCGGCGATGCCGCCTTCCCCCTCGACCCCGATGTGACGAGCCGCGACGCGGCATTGATCGACGGAGACGTCTCCTTCCGCCTGCCCACTGAATCTATACTCAAAACGGGCGAGGATCACTGCATTCACCATTTTTTAGGGCGCAGCAGATAATTTGCTAATAAATAAGCGATATAAAATGCTATTTCGCAATAATATGAGCGAAAATTCTGGTTAATGGCCCTCTAAGCTTGCGCATCTACAATTATAATTCTGCTAACAAATTTTTAGTGGGAAAACAAATTTTCAAATAATTTTTTTAATATATCTAAATTATATATTTGTTTGATTGATTTACTGATCAAATTATCTCGAGTGAGGTTAGATTGAGACTGTCTTCATCCGGTATGAGTCTTATACATACATATATATAGCTTCATTTATTTATTTTTAATGTTTTAATAAAAGACAATAAAGGGAGCTTCATCACCCAAAAACCTGTCATATTTTGAATTTTTCCTCTCATATAAAAATAAAAGAATCCGAATGAGATAACTGTTTGATTGATTTATGGATGAAATTATCTTGAGTGACCTTAAACAGAGACTGTCTTCATCCGGCTTGATTCTTAGATATATATTTATATATATATATAGCTTAATTTATTTCCTTTTAATCTTTCAATAAAAGATGATCAAGACAGCGCTATTACCCAGTAACCTGATATATTTTGAGATTTTACTCTCATCTAAAACTGGGCTAAACGCTAAAAATAGGGTTCTTTAAGGGAATATGCTTGCGTGGTGGCAAGATGAACAACAAAGAAGACCTCTCTGTTCTCGGAGGCCTCCCCAAACGCCTCTTCCTAAACTTCCTTCTGCTTCCCCATTCCCAGGTCTTTCGTTCTCTTCAACAGCAAAAGGACATCTCTGCACGCTCCCACATCCACGCACTGATTCTTCTGCTACCCCGCAGCGCCAACCGCAGTCCCTCTCTCTCTCTCTCTCTATCTTGATGATCTTCCCAGAGGCATATCCTCAAACGGGTCGGTGCCCTTCATCAGTAGATTCAGAGATTAATTAACACAGCGGGCAAGGAAAGGGTCCCGAAGAAAACTGGCTTTGCTGCCTATAACTGAGGAAGGAAGAAGCTCCCCTTTCCCCCCTCTCCCCATTAAAGCAAGATACAGCAACAGTGGAGGCAGAATCTTGGGACAGCGGCTGGCTTTAAAACTTTCCCAGGAGGTAGAAGCGAAGCCCGTCTTCCACAAACAAACAACTCCGAGATGCTGCAGGAAACACGCCGACGATCAAATTTTTGAGTCCACGATAATCAAAGCGAAAGGAGAAGCTCCAATACTAAGCTGAAGTGCGCCAATTCAAAAACATGAAGACTTGGATTCTCATGAACAGATAGAATCAAAAGCACGTGAATGATTGCTTCACTGAGATTTCTATCAAATACTATGATTCCCACCGGAGCATAATCCCCCTTGTAGCCCCCAGATGGGTTTTTATCTTCCCGGATATGCTCTTTCACATTGCACCATAACATCTGAATTCAGCAGCTGTGGGGAGTACTTCGTTGACCAAATGTCCATAGTAATATTTAGTAAGTCTATAAGTTCATAGCAGTGAGTTTACTCTTCCACATCAGGCTATTCTAAGATCATATACTAGAACTCCCCTTTGCCTACCATGTCCAGCTGTTGTCCTCATGTCTACTTCAGCATAGCTCTACAGAGACGATGCTGAGGTTATTCACGACCTTTTCTTCCAACATACTTAGGGTTCCTCGCTAATCGGAGATTCCAGCCATCATCTTCTGCCACCCAGATGCAGAAATGGAGCCATTTCCATCCTGAGAGGATTGGGTCTCTCTCTTTGAAACCAATTACCCTGGCACCAAAAACCCAACTAGAAATTTGCTAAAATTGGTAGAAATTCTGCAGGATGAATAGAATTTTCAAAGTGGGAAAAACAAAAGATGGTTAGAAAGAGCCGTTCCCTGATTGACATACTCTACCGTTCGCACTCTCAAATCACAAACATATTGATCAGTCAACTAGAAAGCATGCATCTCATGCTGACGAAGCTCAGTCTTCCGTCCCTCCAATGATGAGTCAAATTTTGAAGGCAATTCACATTAAAGCATCCATGGTCTCTAACCCCATGGTTCACTATTGATGAGAATATAAATTCCTGACAATAAGAGCTAACTCATCAATCTTTTCCTCAAACGCAGCCAATGAACATATAACAGAACCCAGAACCCCACCCCTTCTCCTCTTCATAGGATCCAAGTTTTTATGCTTTCTGTTAAAAGAGTAAGTCGAAGTCATCCGGGAAAAGATCCTCCACACTGATATATTCACTATCAGTAGAGATCCTACGAGTATGGCAAGCAGGCCTTTTATGCCAACATTTGAGAGGACGATATCCGACCCACTCCACCAGTCCATCCAAAAGAAGAAATCTAGTTCATTACCCTGCAACTGCCGCCCCATAAAGACACTACCTGACATCTTCTTTGCTTTCTAACTTTGCCCAACTATTTACATCACAAGGTCGAATTGAAGCCTCTGATGTTGATGATGGGAGGAGTACCTTCTCTTCACGTTTCCTTACTCTTCCCCAATTGTTGTAATGCCAACCTCCGCATCATCCATCACTACTCACTTGCAAGAACAGTCTCCCTTGAATTACATCTGCCTCTTTGCTTTAAATAGGGACAAGAACAAATCGGCAAATTAGACTGCATAGGAAAGAAGCTTTCCTTTTCCATCCAATCAATATGCCACTTGAATTATTGCACAATCTTGCAATAATTGGATTGGAAAGAAGCTTCTCTCCAATCCGTGCAATGTATGACACTTGGAACAGGTGGTATTCCTAAATAAGGTATTAGGAAGTTTCCCACTAAAAAGAAGAGAAGCAGCCCACTCAACCACCCTCAACGAATATTATCCACTAACAAGCTCTCATCACAATTCTCACAGCATCATTGTATTTCTCCCTTTTCCCACATTCTGTTAAATTCTAATGTAACCGACACAGAAATAAGATGAGATAGAAGGCCACATTATTTACAGACTCTACTGTTATGGAAGTAATTGAGGAGTTGACAATTTACTCAAAGAACAAGTCTGCCAGAGATGATAGGTTAAATCCACGCAATCCATCAGTCATCAAAGTCCATCCGTGCATCTTGAAAGAGACAAACCCTTGATACCTTATTGCAAGCATTCTCGAAGTCAGCTTGAAAATCGGTCATCTCTGCTTGTGACTCTTTATAGCATGTTTTATTAATAAAATTCCAGCCATTAACTTTATCATAAGCCTTATTCAATCTATCAGCCAACGCCTTGGTAATGAATCTGTACAAAATAAACGTCATAAACAATCACCTTGGCTCCATCTTTCCGTGGGTTACAGGTCACGAAAGTGGAGGGGCTACACTCTTTTTAACAATAATTTCCTGCAATATCTCAGTTTCTGTTTTCCCACTTCCTTGTTTATCTCCTCACATTCCTTATGACCCCTCTATTTCCTAAAAACAAAATCAAGGCATGAATCATTGTCGTTAAGAGATTCCTACCACCATTTCCGAACACCTAGAATCCTTCTATATCTAAATACTTATTTTTTCCTTTTTCTCCTGGAGTGTGAATAGAAATAAAATTATGATCATTTACAGCTCTATTAAGGCCTTCCCCAGATTATTTCAAACAAAAACAAATCCAACTAAAAGCGAAGGATCTTTCCAATCATAGTCAGTTATCCTTCTCCCGGAGGTTGCACCACGTAAATTTCTGTCAGGAAGAATTGAGTCAATGCACTACCTAAACAGAGCCATCTCCATTCCCACCTCAGAAACGATTTTCTTTCCTATGGCACTCTTTACTTTGGCCCTAATATCCCTCCAAACATGCCACGATTTAGACAGCCAATTTCTAACAACTTAGTAAGATTAAAAAATTCATGCACTATTATCATACGGTCCATGAGCACGTAAATGCAAACAAAAACTCATCAGAGTTTTCATGTCAGGCTCCAAAGAATGCCGCCCCCAACAACCCTAAGTAACCTTGGGCAATAATTAGAACCATCCCCGTTTCCTTGGAGAATCATTCAGAACCACCATGCTGCAGATTTGGTTTTCGAGCCTACTAGTTACGAGAAACATCATAAAAAAAATCTTAGGAAGATAACCAAAAGCAATAATGAATTCAAAAATGCGGAAATTATTTTATTATGAAAAAGAGATGACATTACCGGGATGTTGATCCAATAATTCAGCAGAGCACAAAATACCACAGGAAAGTTAAAAAAATCATTGGAACTTGAAAATGTGAGTAGAGAAGAAAATCACTGCAGTTACAGTCCATCAATGCTTACATCATCACGAAGAAGGAAAGAGACGATGGATCGCACTAAAGACGAGAAAAAAAAGTTTCCAATGTATACAGTGGCCACTGCGATCATCTTTAACTCATCTAAGGCATCATTCTGCTCATAGTTCTATTACTCTTTTCCTTTCATTATCTGTGGTTTAAAGGATGAAATAATAAGGCCACTTCAAAGCTCTAAACCAAAGACCGTCACATTTCATGTGACAAAACCAAACTTGTAAAGGCTGATAGATTTCTAAACTAAAACTTAGCCAACAACTTTGGACGTCCGAATCCAATCCTAAGCAATTTTTTCAAACTTTGCATCACGCCACTTAGCACCTCTTTTCCAACCCACCACACGAGTACCCAGGCCACATTGAAACCAGATAGTTTGAATTTTTTTCGGCCAATCCTGCTAGGTTCTCAACCGAATATTCATTATTCCACATTACATCGTGTCTATACCAATTCCCCCATCCTTGAAAAGAAAGTACATTAAAGAATGCGCATTAGATGGGTCAAACAATTTTTAGTTACGGTTTGGTCTTGGAACCTGTATGTAAATCCCGAGAAGGCCCAAGTAAAACGCCAAATCTGAACCAAAGCTCATGCAAGTCAAGTCAATATGGACATTGATTTTTCCCGTGGTTGATCGAATCAACATCAGGGATCAATCAGAGTAAATCAGACAAGATCAGAAATGAATTTTAGTGTATTAGGAAGCAAGACAAAGAACACAGGAGAAACTTCCTCTGTCACGGTGGACAGAGGGGAGGAACGGCGGAAACCATCTCACTCATTCATTCATCTTTAATGTCCTTTAAATAGAGACGAACCTTACATGCATTTTCCCATAATACCCTTGATCATTTACAATATTACACTTAGACCTTCTAACAGAGTGCTTCAAAGTTTTGTTCAATGTATTGGTTTATATAGACTGCTGAATATTAACGGAATGAAGTTAGATGAAGTGGATGGTCGTAGAACTTATAATTGTTTTATTCATCATAGTATTCACTTCAGACTACTGAGCTAAGATCGATTTCATCTCATCAGCTTCACATCCAGTGCAAGTCCAATTAGAATATCATAGTAGAAGAGCATAAAATTCCACCAAATCTCATTCCGCGATCATTCATATGAGAAGAGAAGCATACACTGATACAAAAAAGAAAATTTCAAAACTAAGATTGAAAATTACCACAGCTCATGTCAAAAACTAGATTTCTTGCCCACTATGATACGGGATATCTGAAGGCCACGGCTGAATGCTTCATTGAAGAGAATCCTTGTTTGCATTGACTGGAATCCAGGCAACCAGGATAGAAGTGCCACAGGAGCCATAACGATGATGCCAAATAAAATGTCATATAGCCGGGCCATAGAAATAACGGTATCCCAAATTGTTGTGGAATGCAGGCATGGCCTTAGTACTTGAGCAATCTGTATCAAGCCCCACCCTGTCGGAATGAATGCCAAAAGACTGGTAAAAATATCAATAAACTCAAACGCCGTAAACTCGAACAATAGGAAGATCAGCAGCAACACCATGATGATGACAAATAATTGGACTGATCGGTAATAGATGTGTTCTTTGGCAGCATACTTATCACGTGCATAGGCCATTGTGACAAAAAAGCCTACAGCCACAACCACATAAATCCAAGATAGCAGATAAACAGCAATACTGGTACTGCTGTTTGCGATTTTGAGTTGATATACAATCCCGTACTGGAAAAAAAAGAAACGTAGATCTAGTACTATCTCCAAAATTTTCCCCAAGAGGCCAGTAGTTCTCAGGTGATCTTGTTCCTCGTACCACCACGTCTCCCAACTTTGCTCTGATTTCGTAAAGACACCTCCACGATGCCAAATCCAGTTCATGAAGTCCTCAAAGTCATAAACAGTTTTCAGCCAGTCAAAACCAGATGGATTGAATACAAATGGGGCCATTATCCAAGACACAACAAGAAACCAGCTGGAGATAGTCATGACAATATAAACAAGTGTATTCTTTGCCAAGGGACTGTATGATGCATAGACAGTTAACATAACTCCCAGTTCAATGGCTTTTATAAAATGGCTACGAGCATAGAGCCTATAATTTTCACTAAAGCTCTTATGCTGAACCACAAAACCACGCCCAGTGGCTCGATATTTTGCTCCTCCATGAAGGATTGTTCTCCCGAAGTAGTGAGTTCGAGTTCCCATCGAGAATGTATAAAAAACAGATGCCAACTGGAGCTGCATTGTCAGGAAATCCCAAATAGCTGAGAGAAAACCATGTTCAAGTGAGTTTTCCACAATCATTGGTAAGGCTGTAAAAAGACCAAGCTGGATTATAAACTGCTGGTTGAGAATAGAGCCAAGGGCTCGATTACTGCTGGTTTGGGATGATGTTCTGAAACTGTCTTCAAGCCCACTAACAGCCATATAAAGACGGCCCCATACAAATGAATAAACGGTCAATACCACCATCATAGTGCTAAAGAAGAAGCCCACAGTTGTGTAGTAAAAAGAGAGCATGCGGAAGAAGTCCAATCTGTGACCCAACCTGTAAACATCCCTGCTCAAAACTTGCTCACCATTGCCACTGGCAACCTTAGCTTCAAACATAGATATCTGATTCAGCCCAACATCTCTTCCTTTCCCGACCTGAATGTACTCATGGTGAGTCACGTTTCCACCTCGAAGAGTGCAATTAAAGCCAGCAAATATGTCTTCACTGATGTTAATCACCCTGGAAGCTTTACTGATGCCACCGCGACTTAGAAACCATAGCCGATCAAAGACGTCTGGATGACCGTAGTGCATTCTCACCTTCAAAGGATTTGCCAGAACACGCTGTCCAAGGGTGACAAAGCTGGTCTCCTGAGCAGACATGAACCATGCAAGTGAAGACACTGAACCAGTGAAGACATGTTCTCGAACTCCCAAGATTGTTGGCTTTCGAATGCCATAGTAACGCGAATATTCTTCCAAAAGGTTACGCATTTTGAGGGCTTCTTCAAAGTAGTTGTCTTGATTCATATCTATCGTCTGGACTGCATCACCCCTCGTGAAGATAATAGCATGGTTTTGATTCTCTGGTTTACCTTCTCCAAGCTTTAAGGGTCCAGGCAACCTTACTCGGTAGATCTCAACTTCCTTCTGAAGCTGCTGATCATATTTTACAAGAACAGAGTAATACTCAACTTCACCCCTCCCACTCTGAACTTCATCCACATAGGCAACACGAAGAGCTTCATTGGTTTTCATCAGATACAATATCTCATCAGCGTGTGGGTCCTTCTTAGCCTTCTGAGAACCATATATCTGACAAGCAACAACATAAGTGAATTTCATCAATGCAGTCCCATATTCGTGGCCTTTTAACAATGAGCTCACACCACTGCTGGCTCTACTCAAGTTCCGTGAAGAAGGAAACCTGCTAGAACCCCTTGACGCCGGAGAACCAACAAAACCAAGCTCCCTAGATCCATCCCGAATATCCATTTCGGATGCTGAATCAAGAAATGCAAGCATCTTGAGAGCCCTGTAGTAGTACATCATTCCTCTCACAGTTCGAGTCAGCGTCTGTCCTCTGTGGGAAGCCCAGAGACGAAGATCCCTCAACCTTCCCTCCCATATCTGACCATCATCTGTCATACCCTCTCTTCGCATCCGTTCCATGAAATTTTCCCATTCGTCCTCATAGATTTTTTGCAGATAAAATATAATAGAAATACCATCTTCATTCCCCGTCCGTAGTTGTTCCTTACTGTACAAGACTTCCTCACTGTAGTATGGAGTCAAAACACTGAAGGGCAGCATCTTCTCAACTTGAGGAGCACGTGGAATGTTCATGAATAAGGAATTGGTGAAGAAAGCAATACGACGTCTAGCTTCAAGATTCTTAGGGACGTTATTCAAGGAGTCCCTAGATGTGAGAATCATGTGCAACCGCCTCACATTCTTATAGAAACTGAGGTCATCAGTATCAGGCAAATCGATAGCATTTTCAAAAAGTAAGCCAGTGGAGCTTGATCTCGAGGGAATCCATCCGAACTCTCTCAGCTCTTCAACAGATTTCTTTTTCTCTGGGAAATCACGGTGAGCAATTTCGTAAAGAGTCTGTAATGTATTAACCACCTTGCCCGAATCTTTCTTTGGCTTGAGCAGCAGGTTAAGTAGCGTAATCAGTGCAGAATGAATACCACCCAGAGCACGCATCCGATACTCCAGAGTAAATTTTCCAACACGAATAGAATCATCAAATGCAGAAAACAAGTTGGAAATTATCAGGTGTTCTTCAGTACCGTCCTTGACAATCTTGGTAAGCAAATACTTGATGCTGTCATATGTCTCAATAACAGCACAACGCCTATATTCATTCTTACATATCTTCTTCCAGTGGACCTTGTCCGTTGCTTCCAATTCTCTTGCCTGTCCAAGAGCAAGTAGTAATTCATTGCAAAGGAGGAAGCAAGGCCAACGGATTACACGAATTCCCCATGCATTAGGAGGCAGTTCAAGGAGCTCCACCTCCTTGTCACTGACAATGTCTTCTTCTCGAAATGCCTCAATGATCTCATTCCATATCAAGGCAAATCGAGTAGCCTCTACCTGGTTTGACTCAATCTTCTTGTATGGGCGTCCCAACCCGTACCGCAACTTCAGCCGGAGGATTGCTTCTTCAAATTTGCTCTTTAGAGTGCCCCTTTCCTTGAAAAGTTGCTCCTCTGGCATCAGATTGAACTGCATTGCACTGGCAAAAAACTGAAACCTCAGCCTAAGCTGCTGGACATTGCGAATCTCACCCAAGTGCGAAAAAAGACCCACCAATGCCCCAACCATGGAAGAAAATATGGAGTACCAGATCTGTGTGTCCATTAAATATATAATCACGACTGGGAGCCAGAAAAGCACCACTGCAAATCTATTTGTCTTCGAAAAGAATTCATGCCACTTGTAGTTGATGTCATTCATCCTCAGAATTGTCTTAGTCGGGGCAACCATGGGTTTGATTTGGAGGAAATAACTGAAAATGAACTTCACTGAAAGGACTGCTACCCAAAACAAGCCATATTTCAGGTTGTCCAGAATCCCTTCACGGAGCCCACGGCCAACAAATGTGCGGCTTTGGAACCACCATGTCAAGACATAGAGGATCCTCCAGTTGGTCTTTTCAAGGAAATTCCGAAACCATGGCAGGATAAAGAGCGTAATGCCGAGGAGCTCTGGGATGATGAATACCCCAGAAACCTGAAGATAAGTCACCACCTTAGAATTTGCAGCTCCCGACCATCTGCGATCACGGTTCTTTTGGTCCCAGATCTGGCTATAAAGAACACCAAAAACAACAGTCCACACAGCAGAGACGATACTCTTTAGAACCATCCGAAGAGCAAGCAACGGGGTCTCTCTCGTAACCAAGCCACATTGGGTTCCGATATCAATGACTGACTGCAGGAAGCGAAGCCCAGCCCAGCTGATGAACACAGTGAGTACACGGACTTGCACGTCACGACTCTGCAAGCCCTGCCATGGGTATTCCTTCCCCTCCCAGGCCACAATCGTCGCTGCCTGAAGAAAGAGTATAAGCATGATCCAGAGGCGGTCAAAACTGCGAAAGAGGTTCCAGAAGGAGCGCTGCTCCACAAAACCTGTCTTTCCGATCCGATTCTTGGTGCGAGATGTAGCAAAGAAGTTCTTGGACAGATCTAACGGCCATCGCAGCTGGGAGAAGCACCTCTTACTCCAGAAGTATTCGTTGATGTCATCGTAGTTGCGCCAGGCTGAATGCGGAGCAGTGCCATTCCGGCTGGCTTCAACCTCGGCCTTGATGGTCTCATAAATGGGGGTGACGACGCGCAGCAGAAAGGCATTTTCGCCAGAGATAGCAGGGAGCGCCGGCCGACCGGTGGCGTCGTCGATGTAGTCCTCCAGGATCCGATTCAGATCCATGGCCATATGGTGAAAGATATAGCAGAGGCACTCGGGCACAAACCGAAGGTTAGCGGCCTCCCCCCAAATGAGGAGGTACAGGGAAGCGTACAGAAGATCGCGGCGCGGCTCATCGGCTGCAGCCCGTCGGCCATGGTGCGCATCCGAAACCCAGACGTTTGACTTGCGGCCAAGGAAGCCGCACCAGGACGTGTAGTTGTGGAGGAGCTTGCGGCGAAGACGCCGGACGACGCCTGGGTCGAGCGTGTCGATATTGTCCGGAGGAGGATGGAGACGCATCTGCGCGTTGGCCAGGAGGAGGACCAGATGCTCCCTCTGGTTCCGGACGTTGTCGCTTTGGAAGCCGAAGAATGACCCAAGCCAGTCGAGGAGGTCCATACCATCGTGCCAGGTGACGAAAGGGGGCTTACGTAGATCGCCAACCGTCCGGAGACCTGCCATGGCGGCGCGGACCTCCGGGAACCGTAGAGACGGGTGCTCCACCAGGACGTTGTGGATGGGAATAATATTGTAGGGAGGCTCCTCCCCCTCTCCACCGTCGCTGCCGGCCGGCCACCCCGGCCGGCCGGGATTCTGGCGATGCCCCATGCTCATCTTCGCATATCAGGTTCGATCCACAACCTGTCTCTGCGATTCTACTTCCACCGCTCTTCTCCGCTTGCAGCTCTCCCGCCGTCTGTGCTGCTTGCTCGGAGGCGACCTCAGAGACGGTAGCGCCGGAAGAAGGCAGTGCCCCGTAACGCTGCCGTCACCTTCCCCTGTTCCCACTTTGTTTCTCTCAAAATACAGCTCCCCTAAAATCATCTCTTCCAAGGAAAGGGTCCGAAGCGGTGTACTTACCGACATCCAGGTGATCTTCCCAGCCCCAGTCCAGGTGCACGCGCCGTAAGCCGGGTCCAACCCTCTCGACTCGTCGAACGGTCGATTTCGAAAGCTGGCGGTATCTATTTCGAGACCTGGCAGGCCCACCAGCCTCCACGCCCCTTTGACGGCGAGTAAGATACACCGCGGGAACAAAAAGTCGAAGCCCCCCCCCCCCCCAATCCGTCTTTAACTCGGAGATTCAGGAACGGTGTAAGAATGCCCCGATTTGAAAGGAATCGTCCGATAGGAGAGATAATCGGAGCATCATTAGCCGTCGGATTAGATTTTTCCTCGTAGATCCAGCGGGCGCGCTTGCCACGGCAAATTACCTTTTTCAGGTCCCCACGCCGGTCGTCCTCCCAAACGAAAAGGCCTGGTCCGATATTCTCTTAAGCTCCGAAACGTTACCTTCCAGGTGGCAGAGATGGGGCCCAACGGACTTGATGTCTAGATTTCAAACGCCCCCATGATTACTTATCCAGGTTTGACCCGTTGGCTGAGCCTTCAGCTCGACTCACCTTCGCCACGAAGCACGATTTGAGATGGCCGTTGACTTCCTCGTCATTACTTCTCCATCCTTCATGATTTAGTACATGAAGGTAGCCCGTCCACTAGTCAGCGTCCTCCTTTTTTTTTATTTTTAAGTCGAGTGTTTCTATGCAAATGATCATAAAATACATAAATATCCAATATCTAACCCCCTTATCTTGGGAATTAATGCACTGATGATAAAAAAAAACAGAGTGAGGCTAAATTTGATGACATCACATGATTAAAATATTATAGCTCATAGATATTTTTTAGTTTAATACTCCGTAAATTTACATTAACTTATTTCTTATTCAGGAAATTTAGAGAACTGGAAAAATATATATATTTGATTAATTTAAGGCTGAGTTCTGAAAAAAAAAAAGGGGAGTAATAGCTCCAAGGATCAATATAATTGTCTTATGACATAACATTAGAAATTATATTTTATTAGATAATCAATTGCCACATTGGGTGATGTTTCAAAGACCATAATATAATTTATGTATTGAGCTTGACTTTCAAGTAATTATATGTTGATAAACTTTGTCGGAGGGAGTTCTATGCTAAGATATTAACTTTTTAATTGCATTATCTATTCATTGATAATGGGATCATCAATTGAATATAGATAAGTGTACGTATTGAGATATTATTGGTCGGTTATTCGAAATTTCTTAATTATTTATCTCGAATATATAAAGTGCATGTTTGTGAGGATCTATTACTCAAAATTTTAACTTTTTTCTAATAATCGTAGTAAGTATAGACATCGATAATAGAAAATCCGTCCTCATCATACGCATCCGCGGCGACCGGCCGCCGATGCTATGATTCGGGAGAGCGTGCGTATGGCAGCAGCGCGTTTCGCTTCGTACCAATTGCCACGTGTGAGTGAGCGCGTCCTCCTTGGCCCGCTCAACCCTCCCCGATCACCGGAATAGAAGTTCGGTGCCGTCGGTAAGATTTCTCAACTCTACGGTAGGTCGCCGACGGCAGTGGTGGCTACGAGGGGTGGCACCACATGACTCGAGGAGGCGCGCCGCGCTGGTGGCTGCCGGAGGTGTAGCTGCTCGCGCTTCCCAAAGATATTGCCCCCGCTCCTTCGCCGTGGGGTCGCTCGCCAGCGATGGGGAATCCCTCTTGCTCGGGATCAACCGCGCCACTGCTTGGGGTCGTTTTCCCTCATCCTTCTTCTCCGTTGCCATCGCCGCCCGCTTCTCCTCATATGGCCGTCGCCGATGTTGCCGAAAGTCAGGCCACCCCGGCCAACTCTTCCCCTCCTTCTCTTCCCGGGTCTCCGGCACCTGCCGCTGATCCTCGTGTGATGCAGTCCCCGCAGCCTGTTGCGGCTGCGGCCGTAGCTCCTCCATCGTCTACGGGAGAGTCGGACGATCATTCGCCACTGCCGCCTCCAATATTTCCACCGGGGGATTGGAGTTCTCCCCTGCGTGCTCCTGCGGTTGCTACTGCTCCTCCTCCCCCCCCAGGTGGGCCTACGCAGCCCTTTTTATCTTTCTGATTCCTCCTCCCTCTCTTTGTCTTTTAGATATGTTTTTGAAATGGTCTATTTTGGGGGGGTTGTCGCGGATTGGGTAGTCGCTGCTTCTGCTTGATCGCTCGTTGCTTGAATTGGGTCTCTCGTGACCACTCCTGAGGCATCGAAGGAGCGTTGTCGTCAGAAAGTTTTAATCAGTAATGATCATTTGACGATTTCCACTAAAAATGCGTCGATTCATAGTCTCTATATTTTACGTGAGAAACACAGTAACTAGAAAAGTTTTCTTCTCACTTGTCTAGTTAACCGTTGAATGTATACATGTAGAAGTTCTATCCACCATAAATCTAGCATCTGATCATCGTTAATAACGTATGTTCCTTGTGAAACTATATTCTATAGATTATATGTTTTCGTCGCTTTGAAACTGTGAGTGCTTGCTGCAGAAATGGGCCAAATGGTCTGTGGAAGTTGTCGCCAGCTACTCTCTTATCCACAACATGCTAACTGTGTTCGATGTACGTGCTGTCAGACAATCAATCTTGTGCTAGAAGGTAACGATTTTCTCCGTTTGCGGACTTTCTTATTCATGGTTTTAAATAATTGTGGCTCTATTGTCTTCTTTTCCACGTTATGATTATGTTAATATCTTTGCCTTGGTCTCTTACACTCGATGAGGCAGAAATTTTTGAAAGCTTCTCATTTCCCTCGTCACAAAATTTCTAGCTCATGTCATATTCACCGAGATCTCTATTAATCAATTTCCTCGATATTAGTTTCAGTTGCCGGTATTTTCCTACAAGCTTTCTTAGTTTTAGTCATAAAACCCAATCGATGTCTATAGGTTACAATGTAAATGAAGAGTGCAGACTGCGTTACTGGATATTTGCTGTTCTGTCTGGGATAAATTTAACCTCTTAATGCCAATATCTGTGTTGTTCAGATGGCCTCACCGCATTACTTTCTTTAAGGTGTTCTGAATGCAGAGGTTTATCATCCAGATGAATACATCATGTATTTCTAACCTCATGAACCCAAGTTCTTCCTTGTACTGTTCTCTTAGTGTTTCCAAATGATTTGATAATCTATTATATACTTGCTATTTGAAATTAGTAATACCCTTCTCAGTTTGGATGAGGGAGGGTTCTGATCCCTACCCTTGCGTATGCAAATATATGTATGTACATATATGTCTTATATATATGAGTTTTCTATTTAAAATTATCCACCAAAGTGGTCTGAGTTTCAGATTTAGTTTCTGGGTTTGCAAGTAATCGGCAGATTGGAGGGATTGATTGGTTTTCTGCCTTATCTGATCCAATTTCTCTTGGATAAGCTGGTAAACCATATGAACACTGGTTTTGGAGGAGTTGCAGTATAGGCATACCAGCAGCTCAGTATCTGGTTGGAGGAATAGGGAAGGAAAGGGCAGAAAGAGAGGAATAAATAATAAAGAAAATATTTCTTCTTGGAGCGGATGGCAGGCTGAAAAGTTAGCGCAGAATAAGACTGAATTGAAAATTACAGACTGAAACGATCCTCAATTGGGACTTAGATGATATCGCAGCTGATGCTCCGATTTATCTTCATTCTTCTCATTAATGTTTGTTTATGTGACAGGATATCTAAGATGCTAGTAAGCCAAAATCAATTGATAATAAGCAGTTGGCCCATCTTTATAACCAGACCTATATGTTTCAAAAATCTAGGTTAATCATCCTAGTAGTATTTTTATACATAGGTTCCATTATGTCCTATTCTTATATATTTTCTCCCATAACATAATATACATGTATGTTCTATTGTGCTGATATGTACAAACCATACCACAGATATCTAATGATAGTAGTATAGCTTAGTCTGAAAACTCCATCCCTTCAGAGAGAAGATCGTTGAAATAAAATTACTATTTTTTTTCCTTTTTCGGTGTTTTTATCGCAATTTGTGCTCAATGTGCTTAATTATGTGATGCTACTCCTAGATGTACTTTTATTTTCTATATGCTAAAGATTTTTAGTTCATGCAGCTCATCAGGTGGGAAATGTCAAGTGTGGAAAGTGCTGCATTCTGCTCATGTACCCATATGGAGCTCCTGCTGTAAGATGCTCATGCTGCCGTTTCGTGACAGAAATTGGAGTACGCACAGTCTTGCTCTCAATACTATTTACCCATACATCCATCCATCTGACTGTTCTTGGGTACTCTTTGAAAGCCCTATCCCCAAGTGGAAATGCTAATCCATGCTGAGCATTAAATTATCCAAAATTATGAGAGGATCAAGTTTATTGAGAAGAAAGTCATCATCCTTATGTTTAATTATAGTACATAGCTACGTGAACCAATGTGAATACCTTCCTTGGATCAATAATCAATATAAAAAGATAACAGAAAATTCTCTCCTGACCGATCCCTTTGAGAAATGCATGCTTCCAACCAGGGATAAGCTGTTCTTTTTTACTATAAGCATGCAAAGATGATGAGGGGGATTGATATATTTATTGATTGTTTCATATTCTATGTGGGTTGAATCAGCACCTCGAGTCTGATAAGCGGTAATTTTTGTTCTTTTCTCTGCATTTTATTCATTGCAGGCACATAACATGAGGCCACCTCTTTCAGTGCAACAAGGTCCTCCTCCCGTCCCTCAGAATCCTATCTATTAGAGGATTACTCCGCATTCATTGGATGGACACTGCAATCGAGTCTGATTATGCGGGTGTCATGAAGTTTAGCTTTAGATGTTTATATTATATTTCTGACTATTTCTGATTAGCCTCATCAATGGAGCAAGAACTCTTTTCTATATATGGGAGGGTACACTCTCCTCTCTCTCTCTCTCTCTCTCCCTCACCCTCTCTCTCTCTCTGGAATCTATTATTGAGGTTTTCTTTAAAAATCCTCAAAGAACATGTTGGCATTTGTAATATTATTAAAATGCTTAGTAAAAACTATTAATGAGGTGACTGTTATAAAATTTTAAATTACATTTATCTGCACATTATGTTATAAATAAAGATGGTTTTTCTTACTATCGTCATTATTGTTAATTATTATCATCTGATGAACAGTCACTAGTAAAACAGATGAATGGTGGATATTGTTAGTTATTATCGTTGTTCAAGACTTTTAACAAAAGCTTTGATCTTGAGCTTGTAAAATATTAATTTTATTTTTTTGTTTACTTTATCTCTGACAATTCAGGTTGCTTAGTGCAAATTGCATATGTATGGGTATTTTAATGTTTGACTTTATGATTATGAGTTTTAATAGAATATAATTGTCACATAGCAATACCATGGATTCGTGATCCACTTTGATTCAGCTTTTGGGGAAATTATTATTATTTATTAATTTTTTATATAACTAACAACCTATGATAACAACCGATCAATGATGAACTATAACTTTATCTTGAGCATATATTAATTAGATTTCCATTTTATATTTAAAATTGTACATTTAAAATTGTAACTATATAATTATTATTTTTGGAAACCTATAGTGTGTACGATGTCAAGGAGATAATTATAATTATTATTTTAGCTATCATTAAATGTGGCGAAAATTAATAATTAAGATGAATGAATGCTGGATTTTGATCACGTTCTAAACGGGTGTTTGTAACATGGGCTGGGCCTTCTTCGATTAGTTGGGCCCGGGCCTAAGAGGGACATTGACTTGATCAGCCGGCCCTGTTACGAGTCTGAGATCCGGCCGCGCGAACCTATGGACTAACCTTTAAAATCCTACGTGGAATAAAGCATTATTAAATACATAAATGACTGCTTTTTGCTTCTGTACAGTCAATCCATCGCTTTTTCTCCCAGCAGAGAGAGAGAGAAGCCCAGCTGAAGATATGGCGATCTCTTCGCCCATCTTCTGTGGAAGCCTCGGCAGAACTCGGCCGCTCTTCTTCAGGGAACACTCCTCCGCGTCCGGCTCGATCCCTCCTCCGGTGATTTCCATCGGCGTGCGTCGCCTCCCATTTTTCACCTACCTGCGGTCGGTTCCCCCAATTTCGCCGTTATTCAACCCTAGGCCAAGGAGATCGATTCCCGCCATTGCCGCAGCCCCGGTGAGGTCCCTCTTCACGGGAATAGTGGAGGAGGTTGGCAAGATCGAGCAGCTCGGCCCCTCCGCCGACGGCGGATTCGAGATGACCATCGCCGCCAGCACCGTCCTCGGCGGCGCCAGCCTCGGCGACAGCATCTCTGTCAATGGCACCTGCCTCACCGTGACTCGATTCGACCACCAGGCCTCTAACTTCTCCGTCGGCCTGTCTCCCGAGACTCTCCGGAAGACCTCCCTCGGTGAGCTGGGGGTGAACTCCCCCGTCAATCTGGAGCGCGCTCTCAGACCGGACTCCAGAATGGGAGGCCACTTCGTCCAGGGGCACATCGACGGGACGGGGGAGATCGTGTCGTTCGAACCAGAGGGGGACTCGCTCTGGGTGAAGGTGCGGACGGCGTCAGATCTGCTCCGGTACGTCGTGCCGAAGGGTTTCATCGCCGTTGATGGGACGAGCTTGACGGTGGTGAAGGTCTACGACGAGGAGAACTGCTTCGACTTCATGCTGGTTGCCTACACGCAGCAGAATGTTGTCATCCCTCTCAAAAAGGTGGGCGACAAGGTGAATCTGGAGGTGGACATTCTCGGGAAGTACGTGGAGAGGATACTGAAGGCCGGGTTTGGATACGCTCCCGCTGGTGTCCATTCTCCCCCCTGATATACGCCATAGAGATCGAACAGCTAGCTAGTCTCGAAGGAGGTGAGCTCTGGGATTTCGTCAGAATTGGTACCTGCTCTGTCGAAGGCTATTTGCTGTTTCAGAGTTCACTACTTCTGTTGACAGAGACCGTTCAGTTGGAGGTGATGGAGAAGAATTGGAACGAACGCTTCTCCAGTTTCTGATTCCAATACAACCATTATGCCATTGCTTGTAGGGCTTTGGTTCCATGGATAACTTTTCTGAGAAATCGATCAGTACCTGATTCCTCTTATTTACCGCAATTTTGTGGTCTGTGTTGAATCTTTCGCAATTTTTGAACCCACATATGATCGACTCTTCCTCATTTCTTCGGCAGGGAGTCATCTAAACTTCTTAACGCTATGATCCTCATATGCCCTGTTTTAGAACATCTCTTGTATCACTCTGCGTTCTGCCATATGAGAATTTCGGATTCCAAATCCGATGTTAGAACTATGCATGCATTGTGTCTCTAATCAATTTTGGGATCAAGTTTCCTGAATTTTCTTGATTGTTAATCATTATATTTCTTTACCCTGTGATCTTTATGAACAGATGGATATCCCGATGCCAGTCTCCCCAGCCCATCTGGTTGTACGGCCATGATTCTCCCCATTTCTTGTCCCTCATTTATCACCTTTAAACCTTGATAGCATTCCCTCCAAAGACTCTGATGGAGCTCCAGAGCAAAGAGTGCGAGAGAGGAGAGAAATGGGTTGGAGTAAGGACTGTACTAAAAGCTCAATTCAGAAGAACACATGAATACTTTGAAAGAGGGATAATCTTTGAAAGGAGAGAGGGAACGAGAAGAGATGAGAGGATAGATGGAAGGGACCTTGGGAGGACCTCCCAAGGGTGCCAATTCGAGATGACTAGTCTACACTTCTCCACTCAGAGATATAAGACTTGAAATAGCACACACCTCATATCTTATCTCCTCTTATAGTCGTCTGATTATCATGCGCTTTTATTGCTCCTTTTAAGCCTTAATGGGCCGCTCACTCTGCCTCCCTTCTTCAGGCCTAATGGGCTGTTTTCAGTCGACTGATTAGTAGTCTCTTGCCTATCGTTGAGATCTACTCCACTTGCCAGTTGAGATATCTTCCCACATGGGTGAGGGGTTGATGCGAATGACTCAACAATACTCCCCTCTGAGTCTCACCTTGTCCTCAAGGTGAAATTCAGGGAATTGTTGACATATAGCCTGAGTTGATTCACAAGTGGCCTCCATAATGGGTGGATCTTGTCATTGGATGAGGGCTTTCGGCCCTGGCAGCCCATTACAAACAGCTAACACTATATGGATGCACGGCCCATGTAAGGTCTTTGTCTAGTTATAATGGGCCTAGGTTTGGTGGGTTGGAGGCGACTACTTTTTTCAGTTAAGATACATGGAATATTAAGTGGATGTTGGAAGTGGGAGGAAGATACAACCAATAAGCCACTAGCCCAATACACTTGAGGACCTTATATGGATTGAAGTATCATTGGGCCAACTTCTCATACGGTCTTCTTGCCAGGAATGTCCACTTATATGGGTGGAGGTAGAGGTAGACAAGGCTGCCCTTTGTGAACTCAAAACCATGTTCCTTGTGGTTAGAATATGCCTTCTAGTGAGGTGCTGCTAAAGTTGAATGAGGGTTGCGTCCCGTTTTTAGAGAAGTTGGTCCAACTCTCTTGATTTCACCAATTGAGTCTCATACTTGCACCCATAGATGATTTTAAACAATGTGATTCATATGGAGGGATTAAAATTTGTGTTGAACCAAAATTTGGCCCAAGCCAATGATTTGCTTCACTATCATGGCTGATCTCTAGTGAAACAATGAAGATGGTCTCCAACTCTTGATTGATTATTTCAATTTGGTCATTGATCTTAGGGTGATAGGAACTAATTCAATGAAGAGTTGTGCATTGAAGCTTGAATAATTCTTGCTAGAATACACTCATAACAATTTGGTCTATGTCAATAAGAACAGATTTTATAAAATCATGGAGCTAAATGATATCTTGGATAAAAATATGAGCAATGTTCTTTGTGATGAATGGGTGTCAAAAGAGAGAAACATTAACATACTTTGTTGATCCACTATGACCAAGATTACATTGAACTTAATGGAGTTGGATAATCTTTTAACAAAATAGATTGCCAAATCCTCTCAAATTGTATCTAGAATTGGAAGAGGTTGTAGAAGGCTAATTGAAGGAAGAGATTCATACTTATTCTTTTGACACGTAAAACATATAACTGCATACCTCCTCACATAGCTTTTCATGTCAATTCATCTAACATTTTTTTACAATATGAAGGTAGATCCTTAAAAATTTTGAGCGCCTATTAATTTTTGAGGTGTTGAGCTTTAGGATGAGTGCATAAATCTTGAATATCATCAACCACATGTGGTGGAAGAGGTGACCCTACTAAAGTCAATAATTTGAATTATTTTTTGGGTTTTTGGGAAGCTTGTCTATGACGGCTTTGAGTTGAAGACATCACCTCTCAATTTTTTTTGAGAAATTAGTTAAATTAATCAATTTTGGCAAGGTTATTTATCTAGCTTGCAATGAAACCTAATCCAACACTCATGATAGAGTATTGGTTATCTTGTTCTTTGGTTCAATTTTACATTTGATCTTCAAATCAAAGCTGATAATTTTTGATAATCAAATAGAATCTATTGCTACTCAATGATGAATTTTAAGTTCCTCTAATTTGTAAAAATAATAAGTTTTCATCCTAAGAGGTGATGTTTCAACTTCAAGGTAGTGAGGACAATGGCCATTAGCTCCTTCTTGTATGTAGTCTTTTAATTTTATGACAACATATAGAGTAAATTTCTAAAATAATATTAGTGGTGGCTAGCATAATGATTAATAAATCTTCACAAATAGATATGGTTGAAAAATTGATAGTGACTATACAACATATGTCAATTCCAACAACTTCTTATCGTATTTCAATTATGACTCAATAATTTGGTGCAATTGAATTTGAAAGATTGAGTTTCTTCATGAGGCTAGAGTCAATAAAGTTGTGGGTCACTCTTTTGTTGTCAAAGATCGTAATTGGCTTATTGTTGATCTCCCCTCAAAATTTCAAGGCTCATGCATACAATTCATTTGAAAGAGAATTTAATGATACCTCGAAGTTAGTCAATTATTTTTCTCCTTCAAAAATTCTTCTCAAATATGTTTGAAAACTCTTCAAGAAAGTTAGACTCATTAGGAGTGAAGAGAATATATAAATCCTTCTAATAGTGATGGCATAAAGAGAATTTTTCATTACAACAAAAACAAAAGTTTTGAACATAACATGTTTGAATCTCTACAACTATGAGCTTGATTTTCTTTTGCATATCAAATGAATTTATATATGTGCCGGTTGCAGTTGCAATATAAGTTTCAAAAGATCCATCATTGTTGTTTTATTGAATAAAGTTGAGTTTCATAATTATTTACCTTCATAATTCATAGTTGGAACAAATTATTTTGAAGGGTTTGACAAAACAAGGTATGTTGAATGAGTTGGGACCAGAACGCTTGTTGATCTTTCATTTGATCATTTAGATTGTTCTCATCATTACTTCAAGTTCGTTGAGATATAATACACAAACTTCAACATATATATTTTTCCATAAGTCCTTTAAGAAAGTACTTCAAAATTTAACTATAGAATATTTTCAAGTATAATTATTAGAAGTTCAAATTCCTCTTTGTATTCTACAATTGACCCATATTGCCTAAGTACCATATAGACTAAATTGCTCATGTATTTACGTATTAGAACCACACTAATGTTCTACCTTTTAGACTCATGTCAATATTGGAGAGCTTTTCTTACATTGAGAGTTAATAGGTGGAAAATTACACTTTCATTTAGAATATCCAAACCATCTAGGTCCGAGCCGTTGAATGTTGGCAATTCAAAATTTTCCCTTGCCATTAATTTTGATAAAGTTATAAGAGATTGACCCTTAATTGTCTTGAATGCTAAAAGAGATAATGCAAGCTGTGGAGCCTTTGATTGGGGTCTCAGTCCCCCATTTCTCTCTAACCTAGGATGGGTCATCCATGGCTAGGCTCACCCACAACTCATTCTTCTGATTGACCCTTATATAATTTTTCCTTACTAGGCTGAGTATGGAGGAGGCTCATTTGTTGGTAGAGTTCTTTGATGACTTGGGTGATCGGCCATAGTTATTGTTTGATCTCAAGTTGGTCTTAAGTGACCAACCCTAATTGTTGCATGATCTGAACTAAGTCATTTCTCAATTCTTGTCAAAATTCCTCTCTCTACTACTACTCTTTGATGATGTTTTGTCAAACTTTTCCAAACTCTTTCTCTACAATTTTTCATTTGGGATCACTTAATTTAGGAGTTATTACCTTGTTTTGATACAGTTTGATGAAGCCTTGGAGTAAGGACTACGAGAAAAGAGATAAATTAGCTTGAGAAAGGATTATGTTGAAAGCTTAATTCAAAAGACCACACGAATACTTGAAAGATGGATAATAGATGGAAGGAGAGAGGGAGAGCAGATGTAAAAATAGATGTAAGGGACCTTGAGGAGGCCTCTTAATGGAGCTGATTCGAGATGAATAATCTCCACTTTTCCACTCAAAGATACATGACCCAAAATGACACATACCCCCTCCTCCTATGGTAGACGAGGACTTCTTACAGCCATTTGATCATCATGTGCTTATATTGCCCAACCACTCATGTACTATGTCGCCCTTTTCCAACCTTAATGGGCACTCGCTCTGTCACTCTTCTCCAACCTTAATGGGCACCCGCTCCGTCATCCTTCTCCAAGACTAACATGCCATTGTTAATCAATTGACCTGTGGTCTCTTACTAACCATTGGGATCTACTCCACATGTTGATTGAGATCTCTTCCCACATGGGTGAGAGGTTTACATGAGTGACTCAATAGACTCCATGATTTCCATTATCCCCCAAAATTCTTCACTCTTTTTAATATTTATCTGCCTCTTTCAAGAAGTTGCTCGCAATTATCTGAATAGGATATAATCTGATGAAAAATATATAAAAAAAGATTATATAGTGCATAGTCAATATGGGTCATTGAATATTAATATCTTATTTAGGAGAAGACCCATCAGCTGAGCCACAATGATGTAGTTCTCTCCCCTCCGTCTTCATTACAGATAGTACCCACCCCAGTCCTCTCTGAACCCATCGAGATCAAGATCAAGATCGTGTGATCATTCAGTTGCATAATTTTCCATAGGTTAAGCGCTTATCTTGTTCATATGATAATATTTTCGAACATTATTGAAAACATAATCCACGTTTTCTCTTCTGCCTGCCAGTAGGTCTCTGTCTCTTGAGGCATCATCCCATGGAGATAGAGAGAGGTGAGAGATAGATAAACACCAAGAGAGAGAGAGAGAGAGAGAGAGAGAGAGAGAGAAGAAAAAATAAATACCAGGGCGAGTGGCGTGTGGGGGAAACCGGTGTGATTGCCCGTCACGATACGAAACAGGAGAAGAAGAGTCGAAATCAGCTTTCAGCGGTCTCTTTCCGAGGAGAAATCATTGCGGGCTAATGGGCCCCGTATTGGGCCTTCTACACGAAACTCTCGTGCCAGGACCCAGTAGTGGTCCTGCGCGCTGGGCGAGTCATCGACGTGGTCGCACAGGAACCGTATACGTGTCAACCGGGCTGAGGATACCAAGCACGGGGACAGCCAACCAGGTATTTGTTCAGCGCGGACACACATATAAAGATCTGGTACCTCCCATAGATATTGACTATTTTATCCATATCAAGGTAAATTCCTGTCTTTCATAAAAGGGTACGTATGTCATTTACGATGTGACAGTCAGGTCCCTCATGCCGTCCCGCCACAGACTCGTTGATGGCTCGTAACTCGAGGCGTCCAGCCACGCATGAGGAGTGGGCCCCCCTACCCCCTATATAGCCCTCGCGCGGGGAGGGGGGATTCAGTTGAAGAGGGAAAGATCTTCTCGATCGGGAGGGAGCGCCGAGAAAAGGAGGGGGGGGGGAATCATCTCCTCGGTCAAGGTCTCTCGCCGCCCTCTCTCTCTCTCTCTTTCTCTCATCTCGTCTCGCCGTGGTTGCACTGCTGCGGGGATGAAGCGGATCACGGGAGCTCTGGTGGCGGCTTCCCTGGGAGCGGCGATCGCGTCGTCTTCTCTGGATGCGGTCCTTGATCTGGTAAGCTTCCGCGGCGAGAGTGATTTTGAAGGAGGAGGCTCTGGTTTTCTCTCCCGGCGACTGAATTCTGAAGGATTGCTTGGCGAGTCTCGCTGACGGTCGGCTGGTTTATCTTGATTTCGGCAGAGTGGATCGACAAACAAGCAAGATCGCTTTCCGTCGACCGACAGGTTCACCCCGAAATTCGACGGGCTTCGGTTCATCGAGACACTGGTTACTGCTCATCGGTGAAGTGGAGGTGTGCGTGGAGCTACTGCTAAAGCAGATGCACCCCTTCCCGAGGCTAAGATCTCGCCCGGTGTGATCATTGTCCACCGAAGTACAGATTACTTTGTCGATTTATTTATTCACAAATGATTTGTAACTGTAGAGCACGTGAATTCATAGAAACATTTTCAGATTTCTAATTGGCACAAGAAATCTGTGTTGAACTAGCGAAGAGCGAGCGGTAGACGACTAGGTAGATTCCAATGTGCTCTGTTAGACACACTCGTGACACCGCCGTCACCATCCGGCGCAGCCGGCGTGTCCGTAAAGACGGAGACCCACCGCGAGAAAACGAATCCGTATGTTATCCTTCTGCTCCACCTTCTCCGGCTAGGGGGAACCTTCCGATGATCGATTGGACGCGTCTCCGTGGCTCGCCCTTACCTTTCCGCAACTGACGTCTCTCCGGTGTCCAGATCTGGTCCATCGCAATCAGAGGTATTACTCTCCACAGTACTCGTACGTTACCTAGAGGATCGACGCGTTAACTGACTACGCGCAGCAATTATGATGATAATCATGACTAATTTCATACTAGAACGCACGATACTATTATTTAGATATGCCAGCTGCCCCATCCGATGCTCCAAAGCTCCAATCATGCATAGAGCAGAGAAACCATTGAAAGGCGACAATTAAACTAATTAAAAAAGGGGGATTAAGACATCATGTAAAAAAAATTCGCCAAGGGGAGATTGCAGGTTCAATATCCGTACAGATCTTTATATTTTTTTGAAGTAATTTCCTTTTACCGATCACGAGATGTCAAGTGTTGGTGATTCTTGCAGAAAGCAGGTTGTCAGCGCTGACGTGCGTACGAAAATGACACGTGTGCAAGGACGCCACGAGAGGGGATTACCTTCTCGCGGAAGGGATTAGAGAGCTCGGCATCTGTCATCACTAACAATGTTTCTCGAATCAGAGCTCCAAACGCCGCCACGAGGCGACCAACAGAGCAGCGATCCAAGAGAAACGCAATCGTCTGGAGACGCCGCGGGCCATCTCAGAGGTACAAGTCTCCGTCTCCTTCTCATCTGTGGGGGCTTAAGAAGACGAAAGACGGAAATGAACTGCCAGTCTGAAGCTGAAGCTAGAATGGGGTGTCGTTTCTTCTCTCCTGCTGTTAGAAAAGGTGGTTCCTCTCCCTGCGGGTGATGGACCTGCCCTTCCGCACGCGCCGGGCAGTGAGAGCGTCCAGCAAGACGTCCAGCGCGTTCTCCAGAGCCCTCGCCGGTTCGTCCAACGCATACGAGCCCAGGCCAGGGCGAAGGTGCAGCTCCGACAGCAGCCCGAGGGCGGCTGCGGCCGTGCAGGTGTGATCCCACGCCGGTTGCGGCCTTCAACCAGAAGCATTTCATTTGCCACATTAAAAAAGCGTTAAGATTTTGGGCCATCTAACACAAGAACTAATCGGTAAATGAGTGGAATAATAGCTCGTTGACCTACGGGAGGGTCGACGGCCCGTTTCTATGCGTCAGCTCTACTTATACCCTCTTAAGTGACATATGAGCTGACTTTTGTGCAACGCAGACATGAGACCGGGCACTGAGCTTTCACGATCTATCCAATCTAAGGTTTGCTGGAGTACTATTAGACCATCTAATTCCAAAACCAGTCAGCGGTGAGTGTTGTAGTGTTCCATCTGTGTGATTCAGTTGACTTTTTGGGTTTTGGATAATCAAACTCACCCCCCTGGCGTTGACTCAGGCCAAGGGGTTATCTAACAGAAGTGATAAATAAAGCATGTGTTTGACTCACCTTAGCTTATGCATGGGAGACACTCCCAGGGCGCACAGAGAGAGGCAAGGCAGGTCATCCTCCCCCCACACCCCTTTCGCTTGCTCCTGCCAGCAATGGTAAACATGCGAGAGTGATTTCCTCGGAACAAAGTAGACCAGCCGCCATTAAATCTCAGGGTCAACGGCGGCATCCACGAGGTTACTGAGATCAATTGGTAGTGATTCAGTGACGGTTTTCCCTCTCTTAATCGAAGTAAAGCGACGGCTGCCATTAAATCTCAGGATCAACAATTCAGAGACGGTTTTCTCTCTCTTAATCGAAGTAAAACATCGAGGTACCTTCAACCGCCTGTACATCGCAGCCGAGTTGCTCCACGTGCCGTCAATAAGAACAAAGTTCAGGGTCTTCTGGGGACCATCCTACACAAAGACATGACGCAGCCAATGTTAGGAAGGCATCTTAGAATGGGCCCATTAGGCCCATATTAGGTCCCACTTCGTAACCCTAGTTTGCTATCCTTCTAATTTCTAACAGAAAGTAATTGGGAAAAAATCTAGCATAAATTATAATACACTATGCGAGTAAATGATGTATATACAGACGAATTTGCTTCCCTATCTGGTCCTTATACCATTCACACGTGAAGAACAACTACAGAAATCTTTGTCAAGAGATGATGATGGAATCTACCAGAGTAACAAATTAAAGATAAATCCTTTGTGGAGATGAAGCTCAATTATATAGTACTAGCTTACGAAGAGGATATGGAAGAAAAATACCTGAGGTAATTGGTCTCTTGAGTTTTCAAAAAGCCCTTGAAGTGAGATATCCTGAACAGACGTCGGAGTGCTGGTCCTGTTGGGATATAAGACCCAAACCAAGTCCCTCCCTGAAAAACATGGAACCCTTGGTTATACTCGACTTGGCAGGCTTGAATGTGTTCTGAAGAGTGAAACCATGCCCAAAAATAAATAAAGAGAGGAAGAACAGAGTTGACAAAATCATGTGGAAGCTAATAGAGGAATGGGTGGTTCATCAGGTGAGATAAATAAGTCAAATTAAATTGCGCCTAAATACATATAGGTGGGTTGGTAGTAATTGCCAGATACATATTGGCAATCGGTTTCTAGTAAATTGGAATGCATGAGGTTACTGAGATCAATTGGTAGTAATCTTGCGTATAAATACAATTTTTCTCTATTTTTTTTCTGGATGACGAACCGTAGACTAAAACCGAACCAACTGGTGTCTTTCCCTATGAGAGATTTCAAGATGGCCTCTGAAGCCATTATGGTTTTCTTCATGGAAACGAGGAGACCACAGAACAAGAACAGCGTTAGGGTTAGAACTATATGATTCATGAAGAAGCAAGAGAAAAGAAAGGACAAAAACTATGGACCTTTCGAAAGACATAAAAGCTTACTGCAAAATCATTTTGAAATGAAGCAACGAGACACGAATAGAAATAAAACCCTGACACAAACAAAAAGAAATGATGAAATGAAAGATATCTCGTCCTCATAAATTGTTTAATGTCATCTTATTATAGTCGAAATTCGTGATGTAACCAACCTACAAGCTTAAATGCATCCCACATAGTCTCTTCATGTTCGTGTACGCCGAACAGGCATAAAGATGCAGACTGAAGGCCAAAAACTTGCCATAACAATTTTCCAGTATTATTTTGCCGAAGGAAATCCTGCAGTACAGAATGTCTACAGCATGAGTCCCTCTCAAGCTAGAAAAGCACAATAGTTAGTGGAGCAAGTATCAAATTAAAAGTTCGTGTACCTTTGGGTGCATGTACAACCAAAATCGGATCCCACTCCACAAAGCGCACGGGACTAATCTTGAACACATGCAATCTTCCATAGCGAGCCAGCACTGCAAGTACTAAACCTATTCAGGGCCTGAAATGTATGTAATCGACCACAATGTCTCCAAGTACCACGGAAAGACAAATGAACTATGTTATACACACGTATCATCTGTTAAATTCAATAGATTCATGCAAAAACACTGAGTAAACAGTCAAATCATTACAACAAGTCAACGATGCTCATATTTTAGAATAAAAAGGGCTTCAAAAAACAACCACAAGACGGTGAGGTATAGAAGGTGTCTATGCCAAAGATACCACTGAGTTCATAATGGAAAGTTTGGGTGTCTATGGAGGTGCCTGCAAATGGAAACTTCAGATCCAACCACCAAAGCGAATTTTGATTGATGGGGAAAAAAGGAGAGAAGAAAGATTTGGTATGGGAGCACCTAAATTTGATTTTATTTATCATAATAAGAAAATGTTGAATATCAACTTCCGGCATTCAAAATAGAGAGCAGATATTTTTTATTTCTCTAATTAAAAGGAAGTTACAACTAAAAATTCACTCAGCTAAATACTGAGATGTAGCGAGCCATCAAACTGAAATTTTTTAAAGAAAAATCCATTGTGCAGCAAAGCCATCTTAAAAAACCAAATAGACAGTTCAGTAGAATAACGACTAGCACAATAATGATTGTACTATAGATCACAAAACACGAACACCTTCTGGCAAAGGTATCCTCTGCTTCCAAGCAAGCGACATGCTATCTGCCGAGCCGCATAGAACTGCATCTTCATTTCAGAATCAGGTAGTGACCGGTATACTCCTCTTTGTTTTCTGTCTTCTTGAACCCTGAAGCTACCCTACAAGAAAAATTTCAAGGCAGTCATGCAGAATTACGGGGAAAAAAAACAAAGAAACCAACTTAAACGAAAACAAAATCTATTGGGAAATATAGAAAATAATAATACTGAGATTCTGATCCCAAACGTCGACAAGTTAAATAATCTCTCACCTTTTTCCTTGTAAACAAGCAATAACCATGACGTTGGAGGAAGGAAGGGTGAAAAAGCATGGACCGAGAGGTCAACAGCAAAGAGTTACTATGAGCATCGGGAGAGGGGAGTTAGCTTAGAGCAGCCAAAAGTTTTTAATCCATTTTCTTTTTGACTACTTAAGAAGACACGGATTCTAACATAGACAACAAATGAACGCTCCGTTCCATCCGCAAAGACAGAAAGAAGAGCACGCTTAGGAGAGTTAGAAATCCATCTCTACACTCAAAAACGAAAAATCCAATATACAAGAGGATTAGAAAAAAACAGAGAAAGGGGACGGAGGCAACAATTATACCTGGAGCTTGCCGCCGATGCCACCAAAGGTTATCTGGTCATCCGTCTCCTTCTCTAGAGCCTTCAGATCGTCAATCACCTTCGTCACCATGGCCGGAACGGGTGAGGAGGTTCCCCAACCCTGCCATTCCCTCAGGCTTACCCCTTCCCCACGCCATCCCTTCACTTCCAGCTCCGCCTCCGCGTCCCTCTCCTCCACGGGAAGCGCCGCGACGGTGTGCACGGAGGCCTCGCGAGCGAATCCGACGCCGCTGTCCATCCGGCCCGCTCTGCCGGCGGCGGCGAGAGAGCATCTGCAGGCGTGGGGCCGAGCCGCAGGAACGAGCATCGAGCGGGAGCCCACTTTCGACTCCCGCGGAAGGGCGGCCAATGCGACCAGAGCAGCTGAGGTCTCCATTCTCTTCCTCTTGATCACATTCTTCCATTTTTTTGGGGACATCTTATTGGGCCTCCTATCAGTGATAATTCCCCTTAAATTGCACCCATTATTGGGCTTGAGCCTGCCCATCAGAGGCCCATTCACAGAATCCATCGGAATCGCGCATATTTACTCAATTTGGCCCCCTACGGAACGTTTGACTGAGAACTAATTGATACGTTGACCTGGCTCTCGTAACTATATATTTTTTGAATTAATTTAAATTTGTGAAAAAGGTTTTAATTAGTGACGCTGTATTGATTAAACGCCATGTTTGACCTATGATCTAAGTAGGTAACGAGATGACCTAATTGGTCATGGCCAAGGAGGTTCGGAAGGTTCAACGCCGGTCTCATTAGCCGCAAGGTGGCCCGATGACGGCGGCGCCAGGATTGGGTCAACGGGCACCACCGTATGAAGGGGTCAACGCTGTCCTCACGACAAGCTCCTGCAGCCGTGAAACCCTAATAATCTGATACTAGGTGGAGATCTGTACAGCATGCAAAGATACGCCAGCCTACAGCTTACCTGCCAAGCAGGGATGGAGCTTCTTCAACCTCCGGAGCTCTCAGAAAAGCTTCCAGGATTACTAGCTACGTCGGTCACAGAGAGCCGGACGACCTGGCCACCGTTGACTTCTAGGCACTCCTCCAGGTCAGCGTCGCAGGCCAGCAAGACCCACTCACCGTCGTCGTCGAGGTACTTGAGATCGAAGGCTCCCAAGTCCAGCTTCAACCTCTTCGCGACCTGCTCCTTCAGAAGGAAAACACCAACGCCGGATTTTACTCTGAACCTTATGATATCTCCTCTGTAACTGGCTTTGACTTTCACTGTCGATGTAGAGAGGATTAGGGCATCCGGGCAGCCGCCGCCGAAGGAAAGGCAGAGGCTCTTCAGGTCCTTGGAGCTCCCCGAGTCCTCCACCAGCATGGGATTTACTCCATGCCCTGCGTTTGGAGGTGAAGGTGGAGCCTCTCTGTCGCTTTTTTTGTTGGCTGGGCTCCCTGGGCATGATCCTTGGGAGGGTGGCCTAGCTTCAGTGCCCTCTCCCGGTTGACCCTTGATAAGATCTGGAGGGGAGTTGACTTCACCGGGTTGACCCTGCTGAGAGGAGGCCTCGGCAGTGGTGTTGTTCTCGATGCCCAGTGGCTCATTCCCTCTGTGGATCCCGACGAGGTCGTCGGGATTCCCATTCCCCGGTGACTTATTCGGCTGGGGTTTGTACAATTGTTGAGACCAAACTCCTGCAGCATCTGGAAGATCGAATGCGCCTCCGGCGCCTTGAACAGACTCGATCACCGTCTTCAGCTTGGAGAGGGAACGGTTGACCTTCTTGATCTTCCGAGACGGCCAGCGGGAAATCCCATGCTGCCTGCAGATTCGTTTCATGGTCGTTGGACAAACTGCAATCAACGGAAAGAACTGTTTTCAGGGCAGAATTAATCTGTAGTTCTATAATTAGCATGCAATTACGTAACCCTTTTATGGGAAAATATGGTTTTTCTTCTCATTGATTGGTCAGTTCACACATAGGTCAGCTGCCGTCAGCTGCCCATTCATTCCTTCTTTCAGCACAAGGCCATATAAAGGCTTGCCAAAAACCGTAGCTCATTCACCCCCAATCACGAATCTTGACGTGCCAATCCAAGAATCCGAGCACTGTTAGTCAAACTATGATCCACTGTCAACCAACTCAATGTGCATTACGAATTTGACACCGATCAAATAAATTAGTCATATCTATATATACACATATGCCACTAAAAAGGGATAAAAGGCAACCTGAGACTCCAGTTTATAGGTAAGAAATGAGTGCCAATCAAGAACCAGATTACCTCCAAGGCTCTTGGCCGCATCCTTTAAGCTCCCGGCGAAATAACGTTTGAGAATCTCCAGACTGATTGTCTTCTCAGCTTTTCCTCGTCTTCTCTCATGTGCCTCGGTGAAAGTAGGATTTTGGGATTGCTCCATGGCGAGCGCCCTTCCTTTCTTGTGGTTGGATTTTTGAGCAATTTTTGTGTTGTTTTCAGAAGAAGGAGGAGCCTGTGGAGCCTTGATCTCCACCGAGGAACCCTCACAGGCCTTGGGAGTTTGATTGTGGACGGCTGCATTCTCTGAATCACCATCCACATGAAGAATCTCATCAAATATTTCTCCTCCTGTTTCCGTCTTGAAGACAACTTTCAAGCTGCGAAACAGCTGTCTGATCGCAGTCGAAATGGTTTCCAAAAGAGTCAGCTGCTCCATCCCGCTCCTGCACTCTCTTGGCAAGAAAAACTCCAGAACATAATCATCGTTTCCGGTATGACAACTCTGGAGACATAGTGCGAGACAACCGGCCAATCCAAACATCCGGGCATAGTGAACAAGGGGATATGAATTTTTGCCAAACCGGGTAATATCGCTAGAAAAACAAGGCCTGCGTAGTGAATATGCCATTCCAGCGAGCCCCTGGCCTTTCTGTAAGCGATGCTCCGCACAGGCATCTCGAAAGCCCCACATGTGAGGCTCTACAATGTAAAAGGCAGCATCTGTCGTTGACATGCATAGCTGCTCTGGGTACGGCTCGTCCTGGCCCAAGACGATTGTATTTTTGTCTCCATCATGAGTTAGACACCTCCCATGCCTACATGGAACCCAGGTTTGAGCCAGAGGCAATTTATGCATCTCACAGACAATAGTCAGGACTTCCAGTATTTCAGACATAGCAGCTTGATGGCCCTCGTTAAATATCTGATTTGGAAACAGTAGATCACTGGATATCGTATTCAAGGAAGAAAGCAAATAACTAGCTGAATGTAAAAGGTATAAGACCGTCAGATTTACCTGCACGCTCGGATGGCCTAACATTTCAGAACTTTTCAGATTTACAGCCTGCAAAGTGGTGATGGCCAGGAGGAAAGATATTAAACAGGTGTATGCGGTGATTTCCATGAATAGAGAAGGCAATCAAATTTACCAAGTCAAAGTGAAGATATAGTTCATATCGGAAAGGAAAAAATGGTAGTCAAACGTCTCTCCATATTTGATCTTACCATTTATTCCCGGAAAAAAGCAAAATTTTCCATTTTCATGAAAGAAGGCATCATACTCGAGGTTCTACCATACTCTATCTACCCAACGGAGACCTCTGTATGATAAAAATATGACAGACGCCTTTTACGAAGAAAGGAGGTAGACGATAATAAAACTTTTTAAGGATTGAGATCTAAGAGAAAATAAGTCATTGTATGCTTAGGGAGACAGCTAAGGTTATCAGACTTCACTTTATTATTTTAGATAATAATATATAAATCACAAATCTACAAAAAAAATGTTATGTTCTCCTCTACATCATTTTCGTTGAGCCGTATCTCAATCAGGATGACTACAGTCGTAAAATTCTGGACTCAAAACACAGTAAAATCAACCAAGAAACCATATCTCACATTTTCAATACAAAAAATAATACCAGGAATCTAGATGAATGCCCGTGCACAGGGATTCCTACCTCAAGTGCCTTGCAAACTTTATCAACCTCATCAGCATAGTTAATCTTTTGCGATGTCATGATGAGCTCAACAACACCGACACACCTTTGATAAGAATGTTCAAAAACCGGCAATGCCAAGGATCCCTTGACGTTATAATTGAGTGCATGAGTAAGACGCGGGTACTCTTTACTGCTATAGTATTGAACATCAGGTGTCCATTCTGGGAGTTGCCTAGAGAACACACGACCTGGGAGCCCCAGATCTCCATCACTATGCCCATCAACTGAAAACAGATACGCCAAAGATACTGTTCGGTACTGAAGAAGCGAAATAATATGCGGATCTAACACAAACGGTTGCTCTGAAGTTGTCAGAACTTGCCGACCCCCATTCTTCACAGGTGCCCAAACTTGAACCAGAACATGCTGGTCTGTTGACTCCTTGAAGCATCGAAGTGCCTGTGCCATCTTCCCCTTGATGATGCAGGAAATATCATAGGTTTGCTCTTCTGTTGCATTGGAAACAGGTCGAGCTTTGGTGCCAATGCTTAGGAGGGCATCATCCGCTGTGTCACAAACACCTGGATGTACAAGTGTCGGAGATTGTGTAAGCTTTACGCACCTGAAGTTCATGAAAGGAGCAATGAAATAAAGAATTCAATCTCTACTGAAAGTTCAAAAATGAGCTTTAAGCCATTAAAAAGTAAACTAGATTAGCTGAATTGTTTCAGTGTCTTTCACTCTGTCAATTACGAATGTAGAAAGTCAAAATCTAAACTATAGGTGCAACCCAATTTACCTAGAGCAGATACAATCGACAGAATTACAGGCTTACAGATCAGAATCTCTTTCTACGCGGCCAGATTACGAGAATTCAAAAATAAGGCGAACCGCAAAGATGCGAAGCATACGAGACGAGGAGAAAGAAAATAAACTGAACGATTTCCCAAAAAAAAGGAACTCGACATACTAGGATCCAATAGACTAGAAAGCCTGCCAAATAATACTGAGTTCGTCGAGTGCTCACCGGGGACAAAATTAGAGATCTCGGGGAGCGCATCCGACACCTCGGTTACTTTCTCGTCGAAGACAAGGGGAGGCGACTGCGGAGGCGAGGAGTGGGGGAACTGGTGTGAGCTCTGCAGAGGAGGTGCTGGCGGGGAAGAAGAAGAAAGAAGAAAATACTCCGGTGGAGAGTCAGAGAGGAAAGCACCGGCGTCGAACGGCCATGAGGCTTCCAGGTCGAGGTCCAAGTCCATGGCCTCCCCGCCGATCGACGGGGGCGGCGGCGGAGGCCCATCGTCGGGCTTCTCCTCGCCTCCTTCCGACATGGTTCACGGTTGGTGACAACTCTGTTGCAGTCCACCGGCTCTGGCCACCTTCAAGTAGTGGTGACGAAATGGCGGTGAATAAAATAAACAGTTATTGTACTCATAAGCCATTCAACTTATACAAAAGTAGCAACATATCCCTACTAATCGTTAAATTGTTTATAAAAAACCTTGTATAAATGAAAATTGTCTTCCTAGTGGATCTTCCCCACTCTCTCTCTGGCTCCGTGGCGGCGGAAGAGTCAGCCGCGGCAACTCGGGCGGTGAGTTAAGGCGGCCAATTCGGCCCGCACTCAAATCGCAGTTGACGACGGCGCGGCAGAGACAGATTAGGAGTATATAGTTAAAAACAAAACATGTTGGGATGAATATGAGAACCTCTATGCAGTAGCGCACACTCGACAGGTGGACTAGGGGGCAGGGAATCATCAGTTAGACCCCACCATACCAAGTCGGGCCACCCTCACTCCGGCCCATTTGGAAGATCTATATAGGCCCATTTGAAGCCGGACACCAATATCTCAACCTGGATCACCATTCAAGCTAAACGTTTTGGCTGCCGGGCCTGCCGGGCCTCATCTGATCTGGCCCATAAGCGAATAATAGTTCTTTTATAAGAGAGATTGATTGTTGGGGTTGGGGAGGGGGGGCTTATAAGAAATATAGAAATATTATTTTATATAATTTTTATTAATATTGTTGCCCATTCATGGTGAAATATCTTTTTAATAAGTTATATTGAATCTATCTTTTTTTTTTCTATATTTCTCTCACTAGGAGAATAGCACAAATGTGATTAGAATGCTGAGCCAGCCATCAAGCCCAATTGGTTAAGATGACTTACTAAATAATCCCATTACAAAGCAGCCAATGCCCACCCAATGGCTACTACGGCAAGGGGGATTAAAGAACATAAGAGAATAATAGTTCATATTAACTATAGTTACTTCTATTATATTATGATATCTTTGTGCAATGATAGGAACACTCTTGTTATCTTTCCTATTTTTCTTAGCTTTCCTTACCTTCTCTTCTAGTTCATCCATATTTGTGCTGCCATTTGGAGTAAGATCTTCACTAAGTCAAACACCATAGTTATGCTTTGTATCATGACTTGTAGTTATTTGGTATAATATCTTAACATCATCATAAAACCTTTTTATTATATTGCTCTATTAAACTTACAACAACATTACAAGCTTCATACTTGTCTTATATACCTTATTTTTAAGTCACAATTAAGAAGAGATGTTCAATCTTTTTGCTTGGTAACTAATTATTTTTTCAAAATATTAACATACTTTACTTTATATTTTTTTGGAATAGGTTGTCTTGATGTTATAAAATTGAAGTATTCTACAACTAGAAATTGACAACAATATGCAAAATACTTCTATTAAATGTACTCAATCTTTGTAACTATGTTGAGAAAATTCTCATTATTATCAATTTTTAATCTTATTTTCCAATGATATATTTGTTTTGTAGTTGAGTAAAGATCCCAAACAAGATGTGAACATTGAGATAATAACCTCAAATGTAAACTAAGCTTTATTATAATAAAATGATAAAAAAATCTCATAAAATATGGGGTATATATCAAATAAGAAAACATTTACATGTTGGTTGTTTATTTTAATAAGATCATAAATTAAACCTTGATGATGTTTTTAAAAAGCACCTTGTGTCACTACTTATTAGTAATTAGATATTAATGAAAACCTCAATGAAGAAGGTAAGATACATTGATATGAAATTTTTAGTCTTTTAGTATCAATCTTATTGTAATGTCGACACAATATGCATTAGCGAAAAAAAAACAATTTTGTAGCATTAATGAACTAGCAGTAGAATTTGTAAGTATGAAGATAACTTTTTATACTTTTCAAAAAGTCTTAAAATTTTTTTGGAACGGAATACATGTAGTCATAGTTCTTCCGAATTTTAAAAAGGGGTTGATTTAATGAGTTTATTCACCTTTTTTGTGAAGGGACATATAAAAGAAGAAAATTAAGCACCATGCAATAAAATAAGAAAATGAAAAAGTGTTGCATAGAATTATTGTTGTGTTTTAGTAGCCAATATTATGATTATATATAAATATTTTCCACCTATTGAAGAATAATTTTTAACACACTTTGGAAAAAAATAATTAATTTTCTAAATTGTATTTTATAGGGGCTCTTTTTAAAACTCCATTTTTTTTAATTTATTCATTGAAAAAAACTCATATCAGTCAAAGATATACTAACTTATGTATTGAGTTGACTCAAAACATTATCTATAGTTGTGATTTAAATCATCTATGTTGACTTCCTAGAGAAAAGCCTCATTTTTCAAAAAGATTTATTAATTAGGAGTAAAATAACACAGGGGTAATACCCTAAAAAGAGTGAGAAATAAAGGTTTACAAAAAATATCAATTCACACTCTCCTGTAGCTGCACCATGAAATGAAAAGTGGCTTATCCTCCAATGCTTATTTGTATATGCTTTGGTTATTTTCATAACTATTGTCCTCAACTACCATATGGTTGAAAGCTTTAATATCCAACTATTGAAACAAAAACCCAACCTTGGACTTAAACTTGGGTGCATGCCCTGATAACACCCATATTTGTGCATGTACCACGAGGTTGATTTATTTTTCAATTATATTTTTTGGAGGCTTCATTATAAAAATATGATACATGTACGCTTTACTCACATTTATTTAGTGAGATTGCTCTGACGCATTGATTATCTAACCATCCCAAATAACTTACGTCACACATTTTAAATATAAAATTATCTATTTTAAGCACATTAAGGCATTTTGGTAATATCTTACTGAAAATAGAGTTGAACTTCTGTTGGGAGGTCGGCGGAGCTGACTGTGCTGCGGCAGGGCGCGGCGACTGGTCAGGATTGGCTCGCGGGGAGGGTCGGGGCCGCCGACATGGACACGTCACATGAGACGACGAGCATGACCACGTCACCCCCGTATGTGGTCCCCCCTAATGGCGGTGGCAAACTCGTAAATACTTTTGAAACGAGATGATAGCTCGACAGAGTCGTACAGTAAAAGTCAAAGGTTCCCGCAGTCTGATAATAAACGTAGGCTGCAACCCTATCAATAACGTTACACGATCTCACTGCTACCAATTGTCATCGTGACGTCTGCTCTTCGTGCATTGCGAAACGCACTCCCTCTATCGGTGCGTTGAAGTTGACCGGACAAATAGGCCGGAGGTCAAATGGCCGATTCCTCACGGACCGGGCGGTGCGACTCGCACGTGGGATGGTACGTGTCGTCTTCCGAGATCACGTTGGGAATGGCAGGTTTTTTTACTCGAGTAGGAGAGCAGCCTTTTCAGTGGAAATTATAGTAATGCCCCCCTTTTTTACAGGTGGTGGTGATGTAAATCCCATCAGAACGCGAGCAGTTTCCACCATTTTGGCAGGGGTTTGGCCTGTGTCATCTTCCTCGCTCTATCTGAATTGGATGTTGCCCCTCGATCTCATCCGCTGCAGGGGAGGGACACAGCAGCGTTAACTATCCGTCCTTCTCCGGCCTTCACACCCTTCTTCGTTCACTGTTTCTTTATTTAAGCGTGATGCATGCTTCTTGCCCGGATCTCGCCATGGAGGTTCCTTCCTGCGGTTTTATTTTGGGTACTTTTCCTCTTTTTGTACAGGAGAGTCGATGAGAGATTTTCCGGTCACTTATATGCCTGTCTCCCTTGTATTTACGAGCGACCTGAAGTCTGTTTCTCTCTGTTGTGGGTCGTTTTGCTGATTGGATATCTTCTTGTGTGCTGTTTGCGATTATTATCGTCTAAGATCCCGTGGATCAGTGTGCGGTTCCCGACTAAAATGTCTATGATTTTTTTTCTTTCCTTTGTTGCATGCAGTCATCCCTTGGATTGTCATACTGGCAACCGATCATCGTTCTCTAGGTCTGAAAAAAAATGTTCCCGTGTTTTTTTTGTCGACTGGGCGAATGCTACCTTACCCATTTTGAGATATTATCTGAAAAAAGAGGCTAATTTGATTAAGTTTTTGTCTTCTATCGTGCGGGTTTGCCTTGGCATCTGAGAGAATTTTGACATCAACAGCTCACTAGTACGTTGGAAGGAATTGACTAAGCACCTCGGACCAAAACGGTAATTGCAATACCATGGGGAAATGCCAGAATTTCACGCGTGGTATCCTATGCACTGGGCATAGATGATTCAATACTTCCTGGAGAGGTAGAATGAGCTAGTTGTTTGAGAATATCTCAAAGTGATCTCCTTGGAAAGATACAGTATGCTATAATTCCTCTGAGCCTAAATTTGTTTTCACCTGCATCCTTTATTTTCTCTCTAGTTTCATAATAATCATAAGCTCTTCTTATCAAGTTGCGATCAGCTAGGTCTAGTAGGACTTCTCGAATCCGGATAGATTTCATGGGTGATTGTTTTATGAGAATGTAGCCCTCTGAGCGTGTGGTGAGATAGAACTGGAGTGTTCCGCATGGAACATTGCCTGTATGAAATCCAACAGTCTCAGGTTCCTGTATTGTCGTTTCTTTTGCTTGCTTCTCTTCAAATACAAAGGATGTTCACACTACAGTTTCCCGCCATTGCTGCCAAAACCGTGATGAGAATAAAGATATCATCCGTCAATGATGTATGTTGGCCGAGATCTTATGAAAAGGAACTTTATGAATAGTAGTCGAATTTTGAGAGCAAAATCAAGAGATGAAATGATTGAGATATGATCAAAGATCATATTGATTTTTTGGATCAATGGAAATAACTAGGGAAATTAAGATGGATGAATTATTGGACTTTTTATGATATTTTTTAATCGTGCTATATTATGTAGCTTAGCGTTCACTAATGAAAACAGTGTATTTAAGATAAAATAACAGTAATCAAGAAAAAAATTGCTCCAAAGGATATCTAGAAGAATTTTGGCAGATGTATGGAAATGAATAATGGCCTTTAAGGTGTGATAAATGCAGTTGAGATTTTGGGGATATCCTAGGCACTAACTTGATGAAGATCATAGTTGAGGGATGATGTAATAGGAGAAGGTGTGTAAACTTGTTGAACTAAAATAGATATGACGTGAAATTCTTTCTAGGAGAACTTGGGAGAAAATATGTACAACTAATTTCAGATAGAGCTAAAACAATAGTCACTCGAGTCAGATTTTATGATACATATGAAAATATTAAATTCACGTATCGTATGTTCAGACCCAAAATCTCTTATGAGGTGAATATTGTATTGGGGTCGAATGACCAACCAAATGAGGGCTTAGACGTACGGGTGAAACCTAGATACCTTGTTCACTCGGTGGGAGTAGAGATTATCATCAACCCGGTTCACGGTGATATTATTTCGTCCATTTACACCCGGTTTTTGCCCTCTTGATTTATCAACATTTATATTATTTCTTCAGAATTTGATTTGGTGTTTTGCATTTATTCTCTTTTAGAGTTTTTTCACATCATGTCAGATGGCCCTTGTTCCATGCCAATTTTGGATCAGGCTGGATTAGTTGAAGTCCGGGCTATCTATTAAGAACTCTAGTCTCAATTTTTTCATAATTACAGGATAAACTGGTCTAAGTGAATGGGTCGATGAAAGGTATCTTTTTTTTAAAATGTGATTTTTTTTGTGGACAAAGGGGATAATGCTCAATTACTAAGTTAAAAAAGTAGCAACCTCTTGTATTTTTTGGGCTTTACTTTTCTTCCAATAGCTCAACAAGCACAAGAACGGTACTGTTGCTCTTGTGGTTTTCAGTCTTGGTCTGATGCTAATGTTTCACCTTTGGAAACAGAGAAGGAAAAACGGGAGGAGGAGATTGTATGATCATCGAGAATTCAGGAAGTTATCATAGAAAAACTAATACTATTTGGAGATTCCAGAGAAATATCTGAGTTATAGGACATCTTAAAATGTTTTTAGCTCGTTTTTTTTTTTTGGTTTTAATGAATATATATTATTTGTGATCAATAGTCAGTTCCAATGAATAAGATGAAGTAACAAAGGAACATTCTTTTGCTATGATAGCACCTTGGTTGTGTTTTTCTTTTCCGCCATATTTTTCTGTTTTCCTTTCTCCTCTTCATTCCTTCTTCTTTAATAGTGATGTGTGATTCGCCCCCCCTCGAAAAAGTTTTCTAAAATAATGATGGTGAAGGAAGTCCTTGATTCTTTTGGTTGCCATATTGACTGTTCTTCAAACACATTACACACCGAAACCAACCAATATGCTCATGCTGGGTGTGCAGATGATTTTAATGAAGATATTTAGAATAAGAGAGTGATGGCGGCTGCAGAAGCACGAGCCGCCTGGCAGCGTATGGCCAATCGCTGCATTGTCCAAGAGGATGCTAAAAGGGCGCCGAAGTTAGCCTGCTGCCCATCATCCTCATCAAAACTACAGCCTGATCAAACCAGTGGAACTGACGCAAATAGGGCCGATCAGCCTGCCTCAAGTTTTGCTTCCCCCTGCTGGAACCCCATGGATGCCAGTCTACCTCCCGACTCAAAATGGTGGCTTCAGATGCAACCCAACTTTGGGTGTCGGACTGAACAGCTCAGTGTTTCAAATGAGATCGATGCCAGGGAAGAGGAAGCCATCGACAAAACTTCAGAAGCTTTCGGCGGTCAGACATGCGTTTCAACCGCTTCTGTCCATACTCAGAAGAAATGTAGCTCTCATGAGGTGTCCAGGCTGATTTCGGCAAGCTATATGAAGCATGAGACTGGATCAATAGTTGAAGGGACTGGGCCAGTGGAGGGTGATTTGCTACCGCAAAGCAAAAAGGAGTCGGGTTTAGGGTTATACTCGTGTCAGAATGAGGACTTGATGAACTGGAAGGCTGTTGACCAGTTAATTTCCAAGAATTCGGAGAAGCCTTGCTTCGACATGGAATCACCCTTGGCCAAGAAGGAAAAGATCGAGCCATGGTGGCGCATTGCTGATAAAGATGAATTGGCTTCTTTTGTTGCCAAAAAATCTGTGGAGCTCTTCGAGAATTGCGATCTTCCCCGGCCTCAGAGAGTTCACTTCTGCAGTGACCAATTTGATTGTGTTGATTGTCACATGCTCTTGGCTTCATCTCTCGACAGATTTCACTTTGGCTCATATTCTGCATTGGATTATGCGAGTAACAGTCTGACCTCTGGTCATTCTAATGGGAAACACCACCTTTCCTCTGTGGGGCGTTTGGCCCCTGGCTCTGATCTGACATCCAGGTACAATGCATCTCTGATATCCCCGATTCTATCCAATGTTTCTCATGAATATCTAATGATTGCTTCGGTCAACTTGATCATACTACACCTGCATAGCCTGAACATTAGGTTTTGTGGTTGAATTCAGTGATTTCCACTGGGTTTTGAGTTAGAGGGCTCACCGTTTCCTTTTTCAGGGGAACAGTCATGGATTTGCCGAAGACCGAGCCTCACTTGGAGTCAGACCCAATCAGGGTTGAATTGCTGGAGGCCCTCTGCCGCTCCCAGACGCGGGCCCGGGAGGCTGAAATCGCCGCCCAACGGGCCCACATCGAGAAGGAGCACATCATCGATCTCTTCTTCAAGCAGGCATCATCCCTGTTTGCCTACCGACAGTGGGTCCAGATGCTGCAGCTGGAGAGCCTCTTCCTTCGGCTGAAAATGAAGGACCCCTGGGCGTCACCCTCCCTACTTCCGGCCACCCCATGGGCGGCGCCGCCAGATGGCAGCGGCGGCGGCGGTGGGCACAGGGCAAAGAAGAGAAGAGGCCTGAGGCAATGGACCTGCAACCTGTGCAGGTGCGCAGTTGCACTGGCTGTCAGCTTGGGGCTCGCCAGCACTGGTCTGCTCTTCGGGTGGACACTCGGCTGGCTCTTGCCCATCTTCTAGAATTAGTCAACTCTAGGGAAGCAGAGGGCCTCTGCTGGCCATGGAATGCCATTTGTGGAAAGCTTGGAATCCAACTATGTATTTATAATTCCTTCCTTTTTTGTACATATGAAAGCCTGAAATTCCCTCCCCCTTTCCTTGTGTAGTTAGTAATGAGGTCTCGAGCTGTAATTAAATGGTGTATTTATATGTATTATGATTTGCGATGGGCATTTAGAATTCCATGTTGTGTGGATAAACGGCCGTGATTCTATCAGAAATCATATCAGTTTATTTTTATTATGAGATGTGTTCCTTGTGCTTGCGATGGAACAGCTTATCACAGTTCGGTATAAGGATAGCTTTCTTCGGGCCTGGGCTTCCAAATGAAGCCCGAGAGGAGAAATGGGCCTGACCCGGGTTTCCGTTCGAGAGAGAGGGTTTGGCCAAGCGAAGTCCGAGCCCTGCCCCTTTCTCCTAATTGTCTTTCAAAGGGAAAAGGATGGGCCTAAGATAGGTGAAGGGCCCAATTGCATCGTAGTTGCATGAGAGAGAGACAGAGAGAGAGACAGAGAGAGGGATGTCCAAGCCTTGCCCCTTTCTCCTACTTGTCTTTCAAAGGAAAAAAGATGGGCCCAAGATAGGTGAAGGGCCCAATTGCATCATAGTTTCATAAGAGGGAGGGAGAGGGGGAGAGAGAGAGGTTCAAGCCTTGCCCCTCCTAGTTGTCTTTCCAAGGAAAAAAGATGGGCTCAAGACAGCTGCAGGGCCCAATTGCATCATAGTTTCATGAGGGAGAGAGAAGAGCGAGAGAGAGAGAGAGAGAGAGAGTGCAACCAAGCAATGTCCAAGCCCAGGCCCTTTCTCCTACTTGTTTTCAAAGGAAAAAAGAAAACATGGGCCCAAAACAGCTGCAGAGCCCAATTGCGTATATGTTCATGGGCATGTGGGTCTTCATTTAAGGGGAGATTAGAGGCCCAACTTGCGTCATGGTCTTCCTCCGGATCTGTAAAGGTACCGTTGGCGTCTCTCACCGTCAAACTTCGGTTTCTAGATTACCTGCTCGAATCGGGCGGAGCAGGGGAGTCTCGGTAGCCGAAGGAGAGATGGGAATGATGGGGAAATTGCGGATGTTCGTGGTCCAGGAGCCCGTCGTCGCGGCGTCCTGCTTGATCGCTGGATTCGGTAATGCTTTTGTTTTTCTTGGCTCTGCAATCGCCCTTGGTCCTCTTTGAAAGCCCTAATCTCTCTACCGTTGAACGTGAAAGGTTTCTTTCACCTAGCAGCAATAGGATAGATAATTCGGCCGCTCGGGAAATAATGTAATTCGCCTCATTAATCAATGTCCGGCAACCGGGGTATATCAACAACTCCTTCTAGTCTGGTAACAATGTAGAGAAAGACACAGGGTTTTATGGTTGATCTATGCTTTCTTTTTTGCTTCCCAGTCCACTGTATTTCAGTAAAGCACAGCAGTCAACGCGTTTTCATTGATACGTACCCAACTTGGGTTTGTAGGTACAACTTGAAGTTTACATTTAAGATATTATCAAATTTTATGAAGTCCCTCCATTACGTGTTTATTTGGTTTCTCAATAATAGAGTTCAAATCGCCAATTCTCTGGTACATGATATTTATTGATACCTTGAATCGATGTAGAGTTTGATGGTGTTTCTGCTTTTGAAATCTTCAGGCCTTTTCCTTCCCGCTGTTGTCAGGCCAATCTTGGATAGCTTTGAGGCAGCAAAGCAAGTTCCACAGACGGCTGTACGTGCTAATATATTTCTCTTTTTATCGCACTAAATTAATGGTGTTGTATTATCAATTATTATCTTCTGCATCTGCCTTCCATCTGAATCTCATCCGTTTTGTGCTATGTATGGAAAATTTGGAATATTCTCTTATGCTGCAGATTTCAATTGGGCTTGTTTTTCTTGTTGATGGGTAATTAGAGGTTACCAAGTTTTGTCACTTTACGTCTAGTTGCAACTTGCATAAGGTTTCTTCATGTAATGAGTTGATATTCCTGAATATTAGTATGGAATTTTTATTTAATTAACTGACCGTGTATATCTGGCTGAGAATTTATCTTAGTCAGAAGATAAGTGGAACTCTTGTCTATGTTTCTATGCTGAGGAACCATCGAGTATTCTGACTGTTGCTAGATACTGTCTGCCTTCATTTAACGTACAGGAAATCCTGAAAAAAATATGGAGCTTTTCTGTGGTGCATTGAAGTGTGTTTATTCTTCTGATTCCATATTATGCAAAACATTTACTATCATGTTCTTCTAAATGTTTAGTGCTAGGTCACCGTTGAAAATTCTATTAAGTTGAGGCGTTCCTTCTCTATTGAGGAAAAAAATGGGGAACTAAAAATTTGGCCGTTGTATGTGTCTTTCCGTGAATAAATAAAATCATTTCTAGTGCATCTGTACATAAATGTTTGCAAAAGCTAATATTCAGATACAACGACTATTTTTCCAACTCCGTGCACTTTATGTATAACTATCATAACTATTGGGTTCCAATTGCTGCGATGTAAAATGAGAAAATGTTTAACCATATTATAAAACCACTTATGGTTTTTTTTAAAACGTAACCTTTATATTATGCACTCCAACGTGATATTTAATTACGTTATCAATATATGCTCATGCTTTATTAAGTTATGCCGAACCTATCTGTAAGGGGTTGCACCTCCGCAAATTGTGCTTGATAAGTGACTCCAAGCACAGTTTCTTATTCCCTGTGGGTGAGGAGGATGGAATAAGTCATCCAACTTCCACGAGTAGAACCCCTGTTCTTTGAAGCCAGGGAAATTTTGATGTTCCCGATAGATTTTCGGGTATATTGATTGGAATTTTTGAACAGCAAGGAATGCCTGCAGCAGATCCCATTAGTAGATACAAAATTGCCCCCCGGCAGAACTACGAAAGACGAATTGCAATGCACTAGTTTTTAAGGTGACTTCTATTCCAAGTCGACCAATGAGATGACGACAACTCTTTGCGAAATTCGTTGATAAAGACTTCAAAGTGGGATTTACATGGTGATTCTCAAGCCCCTCCATTTTAGTTGAATGTAGGTGCAGCGTTATATACCATACCATCCAGAAGGTAGAGGCCTAACAGGCTATGTGTTGAGGGTAGATATTTTATCTATGAAATATACTATAAAATAAAGTAGGAATACAAACCATTTCGAATTTTTTTGAGACATCTTATAACTAGCCAAAATCCCTGCCTTCTTGGAAATTTCTGTTCTGGAAGTGGTGTGATATGGAAGGCAAAGAACTGGCCTGTTAAGCTCAGTGGCCTGCCATCAGTAAACGACGGTCAATCAGCTTTCAGGCCACACCACTGGATGAAATTGAGGACTCAGAATCTCAGAAGCTCAGAAGCTTCTGAATCATGATGAAATAGGACCTACGAGCCTTCAATGGACAAATCAATCCCACATAACATACGGTTTTTGTGTTTCTCTGCCAGCAACTGATCAATAAAACGACTGTGCTCCAGCATACTACACCCACAGAGAGACACTTTACAGGGGGCTTCATCCCTTCAAAAATGAGTTGTGTCCTCGCAGGTTGTAGGGAGATGCTGTGTCCTTGAAACCAGATATGAGTATAGTTGGTGGGGAGGCACCATTAATTGATTATTCATTGTGGGACAAACTGAACACCATTCATTGAGAAGGTGTCACCAAGGAAGATGGAAAGAGATTGATGTGGAATTTCATTGGAGCATGTTTTCGTTCAAATATTTATGTATTTATTGATTATTTCAGCTTTTATCGTTTCCGTTTTTCTGTATTTAGACTCTGAAAGGATTTGATGCCAATTCGGCTCTCTAGATAAATTTGAGCAACAATTTGCATATAATTACACGAGCCCTTTTTAGATTTGATGAACAATTTAGTGGGAGAAATCTATGAATATGTGTTGACTTTATTTTCCACAAAAACCTGCAGGCGATCGTTAGCACAGCGGGCAAGGACCAGTAATGATTTGAACCAGAACGAGTTTCCTCGTCGATATTTCAGATCCTCCATGAACAAGTGTCGATCTGAGCATTTTGATTTCATGTGTACAAATCCATAAGAGAACTCGAAAGCTGAGCTGTGGTTCTTGGGAAAATGAGCTTCTCTCAAATAAGAGTATCTGAACCACATGAATGTGTATGTGGACCATCTAGGGAGCTCTTCTACCTTGGTTAGATTATTTCCAAGATTATGCTTTATTTTCATATAAAAATAAATGATTCCGAGCTGGGCAGATTATGTTTCCTTTGTTGGCGATGCTTAAATAATAATAATAATAATAATAATAATAATAATGGTAAATTGGACAACTGTGGCGTGGAGATGTGGGTCTGGTTCGCTGGTTGCTTTCGCAAGGATACTTTTATCTTCTCTCGTGTAGGATGGCGTCGTAGGCCAGAGTTTCCTCCAGGTTGCCAATGATCCGAGCTATCAGCCCTTCCAGGCCCACCTGCACTTCCCTGAAGAGGATCCTCACGACGGCGGCGAACCTCGCGAGGTTGAACTCAGCGGCGGCGCTTTTCGGCCCGCCGCCGGCGATGAGGCCGGAGGTCAACCACGACTGTATACCCACCAGCTTCTGCCCTGACGCCACAACGTGCCGCTGGAGATGGAACGCCTCCTCTAGGAAGCCCTCGAGGGCTTCCCTCCGCTCCTTGCCCCTCCCAACTCGATACTGAAAGGAGTCAACTCCTCTTTTAGACCATTTAGGGTAATAAGACCAGATGAAGCTTTTCCTAGGCGAGGACGGAGAAGAAGACGGGGATTTACCATCCTCTTGCAGAGATCGTCCGCCTTCTCTTCCAAAGTCTGGTATCTCTTCACCTGCTTGCCGAGCAGGGTCATCGCCGGGAGGAAGCCCCTCGGCGGATGCTCCTCCTTCCCGTCGCCGTCGTCGTCGCCGCCGCCAGGGGGCTGGCTCAGAGCCTGCGCCGCCGCGAGCCTCTCCAGCGCGAGGAGCTGCTGCTTCAGCCGCTTGATCTTGTAGGAGACTCCCAGCGCATGGAGATCCATCTTAGACCCGGCACTGGTCTCCGGGGGGCCCTGCTCAGCCATGGTTTCTCCTCGGCTCTTCTCCGGCGTCGGCGGGCCCTCTCGTCTTCTCCAGCGGAGAAGCGGAGATCTGGCGGAGTCACAATCTGGGTCGCTTCTCCGGTTGTTCTGCATGGGGAAGGAGAGTTGGTTCTTCAGGGCCCTTATCTCCCTCTCCCTGTCCAGGAGCAGGGCTTCGTGCTTGACGCACTCTTCCCTGAAATAGGAAAGACCGCCGTCGAGGCCCTCGACGTGGGACTGCAGCCTCTTCGACTCGAGCTCCATGCCGATCAGTCGCCGCCGGTAGGTCTCAAGTTTCTCGTCTTTCAGGCGCATCTGATCGGCGAAGGCTTCCAGCTCCGCGCGGTGCCGGCGCCGGAGGACGGCGGCGTACTTCTCCGCCTCCGACCGAGCCCACTCTTGCAGGTTCCTGGCGTCTGTGACGTTTTTTTATTCGTCAGCATCAAATCTAATGTTCGGCAGCTTTGGCTGACCAAATTTTAAGAGTAATGATTGTAAAAATACGCCAACTTTGAAAAAAAATAAATGCAACCTAGTTCTTCATCGCCGTCCTCTCCGGAGCACCGATCGAGGTGATCGGCATTGGCGGCTGCGGTGTTGATGAAGCCGCTCTCCCTCGAGCTCTCAGCTTCCAAATAATCGACGAGAAGGGTTCTGTTGTGGAAGCCGGTTCTTCCGCGGGAAAGCTCCACATTCATGGAGGAAAATCCCCTGGAGGCCCTCCTCCTCCTCCTCAACCTCTCCACCTCCATCTCCGCCTGCTTCTCCCTTACTTCCTTCATCAGCGCCAGCCTCTCTGCAGCGTCCGCCTTTGACTTGTGAAGCATCGCCGACAGGATCTTCTCCTTCTGCTCGCCGTCTCTCTTCATCTCCGCCATCTCCGTGGTCAGCGCCTCCGCCGCAGACTCGGCGGCGTCCTTCTGACGGCGCGCCTCTGCAAGCTCCGCCACCGCCACCTCGACCCGCCGCAGGGCGTGGCCCATCTCGGCGGCGCTGTCGTGGGCCTCCTTCTCCGCCGCCCGGAGCTTCTCCTCCAACTCCCCCGTCCTCTTGGTTTCCTCCTCCAGCGCCGCCTCCTTCTCCAAGATCTTACCGGCGAAGTTGGCGGCGGCCTCTTGCTTCTGCACATCGAGGACTCGAAATTGAGCCATCAGGGCCTGGATCTGGAGCCTGAGCTTTCTCTTCTCGGCGATCCAGTCCTGCTCGCGGGAGGCGAAGATGCCCACCACCTTCTCGTTGGCTTTCGCGTCTTCTGCCCTGAGCCTCTTCAGGTGGGAGACCTCCTCCTCGGTCCTCCTGAGCGCCGCCATCTCCTCCCCCGCCCTCTGAGCTCTCCAGAGGAGAAGGCCCAGGAGACTGGCGCTGCCCTGAAGAAGCATCTCCCCCAAGCGGCGCCGCCTTGCGCCTCCAATGTCCGGGGATCTCGCGGCGGAGAGGAGGTGGAGGGCGAGGAAGGCACAGGAGGCCCCGAAGTACATGGGGTAGAGACTGCCGCCGTCTCTGTCATTCTCCTCCACGGCCCAGGCCGAGGCCGCGTCGTCTTCTTCTTCCTCTTCTTCTCCCGTCATTGCTGCGAAGTACTTCGAGCTAGCGTTTACAGATGAAAGCTCGAATCGCCGCCCTGGTTCTTACCGTTGACGGCCCATCATCTGGAATTCACGGAAAACTCTAAGCTTGCGCGCGCGCGCGCGCGCGAGAGAGAGAGAGGGAGGGAGAGAAGGGAGAACACTTGGATCGTGGAGTAGTTGAATGCCTGTTATGTCTGGGCTTTGGGCATGCACCGGGCAAGGGAGAGGACATCCCTCGTCTGCTACGTTCCGATGCGCATCTCGAGATGCGTGTCAGCTGAATGAGTCACATCTTCTCTTACTCAGCAACGTTAAGAAGTCGTTATCCGACAGCTCAGTTTCGGAGGACGATCCACGTGGAGAATTACTTGAAAACAGTGCAACTGTTTTTCGTTCAGGAGGAACAGCTCCACTTGCCCTTTCCACACAAAAAAAAGACTTTTTTATAATTGGTTTTAAAGTATCATTATAACGGACTTGTCAGTCAAACAATGTACCAAAAAGTCAACGCCTACTTGAAATTGAGTAAAAATGCTAGAATCATGTGTACACTTGAAGCTCAGTTTATTTACAGGAAATGTATATAGTTTCTAAACTGTCCACCGTAGTAAGTTCACGAAGGATTCATGTCTAAAGATGGTAAAGTTGACTTTTGGAGCTGACTGTCAGCTGATTAGATCAACTATATAATTGGATCTAGACAATTTTCAATCTTGGTCACAATTATGATTGAGATTGGCAATGGCCCTGCCTTCAATTTATGACAAATGTTCATCATTTTCTTTTTTTAGTTTTATTTCATTTCCAAAAACTCAGGATGTAGGAAGCTTAGGCATCCGTTGACTAAACTTGACACCAAGCTGAGACTAAGTAATACCAGTACACTCAATATAAGTACAGTATTCTGACCAAAAATGTCGTGGAATTGTGCCACCATTAAAGCAGTTGACCTCGTAGCAAAGATTTAGGGAAATAATCATGTGTAATCCACGTGTGTATATCAATGATTGCGTATATCCGTCCTGCCCATTCTCGGTCAACGGTGAGCTCTGAACTCCATTTCTTTCTTTCAAGAACAAGTGACTCTCTGTCAGACGAGAAACGACCCTCCGTCAACTCCCCCCGCTCCTTGTTTCCCCTCCCTCATTCGACGAAATCATTGATGGACGGCGGAGAGGAACATGGGCTTTCCATCATTCTTCTTCCACGCCGCCACCGCCGCCGTCGCCGTCGTCCCTCACAACTTGCTTCGCTGTAAAGCGTGTGGAGCGGCTACAGAAACCAGCGAGCCACAGCTTTCGGCGGCCCCGCTGGAGCTACTTGGGCCTGCGCTGGAAAGTCGCTGAAGCTCCGCCGCCTCCGGAGGTGGTCTCGCCGGAGAAGCCGGCGGCCGGTAGAGCGCCGCTGTGAAACGCGGAGATTTTTGGCCTTCGCCTGACAATTCACACGCTGGCGAACAGATAGAACGCTCCGAGTTGAGGTGATTCGCGACGTCAACTCGTGAGGTTCAACTCGGTTGGCGGAGCTTCCGAGTCTTCACAGCGCCGGCCCAGCCTACTCGCTCTCGTTCCAACTCGGGCGGAAGGAGTTGGGTGAGTGCGGGCCAGGCACGGCCCAGTACTCGCCTCCATCCACAAAAACAATTATGACCTTTATGAAAAAATAATAATAGCTTTTTCCGAAAAGGAGAATAAACTTTGAAGGCTCAAAAGAAAAAGGCTGAAGAAAAGAGGGCTAAAAAAGTTAGCTAACTAATAAAGTTGGACAACTCATAAGTAATTAAATTTAACAAAGACCAAAAAATCTTAAAACTTAAGCATTAATCATCATGATCATCATCCTAAACATGATCCCTACTTACTAATAATTAGTTTGAAGGTAGCCACTATGGTACTTATCCTGATGTTGACTTTATAATTTCAACCATCCTAGATAAATAGTTGACATTTGTACCTAAATCTAAGTAACTAGAGGTGCTAAGAGGCTAATGCGTTCATTTCTAGTGATTTGATGGCAGATTAATTTTATAAAAGCTTGGAAAACATAGTCTTAAAATGTTAATTAATCTCTATCATCATTTTACATGCTCTTCGTTGATGAACTGTCACCTTGACGGCAACGACCCCAATGACTTGGTTGATGGTGTGATAGGTTTCAAGGATAAAGACACAATATTTAAATCTTGAAATATGTTACCTTAAAGTTAAATAAAATTAGGATAATATTATATCAATCACCATGATTATAATTGCATAACCCATTAATAGATGACATAATCCATGTTAAAAAGTCAATTAGATCTCCATCAACTATCTTTCTAGATATTAAAGCTGGGATGACCTGTCAGCTCTAGGTCCACATATCATATTATAAGGAAGTTTTGAAATCAACAATTATGTGGTTTAGTCTTGTTCTCTTTGAAACCATAGAACCGCTATAAATTATGTGATTCTCTAGTTGGATTACCATAATTATTCATAGGGAGTCAATACTTCTGAATTGCAATGTTCCTCCTTATATCTTGAATCCATTCTTAGATTATTCCATTGTGAAAGGACTAATTCACCCTCCCCATCCTCCCTTGCTCTCAATTCCTTTGTATCCTCATCATACTCTAAGAATAGATTCTGATGTAAGACACATTATATTAAAAGACTTTTTCGACTTTTAATTTATTAAGATATGACAAAACCAGTTGACATGTTGGTGAACTATTAATAATTTTTTTATATAAAATAAACTCTTGAAACCTAAGCAATCATCATGATTATCATATAATATGATCCTTATTGACTCACTAGCATCCATCTTGATGCCAATCCTCTCAAAGACAAGTCTGGTTTGGCAAACATCTCTAATATATATTTAAACCTATTTAGAAGCATTAACAGGCTTTTTTAAAAAATATTTAAAGTGACCCCACGTCCAAAGTAGCCTATTAAGCTTACAATCAAAACTATGGTAATGATCATCATCATATATTATAAATCTACCAAATTATTCGATTGCTAAGTTATGATGTGAATAAGCATCTTGGAAGAGCATGTGATGTTCAAAGTAGCTAACAGAGTTGCTGGTAGTCAATTTTTTAAAGAATTTTAGGGCAGCCAAAGCTAAAAAAATGAAACTAGAAAATAGACTTTAAAACTAATGCAAACATCATCATTATTATCATCATCGAAAAATGATCCTCATTCATTAACTCTCACCTTAAAAGTTCACCACGCAATAACTAAGCCATTGTGTCAACAATATTTCATAAATACTGAGTGTTAAACGTTTTAATTTAAGAAATAAACTATAGTTCTTAGGAGATCATGGGCACTTCCAAAAGGTTCAAGGACATGCTAGGCCCATTCAAGCCCAAGAAATAGACCTGCTATTTATAAATAAACCAACTTTACAACAACGGAGAGAGACTTTGAAGGATCTACCCTTCACTGGAGAGTGGAGAATATAATAGACGAGCACGCAAATCTCAAAAAGGCACCAAAGTCTGCTCGAATTTTCCCCAATATCCAGTCTTGGAACAGACCCAATTGCCAGATAGAAAGAAGGCGTGCGGATGAACAAATGGAAAGAGAGACTGTTTTTCCACTGAAACAGAAGGCTGGCTAATCTGGCCCGGCTTGATAATCCCAGATTTGGTAAAGAAAAAAAGAAGTCAAATGGGCCAGGAAAATTTACTGAGAGAGACCAGACCAGGCCAGGTCGGAGCTTTTGGACCGGCTAACTGGCGTCTCTGTAAATTAGGGACAAGAAGAATAAATTTTTTTGAATAAACAGCTTACAAAAGACAAACAAGGCAGTTCCATGGTGAATTTCTTTAGAGAGAGAGAGAGAGAGAGAGAGAGAGAGAGAGAGAGAGAGAGAGAGAGAGCACAGCAAAAACCTCAAATGAAATCATAACCTCCACTCCGCAATCGGGCCCCACATCTTGTGAACAGCAGAGAAATGGCCGGGAGAAGCCCAAAAGTAGAAATCATCTTACATGGTGGGAATTCAACAGGCAACATTCTGCAGGGTTTCTAGTACTTCCTCTTCCTGACCTTAAAGCTGGATGATCGGATGACGTCATCGTCTGCCTGGAGCCTGGTCTCGAGGATGGCCATGGACTCAGGCTTGGTGAAGTAAGTGAACAGGAGGTAGATGCCGTCAAAGTAGGTGTTGGTCTCTCCAGCCTTGTTCTTCTTCCTTATGCTGTAAGCAAGAGGGATGACCCCACGGTTGAACACCTCCACATACATCCCACCACCGGCCACAAGCAACTGCAGCAGAGAAGAGGAATAAGATAACCATAAAGCATTGATACGCCAGGTACTTCTGCAAGATCAATCTCCGAGACCCAGGTGGAGAACAGCCGGAGTTCATGTGATCAACTCTGTCCTCAGATGATGGTGATGAAGATGTTTGGTTGAATGAATTAAAATCCAACACAAAATCCATTGTCGGAAGAAGTCTTTGATACATGATTTTTTTCTCCTTCCCAGAGGACCCCCAAACGGGATAATCAGCAGGAGGAGAGGCAGTTTGTCTGGCTTTCTTTTGTAATTCACACCATTTACAAGAGAGAGAGAGAGAGAAAATAGCAAAGCTATGGAAACAAAAGCACGGCAAGAAAACGGCCATGCCCTTCACATAATGACATTATGAAGATAGCATTCCCCATTTCTCTCATAGAGCCCATCTATCTTGTTGCTTCTGAGATGGTTTGTTTTATTTTCACCAGCTTTCTTCATTCTTCCCTTAGTGAAATATTAAAATAGATCACTAAATGAAGCTTCGGGATTTTGATGTGTACGAACGTATTCAAAAGTTGACTGATCAGTCAACTCCATCAAGAAAGGACCTGAGTCACTCCATCAAGAATATCTAAATTTAGAGGTGTTTAAGCCCCATCTGAACATCAGAAATTCACGGTCAAGTTCAAAGGTAATCATGTCAAAGAGGACCAAAAATTACATATTTTTTTGTTTAATATAACGGAGGCCATAGATGGGTCCAGAGATAATAAAATAGAAGAGCAGTGGCTATAATATGAATTCCGTCAACGGGCCAATGGAATGGCATAGACACCTCCAGCAAAGCGAATGATTATGAGCATTGTCTGCTAAGTCAGATGATAGAGGACGAACAGAGAAAATCATTTGATAATGCTATTTTTATCATAATTCTTCTGTCGTTCATTGTAAAACGATTATCGAGCCCTAGCTTAGATTTTCCATTCTCCGACTCAGACGGCATGAGTTGCTCTGAATCCCCAAAAGATCAGCTAAATTTACATCGAGAGGCAGGAAATAATTAAAAAAACGCAATGGAGAGGGCCTCGAAGATACTCTCCCCGTGGCCGGAAAAAAATCGGACATTAGGAACTATTTCGAAGACCTATCTTCTCCTCTTCTGGGACCGAAGGGAGACGAAGTGTCAAATTACCTCTTCGTACTTCTGAGTGAAGGTGAGGCGCTCGTCCTCCGACATATCGGGCCGAAGCACGGCCATGGTCTCATACTGGCGAAGCCCTGGAGGGCACTGCGGCTCCTCCTTGTCCTCCAATGTGGCGCTCGCGGTGGCCGCCGTTGGGCTGGAACCGACGTCGCCGCCTCCGTCCCTCCCTCCCTCGAAGAACGAGCCGGAGAAGTCCAGAGTCATGGCACGTACGGGCAACACAGCGGGAGCCGAGGTCCGGATGGAATAACGGAAGGAGCGCCATTTGAGTGGCCCCGAGGCGGACAGGAGGGACGACGACGAGGAGTGGGCGGCGCTCGACAGGGGAAAGTGGTGGTGGGGAGTGAGGGAGGAAGGAGACGAGGTGGCGAGCGTGGAGGGGATCGATGCCATGGCTGCCCGACTGCTAAGCGGATGCCGAGCAGCGATGGGGGATGAAAAGGGACGGCGGCGTCAGCCGATGTGGATAAGGGACTGGTGTAACGCCGCAAAGAGAAAACGGACCGGGCCAGCTCCAGTTGACCCAGCTGGCTCGCCTCAACAAAGTCCCCGCGACGGCCCATGTTTAGGATCATAGACTTGCACTTTAGTAGCTAATATGGGATTATTCTCAAGTTGACTTGTGTGAGAACGTAAATGGAATCCACAAAAGTCAGCCTCGACCTTTGCTGAAAATATCACATTCAAATTCGTGACAACTCATCTCATTAAGAGTTGTCAATAAGTGCATAAAGCTCATAAATGTAATCCTTATAAGCTTGCTTAATTTCTTAATGTGGCACACTATTCTTCACAATGCATCCCCCAAGAGGAAATTCATTGACTTCCCTAAAGGCTTGCCATACAAGAGCAACATCACCTTGTAGTTGATTCTGAACATTGTAAAATAATGACATGGGTTGACATCAATTTGTAGAATCGATAATACAAGCAAGCTACTAATAAGTACATAGATTTGATGAAAGGAGGGAAAGAAGAATTAAGCAAGAAAATAATATCTGCTAATAGAAAAATAATCTTACTATTCTCCACACGAAGATACAAATATATAATATATTATTCCTCCTCTTCTGATGGATGATGTGACTCCTTATAGTTGCGAGTGACCTCCTACTCTCCAATGCCTCAATCATCTTTGGTTGGGCCATTGGGCACTGACTTAATAACTCAACCACCTTTGTTCTCCATCACCTAATTCCAATCTTGACATACTGTCCTCACTTACTTTTAGGTAGTCTTTGACTATTTTCAAGTTACACTTAGTGTATATGCCAAAAGTTCTTAGTTGATTGTTAGAGCTATTGCTTAGTACTAAATGGGACCTCTTGTCACATGGGTGCAGCCTTGAGGTTAATGCCTTGACAATACTCTCCTTGATAAATTTCACCTTGGCTTCAATGTTAAAGTTGAGAAATTGACGTCAAATGACTCAAGTTGATTACTATGTAACTTTTATTGGTGGTAGATTCTACCATTGGATCAAGACTTTTGACCTAGAAGATTTATGATCAATTTGAAGGACATTAGATATTTTTCTATCCACATGAAGTCTTTATCTAGTTGTAATGAGACTGGTGGGCTTGAGGGGTTGGAACTGATGACCCTCTTTAGTTGTGCAATGTAGAAGATGGGATAGATGCTAAACATGGGGAGAAGATCTAGTTGATACACCATCAGCTCAATGCACTAAAGCACACAAAATGAATAGAAAAATTATAGAACCAACTTATTGTGTGGTCATTAGGTGAGGGATGTCTATTGACATGGCTGAAGATACATGTAGATCAGATCTCCTTCTTCGAATTCTAAATCCTCTACTTGTAGTTTACATAAGACTTTATTTGGGCTTGAGTATTAATCAAATGCTATTTAAATTGAACCAAGGTTGTGTCATGTTTCTTTAAGAGTTTATCTAAGTCATCAGCTTTTTATATACGGTGCATATATCACAAGAGGATGTGAGGAGCATCTCAATATATGATCTGAAATGAGGTCACTCCAAGGCAGCCACATACTTTATTAGTGAGGGTGGTCCCCAATGAAACAATGAAGGTAAGTATCCAACCCTTTGTTGACCATTTCAAACTATCCATCATTCTAAGGATGATAAATATTGATCGAACATAATGTCGTCTCTTAGAGCTTGAATAATTCATGCCAAAAAGTGTTCATAAAATTAAAATCACAATGAAACATAAAGGATTATAGAAACCTATAGAGTTGAATTATATATTAGATATTACAAAGTGGATGCATTTGCTCAAATGATCCATGACAACCAATATTATATTAAGTCTATTATAATTAGATATGCCTTCAATAAAGTCCATAATTAAATTTTCCCAAATTTACTTAAGAATTAGAAGTGGCTAAAGAAGATTAGTCGGAGAAAGAGCTTTGAATTTGTTACTTTGACATATCAAACATGCAACCACATATTTTTGCACATACCTCTTCATCCCCATCTATTAGACATTTCAAGTCAATAATATGTATATTTAGAAAAAAATATAAATATTCACTAAAGTTGAAAGAGTCATGAAATTCTTTTAGTAGGTTTAGAATGAGCTACTACGACTTCAAAATCATTAACCAACCTTTATAAATTATGTGATTTTGTTTGATTGAATAGTTTGGCCATCTCTTAGAGCTTCAATAATTGAGTATCCATCTTATTCTCCAACAAACTTTAGATTAAATTGATTAATTAATATTTATATAATTCTATAGCTTGTCATTAAATTAGTATGGTGCTCATAATAAGACATTAATCATTTTATTCTTTTTCTCAATTTAAATTTATTTTCAAAATTAAAATTTATAATTGTCGTAAGTCACTTTTCATAGTTGGACATAATATGTCATTGTTATAGAATATACTTCATGCTTCTTTGATAATTATAAATGACAAATATTTTCTGTAAGAGAGAGTTTTTTTATTTCATGATGACAAGTACAATCGTCATTAGTTCCATCTTGTAGACATGGCCTAACTGAAGTAAACAATGAGTTTCAACTATTACATGAAGACACTCATGATAAATATTTATTTATCACTAATAATTAATTAATTATCTCTTTGATTTCTATATTAATTAATCATAATGATCATGAATTACTATATCTCATCATATTAGAGAAAAGGACAAAAGATATGTGTAATGACTTTAAACTCAGTTATATATATATATATATCATATATATCATGTAATCATAAGACACTAAGGTTTATCATCTTGATAATGTATCTAAATTTATCAAAAATATAAATTTAAAATTTTGAAATTTATTCTAAAGAGATTAATTTATATAGATTTGCCAAAGTGAGAAGAATTAGCTTGGAATGTTAAAACTCAAAGACCCCAAACATGAGAAAGGGTAGATTGGGTCATAAAAAATTTAAACATAGCACCCAAAAGGTTAGGCTTAATCAGGTCATACAAAAGATGGAGAAAGAATGCCCAAAAAGAGTGTGGGTTTATAAACCTTAGAGAGGGCAAATGAAAGAAGGTTTTTTCACACTCAAACAGGAGGTGACGGCTAGATGACAAACAATTAAGGCCTCAAGGTTGCAAGCACGATCTCTTCACCTTTTTCTTTCATTTTTTAACTCCTTAAACTCTCTCTTCTTTTGTAGATGACGAGTATCATTTAATATATGACATTTTATTGAGTTTTTAATAAGTTATTCTTCTCTATCTTTGACTTCTCATATCTTGATAGTGACACTAAAACAAAGGAAAAAAAAATCTATATCAACTCATGAAGTTTCTTTTAGCTTAATAATTTTTTTATAGATACTTTACTTTCGTACGAATCTATTGAATGTTTTATCTCTTCAAAAGATCATGTTTTGGTGATTTGAGACATAACTATTAAGCATATCATTGGAAATCATTTTTTAGGTAACCAAATGATATATGTATCTAATCATGTAGTCTCTTTTATATTTATATTTTTTTCTTAATACCTTAATTTTTTTAGAAATTCAGTGAATATTGTTTCTTATCCAAAGATCATGATTTAGTGATTTGGTGGCAGAATTATCATGCACATCACTAGAAATTATTTTCTGAGTTTCTTGTTTCGATCTTTCTTTAGATCGAATTTGATTTCATGAGTGCCACATAGAATTAGGCCAATATCTTTCTGAGTTTCTTATCTTATATTATTTTTTTGAGATTTTAGAAAGTATTTAAAATAGGTTTTAAACTTTTATAAAAAATATTTTTTATATTTTTAACCCTTCTTTGGAATGAATTCAATTTCAGAGTACCAGATGGAATCATGTTAATATATTTTGGAAAAACATAGAAAAATTAGTTTCTTATCTTCTATAATTTTTTCGTGATTTTAGAATAAGTTTAGTTTAAGTTTCTAAATTTTATCATAACTATTTTCTCTAATTTTTTTATGTTCTCAATTTCTGATTTTAGACCTCTAATAATATTGTTGTTCAAAGAATGATGTTTTCAATTTTCTAATTTCCTTGATGATTGACCTAAAATCACTATAATTAAAGAGTTTATTTAGACTTTTAGTTATAAATATTAAGTTTAGTGCTTAAATTAGTGATGACTTTAAGCACATCAATTCACCCCGCACTTCATAGTATTTACTTTAAATTTAAAAATGAGGAAAAACTTATAGAGAGTAAGTATTAAAATATTGTCAAAACTATCTTAAGGTTTTGAAATACTTCATTTGGTTCAGAATTATAGTGAAAAGTGTCATTTTTTAATTATTGAATAAGGTCCAAGCCTTGATTCCATATCTCGTGATGAAGTGCATGTTATAATAGTGATGTCAAAGAAATTTTAGAGCTCATAAATGTAGGTTAGGGATGACCATTGTAAAACAATTAGAATCGTTTTTAGGTCCATTGTGACTCCTTCAATAGAATTCTAGTGGCCTCTATAAGATATTTAAAACTATTTAAATAATTAAAAAAAATTGAACTATATTTAACTTGTCTTATTATATAATTAGAATTGAAAATCAACTTAGAATTATCACCTTGTTCAGGATATGATAATCAACGTAGAACTATAATAATATATACTTTTTCTAGATGAGAAAGTTTAAACTTGAGAATTGACCATTTGAATGGTAGATGATTATTGTGGATAACATTTTGTATACTTATTTTTCTAATTTTGAAAGAAAAATTTATGTATCAAAAAGGCTATAGATTGATCACTTTAGAATTAGGTTTGAAAAAACTTTAATTATACAAAAACCCTTTGTTGAGTGAGTTGCACCCTAGTCTTTAGAGGGGAATAGATTTCCTCAAGTTATTATTGAGTGAGTTAAAATCATTCATACTAAATTTCTTCCATCAAATGTGACCCATCATGATCTCAAGACCATGATGATTTTTTTATTTTTCAAAAGCTTTATTGTCAATATTACTTAATCAATTCTTATTTGAAAAGATAGTGTTCTAAATCTAACTCAACTTTTTTTCTTACTACATCTACTAAATTCTGAGGGCGATGTGAATGATGACTAGGGGTAAGATCAGTAAGTGTTTGTACATAACAATGGTTGGAATGTTGATACCAACTCCTCTATATATTCTCAATCTAATAAAAAGCCTCCCCCATCCCTCTGATAATTTCATAAATTGATGTTTTATAAATTGAAGGCACAAGCTCTTGAATAATATTTTAATTAATTAAATTATTGATGGCTCATATGTCAATCAAGATGGTAATTAATTTATTATTAACTTCTTAAAATTGTGGAGCTTAAGTAGATACAACTTAAATTAGATAATTAAGACATACCTTGAGGTTGGTCAATGTATTATCTTCACTCAAGTTGTCAATCATCTTACTTGATCTTCGTCAATTCTTGTAAATAATTTGAGTCTATTGAGTTGAAAATTTTGTATAATTCTATTCAACAATGATGGATGTGGAGAAACCTAAATTTTGCCTACTATAAGATTTAGTTTCTTATGCTTATCCAATTGATCAAGTTGGTTGGCAATTATTTGAACTATTCTTGATATATCATTATTTTTACAATGAAGTATACTTAACTATGTCACCTTTTATCTTCGTAATTCAAAGTTACAATTTATGGCTTTTTGTAGGTAAGGTGAAGTGATGTTAGTTGGTTGATCTAAGCTCATCAAAGTGTATTAATTTTAATTCCATCATTTGAGTTACTTTTATGATAACCTCTAGATCAATTTAATTAAATATATTGACCTCTACTTGCATGTTCTTTCATAATTCTTTTAAGAATATTTTTTATGATTTGTTCAAATATATTACATATTATAATTGATAAAAGTACACATTTATTTATGTACTCATCAATTATTTTCCTTTGAGTCAGCTCTAAAAACTATAGTCAAAAGGTGCTAAATTTTTTAAGGTTGAATCATTCTAATATTTGATCATTTAGTTCTTCACAATTGTAAAATGATATTCTCTTTTTTGCCCATTAGAATCACGAGAAAGTCAGACAATTGAGACTAAGACTAACCTTCAATAGTTTTTCAAAAGTTGAGAGTCAACAAGTGAAAAAAATTAAGTTAGTAGAGAATACTCATCCTTTCACATCCAAGCATTGAATGTTGGTGACTCTAGTTGTCACTTTGACCAAAGATCAACAAGAGGTCAATGGTGATCGAGTGATGACTGCATTAGAAGGAGAAGTGGGCTTTGAGGTCTTGGATGATCTTATTGACTTTCATACTTTTCTTGGTTGTTATTAGGTCATTTATAACCACATTCACCTATGACCTAATCTTTTGATGTATTTGGACTAAATTTATTCTTATCAAATTGGGTGGAGAGAATTAATTTATTAGTGAATCATTTCAATCACCTCATAACTTAGGTAAACCTTAATATCGCCAGTAACTCTATTTGATGTCAACTTTATTCGATGTCTCTTGTTTAGGGAAATATAATCACCTTAATCATTTGCATCATTTGTCATCATCTGCTAGAGCTATTAGTGTCATGTTACTTTTCAGCGACGTCTTCTACCTTTGCCAAATATTTTATCAATGAGGGTTTCTACCTCTACTATATATCTTTCTAACAATAGTTTATATCTTTGTCACGCTACATTTCAACAAGGTTCTCTAACTCTATTTAGTATCTTTCTAGTAAGTGTTTTCATCTCTATTGTGTTGCTTTTCAACAAAGTCTTTTGCCTCTACTAAGAATCTTTATAGTGAGGAGTTATACCTTTATTGTGATGTTTTATTATAAGATCTTCTACTTTCGTTGAGTATATTTTTGATGTCATTCCAATGTACTCATTTATCAAGTGTCGTCTTAGTCAAATATCATCTTCTATTATTTTCAGTCAAACTTCTTCTATTTTACATTAGTGTAGCATCCTCCTTAGTTCAACTACCAAAGTCTCTCATAGTGCATGCCATATAGTATTGTCCATTCTTCATCCGACATCATCTTTCCAATGTCCGTCATTGTTCTCTATCTGGTGTCATCTCAAGTGTGCCAAGGTTATCTCGCTTTATTTGACATCATCTTAGAAAGTATTGTTGTCTTACAAAGTAACCTTGCAACATCACAATCCAACAAAAGATGTGCTTCTTGACCTTGTCATAAGGGTAGATTGTTGTCACAAATGATCCTCATCATCACAAATTCACTTTCCAATAAGTTAATCCTCATCAACCACTTAGTCGACATGAAGGTAAGAAAATAAGGTAAAAGATTGAAACTATTTTGTTTCAATTGTTACAAGTGAATGAGGCTGTCCTCCATTTCCTTATTCTCCCTTCTGTCCTCTGTAACATAGGTTATTCTCAATGTTCCTATGATTTTCTACACTCTATTCACATATGAACATTTAAATAGAAGAGAGAATAAGCGAAATGATAACTTGAAAGACCTTGAAGGGAACTCTCCACTCTCCACACAATGATACATACTTTAAGAATACTCTTACTCTTATGATAGATAGTGTCTTCTTATAATTATGAGCGGCCTCCTACTCTCTTCTGCCCCGACCATCTCTAATTAGGTTGTTGGGCCATAGCTTAACAACGTAACTATCTATGTGCCCCATCACTTGATTTCAATCTTGGCGGGCCATCATTACCTATTTCTAGACCGTATTTCATAATTTTTGGGCTGCAGTTAATGCCCTATTAATCATTTTAAAGGTATTTTTAATCTTAAATTCTCTCTCTCTCTCTCTCTCTCTCTCTCTCTCTATATATATATATATATATATATATAGATTAATATGCGATTCCAGACGGTTACTCTCCACTCTCCACACGTGAGACATACATAAAAAATACTCTTCCTCTTCTTATGGATAGAGTGACTTCTTAAAATGGTTAGTGGCCTCCTCTCTTGTGTCTCAACCGTCTCTAACTGGATAACCGGGCACCAGTTTAACGGCCCAAACACCTCTGTGCCCCGTTACTTAATTGCAATTTTGGTGGGCCGTCCTTGCCTGTTTCTGGAACGTAAATTGACTGTTTCCGAGCTGCGGTCAGTGGCCAAGCCCAAAGTTCCCAGTCGATCTACCGTCAGAGTCGTCGCCCCGTACTAGGTTGGACCTCTTCCCATGTCCGAATTTTGGAGGGCTTGAGGCTAATGCCTCAACAGCCACTCACCAGCCTTATAGTAGAGAAATTTTACTCACTCAAATATAGTAAAGAATATTTTCGATAAAAATAGATATCATCTGCCCTGGTAGCCATTTAAGGTCCATTTAATCTTAAATTCTCTGTCTGTCTGTCTGTCTGTCTGTCTCTCTCTCTCTATATATATATATATATATATAAACATATATATATATTGGGGCCAGAAAATATTAATTAATATCGAGTGTTTTCGAGGCACAGAATCCTTCCTTATTAGGCTGATTTACAGAAAACAACATGGAACCCACCGCGAGGTGCCGACCATGAGACTGGACTCTTCCCCATCACAGGTAGTTGCTCCGCCGCCTCGCGGCGTACGGCGGCGTCCGGTCGTCCCCGCCGCCGCTGGACTCGGGGCTGTAGCCCGCTGGCAGCCACCGCCGGGGACCGGGGCTCCTGGAAGGCATCCGGTGGGCCGCAGTGAGGCTCCCGCCGGAGCTGGACGAGTCGACCCCCCCGGGCGGCGGCGCCGCCGTCCTCGTCGAAGAGTTCCACTGCATCCTCTGCAGCTGCTGCTGCTTCGCCGGCGAGCTTCCTCGGAACTTGGCTTTGGCTGACTGGGTCGCCGCCATGTAGCTGGGGAAGCCCCCACCGGCTTCCGCCCTTCCTCCGGCAAGCCGGTCGCCGTACCGGGACGAGTGGCCGGCGCTCCGACCGGTGTCCATCTCCACCGTCCTCTCCGACAGGATCTCGTCGTTGATCAAGCAGGGGCTCCGAGTTTGCAGCCTCTGCGCGGCCATCCACCGCTCCAGCCAGTTCCATCCCCACTGCGGGCTCTTCTCACCGGCCTGCCACACTTGCTGCTGCTGCTGCTCCGTCGCCGCAGAGAAGAACGGCCTCAGCTCGATGGAACCAATATTCACAAGGCGAACAACATTGGGATTAGGATTTCAGGGTACCTGGCAGGCGAAGGCGTAGGCGAGGGCCCTCTCGCGCTTGATGACGGCGTCGTGCTTCTTCAGTGGATTGCTGCTCTTCCACTGCGCGCTCCCATTCCCTTCTTCTTCTTCCTCGTGGTCTCTTCCGCTGCCGTGGGGGGGACGGCGGCGGCGGCGGAGGAGCGGATCCTGCCCGGCCTGCTGGAGGCGCTTCTCCCTCATCCTGGCCTGAACCCGGACGAGGGCCTGCATGCAGCGCAGGGTCATGTGGGCCTGCTTCCGCACGTTGTGGCCCCTCACCAGGGCCTGCAGCCTCACCAGCCCCTTCAGCGCCCGCAGCGCCCTCCGCGCCTGCGCCACAGAGAAGGACCACCACCGCCATCAATGCCTGCCCGCCGTCCGATTCACCGCGTGTACCGCCCGACGCCGGCGTACCATCGCTCCGGCGGAGCAATGGACGCAGAGGGGATCGGAATTATCACGCTTTTAATTACCTAATCCCGGACATTCTTGGGGAAACGGGAAAAATAAACAATGGCGGCAGTAGGGATTCGTAAGCGGAGATCGATGAGCGGGGGGAATGTTCTGATGTTCCCCCGCGTCAATGGCATCCTTTTCGTGGTCCGACGGCGAGGTTGAGCGGCTGGCTATGGCTCTGCGCTGAGAAAAGAGAAAAGGAAAATGGAAGGGAGATGGATACGGACGCACCAGGTAGCCTCGGAAAACGGACTGGATGAGGACGGCGGCGGCCTTCTCTTTGGACTGCCGCCCGTACCCGGCGAGCCTGACGACCTTGGCGGCGGCATGCGCGGCCGCGGCCGCGGCCTGCGCCGCCGCCTTGGTGGCGGCGGCCACGGCCATCTCGTGGGTCCTGCTGCCACCGCCGCCGTCGTCGTCGTCGTCGTCATCGTTGTCGTCGTCGCCGCCGTGGCCGTGGGTGACTTCGGGGGACGACTCGGCCGGGAAGTGCTCGAGGGTCACAATCTCCGGCATCTCCTGTGGCCCCCCTGCTTCATCCACCTGCACAGGGGAGCGAACTTACTGATCCGACGGGAAAGGAGATCATCACCGCGGCGGGAGGAGGAAGACGCTCACCTTCTTCTGCGCGTCCCTGAGCGAGGCGGCGGCCGGCGAGGACGAGGACGAGGACGACGGCTTGAAGACCTTCTTCACGGAGGTGAACCAGCCCTGTTTCTTCCCCATCTCAGGCACCGGCTTCAGAGACAGCGCCGCCGCCGGAGAGACGATGAGAGGACGGACGACGGCAGCAGGGTGCCAGAGGCAAAACCCAGATCAGTCCACCGTGGGGGGCATCTCCCTGCACGGCCCCTGCTGCACCTGCATCGCGAGGGCCCGCCGGGAAAGGAAGCGAAGCGGCGGACGAAAGGGAGGCGGTAAAAGGGAGGAGGAAGGGGGGAGCATTAAGTTAAACACCACGCGGGCGCCGCCACGCATTTATCGATCTTCACGGGGGGTCTTCCCTCCGCCTGAGAAGTAAATGGGGGAGGGGAGGAGTAGGTGGAGGAGAGGCCCGTGCCGCCGCCCCAACGTTCCATGGCCGCCGGCGGAGATTCTCTCCGAGAACCGCCGGCCGGCCGGCGAGGAAGCCTCCTGGTTACGGATGGCGCTGGCGCATTATCGTCAAGCTCTAGCGAAGATGAAGATCATCGCTTCCCTCACGCCTCTCTCAGTAAGATTCTCTCTTTAATGCTTAGCGACGAGCATCAGCGCTGTAGTGTTGAAATTATGCTGCACCCAACCATATAATGTCGTTGTATACTTCAAGATACCAACCCATGTTGCACAAGGCGCTGTGCACTCTTATTTTTAAAATATTTTTATTTTCTTAAAATCTCGTTGAAGTGGGTGCATCGCAGAATACCATTTAATGTCGGAAAATAAAGAAATATCTTAAAAACTAGTTTTGAATAAGTTCGTACCCTTTCTCACTCACAATTAATTCTTTTTAACCTGGTGAATTAATCTTGGTGATTATATAGCATAAAAAATTTAATCGTTTATTTAAATAGTGTGTATGAGTTTTATCAATTAAAAACTTATAGTCAATAGAAAATATCACATTTAAGGAAAAAATGAGTTTTGGGCAGATTAATGAAGGTTTTGTGAGGAAAAATTGACCAAAACATGAATTCAACACGACGAGGGTTCATATCTCAAAGTTATTGGACAAAATATACAAAAAAAAAGAAGTCATTATGTAAGCATAAAGGGTAGCTTGAATAGAAGAGCTGACCTCATGTGAATAAGCATAAAAATTACCTTGAAAAAATTAACCGGTCAATCACTATCTTGGGACTGACATCCATAACCAAGGGGTCAACACCCATGATACGGAGTGAACACGACCTCCGTGGAAGTCAACATATGGCAAAGTCCAATGGACGTATCACTTGTAATGATAAAAAATAGAAGGAAATAAAATCCAAATAGTGAAGGAAATATCTAATCTAATAATAGATGGTTTCCCCCCTACGCTTGTAAAAACATTAAAAAACCCGTTTTTATGACGATTACTGAGTACTTTCATGGTTTAAGTGTAAGGAGGATCTGCAAATTGACTCCATGGTGAGATTTTTATTTTGATAGAATGTAAAAAAAATTAGGATGCACGTGGACCCTCTCTTTTCTCCATATCAAATAAATTTTCTCTGAGGAAAAGTTACTAAGACTATATTCCACGGTGGCATTATTTCTCTCAATGATCCTATCTAAGTGTTCCAAATAATGACCATTGATTGGGCAATAACGAGTATGAGAATTGGGAGTCATTTTCTCATCAAAATGGAAAGAAAATTGTGTGACGTGCTTGGAACACCATCAACGTGGATGGGCATGTCATGGGGATAATTTTCCGTGCAATTTAAAAGGTGGCAGAACCAGGGAAAAATAGATAGATAGACGATAGATATAGAGTTATAGATCGAGATAGATAGATAAACGATAGGTATAGATTTATAGATCGAGATAGATAGATAGACGATAGATATAGATGGATAAATCGAGATAGATAGATAGACGATAGATAGATCGAGATAGATAGAGAGAGAGAGAGAGAGAGAGAGAGAGAGAGAGAGGCATGTGATAGTGGGAATGAGTCGATAGGGACATGGGCCTTTCTCGTGGACTATGCATTATGGAGGACGGCTGACATCTCCGGCCAAAGTGTGAAAAACGACTGTTCTGAAGAGCAGCGGGGCAGGCGATTGATGTACCAACCAGCCAGCTGGGCAGACGGGCAGGGATCATGGACCCCTCCCGATCTGTGATGTAGGAGGGCGAGCTCAGGTGTCGATGTTTAGCAAACACCCCATGGCCTACGTCCTTCACAGGTCGCCATCTCCTCCGGCCACGGCCGCTGTCGTTTCGAAGGCACCTCTGCGGTGGCGCCGCCCGAGGCGCCGCTCCGCTCCGTCAGTTCGACAAACCTCCAAGCCCCCAGCCAGCCCACCCGGACACGTGTGGTGGGCACATTCGGAGGCATCTCCACTAACGATGCTGTGCCGTAGGGCAGCTTCTGACAGTGGCTGCGCCGCGGCCACTGTGCTTCCCGCAGTGCGAGCCGTGTCGTTGTACTCCCCCTCGAGTTTGGATCACCAGGGCCGATGGCCTCGTCCTTCAAAGTCTTCTCCTCTAGTCGACCCGTGGCCCTTTCTGTCGTCGTCCTTTTCAATTATGTTGTGATGAGGCAGTTCCCCTCTTGAGGGGAGAAAGACACTAACCGTCCTCTCTCCCTCCCTCTCCCTCTCCCTCTCTGTCTCTCTTGCCAGGATTCCGGGTACTTGGACATCAGCTCGGGGTGTCAACGGTCGAATTGGAGTTTGAATTTATGATGGGTTTAAGAGAGAACACGCAGATGAAAACTCTGGCCTTCATTGTCTTCTTCTTATCCGTCTCAGGCGACGATAGCCCCACCGGTTCCTCCTACTCGTATAAGTATCACCCCCTTGGCAGCCCTCAAGATCGTCTCTCTCAGTGGCCATCTTGCGATGGGCAACTGCACTGTTAAAGGCAACGCGGTGGGCTGCTCCCCCCGAGAAGCCGCCTCCGCCGCGAACTGCTCGGTGCGCAGGGCCGCCGTCGTTGCCCCTTGCCCCGGCGGCGGACCGGTCCGCGTTGTGACGGGCTCCGGCGGGGTGTTGGAGTTCGAAGGTCCCGTCGACGTTGGGGAAGTCCTCAAGGGCTACCCCGGGTACGGAATATTCCGGCGTGGCGCCGCCGTGTCTCCGATGTTCCACTGGGAGCGCCTCCACCACGGTCGGCTGTATTATCTCCTCCCCCTGCACCGGAAGCGGGCAGGGCGAACTGCGGTGGCGGCGTCTGGCGGCGACCCTTCTCTCTCTAACCTAGAGGTTCTGCCGCCGGTGATGAAGGGAGTGTGGAGGGTTAGGGTTGCGATGGACGCTGAGGATCTGGCGGCCGTCTTCGCGGAGGAGGTGGACATCGAGGCCCTCATCGAGAGAATGAGGGTGCTCGCCGCCACCACGAGGGGCCTTGCCGGTGCAACCAAGTCATAAGAATTCCGACGAGTCTTTCTCTTTCATCGCCGGTGTGATCTCCGCTTCCAGGGTTTCCGGCCGAAACCAGCTCCAACCATGGGCTGCTTGTCGTTACAAGAAGAGCGAAACTCCATGATCGACTTCTCCTGCTCCTCTGGGGCATCGAATCCGTACATTCCTCTCTCTCCTCTCTCTCTCTCCCCCTCCCCCCTTTCTCTCTCTGTATGTATCGATCTTTTTTTAGGATGAACTCGTGATCATTGATAGATACAGTGCATGAGAATCGGTGTCTTTGGCGTGCGAGCAAAAGTCCTTTGATCGAAATGGAGAGTTTCTCAAGTACACATTGCAACTGAGAGGAATCCTGCTATATTTTTTATAAAAAAAACTTTCTTTTTAGAGACCGAAGATCAAACGTTTCAAAATTATAATATTCAATCAACGAATAAATTATTCTTTTTATAAAAAAAAACAACATTTTTAAAATTGCCTACGAGTACATCCTCAAGATGCAACTTGAAGTTTGGTTCTGCCCATTTTTAAAATTACGTTAATAATATATTTTATTAGTTTAAATTCAGATATTCATGGAAATTAAAATACACGGATGAGCTCCTCCAAGTCAACACTTTCTTTTCTGCATTACCTACGAATTGATATCGGTTTAATTTCTCAAAATAAATTATTTAAATTTTTGCATAATATTTTTTTAATATTTTTTAAATCAGACATGCTTGGAAATAAAAATACACGGATGAACACCTCCAAGTCAACACCTTGTTTTCTGCATTACCTATGAATTGATATCGAATGGTCAAAAATAGGCCATGTCTGCTCAAGCCCCAAATGGAAATAGCTGACACGTGCGAATGAACTGCCTGAATGAGGGGGGGGGAGATGATTTCTAATGTGGAAGGTCCCCTGGAAGCAATCCGGCCTCTTCTCACGTGCGAAAAATAATGGTTAAAAGCCCCACGTAAACTTAGTATTGTAAATATTGCCACATTTAATGTGTATGAAAGGAAGATGATTGAGGGGTGAAGCCATAATATTATAATATCGAAGGGTTGTACGGTACCAAGAGATTAAATAAGAATGGAAAAAATTTATATATGTGAACGTGTATTTGATGAGGATGACATCGCCAAGCCGAAAGAGCCCAGGCGATAGAGCCCAGACTCACTCTCTCTCTCTCTCTCCCTCTAACCGAAGATGTTATTGTGCCCGGCGTCTGGGTCAGCCAGCATGACGGAGCTATGGTGGTGGACCATGCACCACCTCCCGCGATGGAGCTCGAAGACGTTGGTCACGTGGAATGGCCCCGAGTCAACGTCCACATAGGCTTTCATGGTGACCCAGGCCACCTCACCGATCACCCGGGCCCGTACGTCCCTCACCTCGAAAGCCACTCCCCCTTGACCACCGCCGCCGCCGCCGCCCGGGACCCAGTTGAGCGCCACCGCCCAGCTGTCCATCACCGCCGCATACCTGTTCGCCGCCGCACAGATTCAGTTCAAGACTGTGATCACATACGGCAGCAACCCCTCCATGGCACGCCCTATAAATAGCACAAATCCGAGAGAGAAATAGAGAGAGAGAGAGAGAGAGCAACGTAGATGGGTATGATGTGGAAGAGGGGATTCTTACCCCGTGAAGAGTTCTCCGGAGCCGTGGATGCACTTCACATAATCAGCGTGAAGCCACAGACGGCTCATCGCGGGGAGAGATCTGGTTCTGATGATGTCGTAGAACTCCGCATTGACATCCACCACGGCCTTCGTGGCGGCATAGTAGGCCTTCCATCCGTTGACCGGAGTGATGCCATCCTGCTCCACCGTGAAATCCTGCGTTGACCAAGGAAGTAAGTGACCAATCATCGCGAGGATGCCAATCTCTTGATGGCAGGAATACGTCATTTGATAAGTAAACCTGCCTACGATTTGACTGCAACCATGTTTTCCCAAATTGAGACGAATCATACGGCTTTCATGATGCCAAGTGAGAGAATTCATTCGTTCATCCATACAGAGAATCAGGTCCTGATAGATTCCACGAGCTGCAAATTTCCACGGATATTGCAGAAAGCTTTCTACAGAATTATCCGCAGAGGAGTTGTGATGGCCATAAATACATACATATATATATATATATGTGCCCTTTTATACCAACTCATGATGAATGACAGCCTCACAGATTGACGGATCAACTGCCATTGGCTCTGATTTGGAATCCTATACAGATTTCTCTCTCTCTTTCCTCTCTCTCTCTCTCTCTCTCTCTCTATACAGATTGACGGAGAGGTGTGGAGAGACGCTGTCTAGATACGCTGTAAAGATTGGCACATGAGACAAAAAAGAAATTACACAATATCATACTAATATGTGAATGTTGCATAAAATTATAAGTAATTTTTTTATGGATTAAGTAGACCACATAGCAGAAAGATTATTCTTGTTGTATCGAACGCCTTACATGAATATGAACATTCACGTTGACCTCACAAAATAATTGATTAAAATATGCCACATAATTTGTATTCAACTGATACAAAAGCATGTTTTCAGATCCCATGGGGGGTCTAAGACTATGAGGATGATTCAATGCTCAACCATCATCATCCTGAAATCAACATGAATGATCATGGGATTATATTCCAAGACCGAATAGGCTTCCAAGAAAGGAAAATCGTTTCCTACCCATTATCTGGTCTCATCTTCTCATAAAAGCTATGAGAAAACAGTCGCACATTGGAAGTCATCTCTACCCACCGCTCAAAGAACCCTAAATTCCTTTGCCCCCCCTTGCCTTTCGATTAATGGATGTGATATCTACAACCACACAGGTTATGGATGACCCAGATTGGATACGCTGTCTACTGGATCCAAGATGAGGGGAGAAAGCTAAAATAGTAAAATGACATCAGTCACACAAAATTTTCACCATCATGGAAGACAAAAACAGAATAAAATTGAAACACAGAAACTATTGCGAAGCTGTGACTAACTTTCGATATCTACATACCGATATATGCCTGGATTGATTGTCTCTAACTAAAAGACTTTATTAATTAAGCTAATGCTAATTAATTAGTGACTGTGGCTACTGATTTTAGATGACGATCGTCCAGAAATTGGTAATCTTAGTGTGCAGAAGGATTTCTGGGCTTATGGAACTCACGAATAGAACCAGGTAACGACCTAATTCATCATGACACTTTTTTTTTCCCCTGCCAATTTTTATATTGTTAAATAACCTGAAGTCTCCGCAGCTTTTTGTTGAATCTCAAAGGGGAATGTTTCTTCATCTGCACCTAATATCTTAAAAAAATGACAGCGTGTACCATGTTAGGGTAAGTAAGCGAACAGTAAAATTCAACTTCAGGGACCCCAAACAATGAGCTTATAGAACCTACGCACTAATGTCAGACAGTTGGGATTGACCAGCTTCTGAGTTTCAACAAGGGGCTTTAGCACCTTATACTGAGACGTAAGGACGTCGAATGACTCATGTTTCCAATAATGAACAGGAATATCAGATGAATGTGTGCAAGTTAGGAGGAACATGAGGTCAGATTATATTGTCTATGCCGTGCAGAGAAAGAATCATTGATCTCAAGCAAGGAACTGTGAAATTGGGTGGTGGAATTGGTCGGAGAAAAATAGTCATCCATGAGTTTCCAGGGGAAATGCAGCTATTAAAGCTCATTCTTCATAAGAATTGAACAGACCTCTCCAGGGTATCCCCACAATCTAAGTGCAGGAAATTATATTTTTCCACGAAAAAGGGATCACAAAGGAATCAAATAAAACAGGAGATTCAAGAGATGAATGTTTGTATGAAAGAATCAGGCTTAGGACTTTTATAAGTCAGCGTCACATGCCTCACGTCCAAAACAATAGTTGAAGGTCGATAGCTAAATGAAAAAAAATAGCACAAACAAGTTGCAAGAAAACGAGTCTGCAAGCCGTCAGTGGCCATGCGCGATAACAGATGAATTATGCAAAAATGATAACCTTTCTCCCAGTCAAAATAAGAATTTGATAGCAGCAATAAAAGAGAGAATTTTCTTACTGGTCTTAGTCTCCCAAACAATTGTAGGATATCACTCTGCATCCTATATGTGTCCAAATATTCTAGCCGTGGTAAACAAGGAGCAATAAGTCATCATATAGATTAGCATAGAAGGTGTGTGAATAGGGGAGGTCAAAAGAAAAAGGGGTCGAATATGAATAGTACATAAAATAATAAGCTCATCAAGGTTGATTAAATGAAGAAGCAATCCAAAAAGGAGAACGTAACAAGCCGGATTGGGATAAAGCGGCAGTGCAGCTTTACTCTCATGGACATTGTCCGAGAGGACAACCACGCAGTTAATAAGCAGGAATGCATGAAGTTCGCATATTTGCGAGAACTAATAATTTACGGAAGTGGATTATTCGAGGCAGTTTACAGTAGAGATTCTGTCACCTCTCCTTACTGCCCAGTGAATCCCCAATATCTGTAATGCTCTGATGCAAGTGAAATGGCAGAATAAGTAGTCATTTTTCTTCGAATTTGAGATAGTGTTCTCTCCTGAGACCAAACATCAGACTGGAAGAGAAGCCTGCGCGAGTCTATCTTGCACAACACCAATGGTAAATGGTGATCCCTTGAGCATATTCATCGAGTCACCAAACAGAGGCACAAAATACCGTGGTGACCATGACTGCATTGAGAAAACTCGTCCGAAGAAAACATCTGGATTATGGAAGAATATATGAACGCATGACGAAGCTCATGCTTCTATGGTTGAACTAAAATAGCTTCGTAAATAGAAATAAATAAAAGAACTAAAACAGGTGTTCCAAATGACATTTAAGAGAATGCAATGCGAAAAAGGGAAGTTCCCTATGGCTCTGATCTACAAAATTTTCGTATTATAAAGTCAGCTCCTTAGCCTAATTTCTTGTAATCCTACATTTTAGGACGTTCTTATGGTTCACGCTTTTTTTTAATTAAATGTAGCCGCTTCAGATAACAACTATTTATTTTATTCATAAACTGAAACATATTTCAAAAAGGTCTTCCCTGAATACTTTTCTATAGGGATGAATATGACGCTCCCTAAACCGATCCCTGGATTAGGCTTGAATTGATGATCTTCTCTAAAGCAACCACTAGCCAGAGATAAAAATGGAACACTGTCATAGGTTTTCTCACACATAAGAGTGAGTAGGAGTTGCTAGACTAGTTGCACACTTTTAAGCACATACAGCGACATAAATTTGTATCACTATCCATAGAATTGGCTGATTCTTATTCTTGTCAACAATTAAAACTTCTCATTCCTGAAACTTTGATCAGGCGTTCCAAGGTGCTTACTCAACCAATTCACATAGTGATGCATAATGTTAATGCTCGTGGTACCTAAATTCATAAATTTCTACACAGACTTTCCAAGTACCTTACAATTTTCCTCAACGGGTAAAATTATCACAAAAATGATTTACATTTCTCCTTATTAAAAAATTTATTCCATTAGCTTCTTTGTCCAAATCATCTCCAAGTAACTTTCATACACTTCCTAAAATGGCCATCTTGCTAGCACCAATAGACTAGATTCAGCTGATAAGTGACGTTTTTTCTCCTTTCCTCACATCCATCTAAAAATTCTCATCCCAATAACCTAATTTTTACACTCACCACATTGCTGATCTGGTCTCTGAATACAATTTTCTCCTCCTTGTGCAAAGGAATCAACTTATAAATTCCGTGAAGCCACAGAACCGCTCACCATTTCAAATGTCCACTTAACTGAGATTTAATGAAATTCGGGGTTATGAATGACAGTATGGATTTTAGATCCTTTGAAAGCCATTAATTTTGATTTATAGCCTTTTCTACAATTCCAGCAAAACAATCATATAAGGTGCATATTAATGAAGGTAAAGATTCTCGAGTGAGAACAGAGAACAAAGGATGATCAAATTAGCATGGAACTTGCTCGACTAAAACAACACGGAGTGGAAGAGCTATACCTTGTGGTAGAGCGCTTTCCACGCATTGTCATCGTTAGCTGCCCTCCTCATCGACGAATTGGTCATTGAGAGGCGACACAGACTGGGGTAATCCAAATAGCTCAGCGCATGGGTTGTGATCTCCGGGACAAGCTGCTCCATCATCGATGCACCGATCTGCCGCTCCGCTTCAGAAGCCGCCGGCAGTTCCTCCTCACCCACTGCCATGTCCCCGTTCACATGATTGGACATCGAACTGGAACTCTCGCCGCCGAGACCACCCCCGCAGGAACAAGCGCACCTGGGCGCCTTATTACTGTACCAAACCGACTCGATCGCCCGGGCCTCCTTCGGGACCGCCCCGTGTCTACGTAGTGACGACCAGAGAGCAAAGATGCAGCACAGCAAGGTGGCCCCCGCCGCTACGAGGAGGGAGAATCCATCCGCGACGGGAGCCCTCCATCTGCCAAACATCAAACCCTATACTGGAGGAGAAGGAAGAGTAACCCAGTAAGGAGGAGACGATCGGTCGATTGAAGGCCTCGCATCAGAGCCCAGCAGGAAGATTTGGGAGCGCTCAGCAGACGGCAACTGGGGAAGCTCCGCGGGGAAGGTGAGGGCGGCAGTCGCGCCTTTCTTTCCTCGGCTCTCGGTCCATCTCTTCGGGGAGAGGCCAGAAGAACTGTGCAACTTAACCCCCAGGACCTCACCACAATTGGCAAAGAAAACCTTGTTAAACTAAAATTTAACAAATTATTCTCTTCGTTCCTTTTTCTCAACTACGCCACACGGGAATGTAATTTTATACGAAAATTGGGTATAACTGAAAATTAGGGAACTAAACGGGCCCACCACCCCCAACTAACCAACACTTGGTTTTTTTTTTTTTTTTTTTCCTAAGAAAGATCAACCAACTTGTCCCTCTATTTTAAGGAATATGAGACACAATAACATGGTTTTTAATCGGCAACTTACCTAATACATCACACAAATCATGGCTGCCCATAAAAATAGAGATAGAGAGAGAGGCCCATAAAAAATTACACAACTTATTATGAGCTGCCCCACATGTCACCTTCACTGAAGATTTCTTATTTTTCATCGTCAATAGTCAAAAATAATTATTTATGAAAAATAATTGGCATTAAATAAATGATGACTCTTTTTTTCCCCCCTCTGGGTTCCTAGTTGACATTTTTTTTATAAGGTGGTCAAAAGTCTTCACCCGAAGAGACCACTGGTCAAACCTAGTCAACAATACCTCTTCCCACTCTCTCCTCTCATGCAGTATCTCTTGGTCTCCATCGTCATCCTCTTCTCATCATGTCTGTACTTTTTTGACTCCTCCACTCTCACTCTTCATACATCAACTTGAATGCTTGCCCTCCACATCATTCTAAAAAGTTTCTTTTTATAGCCCAAGCTGCTTGGCGTTGGAGCTTGATATCCTAAGTTGATATGAAGTAGATAATTTTAAAAAATATAAAAAAGGATAATTTTCCCAAAGTCAACAAATCAAAAAGTCATATTGATGACTGGAATAATATTTTTCCCATTTTTTATTATAATTTTAGCCATTATTTAAAAATTGTGATCTCTATTTCCCCGAGTGAGTCATCATTTATAATTGTTCTCAATACCAGGGGTGTAAAACTATTTTATTAATAAATTAACTATATTATTTATTTTTCTAAACACTAAATTATTCTGAAGTTTTTGATAGAGTTGTGTTAAAGCATGTGACAAGTAAGCGAAGTCTCATTGACTAATTATTTAAAATTATTTCATCGATTTTACTGCGAATACAGACAGAATCGATTAATTAGCTCTGATAAAAAAAAGTCCGCCCTTTTATTGGACCCGCTTGGCAGCTCTCGCCTGCACTCCTTGCCGGCTTGCCCTCGCTTAGGGACGTCGTACTTTATACGTGGAACTAGCGCAGCGCAGCCCTCTGTACCCCACCCGGAGAGGGGACGGCAACAGCAAAAAGCCCATTTCAAGCCAACAGAGGACCAGAGCAGCGTCCCCGATAAAGCTAATCGCCGCCTGAGACAAACGCCAATGCCGCCGGGAAATGGGCCGGCGGCCGGCCGACGGTGGCGCAGAAGCCATCGGACGGCGAGAACTGGGTTACGGAGAGCCCGCCCTCCGTACCCTCGTCCCTCAGCGGCAGACGCGCAGAATTAATCGTCGGTAGAGGTGATGAGAGGGACAGGGGAGAAGAAAGAATTCTCGCTGGATGTGAACGGAGGAAGTGGCCCGAGTGCAGTGTTTGTCTGTACAGTGAGGACAATCGATTCGCCGCCTTTCGTCACCGCCAGAGGGCATACCGGGTGAAAAGGCTACCCTTTGGTGGGCTAATTACTGTGCCGCCCCACTCCCCACCGACCCTGCGTACTCCTTTTATCACCCCCTTCGTCGTCGTCCTCCGCCTCCATCATCATCGCCGCCGCCGCCGCCTGGCCTGCTGCGCCGCCCATGGCGCCACCGCTAAGACCCTCCCGGCGCCGCCTCCTCACCCTTCTCTTCCCCTTCCTCATCCTCCTCCTCCACGGCGGTGCCGTCGTCGTCGTCGCGAGAGGCCTCGAGTGCCACACCGTCATCCTGTCCCCTATGTCGAAGCAGCCACCGCCGCTCGGGCCCCCGGAGGAGGAGGATGATGGCCCCTCCTGGTCAGTCGACTCGGAGGACCTGAGCACCGTCCCCTTCCGCGACCTCGGGCCTGACTCATTCCGCCTCCGGTTGCACCACTGGGACTCCCTCCTCGCCGCCGCCAACTCCACGCCGGAGGCCCTCTTCCGGCTCCGCCTCGAGCGCGACTCCGCCCGCGTCTCCGCCCTCGAGGACCTCGCCGGAAGGCCCTCTCGCCGGCGAGACAACGTCACCAAGGCCCGCTCCGGCGGGTTGAGCGGCGTTGTGGTTTCCGGGCTGGCGCTGGGCAGCGGCGAGTACTTCACCCGTATCGGGATCGGCACCCCTGCCACCTCCGCCTACATGGTGCTCGACACGGGCAGCGACGTCGTGTGGATCCAGTGCGCCCCCTGCCGGCGGTGCTACTCCCAGAGTGACCCCATCTTCGACCCAGCGCGGTCCCGCTCCTACGCCGCCGTCCCCTGCGGCTCCCCGCTGTGCCGCGGCCTCGACGCCGCCGGCTGCGACACCCGGAGGAGCTCCTGCCTCTACCAGGTCTCCTACGGGGACGGCTCCGTCACGGCGGGCGACTTCTCCACCGAGACCGTCACCTTCAGCGGCGGCGCGCGCGTCGCCGGCGTGCCCTTTGGCTGCGGCCACGACAACACGGGCCTCTTCGTCGCCGCCGCCGGGCTCCTCGGCCTCGGCCGCGGGAGGCTCTCGTTCCCCTCACAAGCCGGCCGGCGCGTCGGGCGGCGCTTCTCCTACTGCCTGGTTGACCGCACCTCTGCGGCGGCGGCGCTGCCGACTCGCCGCCCCCGTTCGTCTACGGTGATCTTCGGGCCGGCGGCGGTGCCGAGTTCCACCGGGGTGGCCTTCACGCCGATGGTGGCGAACCCGCGCCTGGACACCTTCTACTACGTGGAGCTGGTGGGGATCAGCGTTGGCGGCGCCCGCGTGCCGGGCGTCCTCGCGGCGGACCTGCGGCTCGACCCGGCGACGGGGAAGGGCGGCGTGATCGTCGACTCCGGCACGTCGGTGACCAGGCTCGCGCGGCCGGCGTACACGGCGCTGCGCGACGCCTTCAGGGCCGGCACGGCGGGGCTGAAGCCTGCGGCGAGCTTCTCTCTGTTCGAAACCTGCTACGACCTCAGCGGGATGACGGAGGTGAAGGTGCCCAAGGTGGTGATGCACTTCAGGGGCGCGGGCGGCCGCGCCGCCGTCGCCGACCTTGCGCTCCCGGCGGAGAACTACCTCATACCGGTGGCCACCAACGCGGTCTTCTGCTTTGCCTTCGCCGGTACCGACAGCGGCATTTCCATCATCGGCAACATCCAACAGCAGGGGTTCCGCGTCGTCTTCGACGGCGCTGGCTCCCGCGTCGGCTTCGCTCCCGGCGCTTGCTGATCCTCCGCTCCGCCGCCACAAGAAGAGAGAGAAAAAATGGGGTTACTCAGCGGGCTAGAAATGTGGTATCTTTCATGTAATTCAGCATCTTTGTCCTGGTTAATCCCACTCATGTGGAGAATAATACCGACACTAACTAATGGGTCACATCAGAGACAGACGGAGGTTTGGGGAGGAAGCTGATCTGGTATTTCTTCGTTCCATTGGCGAAGAACAGCCCCCAGTGCCTCTCCGTGGGGGCTCCCTCTTTCAGGTCTTCATCAAAGAGGGCGAATATGTAGGTCACGACGGGGTAACCAGGTCTCAGAGGCGTCCCCTTGATCGGAATCCCGGCGACGTGATTCACCAGCTTCTGGTTGAAAGCGGCGGCGTTGCGCATGGAGGCGGCGCCGTCGCCTTCTCCACCTTGCGACGGCCATCCGGTTTCAGTCACAACGAGGCGGAGGTTGTAGAATCCGAGAGAAAACGCAGCAGAGTTCAAGGAATCGACGAGAAGATCGAACAGATTCGTGTACGTGAGCCCGGTGTTGGGGTCTGTGAAGCTGAAGCCGCTCTCTGTGTTCTCCGAGAACAGAGCAAAACCGAGGGGGATGTAGGGAATCTCCATGAAGGTCAGGTATGGGTAGAGATTCACCATGAAAGGGGACCCCGTCTCCGCAAGAAATGACAGCAGAGGGCGAAGAACGGGCTCTGCGATTGACTCCTGAAACACAGCGAGCGAAGGAGGGAACCTGATGGCCAGCACTGCCAAGGAGTTAGTGGTGGAAACCTTGATCACACTCTGCAATCGGAATGCCGTCAAGGATCTGTGGAGATTTTTCATCGCCGGGAGGAGCGAGGCGGCGAATTCCGGGAGCATGGAGACCTCGTTCCCGACGGAGATCGAAGATATCCTGGTTTTCGGATAGAAAGGGAGCACAAATTGCCTGATAATGTGGTCTGCCGAGGATTGATCCGAGGCCAGTGACGATATGTTGCCGTTCGGGACGCACAGAGACAGAAAAATTCCTGTGTTGGCGAAAGCTCTGATCACGGATGCATCCATGTCGAAGATCTTCACATGGGTTACTGATAATGAGGAGAGGAGCTTCACGGCCGCCGCAGGGGATGGGATATTAGTCCCCAGACGTCCATAGTTCACTCCGATCATGTTATTGTCTGCGCAAGAAACCCAGATCGGTCGATTAGAACTCTACCGAGTTCTTTCCTCCTGGAAGAAAATCAGATCAAGATCTACTACCGGATGCGAATGGCCGATCGGATGAACTTAGCAGAGAGAATATCAATAAAAAAAAGGAAGATGACAATAAAAAAATAACTTACGAGGAAATCGCACGAAGAAATCTCGAATCGAGGACGACACCAGAGAGAGAATGATAGAGAACTTCGATCCGACGGAGGAGGAGAAGAGGAAAATGGCGGCGTTCTAACCTACGGCCGTACCTCCGGACATACGCAAGCGGAGAGATGATCCGAACGGGAGAGGGATGAAGAGGCACAAGAGCAGCAGAGATCGAAGTCCCGATGAGGAGTTCTTCCGATCCATCCCCTCTCTCCTTCAAGAACCTCCTCCCCCCCCTTCATCCCTCCGTTATAACAACAGAGGAGCTCTCTCTGAGAGACTCGATTTTTTTTGGCACATAAACCCCAACATATCTCGACAATGTCTAGGAACGCGCTTGATTTGGGTTTTTAGAATTATGGGAGAAATGATTGACCCAGAATCGGATTTCATCGGTACGGAGCTCATTTGTCTCAACGATTGCCTTTTTCTCGAATGCAAAATTAGGTTTTTTTCCTCCATTATCCCCCTCCCGAGTTGTCCTGAAACCGTTGGTCTTGTTTCTTTTCTGGACGGCGACCAAGCTATAGACCGTTAAATGCCCTTGTGTTCTCTCTCTCACCCTCTCGCTCGCCCTCTCTCTCTCTACCCTGATCCCAGACTGACAACTCGTGCACGGGCGGCAAACAGGAGGGAAGGAGCGCATCGACGGGGTTTTCTATCTATTCCCTCCCTCCCGCGTCCTCTGGGGGGTGGTAGCTTCCTCCTCTCTCTGCCTTCCCCCTGCCTTCTCCCTGCCTTCGCCCGCACTTCTTCGCTCGCCCTCCCGGACGATCCCCTTGTTCCTCCCCCCTTTCTGCGGTTTCTGGGGGTTTCGTCGGAGGAACCAGAGGTGAGGGGGGAAAGTGGGGAGGGGCGTAGAGGGGCCGCCGGTGGAGGGACTGGGAAGGGCGAGATCTGCGTTTATCGGCTCTCTTCTCCTATGAATGGAACTGGGTAGCCTCAAGTACGTGTCCGCGTCCGACGGGATGATGGAGGAAGACGAGGCCGCCGCCTCTCAGCTCCACCACGCCTTCACCAAGTCCTTCCATGTCGTGAACGGGGGCGCCGGCGGCAACGGCGGCGCGGGGAACGGCGCGGCGCCGCCGGGGATCGCTCCGGCGACCAGCGTCCACGAGCTGCTGGAGTGCCCCGTCTGCACCAACTCCATGTACCCGCCGATCCACCAGGTTCCTCCCCTGTCCCCTCCATCCCCCGATCTCCGGTGCGCTGCGCTTCTCCGTCTCCCTCACGATCGTCCCATTCCCATGGCCCGATTTGTAGATTAACTGGGTAGATCCCGGAATGGGATTCCTATCTTTCCCCTTTCTCCCTGCACGAGATCTGCTCTTATTGGGAAGGCCAATCTGTTCTTTCTCCGATAAGAAAACCCTCGAATATCGTTTCCCATTAACATCTCCAAGATTTTCTTACAAATCCGGCGGAGGATCCATGGCCTATTCCTCATCTCCCAAGCCGGCCATGATCTACACTCTGAGCTCATTCTTCAAGTCATCCGATGTCTGCTAAATTCCCTTCTCCTTCGTCTACCCCTGGGTTGTCTGAGGAGATTTCTCCGAGCAGGATCACGCAGATCTACACCATTTTTTTTCCTCATTTCTAACGGACATGGAGCTGTCTCTTGCCCCGCCCCCAAAGACATGGGTCTTCCTTGGCGAGGCACCTGTTAGCGATCCCCACGAGATCATGGCCATTTTCAGTAAATCTGGTTTTGACGAAGACCTTTCCTGAGAAGAATTCGTTGGCGTGTCGGATTTATTTAATTAGCGAGCAAATCATAAAGCATGGATTAAAGTACCTGGCGATTTTTTTAATGGCACGCATCCGGGATTCTCTCGAATGGTGGTTATTGGATGGGCATGCCTGTCTTCAACAGAGAACAGCCCTGCTCCTCCCGGGCCAACCGCTCAATCATCAACGAGGCGGACTCAGGAACCCACTAAACCCAAGATCATTGGGAAAAATAAAATAAAAATTCCATACGATGGAACCCTAGACTCACCGTCATCTGAAAGCCAGCATCTAAAAGGGTTCTCGCGGACACAATCTCGATTCATGTTTGTTCATCAGTATGCGTTGACCCTTTCGATTGCACGAGTGGGCATAGCTCTTATTCTTCTTCTTCGTCTTCTTCTTCTTCTTCTGCTGTTGCTGCTTGGATAATCTTGAGATTGCCAGATTGTTAAGCTGTGATGAATAAATTTCTGTTTTGACTCCAAATCGTCATATTGTTCTGCGGTGATCAGTGCCACAACGGGCACACGCTGTGTTCTACCTGCAAGGCGAGGGTGCACAACCGGTGCCCGACGTGCAGGCAGGAGCTCGGGGATATCAGGTGCTTGGCGCTGGAGAAGGTGGCGGAGTCGCTGGAGCTGCCCTGCAAGTACCACCCTCTGGGCTGCTCGGAGATCTTCCCATACTACAGCAAGCTCAAGCACGAGGCGCAGTGCAACTTCCGGCCCTACAGCTGCCCGTACGCGGGGTCGGAGTGCGCCGTGGTGGGGGACATCCCCTCCCTCGTCGCCCATCTCGGGGAAGACCACAAGGTGGACATGCACACCGGCTGCACCTTCAACCACCGCTACGTGAAGTCAAACCCCCGGGAGGTCGAGAACGCCACGTGGATGCTCACGGTGAGTAGCGCCCTTCTTCCTGTCCAAATAGTATTCCATTCCATTCCATTCCATCGGGAAGAAGACGGGGTTCGTCCAAATGGGCAGTTCGCCCAAGGAGTGGCCGATCTGAACTGAATAAGTATGAATATTGTGGATGATTGGGAAGCCTAGATCCTGAAATGGAAAGGTGCCCAGTCCGGGAGGAAGCAGACCCATAGATTTAATCGAAGCGGGTTACCGACCCATATCAAAAAATGGGCGACTTGGGAGGATTTTCCCCGAGTTACGGCCGTCATCTTTACCTCCTTGTGCAACCCGTCCTCTCCTCCGGTGGTGTTTCAGGTGTTCCACTGCTTCGGGCACTACTTCTGCCTGCACTTCGAGGCCTTCCAGCTGGGGATGGCGCCCGTTTACATGGCGTTTCTCCGCTTCATGGGCGATGAGAACGAGGCGAGGAACTACAGCTACAGCCTCGAGGTGGGGGGCTACGACCGAAAGCTCACCTGGGAGGGGACCCCCCGCAGCATCCGTGACAGCCACCGGAAGGTCCGCGACAGCCACGACGGCCTCATCATCCAGCGCAACATGGCGCTCTTCTTCTCCGGCGGCGACCGCAAGGAGCTCAAGCTGCGGGTCACCGGCAGGATATGGAAGGAGCAGCGGCCGGGCCCCGACCCCGGCGCCGCTGCGAGGGCCCAGCCCTCGTAGCCCAGATCTCCGCCGCGATCTTGGCGCGCGATGGCAGTATCTAACGGGCTGCTTGATGTGCTTTAAATGGCGGCCACCGGCGGTGAGCTTTCTGGCCCTGGTCATTGATTGGCTGGTCCGGTTGTGTTCTTCCTTATGAGCTGCTGATTCAAGGTGATGAAGTGGAACATTTTGGTCGAAAATGATGTAATATTAACTAGGATTATTTATTTGTTAGGTCCTCGCAAAATAACTTTAATTGTGGAAGGTCCCCATGCCTTCATATATAAATCATACGGCTTCTTAGTACTCGGTTTCTTAGGTTGACTTGTGCAAGAGATTGCCAAAATCATTTATTTCTAAATCCTTAAAGATACTAATAAAATCATTTGTATCATTAAATAAAAATCACTAAAATCCTTAAAGATTGCGATAAATATATTAATGAAAATTTCTTGCAATTAACGAAAAAAACTAAGTGCTTTAGGAGGTTAAGAGGATCATGAAAAAGAGAGGGACTTATTTTCTTCATTGCAGCATATGGGAGGTAAAACCCAAATAACACAAATTATATAATATGTGATATTATTTGGAAAAAAAATTGCATTTTGGAGCCATGATTAAACATTTATTTAGGAAAGACGATGTGTGGTGATCCTTGTGAGTAATTGTGAACTGACTAAATGGCCACTAAATGAGCAAATATAGCCTGAAAATATCTGGGTAATGACTGGTTTGAAGGGTTTGCATGCATCGGTTGACTTTTTATTTAGTCATGACAATTTACTCTTCGTTTAGTAAGTGGACAATTTCATTTAGTTAGTTTGTCGTAATGATACCAATATAAGCAAAGTTTGACAAATATTTGACCCATTGATGTCCCTGATGACGATCTTGATTGAGTATCCGAAATCACATTTGAATTAGATGTTCAGCTCTGGTCCCGCACCATATTTAAACTCATCATAGATTGACCAATCTACTTGGTTTACTAAAGATGGGGATGGATTAATCGGAATAATAATAATAATTGCAAAGGAACCATCATATTTAATATTTTTAGTATTAATTAATTTTAATTTTAATTTTAAAGACTCGGCTGAAAAATGAAATAACGAAATTTGATAGTTGCAACTCGGCCACAACGAAACCGATCCGAACCAGAAGTTGTGGATTCTCAGGGTCCGATATCTCCGCACGCGCCTTCCGACAAAGCATCTTACAATATCCAACGCAGCTGCCATTTAGATTCCCCATTTTCTCTCTACCCCTCCCTTTAGTGTTTAATGACAAACTAGCCTCTCAAACTTTGCACAAAAGTCCCTACAACATGATGAGGGCTAATTGGGACGTTCTCCTTGGGGACATTAGCAATATTTCGAGAACTTATGGGGTATGTATTTTATGATAATCTCGGAGCCGAGCTCCATCATCCAGTGGCCTTCCCTTCTTCTTCCCCTCTGCTTCCCTTCCCTTCCCTTCCATCAGGATGCAGACTCCATGGAACCCGTCACGCTGGTAAGGTCGACTGCTAGGGTTTTCTCCCTCCGTTGCAGCCCTAAAACAAGCTTCTCCACCTGCAAATCCTTCGTTTCTCCACTAGCCCAGCACCCATTCCGGGGATTCCCGGCCTCCGGCCGTGCTCCGGCGAGAAACTCGCGTACACCGGGACCGGGTCTCTCCATTATTCGCTCCCTCGGAAGTTTGGTGTCCTGCCGGTGCAGCGCCGTGAGGCGGTGGCTAAGCGGCGGCCTCGACGGAGGCAGCGGAATCGACGGCGGCGATGTCGTCCGCTGCGGCGGGCTCGGCACCTTGCTGCTGAGCACCACGGCGTCGGTGGTGTCGAGGGCCCGGGCCAGCCCCTTCATCGGGGACCTGGCGGCGAATCCGACCTTCGTCTCCGGGCTGGTGGCGTGGGCCCTTGCCCAGACCACGAAGGTCTTCCTCAACTTCTTCGTGGAGAGGAAGTGGGACCTGAGGATGTTGTTCAGCTCCGGCGGGATGCCCTCATCGCATTCTGCCCTCTGCACAGCGCTTTCGGCCTCCGTTGCCCTCTGCCACGGCGCCGGCGATGCCCTCTTTCCCGTCTGCCTCGGCTTCAGTCTCATCGTCATGTACGATGCCATTGGCGTGCGCCGCCACGCCGGCATGCAGGCTGCGGTGAGATTCCTTCCTCTCTCTCTCCCTCTCGCCATCCTCTCTGCAGCATGTTTCCTCTTGCTTAATCAATCACCCCTTCTCTTGAATAGATCAGTCAGCTATAAACTACAGATGCTGGGAACGTTTTTCTAGCAATCCTAGCGCGTCGATTCTCATCCAAATCACACATTTTCTTCGATAAATATACTAAATGTGTCGATCTTCCTGGTTTTTTTCCCTTTTCGCTTTGGCAAGATTTAGTCTCTCCTAGAACAGCCTCCCCCAAAATGGGAAAAAGCCCGACCTTTGGTAAGGATTTGAGGAACCCACCTCAGTTATTGATCCATTCACTGTCATCCTCATCCCCATGATCCTGTTCATTGAGGCCACTGGAATTTTTTTTCCATCTTCGTCCATGAGCGGCCTGAGGATTCTGTCATCAGAGATATTTATTGCTATAGGTAGACTAGATTATTCAACCACATGTGGGAAAAAATGGTACGTTCTTCACTTAATTTCCTTTTACGGGGCAAACATTTTTTTCCTCCTCTTCCTGGGTCAACGCAGTTTACATCGCCTAATTTTCTGTTTCTAATTGCTAATAGAGAGAGAGAGAGAGAGAGAGAGAGAGAGAGAGAGAGAGAGAGAGAGAGAGAGAGAGAGAGAGAGAGAGTTCATGGTGCGCTGACATTCTCGAGTTTCTTCAGGTTCTTAATATGATCGTCCAGGACTTGTTCGAAGGGCACCCCATCAGCCAGAGAAAGCTCAAGGAGCTGCTCGGCCACACGCCCTCCCAGGTCATCGCCGGGGCCCTTCTTGGGATCCTTGTCGCCTTCGTCGTTTGCCAACGGAGGGTCGCCGCCATCTGAGGACCGCCCAATTTTTAGTCAACTGTGATCCTTTCACACCCTCTGCGGCTGCGAGCCGTCCGCCGTTGACTGTCCAATCTGGGAATTGTCTCGGATCCTTTGATACCCTCGAAGCGTGTATGATTTATTCTTATGGGTGTTCGATAATCTTCTCTGATTTGCTCTTCTCACGTGACATTTACTAATTTTAGTTCCTCGGAAATGAGAAAATAAAGAGGGAGTTGACCGGCGGCGCTATGCTCGCTCTCTCTCTCTCTCTCTCTCGCTTCCTATGATCACCCATGAATGAGAGGGGCGACGGGCGGTGATCATCCCATTTTTCTGGTGCTCAAAGCCTCGAGAGTGAAAGTCAGCGGGGTCCTGTGGTCAATCCAAACCGATTGAAAGTCAGGGGGCCTCCCGCTGGTTTGACGGCCTCTTGGTGTGCCCCGGTGTCAGCAACTTATCGGGCCAGATCGGAGCGCGCTCGGGCTTCTGAGGCTTCACACGTGGCAGCAGCAGGTTCAAACGGACAGGAATAGCCGCCGTCCGCCGCCTGTGAAAAGGCTTAAAATCCACCCCCTCTCTCTCTCTCTCTCTCTCTCTCTCCTCATGGAGGGTCACCGAGATCGCGCCGTCTGAGTCGTCTTCTGCGTTTGCCCGTTGAAAAAGCGGAAAGCGTAGAGAAACGGCGACCGAGGTTGCAGAGAGGAGGATGAGGTGATCAAGTGAGCAGGACCGCCGCTGGAGGAAGCAGGAAGGTGAGAATGAGTGGCAGAGATGGAGATCCCCTCGATCGCTTAGACGATTGCCGCGGTTCGCCGACTCGACCTCCTTCCTCTTCCGTCTCTCCTCGGCTTTGAGAAAGTTCCGTCCATCCTCGCTTCGCGGTTCCGCACCATCGCCGGCTCGGCTTTGAGCGCAAGGTACCTGCATTCTCCCCGATCTGATCAATATCTCTGGCATTCCGCGGCAACTCTTGCGGTTCTTACTGTCTCCGGTAGTCGTCTAGGGTCCCCGCGTGCGCATTGTCCGTCGCGGTGGCGAAAGGGTGGTGTCGGAGATCTCCGGGATTTTCCGGATCGGGAGGAGATTTCATGCCCTCATCGGGATGGTCTCACAGACGGCGCAGGATTTTGGGACCTCTGCGCTGGGGAACAGCTCCCAGTCGTCGACGAAGCCAGGGGTTGACGGCGGAAAATCCTTGTGGCTGGAGATGCCTTCCGCAGGGATTCCATTCGGCCCCCTTCCAGACGTTCCTGGGTCGCCGCATAGCACCCCCGAGTCCATCGTCATCTACCTCTCATTCTCCTCATGCTCTCCGGTGACTCCCATGCGGGTCTTGGCATCGGAATCAATTGCTTCTGTGAAGCTCAGGATTCAGACTTGGAAGGGGTTCGTGGTGAAGAAGCAGAAGCTGATCTTCGACGGCAGGGAGCTGGCCAGGAACAATTGTCTCATCGGGGACTACGGCGTCGGCAATGGCCATATCCTCCATCTCATCCTTCGTCTGAACGACCTGCGTCTCATCACCGTGAAGACGACCTTCGGCAGAGAGTACAAGTTCCAGGTCCAACAGAGCAGGAATGTGGGGTACATAAAGCAGCAGATCGCCCATAGGGAGAGGGCTCTCGACAATCTTCACGAGCAGAAGCTCATCTGCAATGGCGAAGAACTAGAGGATCAGCGCCTGATTGAAGATATCGCCACCAACAAGGATGCCGTGATCCATCTACTGATCCACAGATCTGCAAAAGTTAGGACAACGCCTGATGAGGAAGGCTTTGAACTCTCAGTCGAGGCTTCCAGTGCGGATGTGCAACCGCTGGGCGGGTCTTTTGTTCTCGAGCCGGTTACTATGACGCCGAAGATCGAACTCCCCTCTGCAATCACCAACTTGATTGGCACCACAGCGGCCGGCTTGGTGAAGGGCAACCCACCTGTGAGATCTTCCGAGGGTTCAGGGGGAGCTTATCTTATGCAGGATGCATCAGGTCTAAGGTTCGCCGCCGTCTTCAAGCCTGCAGATGAAGAACCGATGGCAGCAAACAATCCCCAGCAGCTTCCCATGTCAAGAGATGGTGTGGGCTTGAAGAAGGGGACCCGGGTTGGAGAGGGGGCTCTGCGGGAGGTTGCGGCTTACCTTCTCGACCATCCAGTCAGTGGGCGCCGGGCTTTCACAGGCGTTGACTTTGGATTCTCTGGTGTTCCACCAACTGTTCTTGTTCGCTGCTTGCATGAAGGTTTTAATCACCCAGAAGGATACAAGCAGGCCCCTGAGAACATGAAGATCGGGTCCTTACAGATGTTCGTGGATAGTATAGGCAACTGCGAGGATATGGGGCCTCGAGCATTCCCAGTTGAAGAGGTTCATAAGATATCTGTTCTGGACATCAGATTGGCTAATGCAGATCGGCACGGAGGAAACATTCTAGTCTGTAGGAGGGAAGACGAAGCTCAATTCCTACTGGTTCCAATCGACCATGGCTACTGCTTGCCAGAGAATGTGAGTCAATTCACGGCCTCCCGCACCCAAAAATCATTTTTCGTAGGCAAAGTGCCATTTTGTGGTTCATATGGTGCATATTCTTTTCATCCTTATCTGAATTTTTTCAAGGCCTATTGGAGTTTGCAGGCTTCCCTTCTAGAACCCTACTTTATTCCCTCGACACAAAATATTTATATTTTCCTTGAAAAATTGCCATCTTCTCCTTCATGAGGCACCTATTCTTTAATGTCTGTGCATAAATCTTGGTCTCATGTCTTTTCATCATTTGGATCTACGTATAGAAATTCATCCCTTCTCTGAATATGTCAATCCTTCACATGCTTTCGGAGACCGCAAAATTGAATGCTTGTACTGTCCTCCAGCTCATGAGCTCTACACCGGAATTTTCCATTTTTACTAGCAAAATTTCCATTAATGTCTCGCAAGATGCGTATTCTATGAAGTTTATGTATGAATCATGGCCTCATTTGCTGTCAGTCAACCTTCAACCTGAATCTGTTTGACGTATTATGCAGTTTGAAGACTGCACATTTGAATGGCTGTACTGGCCTCAAGCCCAAGAACCCTACGACGTCAAAACCGCTGAGTACATAAAGTCGCTGGATGCAGAGGAAGATATTGCACTGTTGAGGTTCCATGGCTGGGAGCTCTCCCTAGAATGTGCTCGTACCCTTAGAATCTCGACCATGCTGTTGAAAAAGGGTGCTCAAAGGGGTCTGTCCCCCTTCACCATAGGGAGCATCATGTGCAGAGAAACCTTGAGGAAGAGGTCGGTAATCGAGGAGATCATCCACGAAGCAACCAGAAGTGTTCTCCCTGGGAGTACCGAGACTACCTTCATGGAATGCATCTCCGAGATCATGGACCGTCGGCTAGAACTGCTTCCCAAATAAATCTGTAAGGTCTTCACCGCCCAATTCTCTGCATATATATAATATCGCTGTATACTTCCTTAAATGGCTGTGTATCAAGTGCAATGGAGCATGGACTTCCTCACTAAACCTGCCAAAAGATGTGTCCTTCCTGGTGTCTCGCTTTCTGACTGTCCAGATTCCCATCACTCTGCTAGAAGTGATTAGCTGCTCCAAAGAAACCCACCTTTGTTAGCGAGTTCAGGCATCTAAAATGAGGAACGGAATCCCCAAAGAATTACCAGCAGTAGTTGGGCTCCCTCGACATCAAGAGAAAGAACTCAGTACATCAAAACCAGATCCTCTTCTTTCCACATGGGTAGACGTCAATCAGTGCATCAAGGAACTGTAGACTCCGATATTTGGCAGCTGATCGTTGATCAACTGCAGACTGTGAAATTTGGGGAACTGTGGTTGCTCTAGAGAGTCACCTCTTTTAGTTGCAATTCTGCCAGTGGGATCGTCAGTCAAGAAAGACTATTTCTATCTGCTGCATGCAAACATACCACTTTTAGCATCTATACTGTAATCCTGCACTGGGCATGGCAAGTGGTTTCTATGATTTACAGTCGGTATTAGTTAAGTGAGTTGATTAAAGAGTAAAATTATGGGTGACTGCATCACAGTGGCTCATTTAATCAGAGATAGAAAAATACGGCTAAGGTGAACTTTGTTGGGAAATTCTGACTTATTCTTGTTCAGGGATTGAAACGATGATTTTGACAGAGATTATAATGCACCAATGCCCTTTTACTTATAAACCATTAAGGGCACACCGTTAATTTCCACCAAAAAAAGGTTTTTTTTTTTTTTTTTTTTAAGGTTCTGAGCTCAGCTTGGTAAGCGATGTGATTTCATAGAGTACATAGAAACTAGATATTCCAAGGAACCATTTCGATAAGAACTCTGAGTATTAGAAAATATTCTATATTTGATAATCTCACTATTTGCTCAAAGGGTAGATGCTTCAGATCAATACACTTCCAACGACTTTCCTAGGTATAGCAAAAAAAGCTGACACAAGATATATAGATAGGAAGGCTGAACGACAATTTTCGCAACATTGATGTCCACAGCCATAGGATACTGTTACACGGGACCAAACAATTGACATGACAATCGTGTGCAGCACGGCGCCCGCGCGCGGCACAACGCCCGTACAGGGCATGGCACCTGCACAAGGCCTGGTGCTTGCACATGGCATGGCGCCGATGCGGAGCACGGCACCTGATACAAGGGCTCAACAATGGAGGATGATGTCACGAGCCTGACATCAGCCAACGAAAGAAGACCATTACCCTAAAGGGGTGGGATCCAAACCTTAATCTCACATCGAAATTAAAGGGAGGACCCACAAGAGGACCTTCTTTAAATAAGGAACCCCGACCCCATGTAAGATCATCTTGGGAGAAGTCTAGATCCTCCACATTTTGGAGAACTTGAGCCCTCAGTGTATTAGCTCGGGAGCTCACCAGAGATCTCGTGTAGAGCGGCTGACATTCTTGTTACAGTGGTATCAGAGCCATGTTACGAAGCAAGGTTAGGATTCTCTACATCCTCTTCTTTTCTTTTTTTTACTTGCCATAGATAATGGAGACGGAGGGTAGATTGGGTACGAGTGGTACCCAAGGGCAAAGAATTGCCCGATTAGTAGAGCAACAAGAGACCACGCCTCGTGTTGTGGAGACTCTGATGGAACAATGGCAGACCGAATCGGGTCACCTACAAGAAGAAGCAATTCAATTGAGCCTGAGAGAGGAGCATGATTGGGTAGCAATCGAAGCACTCTCGACAAAACTCAATGAGGAGATATGGTTGCTCTATGATTAGACAGGGGCTATGGCCACTACTTACGAATCCCAAAAAGAAGATATATCGGTGTTAGGGGAGGAATTTTCTAGAAGGATGGAAGAATTGACAAGCAAGTTCCAGAGGTCTCTTAACCTGAAAGCAAACCTTAGCTCAACTCGAGTCAAGGCCCCAAAGCCAAAGACCTACTCAGGTGAACGAGATGCCATGTTAATCGAGAACTTCATTTGGGATCTCCAAAGATACATCAACTCCAACACTACCTCCGAAGAAGAGAAAGTATTTGTGAGAAGCCTATTCCTCGCTGGGCACGCAAAGACTTAGTGGAGACTCCGAACAGAAAACTTCTCAAGGCCACTAGTCACCGATTGAGAGGGATTCACACTGAAAATTCGAGATCAATTTAGTCGGGCAAACTCAGGCCAAGCCACTCGGATTGCGATGAGGCAACTCAAACACGTTGAGTCTATTCGAGAATATGTGGAGAAATTCTCTATGTTGATATTGGAAGTACCTCGGATGGATGAGGAAGACAAGCTTCACTATTTCATGGAAAGACTCCAGACATTGGCCCAAAATGAAATCTGCAGACAAGGAGTCCACGACATCTGAGGAGCAATGATGGTGGCAGACATACTGATAGATAACTGATGCCAACAATCAGATGGCAATAACACATCTCAAGGGGGTCGAGGTTGCAATGCCAACTAGGGATGAGGAGGACTGGCCTAGACGGGAGCGGGTCAAGGCAATCATAGCCGAGGTCGAAACGAGACCCCTCTACAAATTGAGGGACCAATGTGGACAAGGTGCTACGAATGTGGGGGCCCTCACTGAAGTGCAGATTATCCCGACCGAGCCGATCGACGCATGGTGAGAGCTCGGCTCAATCCTGTCTTGACACAGGACCAACCGTCACTAGTAATTGAAGAGATACCACATTTAAACACCATTCAACTTCTGAATGTGGTACAAGTGAAGGCCATACAAGAGGCTCCTAGAAAACTACTATTTGTAGAGGCAATTATTAACTCCACTCCGACAAAGGCATTAGTAGACTCAAAGGCCACTCATAACTTTCTATTAGAGAAAGAAGCCCACCACCTTGGGCTGAACTTGGTACACACTAACGACAAGATCAAAGCTATCAACTCTGAAGTCCAAATCTCGGTGGGACTAGCCCAACACGTGAAGACAAATGGGCACATGGGAAGACCAATTGGACTTCCTCATGCTACGAATAGATGATTTTGATGTCATTCTTGGGGCTGATTTTGCGACCAAAGCAAAAGCAAGAATATTCCTCCACTGCAATGGCATATTGATATGTGGAGGGAAACACTCCTGCTTTGTACAAGGGACCGCTCAGGAGGGAGCAAGACCACAAACTATCTCAGCCATGCAGCTGAAAAATGAATTGTGGCACGAGACGGACACATTCCTAGTCACTCTACAAGAAGTTGAGGGAGAATGGTCAAAAGGTGGGACATCCACATATATTATCTTTACTTAATGAATTTCAAGACATCATGCTAGATAAATTACCTGCTAAATTACCACCTAGGTGAGATATAAAACATATGATTGAATTGTTACCAAGAGAACGCCCACCAGCTAGAGCCCCATACAAGATGTCACCAGCCCACTTAGAAGAATTGAGGAAACAATTGGAAGAGCTATTAGAGGCAGGACATATACAACCCTCACACGCACCATTTAGGGCCCTTGTCCTCTTTCAATGGAAGAAAGATGGAACGTTGAGACTCTGTGTGGATTATAGAACCTTGAACAAAATTACAATAAAGAACAAGTATCTAGTTCATAATGCGGAAGACTTGTTCGACAGGTTGAGAGCAGCAAGAGTGTTCTCAAAATTAGACTTGAAAAGTGGCTAACATCAAGTCCGCATCAAAGAAGGGGATGAATAGAAAATGATGTGTGTCACACGATATGGATCATATGAATTTACAGTCATGCTGTTTGAGTTGACCAATGCTCCGGCAACATTTTGTGCTTTAATGAAACACATCTTTCGTCCATTTATAGACAAGTTTGCAGTGGTCTACCTTGATGATATCCTAGTATACAGTTACAATTTAAGAGAACACTTACTACACTTACGTCAGATATTAGAGACATTAAAATGGCATCAACTATATTTGAACCCTTCTAAATGTACATTTGCGATGACGGAAGTAGAATTTCTAGGTCATGTGATTGGAGGTGAGAAAGTAAAAATGGACCACAAAAAGGTGTCAGCAATCAAAGATTGGCTTGAACCAAAAGGAGTGGCGGAGTTAAGATCATTCCTAGGGTTGGTTAATTATTATCACAAGTTTATCAAGAGTTTTTCTCATACAGCAGCCCTATTGACACAACTCTTGAAGAAAGATCAGCGATAGGAATGGTCGGATAAATGTCAACAGGCTTTTGACAACTTTCGGTCAACAATCATGCGGGAGCCAATCTTACAGCTTCCCAACTTTAGCAAACCGTTTGAAGTATACACGGATGCTTCAGAAATGGCCATCAGAGGGGTGCTGATGTAAGATGGACACCCAGTGGCTTTCGAGGGGAGAAAGTTGAATGACACAGAGCAACAGTACTCGATGCATGAGAAGGAGATGACGACAGTGGTCCACTGTTTGGGGGTGTGGATGCATTACTTACTTGGCCAACACTTCACCATCTACACTGACAATGTGGCAACAAGTTGTTTCAACTCCCATAAAAAATTATCACCTAAACAGGCAAGATGACAGGACCTTTTAACAGAGTGTAACTTCACACTCAAATATAAACCAGGATGGACCAACGTGGTCGCCGATGCACTGAGCCGTCAGGGAGCCATAGTAGAAGCATTTGCATTATCGACGAGTACATGGGATCTTTTGGATGAGATTCGAGCAGCATACAATACGGACCCCACCGTCAAATAATTAATTCAACAGATAGAGTCTGGTGAGACACGCCGACGTTGGCTACTCCGACGTTGGCTACTCCAAGAGACACGATGTGCCCCTTGCTGGACACCCGGGGCAACAGATGACACTAGCCCTCTTATCAGCTAGTTATTATTGACCAAATATGGAGCGGGATGTGGAAACATATGTCCACTTTTGCCTAATATGTCAATAGGACAAGATAGGGCGGCACTGCCCAACCGGAACATTAGCGTCGTTACCTATCTTAGAAGGACCGTGGGAATCTCTATCAATAGACTTCATCACAAGACTACCACGAGTGGGAAACTTGGACACCATCTTGGTGGTGGTTAATAGATTCTCTAAGTATGCCACATTCATACCAACTCGCTCAGAATGCAAAGCGGAAGAAGTGGCCGGCTTATTCTTGACACACATTGTCAAGCTATGGGGCCTTCCACGAGACATTGTTTTGGATTGCGACCCCTGCTTCACTAGAAGATTCTGGTCAGCCCTCTTTACTCTCTTGGGCACTGAACTAAGTTTCTCTATAGCATTCCATCCACAGACCGATGGACAGACAGAGAGAGTCAATGGCATATTGGAAGATTACTTGAGACATTATGTTACCACTAGGCAAGACAATTGGGTGGAGCTCTTGGATGCGGCACAGCTTGCCCATAACATTCAGGAATGTGTCTCTACTAGACACTCTCCATTTGAACTGGCCACGGGAAGGCATGCATTGATGCCTCCAGAATTAGTGAAACAATAAGGACCGGGGTACCTACTGGCCGCATACCGGTTTGTTAAGAACCGTCATGATCAACTAGAGGAAGCCTGTGAAGCCCTTGTGAGAGTTGCTCGATGAATAAAGAAAAATACGGATCGCCATTGACGAGAGGTTAAATACGACATCGGGGACTGGGTACTATTGTGCATATATCCTACCCACAAGAGTCTGCAAAGATTGAAGTGCCATAGCGGATTGGTCCCTAAATACGACGGACTTTTCTAAATCGTCGCCCACATAGGCCGCCTGGCATACCGTCTACGACTCCCTCCACGACTCCCAATCCATCCAATATTTCACATCTCCCTATTAAAAGCTTACAATGCAGATGTGGACGACCCATAACGTAACCGGCCCCGTCGCCCCCCACCAATAGTACAAGCACACTATGACCAAGCAGCCACCGCCATTTTGGATCACCAGGTCATCAACAAAAGAGGGCGCAACCATATCCACCGCAACACATTCTATCTAGTGCAATGGGCAGAACAATCTCGGGAGGCTGCCACATGGGAGAAAGAGGTGGACCTATGGTAGTTTGAGGATCTAATCCAGGCCTACTGGCAACACCATCTGACGAGGATGTCGGACTTTACTGGAGGGGGAGCATGTTACACGGGACCAACAACTGACATGACAACCATGCACAGTACGGCACCCGCATGTAGCACAGTGCCTGCACGTGGAATGGCGCCTGCACAAGGCCCGGTGCTTGCATGCGGCACGACACTCACGCGTGGCACGGCGCCGACGCAGAGCACGGCACGTGATACAAGGGCTCAACAATAGAGGATGACACCACGAGCCTGACATCAGCCAACGGAGGAAGACCATTACCCTAAAGGGGTGGGATCCAAACCTTAATCCCACATCGGAATTAAAGGGAGGACCCACCAGGGGACCTTCTTTAAAGAAGTACCCCAGACTCCATGTAAGATCATTTTAGGAGAAGTCCAGATCCTCCACATTTTGGAGAACTTGAGCCCTCAACATATTAGCTCGGGAGCTCACCAGGGATCTTGCGCAAAGTGGCCGACATCCTTGTTATAAATACTGATGGGTTCCTCGGATCGTGGAAGTAAGACGTAGGAAGATCAACAGGAATGGGGTGCAGACAGCCACTGGAATTTAACTCAATAGCCCCGAAGTACAGAACTGACATCAAAGATGCAACAGAGAAAGAGGCCCTCACTTCTACCGTAGCCGTCCATTCTACTCCAGACAACCCGACTGCTCCAGGTCTGTCCTCAACGGCCTGACCAAACTCCTAATCCACCGGCTTAGCTCGATCCCCATTGACATCCTCGGGTCCTGAACCCTTGTGCCACAGCATGATCCCTCCCCATGCAGGCCCAGCAGAGACAATTTATTAAGAGAGTATCTACCTCACCCGCCTCTATCACTTCCACGAGGGCCAAAGTTGCTTCACTCCCCACTCCACGACACCCCGCAGGAGAACGATCCATTCAGTGGCCGTGGCACCCACATCCTTCCCCATTGGACAGGCCCACAACTCGAGAATCAGCGCCAACTTCGCTCCCCTCCACCATGGCCATGTGGGAGAGGATGTGGGGCGGTCTAATGTTGGAGTATGTAGGTGCCCTCGTGGAAGTGATAGAGGTGGTTGAGGTAGATACTCTCTTAAAAAATCATCTTTGTTGGGCTTGCATGGGGATGGATCTTATTTGAGCTTTCAAGTTTCGGGGAAAGGTTGGCGAGCAGGCAGTGAGGGTCTTGGTGGACACTGGAGCCTCCCATAACTTCATCGCATAGACAACGGTGGCAAGTTCGAGCTTCACAACACCACAACCCCTTTCAAGTCATCACAGGAACGGGCGAAAGGTACAAGCTGACTTCCCAAGTCTGACGGATTTAACTCCATCTTGGTCGTCGTCGACCGGCTGAGCAAATACGCGCATTTCTGCACCCTCAAGTACCCCTTCACCGCACTGGTAGTAGCCGAGATCTTCACCAAAGAAATCGTAAGACTTTATGGCATTCCCATCTCCATACTGTACGACAGAGATCACATCTTCATGAGGAACTTCTGGACAGAACTCTTCCGGCTCCCAAGGTCCACTCTCCGCCGGACGAGCGCTTATCACCCTCAAACTGACGGCCAGACCGAAGTGGTCAACCGCCCAGCATCGTGGACCGACAGCTCCAGGATCGTGATGCATTGCTGGCAGACGTGAAGCGCCATCTCAGCACCGCCCTGCAACGGATGAAAGACTATGCTGACCGGAAGCGCCGGGAGGTCGAGTTCAGCGTGGGAGACTTCGTTTTCCTCCGCATCCATCCTTGTCATCAATCCTCACTCAAGGGCCGGCCCAACGAAAAACTGGGCCCTCGTTACTATGGGCCATTCGCGGTACTCCAGCGGATAAGCCCAGTAACTTATCGTCTGGACCAACCGAGCTCTTCCAATATTCATCCGGTCTTCCATGTATCTCAGCTCAGAAATGCTATCGGGACCACGACGGCGCACACCCCAGACCAACTTCCTCGCAGCCTTGAACCGGATGACAGCTATCAGTCGGCAGCGCTCCTCGACATTTGGCAGCGGCCCCAAGGCTTAGAGGTGCTTATCCAGTGGGAAAACCGTTCGCTCTCTGAAGCATCGAAGTGAGGGAATTGCTAAAGAACGCTGCGCGCAGATTCCCAGGAGGCTTCAGAGAGCCGACGGTTTTCCCAGTGGATAAGCACATCCAGGCCTTAGGGCCGTTGCCGAATGTCGAGGAGTGCCGCCGGCTGAGACGGGAACATTGGCTAAAGTCAGGTCTCATTAACCTGCGAACCGCGGCCATGTCGAACAAGCATAAGGAAAGACTCGGATGGATCAGAGAAAAAATGGCGGAGAGAGAAGATCGAAGCAAGGAGATGAGAACATTGGGGTCCGTCAGGTTTCATTTACCTGCGAGCAGCGGCCATGTCGAACAAAGCGTATGGAAAAACTTGGATGGATCAGAGAAAAAATGGCGGAGGGAGAAGATCGAAGCAAGGAGATGAGAACATTGACGTCCGTCAGGATTCATTTACCTGTGAGCAGCGGCCATATCGAAGAAGCGTAAGGAAAGTCTCGGATGGATCTGAGAAAAAAAGGCGGAGAGAGAACATCGAAGCAAGGAGATGAGACATTGGCGTCGATCAGATCTCATTTACCTGCAGAGCGGCTGGAGCAAGGCCTTCGCAGGGTTTCCGATTGAGGGAGTCGGAAAAGATGGAAGATGGCGGGAAATCCTATTCTGAACCAAAAGCACGACCAATTTTAACGGAATCTCACCCACCCCTCCTCCTAAATGGGCCATAGTATAGTGGGCCTAAGTTGAAATAGCGAGGCAGGCCCACTTAAGGACGGCCCAAGCCTCAGAAAGGAATGGGAGAGCCAAAAGGGAATCCCACTACTGACTCTGGAACTCAGAGTGGGAACAGAGCAGATGGGGTCGGTGAGGTGAAGAGCAGGTCCTTACCGCCTCCCTGGTCGGCATCAAAGCCCTCAAGCGGGCATGGAGGCGAGCAGAAGGAGCGGCGGCGGCAGGACGAACCTCGCCTCCTGCGTGGTGGCGGCGGCGTTCCTCATCCTCGTGGCGGTGGTCCTCCTGGTTGTCTTCTTCCTGGTTTTCCGGCCAAAGGAACCGCGGATCGCGGTGAACAACTTCCAGGTGCCGAGCTTCGCGGCAGCCAACGGCAGCGTCAGATTCACCTTCGCGCAGTACGCCACGGTGCGGAACCCTAACCGCGCGGCCTTCTCCCACTACGACAGCACTCTCCGGCTGGTATACGGCGGCAACCAAGTGGGGTTTATGTTCATCCCCGCCGGGGAGATCGACGGCGGCCGCACGCAGTACATGGCCGCCACATTTGACGTCGGCTCCTTCCCCGTGCCGCCGGCGCCGCCGGGGGCTGGGAGCCTAGTGGTGGAGTCTCGGATGAATCTGAAGGGGAAGGTGAGGGTTCTGAGATTCCTCACTCACCGCGTGGAGGCCGTGTCCTGGTGCCAGGTCGGCGTCTCCGCCGGCGACGGTTCCGTGCTCGGATTCCGCTGCTGATTTCCCTCGAGCTCCGTCGGTCTCAGATCTGCTCTTCTCATTGTTCCACAACAACTTGGGGAGAAATGAGGGAAAAGGATAGAAGAGACCGCATATATTTCAAATCACGTATGACTGCAATTTTTCAATACTCTTCGAATCTCCGTCTCCTTCCCTTCCTCTCTTCCTTTCCTTCTTCTCCCGCTGATCCCTCCTGCGTCCTCTCCTCTCTCCCTCTCTCTCTCTTCTTCCAGGTCCCGATCTCCTGTCCGAGATTCCCTCCGTTCTCTCCTAGAAAGAAAAAAAAAGAAAAAAAGATTGAAATATTTCGAAATCCACTCTCTCCTATTTTCTCTGTTATTTTTTAAATCGTGGGCATTGCTATCACACGATAATATCAGAAAATAATTATGAAACTATAATAAAATTAATTATTATTAACTTTGATTTTTTGCTTCCAAGAGAGAGAGAGAAAAAAGCATCTCATCTTTATAGTATATTATGAGAAAATGCGTTTATTTTATGAGAATATGACGCCATTTATTTTTTAAAAATTACTGTAATTCTGAGCATTGCGCTTTACTTTTTGATTTTTCGCTCCATGACAATTTCTATATTTAGCCAGATTCTCTTGGGCCGGCCATTGGCTTACAACGGCCCGTGAGTGGGTAAAGTCGACACCTCCACCGCCGCTATTTTCTCCACACGCTCCACGTGGCTCCCCGCTGTGTCGGCCCCCGAGCTAGGCGTCTGGGGCCCACCGGCTCGGCCCACAGTGAGCTATGAGCCGGAGAAAGCCCACTACGCTACTGGGTCAAGAAAACAAGTATGGGCCACGAAGTGAGTCTGTTTTTTTTCCAGTTTTTTTTGTGATTAACCCCTCGTGATGTTTCTACATTAACAGTTTGACCCGTCAAGAACGACTAATAAATGAGGTGGAAGGAAGAAAATGCAAACGGAACGAAAACGGAAGGGCTACGGGGGACACCTTCTCCGCCGCCGTTAGTTGCTTGCTGGCTACGGGGTCAGGCCGGAGAGGAAGGCGACGCCGGTGGAGGGCAGCCAGGAGGTGCCGTGGATGAACCGACGGACGGTGAACTTCGCTGCTTCCTCCTCCATGGCGATGACGCGGTAGCCCGGCCAGTTGACCCGCAGCCCCACGGCGGCGCCGTCGCCGGAGTTCCTGTACTCGCCGTAGTACAGAGTATCGACGGCGAAGTCGCCGTCCCACTCGAGCCAGCCGGCGGGGTGGACGTGGCCGGCGATGTGGGAGAGCATGAAGACGGTGCGGGAGTAGGCCTTCCAGGGCCGGCCGAGGAAGGTGGGGTAGCGGCGGTGGTGGCGCCCCTCCTCCTTCTCCGCCGCCGCGAGTTCCGGCGAGGGAAGGACCCGGGAGACGTGGATGGAGATGCCGGTGTTCTGGTTGGGGTCCTTCCGGCCCTGGGCGGTGATGGTGTTCTTTTGTTTCTCCAGCGGCCGGCGGGCGTAGAGGGTGCAGTTCTGCAGCACCACGGCGGCGTTGCCGAAGACGAAGTCGACGGTGCCGGCGACGGCGCAGTCGCGGTAGAACTGCCGCTGCGAGTGCACGTAGAGTGTGTCCTGGTAGCCCAGCACGTCGCAGCGGTAGACGACGGCGCGGTCGGCGCCGACGCGTAGCGCCACCGCCTGGTGCTTCGCCGGCCCCGCCGTGTTCTCGAAAGTCATGTCCCTCGCCACGAACCCCGTCCCCATCGCCGCTGCGATCAACCAGAAAGGAAGAAATGAATCATCTTCGCGCCGTCGTTCCTTAATTCTCTATCTTTCTTCTTTCTTCTCTTGTCTTACCGAAGGTGGCGGTGTGGAAAGTGGTGAGGCGGTCGGAGACACTGAGGTTGCCGGAGACGATGGTCTTTCCCCTGCCGTCGCCGATGAACATCAGGTTCGTCTTCTTCCTCCCCACCTTCACGTTCTCCTCGTATCTGCGCGGCGAGTTGCGATGAGGAGGAGGAAGAGCTTCGGCAAGACAATCCAGAGAGGATCTCTCACCTTCCAGCCTTGATGTGGATGATGATGCGGCGGGTACTGTGCTCCGGCGCCGCCTTCACCGCCTGCTGAATCGTCTCGTACCTCCCGCTCCCGTCCTGCGCCACCACTAAGTCCGCCTCTATCGCCACCGCCGGCGTCTCCAGCAAGCTCCTGTCTTTCCCCGTGACCCACGCCGGAAACGGAGCGTCGCCCATCAGCCGCCGCCGGCGGTTCTGGATGGGGATCTCGGAGAAGTCGTCCCCTCCGCTGGAGCCCGCGAATATGGCGAGGCTGTTGCTCGCCATCTCCCAGAGATCTTCGAGGTACGCCGCCAGCTGGTCCTTCAATGGTCCGGCGGCGACGCCGGCGAGCCCCTCCGCGCAGGTGTCCTGGTTCGTCAGCGCGGCGCTCAGCCACGTCCGCACGTCGGCGTCCGCCGCCGAAGGCCCCCTCCGGCCGGCAGCGATGGCGGCGAGGGAGCGGCGGAGCTGGTCGACGGAGTCTTCCATCAGCTCCATGCAGTCCTCGTACGCCGCCCGTTCGAGCTTCTCCATCTGCAGGTTGGCGATGGCGGCGGCGCGGTAGAACGCCCTGCCGACGTGCCGCAGCGTCACGTTCACGGCGACGTGGACGAGCTCGTTCTGGGGGACGGCCATGGCGCCGGGGAAGTTGACGAGGGAGGAGATGCAGAGTGCCGGGTAGCGGGTCATGGCGCAGGTTCTCGAGATGGCCTCGCTGGGCTTGGTAAGCTCCTCGCTCCTCGAGCGTCTGGCAGCGAGGAGGATTCCCAGGGAGGCGGCCCCGCCGCCGACGAGTAGGAGGAGGACGGCGCCGAGGGAGGCCAGGAGGAGGTAGCGCCGCCGCCGTGGGCGTTCCTGAGGGGGTGCGGGAATGCCGGAGGCGGCGGCGCCGCTGCGGAAGGACTCCGAGGGGACTAATTTGCCGTAATTCATTCTTCCTCCGGCCCAGCAGATCGACTTGCTTCCTTGAGAGAGACGGAAGAGGAGGCGGAGAGATGGGAAGAGGACCGTCTCTACGCCGTTTGATAGAGAGAGAAAGTCGGTGGCGGGTCTACGTCGGAGGAATGAGCTGAGCTGGAAGCTAATACGGAAGCACCTCCTCAAGAGTACGCACAGTCCTTTCGGTATAGAGTGAGAGAGAGAGAGAGAGAGAGACAATGAGAGAGGGCCCCGTGGAAGACCGGAAGGTCTTGTTCAATGTGTTGTAACACATGGGAGACACTGAAACATGGATGTGGGGCCCATCTCCTTGGCGGCGGCAGTTCTTGCAAGTTGGCCCAGTAAAGAGAGTCAAACATGAAACAAATCCCTTTTACGAGATCATTGATGAAAACATCGTATATATCTACGCCGCCCAATGCGAAAACAGCCTCACCGGCCCCCAGGAACGCCTCTTCATCTTGTCCACACCCACATTTATCCACGTACCCTCAAAACTATCAAAATTGTGTTTTAACTAGTAAAAGTATGGTTGAGAGGGGTGACAGTGGGAGACGACGTCGGTCAAGCCCACTACCGAGTGGACTTCCACTTCCTCCTCCCCCCCCTCCCCCTATAGAAACCTGGGAATCGACAGGTGGTCGCTTCCGTGTGTGTGTGTATAAGCGAGAGAGAGAGAGAGAGAGAGGTTGTTCACACGTGTGAATCTTTGCTTTATGCGCCAGCATCCAACTATCTAAAAAGCCTTCTATGAGGGGAATGTGTTCTTCAAGAATATTATAATTTCAGATAATTAAAAAAGGTAAAGGGAAATAATGGCCAATCGTACGCCACGTCACCCTCCGTCGCTCTTTTCTCCCTTTATTCGGACATAAAAAACTGTTATTGAAATATTTTTATTTAAAAAAAACATAAAACATTGAATTCTTTCAGATGAGCCCGTCTACTGGATGGCCCAATATCAGGTCGGTGCCCAACTTACTCTATATCAAGTCGGTGCTCGAGTAAAGAGTTGACATTGGTGGCGGCGGCGAGCCGTCTTCTAACAGCACATATCATGCCACGTGCCCAAGGCATCTTTTTTGCTTCGGAAAAAAATCAGGCTACGAGGTAAGAAAATATTAATTAGCTAGTAGCATCTATGAGATAAAAGTATTGACTGCATGAGCTTGATTGAACAAGCACGTTTTTTTTAACTTTATTTCACGATCATCAGTCCATAAAAGTCAAAAAGAGATGAGATTTTGTTCTAATTCATGTGACCCATTATTTTTGGCATTGCTAGGACAGAAACCTAGCTTCCGAAAAACCTAGGTTCATGAGGGCAGTTCCCCCTAAAACAGGAAAACATAAATAGTAATTAATAATTTAGACACAAAAGTCACTATTTTGTAGCTGTTCTGTGCTAATGTCAACGAGTCCATTGAAAGTTTCTTCTCGAGGAAAAAAAAGAGATTTTTGAGGGGTGGATGAGCCCGCGATCTCGATAATATGAACTCCATAGTGGAAATCCGTCGTGAGGCCTTTAGGTCAGCAACTACACTGTTGACCTTCCAACCTGCTACAACGCTGGTCAACGGGGGGATCCATGAGGTATTACCACGTGCTGTTGATGAATGATGAGCCAGGCCAAAGTCAATAGGCCAATCACGGCCAATCTGGGGGACCCACCCATTTTTCCTCAGACTGGACCCAACCGGAAGCCCACTTATCCTCTTAATTATAAACCTTGGTCAAATAATGACGATGATAAATGCCCATCTGCTACGCGGCCTGATTTCCATTGGGCTAAGAGAGGGTATACACCGGTATGCACATAATGGTTATAGATGCAAGATTACACCGGTTTCAGCAGGCCAAAAAATAAATAAAAAGGTCGAGGAGGGCCCCAAAATAATAAAGCACGCAAAGACGTACATGACCGACCATATGAACAAGGAAGCCAATAAATAAATGAATATAAAGCAAATAAGTCAAAGGTCGGATGCGAGCATATTATATATAAAACCTCCACAGCAGCGTCGGTCGGTCGGTCAGTCGTCGTCTACTTGGACCAGGCCACGGCGTCGATGTCCGCCTGGGCGCTCCTGTACAGCTCCAGCCTCTTGGCCAGCGAGATCCGCCGCTCCATGATCGCCGGATCCTCGTCCAACAGCGCCGACAGCTGCTTCGTCTGCCACCCACGTAAACCCCACATCCATTCTTATCAGAGCTCTGGACAGAGAGAGTGGGGGGTAGGGTGGGGCGGAGGGGCGGGGGGCGGAAGGGGTTCAACTCACCTCCTTCTTTCCGAGTTCGGCAAAGAAGTGGTCGAGGAGGCTCCTCTTGGCCTCGCGGACCTGGCAGTAGGCGATGGACTTGGGGATGGAGTCGCGGAGGGTGGCGCAGACCATGTTGACGTAGGAGAGCACGGTGGAACCTGCGCGCGTGGGGAGGAAGGAGGGTCATTTCAGAAGGGGAGGGGACAGAGGGTCGTTTCTACTGCTACTAATAGAAAGAAAGGGAGGAACGTCGACCTATCCTCCGAAGGTACGTGTCGTTGTAGCGGTCGAAGATAGAGTGGGTGGGGTTACCGCCCTTCTCCACGTCCTGGGGGAGCTTCCGGAAGAAGTCAACGGTCAGGTAGCTGCACTCCATGTCGACCAGCTTCAGCGTCGATTTCTTGCTCTCTTCCCTCATCCTCTCCAGCGAGTCGTACGCCGCGTTCCCCACCTCTACTCTCAGCGTCGGGTACTGCTTCAGCTCCTGTTCCCGGAAACCAACACACATCACGATCACATAAACATGGCCCCTCTCTCTCTCACTCTGTCTCTCTCTCTCTCTCTCTCTAGAAGATGGGACTTACAGAGGTCTCATTCACGGCCTTGTGGACCAGCTCCTTCAATATGGAATGAACCTGAACAGCATAATTCCGTAAGAGATTATTCAAATTGGGTAAAAGCTAACTAAGATTATTCATTGGATCCTCTACATTTATGTTTTCAGGTCGCTAGGTGCTTGATCAACAGTGGGATGATTTCTATGGGGAGGAGGGGTCGTCTTACCGCATCAACGGAGGCCTCAGCGGGGCCGCGGATGCTGACCAGGGAAGACTCGATCAGGCGGCGGTATCCTTGCTCGGGGGCGATAAGGTGGGGCTGATATCCGTCGGCCTCGGTTATCAGCTTTCTTACGTTCTCCATGGAAAGCTGCTTGTCGAACTGCAATCTCTTCAGAGCCATGGGGAGCTGGTTGTCAAAGACATTGTTGACCTTGTCACCACCAGAACGCCTGCAACGAACAAAATTGTCAGGAGAAAGCAGCCCAACAAGATCACCCAAGAGATGGTGGAGATAATGCATGGTAAGCCGAAGAAATGGGAAGAACATCAACATATATCCTCCGATCTCTAATCCTTTTAATGGAATAAGTGAGGCAGAATACGTACACGCCGTCCAGATGTTCTTTGAAATTCTGGTCGAAGATCCGACAAATCTCCATGATCATGTAGAGTTTTCCCTGCATCCATGACGAACCTTGTGAGCAATAATCAGCACCCTACAGAACCCACATTATCAGAGATTTCCGCAAAATAATGAAGGCCCGTGGATTTCTTAGGTTTCTAAGTGTGAACCTAGATCGATACACCACCTCCATCCATTTGATGTCCAAGCGTTTTAATAAAAAAAAGTAATTATGCATAAAGGGTATAACCGGAAAATAAAAATAAAAATTGTCAAAGGCGAAATAGTCAACGCGAACTGGAGGATTATTAATAAAAAATGCACCGGGCCCATTCCAATGCTTGTTTTCTTCCAAGTAGTGGCTGACGAAATGAAACGAGGCTTACACCAGCATCTGTGGCAACGGGCTTCCCAAGACGGTTGAGTTCTGTTTCCAATTCATGGATGCTTTTACTGATGAGCGACTGAAGACTGGGTATCCTTGACTTGATCACTGTTTCCAGATGCTACATAAGGAATGGAAAAACGGTTAAATCTTCGATTCGAAAGTGAATGTGATTAGACAACAGGGAAGAATCATTCGATCCACCTTTGAGAGCATCTTTGCCAAGTGTTCGGAACCCATTCGATGAGCAAGATGCTTGTACTCCGGGGTGGTTGAGAAATAGTCGCGCTCTCTACGGCGAGCAGCGATCATATCCACATTCTTGTTGATATCAGCTTGAGAACGATTGACGACACCGATCCATGGGTACTGGAGCCGGTATGATTTCCCCTCCAGTATCTACGAAATGATGAATTATCAAGCCGTGTCCATTAAAACTGTGACTGCATTCGTCTGATGAGCATAAAATAATAATCATTTACTCAAATTTTGGAAGGAATATATATCATACCAATGCCGCGTTATTTTTCAAGGAGCAGAAATCATCAAATGCATGATCCGATTAAAGCAAGATTAACAGAGACATTCACAACTTTCTCACGATGACAGATGAGCAAATGATTGAATCATTCGATATCAAAAGAATTTTTTCATGGCTGCCACATGGATTACTGAAATTTTCCAATCAGCATCTGCCAATGAACTGAATCCTTCAAGGTACAAGAACAATTATGGCAGCCGCTACATGGTCGCTACATTTTTTCACAGTACATTAGACAGGGACTGATCCCATCCACAGTTTCTCTGGAAAATAACACGGGGTCAACAAACAGGAGGTTGAGAATAGAGGGAAGGGGAGTGAAAAAAAATAGTGATGCTATTATGATATCTCTTGGTTCCAACGAAACCAGATGAAGGGTACAAAAGCTCATAATAGTGACAAGAAAGAGATAACCTCTGCCAGAAAGAACTACAGGCAGAAGAATCAGAGAGAATCGTGTAAATTGATTTAGAGATCATAATATTCGAGGTGAATTCGAGCCAAAATATAAGATGGCGTGTAAGAATAATAGGGCGTGCGATCAATACAACACGGCCACTTTTAGATTTGTTTTCAGTCACAAGATTGAAAACACAAGAGCAGTGATTCGAATAGGTAAAGACAGAACCAAGCATCAGGCCTGCTGCAAATGAAAAAAATGGAGAAACTTCGGGATGAGCACAGTATATTGGATCAATATAATGATGATAGACTCACATCAACGGCGTCAGTACCCTTATCCATAAGATCAATCTTTGTCAGAACTCCAAATGTCCTCTCCCCTGCAGAAAAGTTAGATCATGAAACTACATTGATGAATCACATAAAATATTTTTTCCACTCTACCTGGCGGATAAAGAACACACACAATTGTTACAAATCAATCTAGCTCAGACGGTCTTCTATCTCAACTGTTTTTGAAGTTAGTTTTTCAATGAAAGCATGTAAATTAAACATAAGTCTGACTGAGTATATCCAAATAGTAACCAAGTCAGCACAATAAATTATTTTATTTTATTTTATTTTCTGAGTCTCAATGGAACAGCCAAACATGACTGACCTTGTCTAGACAACTTTGACACGAAATTTGTACCAGGTTTATGATTGACTACATATACTTTCCTAATGGGAGGAAATACCATTGTTTTAAAGGCAGCCCAAGTCTTGAGGTATCAACCATACGATGACTTGTGTCTTTTGCTCTGTGAGAGACCGAGGAGAGAGAGAGAGCGAGAGGGAGTCTTTAATTCTAGTGGACAATTTGTTGATGAGGGAGCCAGATTGGAGAAACATAAGGAAATTCAAAAGGGAAGCTTAAAAAACAGTTAATGACATTTGCTTAGGAGTGCATCGCCAATTACAATTAACGCGTTGCATTAAGAAGTGCAGAACATCCTCCATGTCAAAGAAGTGGTTGAGATTTATGGTGATATAAACCACAGCTTGATCTACCATCTTTCTTCACCACGGGATTACATTAAGATGGGCTTTTGCACTATGTAACGTCCCTGTTTTGCATTATGCTACTTTATGACAGAAACGCGCTTTGATTCATCCATGTAAATTGTTTAGGCGATACCACAACACAGATGTAGAACTTTTTCTTTCAAATACCTTTATATTATAAATAAATAAACCCATATAATTCTATCACACGATTTACCAAAGGGAAAGAACAATAACGAATCATTTTATCAACAAATAATTTACCCTCCAAATTTAAAATTGCAAGCATGATATCCCTACCGATGTCATTTTAAAAGGAAATCGAGAAATAAAATGTAACATTTTACAATTTCTGCCATGAATGACATTATAAGAAATACGGTGCACACTGGGTACAGAACTAGAATAACAAGTTTCTGGAAACAGAATTTCTGCCAGGAAATGAGAAAGCCAGGGAATCACACCTTTAGGGTCAACCTCACGGGAAATCTTAATGGCATCTGATGTAGCAAGATCCTGATTAGCAGGTGAAATAGCAAGAATAATGCAATTCGGCTGCATGTTGAAGGGGTAGAAAAGTTAAAAAAAATTATAAAGAAAATTGTAAGCATCAGTCAGACTTGCATGCAAGTTCCCATCTGTTCCCTGGCTTGTTCGCTTAGATAAAAGTGAAAAACAAGATATGACAAGAAAATAAAATGAAATTTCGTGACATAACATCATGTAAAAATAATTTTTGAAGCATTTACAGCAGTGAAGTTATTTATCAAGAGGAAAGGCTGAAAAAAACCATCTGCGCAAGAATCATTTTATAAAAACATTTTGGACATAAAATCAATCAAGTTTACCGACTCTTTCAGTCCAGGAAAGCCATTTGCACCGATAATCAAACTCACTAGAAGAAAGAGGAAAACATCGCTATAAGCTATCTCAGTTAACGTAGTTTTCTAACCGAACATGAAAGGGCATCCCCAAAGGATGATAGAATTAGTATCAGGCCTCAGATCACCAGTATCAGATTCTCATACTGATCAGATAGGTTCAGCTGAATAGGCACATCCAAGAGAAAATAAATGCCTGATTTGGGTTAAAAAAATATAGAAGAAGAGGATATATGAGTAATTCATAAGACTAGGCTTATAAATAAGTTTATAAAAATATCAATACAGGTTGGTTGGTGAGGAATAAGAGGAACCACTGGTTAGCAAAAGTAGGTTACCAGTGGGGATTCATTATTTTTGTTTTCTTTGCTTTGCCGTTAGCTCCAGTTGCCTGTTCCTGTCTCTCCTCCAAAGAGAGCCTTCTCTTCATCCACTTGTTCTCCTTTCTTCTTCCTATCAGGCTCTTTCTGTGGCAACTACAGGGCCGTAAAAGACCTAATTCCTTTTTCCCCCTTTTAATTTTTCCTTTTAAGTTTCCAGAGTCTCCCCCGCCCGCTGCCCCAAAGGGGGGGGGAGGGGTTGGGGAGAGAGAAATTAGGGACACAAACTCCACCAAATTGAACCATATTCTATGCTGCAGGTCCTTCTCTCTCCTTTTGTCATAGCGGGAAGGAGTTCCAGTTCTTCTTTATTTCTTTTTGCAAAACATGGAATAATATGACGGTACTAGACAGCTGGAGAGCTAATGGATGACATATCTAGCACCGATGTCTTACCTTTTCAATAAATGAGCGAACCATATTCTCTATATCTGCAACAATGCTATCCGGTTGTCCTTCTACATTCACAATTACATAAAAAAATCAAAACTGAGGAAATAGACAAAACATGGCAAAGAAGAATAGATTTACAACATTGAGAACATACCAACAGCAACCTTTGTAAGCCCAGGAAGGTCAATAAGTGTCAGATTTACAACTGTTGAGATCAAAGTTCAAAGCAAAGAATCAGAATAAGCTCTCATAAACCTAGGATGCATAACACAAATTCAAACATGGATATGGTAAAAATCAAACGCACTAAATACTTATCTTGTAACCCAAGCGGTTTCCAAAATTATAGCTAAATTTATAGCCAAAATCATAATTTTGATAGGGTCGAATTGGAATTCAATGCATAAACCAAGAAGTGAATCGTGTAGCGAAGGCCAGATTTACCAATCAAACGACAGTTGAGTTATAATTAATGAGAATGAAAATATCGTATCCTTTGAAGAATAGAGTTCCAACACATTAATTTAACAACTATCTCAAACATCAGTCACACAGAAAAATCTCCACAAGGAAAGATATCATTTCTTAGGCTTATGACTCTATATCTCTGCCTGCCTTTTTTCTGGGATTGAAAATCTTGATGAAGGGCATAAACGAAAAATGAATTTCTTGAGGGAAATATGGGAAGAGAGATAAACGATATTCAAATCATTGGATGCCAGAAACCATCGGTTGAGAGAATCACTGTGATCATTAAAGAGGTAAAAAAAGCAGGGAAGAAGAGACGTTGGGAACTGCAATGCAACAAAAAGTTTCTTCACTTTCATTTCTCATGAGAATCTAGTAAACGAGCGAATATAGAAGGAACCCTGTTTTTTTAGTCTAATCATTGATAAAAAAAAATGCCTAATAATTTAAAGGCTTGAAACATATGAAGCATGGTCCTTTTGAATATCAAATGGTAATAAGCGACGGAATGATAGTTAGCACAATGCATAAGAAGACCGGACTGGCAATTTAATTCAGGAGGATAACTTCCGTGAATATCCATCTCAGATCAAAACATTTAATCAAAAAGCACATTATGAAGATAACCATCTCCAATTCACCTATTCATACATAAATGGAAGTATCACCTCAAACATGCAATCCGAAATTCCCAACACAAATATTCATATTTTAGAAATGACAACGATGATAATAATAAGAACAGTAGCAAAGCGGACCCTTCTAACTTACCATTAGGAGAGTATATACTAAGATGGATTGGCACACTAGAGATCTGCTTGCTCCGACCTGTCTCACGATCGGTCTCATCAGAAATCTCCTTCCTCACTTGAGCTGCATGAATGCCGACAACACATGCTAAAAGTTATAATCTCACCCGCATGCGATTAAACAATGTTCAATGACAAACATGCTATGCCGCAGCCAAAGGCTCCTTTCAGAAGCAAACCACCAATGGCAACCATTGATCATGTTGATAACTCTGAGTTTGGCATCTAAGGACATGAGTTTGCAGATATATGGAGGAAAAGCTATACGGCAAACACAGGAAAAAAAATTGGTTCAAAGTGCGTGAAAAAAGAAAAGTGAAGGCGAGCCATGGAGGCAAGAAATCATTATCACACCACCTTAAAACGCCGATTCCATGCAATATTTCATACGACTTAAAAGCTATTCCACTATAATGCTGAAAACTGTACGAAAGCTAATCCTAAAAAAAAAATCGTGCTGTTTCTGAGATTTTAAAATATGATTACCAAAATCGGTGAAGCGCTTTCTTGGAAGATGAAGGAACTCAGCATATTCCCTCCCGTCATCAATCTTGTGAAGTTGCAACACAAGGGGACGTCGAGTGACAATTCCTGTGAATCAATAGCAATGCCATTTTCATAAACGTGACACTGAAAACAAACAGGTCAGAGGGAGGTAATTTTATAAAAAAATGATTGGGGTATTGTAACTCACCAGATCCCCGGGGCAAGAAATCCTTTCCAACAATGCTCTCCAGCACTGATGATTTACCCGAGCTCTATTAAACATTTAAAACACCATAAGACAGTACGCTTTTGTACATCAAAATGAAAGTCGATGTGCACCAATAGGATGAGAATACGAATGAGATTAGGATTCAACCCAGAAAAGGTTTGCAGGTCCTAATCCATCAAGATGATAAATGAACGATACACACCTGAAGATAAGTGAAACTGTAGACTTAATTCAGACGTCTAAGGGCTGATCCAATTATATGAAGCATCTGAGAGTCGTAGGGATTTATTATGTTAGGAAATAGGCCAGATTTGCACGAAGTTTTTAGCTTTTTTGAGAAAATTCAAACTTCTGGGCATTAGTCTATTTATTTCTGATTAAATTGCTGACAAGCCATGTTAAGCATATTTAGTTTCTGCTACACTCTATGGTATTCTTTAGATCTGAAGCTTTTTCGCCACAACAGCACGTCAATAATGCCTTCGATATTCCTCCATCATATGGACAAAGCTTGAAAGATTCAATTACCACGGAACATGACTGTTCATCATAAATTTGGAGTAATACATAATATTAAGAGCCAGTGAGAAAATTACAAAAAAGAACTTTTTCACAAGAGTAAATGATTCAAGGCAACTCTATGGGAATTGCAATGGATATTTGGGAAAGCAGAAATTCCTATCCAAATACTATTCAATCATATTCTTAAAATGTTTCTCTTAGCCTTCCTCCTATGGGGGCTAGTACATCCACCCTTGTCCAGTCTATGAGCTTTTGGACGTAAAACAGAGAAAAGAAAATTAAATAAGGAGAATTGAAACATCTAGCTTCGATGAATATATCGGTGCCATCTCCTACAAAGAAAATTTGGGTCCCTGGCGACGGAATATTTCAGTTTTCAACCATCGTAAAATACCATTGACGGCTAATCGATGGAAAGTTGGAAAATATTAAGCGGATCTTCCCACGAGTAAGCAATCTACGCAATCCGAATCAAAATTGCAACTAAGGTTCGAAAATCCAACTTTCGTTCAGTAGATTAGAGAAGCCGGCGTCACAGATGCGGAAAGGAGGCAAAGTTATACAGTAGTGATCTGGAGAAACGACCCGGATCTGACCAGAGAAGGAGGAAATAAAGCAGAAGGCTGAGTGGGAAAATTCCGGACACCCACCTGCCCTCCGACGACAGCAATAGCAGGCAGCGAATCCCACAGGGTCGGCAGCGCGCTCTCCTCGCCGTGATCACCCAGGGCAGTACACGCCCTCTGGAGCTTGTTCACCAGGGATATCAAATTCTCCATCCCTCTCTTCCTCTTCTTCTCCCCTCTCTGCGCTCAGCTCCCTCCTCTTCGCGTGAGAGAAGAACAAGGAACAGGCGCCAAGAACAACGCAGGATTCCGATCTGGTGAGGCAGAGAGTCCCCCGCCGATTCAACCAGGGGCTTGGGAGAGGGAGGAGGCAGCGATTAGAGCGAGAGAACAGTAGTTGCCGACGTATATGACACCACCGAACGAGCGAGAGAGAGAGAGAGAGAGAGAGAGAGAGAGAGAGAGAGAGAGAGAGAGTTTTAAAGTAATTAATAAATCAAAATACCATAAAAAATTTGGTCTGCTGTCATCGTCAAAATATCGCCTCAAATTAAAATCGAAGATAGAAAACGTCAAAGGCTGTTTTCAGATTTGGGATGGACCGTCCGATCCAAGGGTGGCGGCGACCCGCGGAAATTGACCGGGGCGGATCAGCTCGGGTCGGCCGGTTCCACCTAGGCAAGAACTCGAATACCGAAATCCGTCTCCTCTTCCTCTCTCATCTCTGCTCTTGCCACTCGGCACTGTGAAATGAGTCACCCTACCCACAACTCCTCCCTTCTCTGGGCATTTCAAGCCGAATTCAAATATATATAATTCCCAAAGCGGCAATCAATGTAGTGCTCTGAAGTAGTTGTACATTGATATCTACAATAAGGTATGCGATAAACAATCTTTTTCTGTAACCACCACACACAAACACACAAAGAGACCAGGTGTCAAGCATAGGAATGGGCTAAAGCCCTACCGATAGAAACTTGAGTAGGAGACAAAAATGTCAACAAGCTAGAGTTGTTGACGCCTACGCGAACATTTTAAGAGCTGACTTTTTTTCTGGGCATTTATGCAAAGGACTTTAAAACATGATACTTTGTTTCCTGAAGATGTTTCTGGTTTATACACAGAATCAAGTTCTGTTCTTCAGCACCGACAAGAAGATTCAACGCAATAATAATCTTCTGAGCGGTGAGAGAAATATTTCAAATTTTGAACCGTTAAAGCTCAGTTTGGCCGCATGAATATCAACTGAAGGTAAAAGGGATTACTCATCAAAAGAACAAGGTAAGAGGGAATCGGGGCAGGGTGACCACAATTCTGACCATAAAAGGCTACTGAAGAGGAGCAAGGGAACGACCATTCGGGGAAAAATTACTGATGGCAATTTTTCAAAGGAAAACACGACGCAGGAGAAATCACCTGTTTCTTTCGTAGTACATCATTTGAGGAAGACTACGGTCCATACAACCCGGCAATAAACACCGATAACTAAATGGGACTTTGATTGAGTTCCCGAGGTTCCTGAATATGTCGTCTGTGGCGCTCGTTTTTCTATGCATAGAACAGTTAAACAAATCAGTTCCAAAAAGGTACGTATATGATATAAAAGAGAGTCTTGAAAGTATCTGGATGAAGGAAAATAGACACGGCGTAGTCAGTGGGATTTTCTGAGAAAGAAACAGTCCAGTAAGTGGGAGAGACATGAACAGATGCAATTTCTTCGGATAGAAAGAAAGAACTGGAAGTGAATTATATATTTTTCTTTTGAAAATTGTGGCCGAAAGAATAACATTGGGGCGTGCTAGTGGGCTTCTAGCACGCTGACGCCATTTCTACATCTGACGTTCCATATCCATGTCCCAAAGTGAAGACTTCATAGCCTGTGTGAGGTTAAGAAATCCAGAATGAGTTGTTCTCGGGAGAGTGCAGGCTAATATATACAGATATGAGGAAAAGTCAAACAGTATGCATTGCTTGATTCGGAAATAAATGGAGAGTACCCTTGAGAATAAAACTGGCTATTTCCGAAAATTAATAAAACGACCAAAATTCAGCATTCGAAATAGAAGATTTATCTGAACAGTCTGACATTTATTCGTGGAGAAACCAATATAATCATCTTTCTAATGACAGGAAATTCAAAAGAAAGGATGATTTCTGAAGTCTTGAAACATCTTATCCCAACATCTTGTGGAGGTCTGATAACAGTAAAATAAACATAACGAATGTCTGCTAGATCTGGCCATCCACAAAGAACAGCACTCGATGAACAAACTATAAAATAGCACTGGCGCGGCTGAGTCAAAGGTCATACATCTGATTATAACTGAAAAAAGGAGAAACAATCTTTTTTCTTTAATATTAAAGTATAACGAACCTTCCTGATTGCTTTATCCTAGAACAATGACTCATTAAAAAGCAAACAGACAACATCCAGCAGAAGATAGAGATCGAGTACCGCTAGTATTACATCACAGGATAGAAACAATAACAAAGTTATCTGCTCTGTCTCACCAGCACTGAGTTCGGAGGCCATTCCTCCGAACAATTCGCCGACTCGAAAACAACTAAAGGTGGGAAGCGCGTTAAAGCCATTCCACTCCCCGGGAATTCAGTGTTCATCGATTCAATGCCGCGCCTGCTCTCTCCAGCGCGCCTCTTGAGCGAATTACCTGGCGGAAGCTCATATTGTTCCCGAAATTCGTCGCCCTATCGTTGGCGATCTTTGAGATGGTTACCACGGAGGTTGTCCGCCGCGACCGCCTTGAAGCGTGTGAAGAACGATCACATCTTTCCCATCGCGGGAGGCAATAGAGAGATGGGAACTGCAGGGATTAGCGCCTTTCGAAGGAGCCACGCCGTGGAAGAATGTCAGAGCTCTCTGCCGCTACCTATTTACAATCGCCGTTCCCGCCAATGGCGCCACAGACCCACGTGGCGGCTGAAGGTCATAACGGCCAGCTGGCGGCCACCGTGGCCGATTTACTACATCCTTACGTGTCGATGAATAATAATCAATATATCGCGCATTAATGTGCGTTCTTCTAAATACTATTCCCAAATCAGAATGACTTTCGAGCTCGTCAAAGGTTGTGACGGGGCAGAAGGTCAACAATTTGGTTTCTGGGCCCCACGGCTTAGAGACTCCGGTCAGATGCCGGAGAAGGAACGTGTGGTCCGGGTTTCACCGGCGGTCCCACCCTAGAAACGCCGTCTTCCCCGCCACCCCGTCGCCTTCTGCGCCAGATCCAAGACTACTGCCGGCCGGAGATCATCCGTAAGGTTCTCTCTCTCTCTCTCTCTCTCTCTCTCTCTCTCTCTCTCTCTCTCTCTCTCTCTCTCTCTCTCCCTCCCTCTCTCTCTCTCTCTCTCTCTCCCTCTCCCTCTCCCTCTCCCTCTCCCTCTCCCTCTCTCTCCCTCTCCCTCTCTCTCTCTCTCTCGCTGTGTTACCAGGGCATTGGAAGTGTGGCCCTCCCCACCCCCAACTCCTCTCCTCTCCTCCGCTGCACTTCTCACAGAGAAGGAGAGAGAGAGTAGACATTTCCCAGAACAAGAAGCCACCTCCACATGTCTCCGGTCGACCTCAAACGGAAGGAAGGACAGATCCCCGTCTAACCCGGCCCTCCCCCCCTGCGGCCGCCGCCATAGCGAGAGAGAGAGAGAGGAAGGGATCTCCACATGTCTCGGTAGGAAGAGAAGAGGAGGGCGACAGGGAAGACGGTGGGCTCCTCCACCGTGTTGCATGGCCAGGAAGAGAATCCTGCGTTCGTCCAACTGCAAGACGTCGTCTTCTGTCTCTTCGCCTGGTTCGACGGCTCTAAAGAGCACAGAGGGCTACGCTCGCCATTCCGACTGCGACAGGACCCCACCAACCATTGCAGGGAATTATAGGGCCTTTTCTGAAAATTGGCCACCACGACGCCCTCCACCCATCTACCACAGATGCTAACTTTCCCGTTGGTTATTCCAAATCACTAGGTATACAGATAAAATAAACGTGCATAGATTATATATTTATATATATATTTAGAGAGAGAGAGAGAGGGAGCCAACTTGGAGTTCTCGGAATAAGAAAATCCAAAATATTTATTTTAAATAGTAATTCGATAAGATGAGGACATGAAAATAAATGTTTCAGGGTGACTCTTTTGATTAGACGGATGATCGCCTGCCCGCCGTACGCAAGGCAATCATCAAACCATTCTCCCCCGCTCTTCTGATGCCTCGGCGCAAGTCTCTGTCTCTTCCACGCCCGCCGTGATTACCGCGAGAGACTCTCTCTCTCTCTCTCTCTCTCTCTCTCTTGTTTTTGGCCAAGTTACAGAGGGGCTTCCACGCGTCGGATGCCCGGAGCCTCGAATCTTGAAAGTCTTCGTCTTGTTGAGGGGCAGCCGTGGGGGCACTGTGGGTCGATGCTTCAGTCGGGTGGGTGGGCGTCGAGGAGCGCCGGCGATGGCTGCGGGTTGTCCCGGTGCGGCCCTCGGGCTCTGTGCAGGACTTATCAATGGTGGGAGAGTAGCAGCGACGGGGACTGTGTCAGAGCCGTCAGGGCACAGTGGCTCCGCCGGGCGGCCGGCGGCGGACCCACCGCCGGTGCTGAGGGCGACGGTAATTCTCCGTCCCGGTGGAATATCAGAGTGGTGGTGCTCGTCCTGAGCTTTTCCGTCGTCCTCTTCCTCCTCCCCGCCGGCCCCACCGCCGCTTGTCTTCTCCCCCTGTGCTGCCAGCGGAGGTCGTCTCCCCGTCTGATGTCCCCACCGTACCCTCTATGGGTACACTTTGCATGCCCCCCCTCCGCTACCCTGCTTTCTACCGTCCTCAAGTTTTACAGCCTTGGCGCAGGAGAGAGAGAGAGAGAGGTGCTTCCATGGCGCACATGCTCCAAACCCTCGTTTGTAATAATTTTCTGACGACGGAGAGAGGTGAAGGAGAAGCCGCCAAGAGGTTGATTCCCCGTAGCCACCACCCCCCCCCACCCCCCCGCCCTGCGGGCGGCCTTGTCGCTTCTCTACGGCACTGTTCTCCCTCTATTTCCCCTTCATCTCCCTAAGAGACGACGGCCTCTGCCCATTGTCTTCCCCTCCGGCCACACCCCGGGACTGATTCCTTCTTCTTCCTCCTCTTCTTCTTCCTCTTCTTCTTCTTCTTCTTCGTATTAGTCTTCCTCAGAGATGTACGCGGAGACGAGGCTGGGTTTCTCCTACGTGCAGGGCTTCCAGGCGGAGCTCCACCGCCGCCACCCGTTGCATAGCGATGACGGCTGCCTGCTCCTCCACAACAATGCCTGGGTTTCCAATCATGTAAGTCTTCCTTGGACTGTAACATAGCAGAAGCTTGGGAACTGATTTGGTTCTTCTCCAGAGAATTTCTCCCGAGCCCATCTCGGAATACGACCTGGGTGAGGAAGGAGACCTCTTCACAGTGCCCGAGCTCCTCCGAGGAGACGACCCACTGATGGAGCTCGACCCCGTGGCCGCCGCCATCTCGATGATGTCCAACGGCGACGACGCCATCTCCAACATCGACTCCATCGCCGACGACCAGCTCCTCAACGATGTCTTCTGCGATTGTGAGGATCTCCTGGCGGACACCGGCGTGGAAGACGCCTTCCCGGAGCTCTCGGAGGTGGTGCTCCACTCCTCCCTGAGCGTCGACAGCGGCGGTGGACCGCCGGAGAAGAACCCAGCCGACGATGAAGGCTCCGAGCTCTCGGATATCAAGATTCCTCCTTTGCAGGTTAAAGAGCAGGAAACGCAGAGCGAGCAGGCCGTCGTCGCCGTCGTCGCCGTCGTCGCCGCCGCCGATGGGCCATTGCAGAAGAGCGTGAGCTCTGGCTGCTTAGCTTCCATGGACTGGATCAATGGAGTAGGAGGCCAAATGAAACCCAGATTCCTCGGCATTCAAGAGATGGATCTGGGGGCAGTCTTCGGGATGAGGAGGGCCTACAGCGAAGGAGATATTCAGGTCAGATCATGGATCTTCTTCTTCTTCTTCTTCTTCTTCTTCTCTCTTCCTCCCTCCATCTCGCGATCTTCATCCACCGATTTCCCAGTTTGAAGAAGACGATGAACTTCATTGAATCGCGGTTTTTTCATGATTTTCTGGCAGACCCTCGGAGATAATTACCTGACCCACCTGAATGCGAGCCTCATTCATCCCCCCTTCGAGAGACTGATAACCCTAGGCGACCCCAAGATGGAGGACCGCATGCAGAAGCTCTCCAGGTACAGGAAGAAGAAGACCAAGAGGAATTTCTGCAGAAAAATCAAGGTATACATGACCAATTTTTATTTTTTTTGATCGCGCTCGCTGAAGATCGTCGAAGATTGATCAGTTCTTCAACCCAATCAGATCAGTTCTCTATTGATCTGATCTAACCAATTGGTCCCTTCGGTCTGCTCCGTCCAACCCACTAGTTCGAACCTGATTGCTATCTTTCATTAAATTATCTTTTGTTTTTTTCCCTTTTTTGACCTGTTCCTTGGATCCGACACAATCCCTGATATTACATGAATACTAATCATATGCTTATTTTACGGTTCAACTTGACACCAACCCCCATCATCCGATTAGATCACTACTCGAAGGGTTGACTTCATTAAAGGTTGACCCATTCCAAAGACCCAGCTCTGCACCAATCCGACCTAGCTGGTTTACTCCTTGATTACTATTGCCAGCGTCAAAGATTTTGGTCAAACCCTCAGACCCAACTCCTGACCCACTAATCTGAACCCGGCTATAAATCTTTTGACTGAATCACCACCAAGCTGAGCATAATTCTATTAGGGTTTTCACCGTGAGGCTACTCAAGAACTCATTCGGACTGCTGGTTCTTGTGCAGTATGCCTGCAGGAAGGCTCTGGCCGATAGCCAGCCGAGGATCAGGGGAAGATTTGCCAAGACGGAGGAGGGCGAGGTGGGAAAGCCGTCCAAAGCGCTGCAATGAGATGCGATGTAGATAGTCGTCCAATTGGTTCTACCGGCGGGCGGCAGCACGGCAGCACCGGCAGCAGCCCTCTGCCAGGCTCATCTTCTTCGTTGGTGTAATGTAGCAATAACAGCCTGCTGTGTTAGGGTTCCTGACGGGTCCTGTGTAAAAAGGCTTGGATGTAATGAAAGCAGGGGAAATCTGGGCTTTTTCCAGTATTCTGGACGGAAAAGCTAGAAACCGGTTCCAGAATGAAAAAAAAAACGCAGAGAAGAACAGCAGAATAAATGATTTCCCAACGGGGACTTTCGTATTATTGCTGGGTTTAATCAGGGAGCTCGGGCTCAAAGAATCTCCAAATATTGTTCCCAGGTTGAACTTATTTGAGGCAGCGGATCTCAGGGAGGGTGGGGTTTGACCGTGGCCACCCTTCTGATGAAAACCTGAGATCACCTATGAGCCATACATCCTTCTCTGATGATAAGTGAGACGTAAGTGTTACTGTGTAGAGAGAGAGAGAGAGAGAGGAGCTTCAGACTGATCAATTGACTCCATAAACCCACTTCTCAGCGTTGCTGGTGTAAGAGACCAGCTCCTTGGGCTCAAACCAGAGGCCGATCTCATCTTTCGCTGTTTCTGGCCCATCACTTCCGTGAATTATGTTTCTGAAATTAAAAAAATGAAAACTTTAGTGTTCAGATAATAAAAAAGGATGTAAAACTAGTTTTGACACAATTAATACGGATCTGTGTATATAGGATTGAATTAATAAAATTGAAAATTAAGTATAAGAAATTATTTTTATATGATTAATACCGATATGTGATTATAGTATTGAATATGGTGAAATAGAAAAGAACCTACAGAACTTGGATGCAATTGATGGGATTATAAGAGAGTTTGGTGGGAAAAAAAAGTCAATAATCTCAGTAATCGCGAGGAGAATATGAAGCTAATTTTGATAGAATTAACAGGAATTTATGCATAAAATCTAGCATTGAATTTAGTAAAATAAAATGATCTAAAGAACAAACTATGATGGAATTAAATACGGATCTAAATATGCGGAACTGAATTTAGAAAAAAAAATTATCAGCATCTCTGCTTAATCATGAGTATATGAAGCTTATTTTGACAGAATTAATACAGATTCGTGCAAGTTGCATTCAATTTAATTTTTAAAAAAGCTGAACCTCTCCACGTGACGCATAAGAGAGTAATTGAGAATCATTTGACAGAATTGAAGGGGACTAAACGTATAGCCTCGAATGAAGTGAAAAGAAAAAGTGGGCTAGTGAATTAGGTAAAACATACCTTCCGACAACAACAGCAAGATCGCCTCTTATGGTTCCTGGCTCTGATTTCTGTGGGTCGGTGGCACCAATAAGCTTTCTTCCGTATTTTATGACCCCCTCGCCTTCCCAAACCTGAATTATGTTTTTTTGCTTCTCTGAGAAACAAAAGATCGTTCATCAACCAGAAGAGAGGCGCAGCCATTACACTCACCATTGCAAGGACAGGGCCCGAGCTGAGGAAATCGCATAGACCATTGAAGAAAGGCCTCTCCTTGAGGTCATGGTAATGCTTCTCAGCAAAGTCCTTGGAGGGGATAACAAGTTTAATGGCCACCAGCTTGAATCCTTTCCGCTCAAAGCGTGATATGATCTCTGCAATCTGAAGGGCACAACTACCGAAGATTAACAGAGAAATCTGAAATAAATTTATCGAACGCATATCTTCATTTTCAGTAGATAAATGTTTTCAATCTCGAACAATTTTAGAATTACTTGGATTTTCTCATCATCACCCATTTTACACAGAAGAAAATTTGGATAAAAGCATATCAAATTGAATTTACGTAAAAAGGTTCGGACCAAAGTAGAAATTGATATTTCCATCTGATCCAACAACAATTGACATCAGAGCACTCACCAGACCTCTCTGAACCCCGTCAGGCTTGATTGCAATGAAAGTGCGCTCCAACTGAGGACAGAATTCAATGAGAGACATTCAGTAAATAGTTGCAAAATGGTGTAGGATTTTAATAAAATTATAATGTTTAGAGAATAGGGTGATGATAGTACCTCGGCTGCATGAACTTCCTGGTCCTGGACCATGTAAACTAAACAGAAGATAAACAGTTGATGAGCTGACGATCATCGATAAATAAAGCACAATCGAATAAAAATCTTATCAAGATGAATCTTCCGTCTAGAGGACTTGGCAGCAATGCAGCCAAGAAATTTCCACTGATGTATGAAGATGATTAACTGGGGTAACTAAGAATAGAAAGGTTTCCAGATCCAACCTGCAGCAGGAATAGCAAGAGCGGAAGAAATCCATCCCCTCTGCGCGTTTCCCGAACCCACCCTCTCAAAAAAGGAAGAAAAGTAATTCGTCCTTCCTCTGGAGGAGACTGCTGCCGCCGCCGCCGCCGCCGTGAAAGCTCGTCCTGCACGGCAAAAGGAAACTGATCAGTTATCCGCTGCCGGAAAACAGACAGAAGGCAGAGCGAGCGCAAGACTCGAAATGGTGTTATCCCCAACGTTGATAGATGCAGGCATGGAAAAGCCAAGGAAAGCGAAGGTAGTTACTCCTGATTTTCAAAAGAAAAGAGAGGTTTAACAGATCTTAGATCTAGATGCTTCTTCCTCAGTAGGTGCTCACTATGGATCAATCCGGCAAGAAAGCTTCACTCTTGAGTAAAATGTGACGATTATGGCGGGACTAGAGAGTAATCGGGAGATGGAAAAAGTTTCCAAAGCGTTAACATCTTTTCTCAGTCCTCGCGCTTTCCAGAAAGGGTTTCGTTCCCTGCGACGAGATCCCAGCCTTCACTAGAAAAACGCAATGCAGAAAGTTGGCGGAACAGGAGCACGTAACCGGATGGAAGAGGGAGGTCCGGAGAGCGCGCCAGCGCCCCTCACAAGCTCACCTTGCACGACGGAGGAGCTCCGAGATGCGGAGAGCAGGGCCTTCGCGGTCCTGGTGGCCGATCTGTAGATCTGCGAACTCATCCTCGATCAACCCCTGAGAAAGAAAGCGAGTCAGAGGGAACAAGGAGAGGACTCCTGGCTTCGTCTTGAGGGGTGTGAGGTGCGGAGCGCTCGCTCTGCAGGTCTTCTGCAGATTTAGGGTTGTACCACCGAAGGCCGTCGGTTTCGCCATTACGGATTCACCCTCGATCTTCTGGAGAACTCACTGCCGACACTCGGGACCACCGCGACAGCCACAAGCCGGCATTACCGGACTCCGCATGGGCATTTCCGCCATTTTCGAACGTTACAATGCTCGAATCCAGGCCACGTATCCGCCCCCCACCTCCTCCGTGACCGCTTAGCTCGTTCCCCAGTTGGCGCCGCCGCCCGTTCCAGTTCCTCTCTCTGTTGTACGCTCCTCCGCCATCCATCGCCGCCCCTCCGCCGCCGTATCCGAGCAACTCTCCGCCCTAACCGCTCTACGACTCTCTAGCCTTGGACTGGTTTGGCGCCAAGAGAAACCCCAGTTTATATAACGGGCCGAAAATTATAAGCTCCGGGCACAAAACTGTCAAAATTCTTCAACCTGGTGCAATTAATAAATTAAAATTTCACATAAACCATATTATTTTCATATTTATAAATATATCATCGGAGCTTAACGAGGTCATTTTATATCACGATCGCTTTACAAAAAGGCCCAATAAGTTGCACCCGGCCCGATTTCCTTCCTTCAGATTGGGGCCTCAAATCAGCCCACGAGGAGGCGACCGGGCCGGACATTTGGAAGGTCCGGGCCCTTCCTCCCACATTCGAATTTGACGGCACGGAAAACCGTCATTCTGGCACGTGAGGAAAATATCTAACGTGAGGAATATTTGTCTTTCAATGCCCCGTTGAAAACCGCCCAAATTTAGAATAAGTATCGTCCTTCCGAAATTACTAAAATCTGCGTGGATCGGGGAAGGGAATCCAAGGCGTATCCGAGGTGGAAACTCCTATAGAATTGGAGAGAGAGAAAGAGAGAGAGAGAGAGAGAGAGAGGAGAGAGAGAAAGGAAGACAGAGGGGAGAGAACAGCGAGACCACGTGGGGAGCTCGACTGGCGCAGCCAGGCGGGCAGATCGGCGGCGCCTAGCTACCTCCTGTAGGGCCCACTGACTGCTCCCCTGCCAGCTGCCAACCTGCGTGTGATGACGGCGCGGCCTCAGCATGTAAGAGATGACCATTATACCCTTAACGTGGACGCCCCCTAGCGGAGTTTCCCCCGTCTTATAGTAATTTCACAGGTGTTGACAGGGTGGTTCCGGTCGCCCCCTCCAAGCGAGCTTGGCTCTGTTTGGGCGTACAGTTGGCGAACTCCGCCTTGTAATTTTCTGTTAAAGGAGGTAGATTGGGAGGGGGTGGAGAGAAGTGCTCCAGGCGAGGAAGAGAGAGAAAAAGAGAGAGAAACGGTATCTACGTCTCTGCAAGGAGAGAAGGTAGGTGGTGTTCTCTTCTTCCATGGCGATGGTGATGGTGGTGGCAGGATTGCTCACTCACCTCTTCTTCTTCTTCGTCTTCTTCGTCTGATAGGGTTTTCTTCTGCAGAGGAGAAAGGAGATCGGAGATGGGCTTCTGGAAGGCGAAGGTCGTGCCGAGGGTGAAGAAGCTGTTCGAGAAGGACAGCGCCAAGAAGGCGGCCGCCGCTGAGGCTTCCAAGAGCTTCGACGACTCCAAGGTGCCTTACCTCTCTCCTTTCTGCATGCCCTTTCTCTCTCTACCTCCCGGTGTTGCACTGAGGACCTGAGTAAATCTCTGGGCGTCTCTGCAGGAGGAGATCGACAAGGAGTTCGAGGAGAAGAAGGAAGGACTCCAACCCAAGGTCCTGGAGATCTATGAAGCTTCCTCGGCTGAAGTGAAGGTCCGTCTCCTCACTCACTCACTCACTCACTCTCTCTCTCTCTCTAAGCCGATCTCGGTGCCCTTTCGAACCCTTCACGGATATGATCTGAGAAAGAGAACCCTCGTCATTATCTTCATAATCTCTCCCCTCCGTCGTCTCAAGCGTTGTTCTTGGGATCACTTCAGACCGCGGTGAAGGAACGCACCGTCGCAGCAGTCAAGAAGCAAGGGACAGCGGTGAGCGCGTTCCTGGAAGAGCTTGTCAAAATAGGTACGTTGTACGTTATTTAACGAAGAATGAAGCCTCACTTCTCGGCCGTCGGAAGGAGATTAAGTCTCCAGCGGCTTGCTGCAGAGTTCCCGGGGGCCAAGGCGGTCAGCGAGGCCTCAGCCAAGTTCGGCCCGGCGCTCGTTCCGGGCCCGGTTTTCTTCCTGTTTGAGAAGGTCGCCGTCTTCCTCCCCGCGGAGGAGCCGAAGGCCCCCGCCGCCGAGGAAGCGCCGCCTGCTCCGGCTGCACCGGCGGAGGAGAGCAGCACCAAGGAGAAGGAAGCGGCGGTGGAAGAAGTGAAGGAGGAGGAGGAGAAGGCTCCTGCTCCTGAGGCGGCGGCGCCGCCTCCTGCAGCCCCGGCGACAGTCCCGGAACCGGCGAAGGAGGCGGAACCAGCAGATCCCCCGCCGAAGGCTTGAAGCTCCCCCTCCCCCACTCCCATGGACTGTAAAAGAACCACCTGCGTGACCCGATTTGTTATTCTTTCCCTTTTTTCTTCCACCCATCTCTCGTTTCTCCTGCTCTTCTGGTTCATTGTTCCTGTGAATGGGTTGTGCAATCCAATATCTTCGTCAATCTCGTCTCCTTCGTTTCCCTTTCTACTGTGTAATCCGGTCTTCTCGTATCCAAGAACATCTCTATGTCCAGGCGTTAAGAAAACAATAAAAATAATATTCTTCTCTATGTCCAAGAAGGCTGCAGATCGGCGCAACTCGACGGTTCTTCTCCATCTCGTTCTCTCTATCTGGCGTCATACTGCACCAAGAAACTCGCCCACCATATATAATATTCACGGCGAGAATGGTCGAAAACGATCCGAGAGAGAAGGCAGCAGAGGACTGGAGATCCACCCTGGGCCTCATTAAGAAAAAAAAAAAAACTAATTCGAACGGAGGAAATCGTTCGTAAAGGACTAAAATCAATCATTCTTCGCGCATATCTCCGCCCATGTCTCCCTTCGCAGTCTACGGGAGACGGCTTCCTCTCCGGCGCCAGCGGGGCCCGACCGAATGCGGCCGGGGGGCAGGATTTAAGGCGCTCGTGTCGGCTGGTCGCCGTCGTCCGCTCTTAGATGGTGGCGTATTTCCCCCTCCCCCCAATGAGCTGTGTACATTTAAACGGGAGTTTCGGGCGTTTGACGTAGACACAGAAGGACGCTAGGAAGCAGCTGGTGCTGAAAGTGATCTAGATACTGTAAAGCTGGTCCGACGGGCCCGGTCAGAAAGTCTCGAGAACATTTTACATAAGATGATGCGTGTCTCCCTCCTCTTCACTCATATTACATCTACATTATACTCTCTCTCTCTCTCTCTCTCTCTCTCTCTCTCCCTCCCTCCCCTCTCTCCCTCCCCTCTCTCTCTCCCTCTCTCTCTCTACCCTCCCTCATTGGGTTATCTACTAATAAGTAGAGCATCAATAACTTTTCGTCTAAGTTTCCTCCTTTTTATTTTCCAGGAACATGTTTTTGCTGCGCTAGTTATTAGTTTATTTTTTGAAACTTAGTTGTCATTGTGCCACATTTTTTAAGGAGTTTTATCTAACAGTTAGTAATGGTTCTGGTACGATTTATTGCTTAAATAGGACAGGCATTGGGTTAATTATTTGACTAAAATATGTGCATTTTATTTAATTATATGTTTTACATCAACAAATTGATAAAAAATAATTTAAAACTTTTAATTGATCATATAATACATTTTCGTTAGTCTATAATTTGTCATCATTGTCAGAAAATAAACAATAAAAGGCCTGAATATAAATTTAGAACATAACGATCCTTTTTTGCATTGGGCAAAAATCAATAGTTTTTGGATATGATCTAAAAGTTTAGACTTCACTCTCACAACAACAACAAAAACTCTTTTAATGAACCATGATTATTTATGATTTTGGGAATAAAATACATTTTTAATGACTTAGAAAGAATAATAATTTTTGAATTGATTTGTCCTACTTTTACATAAGACACTCCTTGATGTTCTACTAACTTTGATGGAATACAAACAATGAGTACCAAGACCTATAGTCCTTATTTAATCCAAGGTAGGAGTTCAAGTCCTTGGTGAGCTGGCCATTTGGGGATCCAAGATTGCTAGAATGGATGGACATGATTCAAGGGTAGTCTTACTCAAAGCATGTCCAATTTTCCTAGCAAAGCTTTTCTTTATTTTTTAGTACATATTCGTATTTTTCTCTAATATTTTCAGCTACATGGTCAGATTGCAATAACCTCGTTTGTTTGGGTTCCCAGAAAATGTGGAAATATGATTACGAAATCAGTAAATGAAGGACATACGGATGCATGTACGCTTGCATAAATATAAAAATACACAGGAATGTATGAATGCTATTGAAAACTTCTATGGGTATTTTGGTATTTTTAAATGTATGTGCATACAATGGGTAGTTTGCAGAACTAGCCCATAATTTGATAATTCTAGGATAAGTTATTTCATGTTGTTTCTTAAAAGTTAAGGTTAAAATGCGAATACTCATTTTTAATGGGTGCAACATAAATCCCCCCTTCCCTGGAGATATACGTAGGCTTTAAATGATACTTCGGTAATTTTCAATGTACGTGCATGCAATGGGTAGTTTGCAGAACCAGCCCATAAGTTCGGTAATTTTAAAGAAGTTATTTCATCTTATTTTTTAAGAGTTAAGGTTGACATGCGAATGCGAACTTATAATGGGTACGTTGCAAATTACTCCCTTCCCTGGAGACATACAATTAGGTTTTAAATAGTAGCTAGGTAATGTTCAACGGTCGTGGGTACCTCGGCCAATTTGCAGAACTAGCCTATAAGTTTTGTAATTCTAAGAGAAGGTACCAGATCATCTATTAATCTAATAACTAAGATAAAAATATCAATATTAATTTTAATGGGTACTATAAAAATTATCGCCCCGTCCCCGGATGCATACAGGCAAGGTTTAAAATGGGCCGGGCCGAAAAGTCGAATGAGCGGGCCCATTTTGGGTACGAGAGGTTTAAAATGAGCCCGGCCCATTTTCAGTGTCATGTTTATCCCTTCCAGTGGCCAGGTGGTCCCCCACTGCCCCTCACGACCGTTTTTAAGAGACTGCCCAGAGATTTGCATGCCCGGTTTCTATTCAGTCGCTCGCCCTCGCGCCAACGAGTTCTGTTCGCCAGCTTGGGATCGAAGTTATCGGCGCCGGATAACGATCGAGACGGAGATGGAGGAGCCATCCCAGCCGGTGGATGTAGAGCAGTTGCTGGAAGCAGCTTCCGACTTCGGACATTACCCTGGTAGACGGGTTTCCGATCGTTGTTGGTGACCCTTTCCGCGCCATTGGAAGGGTTCTGGTTGATCGGTTTCGTTGTTTACCATGGCAGGTGCTCACAGCGATGAGTTCGTGAAGGAATTCCTTGATCGCTATCCCCTGCATGTCCTGTTTAGGTATACGTTCTCCTCCGTTGTCGTCGTCGTTTGCTTTTCTTATTTTATTTTCTCCGCGCCCCGCATTTGATGTCTCCCTTGCTTTGAAATGAATCAGACTAGATGAATGTAATGCGCAAATAGATGGTCTAGATCACATATTGCCTCAAGAAAAATGCAAGCTCTGGTTGGGTTGGATTGGCAAATGACTCGTTCTTTGACTTGACGGAGGGTCAGCTTGAGAGCAGCTAACCCAACTAGTTCAAAAGAAAACTTGGTTGAAACATATGCCGATATTTGGTAGATGTGACTAGTTTGAAGGTCGGCTGCTTAAATAGGCACTTCTACCTGCACCGTTCACCTTTTTATTTGACAATGTCTATGACTAGACGTTGTTGTTTGTTTTGGAAATATCTGTTGCTGATCTTTTTTTTCTTTACATTTGTGCAATTTTTGTTTCTTTTTATGCAACCATTCCATCTGATGCCTCCTGACTACTTTTTTCATCCATCTTATCTTTGCATGTTGGTCAAGAGTGTGCTTAATTTTTCATGGTGTGCCCTATTTTTTTAAAGTATATTACAGAACGTTGGAGAACCTGGGACGGAAGATACATTGGTTTCTTGCTTAGAGAGCATATTCAGGACAAATTTCGGTGCCTCTCTAATTCGAAATTACGTGGTATGTACGCCAAGTTGCATTTGGTTCTTCTTGGATATTTCCTCAGTGTTTGTGCCTTTCGTAAACTGATTTTTGTATCATTAACCACTGCAAACTGGATACATACTAGTTTACTTCAAATATCTCCGAACATTGCCAGTTAGTTACGAGAAAATTATCTTAAAATCCATTTTTTTTCTTCCTTCTTTCTGTTTTTTTATATGAAACCTTCACCATTTCCATTCCATAGGCCTATGATGCGTTGTTTGCAGGTTCAGCCAATTCCTTTGGATTGGAATCAATAGCAACCGATTACACAATTAGGTGTTTGCAGGCCTGTTCCCTTTTTCCTTCGGAATTTTCGCCCTAATTTAGCCTATATGGCTGCATATATTGGAATCAAATTCCTATTTGATCACCTGAAGGAATATTCAATTTCTTGCTATTAGCTACTTATTAAACAAACCTGTACTTTGGCCTGGCTATTTTAACTACATGATTCCATCTTGATTGCCCTGCTACATGTTGCATTCGCACGTTTTTTATCTTCTGCTTCTTGTCTATCATACGCTGTGCTCGAAAGCACCTAAGATCATGTTTCAGCTCCTAAGATCATTTCTTCATGTTAATTGTGGGTAACTGCTGCCAGGGGACTGCCTTGTGGGTGAGGGGATGGATGTAGTTGCTGTCAAAGACGGAGGCTTGAGTTCGTATGTGGGAAGTGCAGAGAGGCGCCAAGGTTTTTGATGCCTGAGGGAAGAGAGCTCCTCAGTAAAAATTAATCCTTGGAAACCATTACCGGGGTGGGGGTAATCCTTTTGGAATTTAACTTTTTTGGCCAAAGTACCATGACCATATTTGGCCAAGGTGTTTGATGCCTGAGGGGGGAGAGCTCCTAATTAAAAATAAAAAGGGGAGGTTGCGTTGCCTGGGGGATGGAAGAATATGTGCGGCAATGAGCTCTGAAAACCATCTTAGACATTAACAATAAACACCCATATTATTCAGACTTTGATTCCGAAGCTCCCAAAATAGTAGAATCACACAATTTTTCATTACACAATACTCTAACCGACTCCTTTATCATCCCAAATATCCCAGCTTTCGATTGTTTTTTTTTTTTTGTCCATTTTAAATGGTGTATAAAGTCATTCAAGGAATAACCACTCCATATCTTCTCTCTAGGTATTGGAAAGTTCCAGCCGTTGCATGTTGTAATGGAGAACGTTTAACAGAGCTTGTGCGAGTGGTTACAATTAAGAAGTAAATGACACATTCTTGTCCTCTTCAAAAATTCTGCATGAAATGTTTGTAGTGTTCAAATGTCAGTGTAGGTGATCGTGTAAGATCCTAAATTTCAAAGGGGATATAACCCTTCAAGATTGACATCACAACTTATGCTTGATTCCTCCATCTGCAAAAGGTTGTCGAGATGATCTAACTGTGAACCTGCCTTCTGACTCGCATTACTACATCCATGAGTGCAACATCGACCTTTGTGGCAGTTTTAAACAAGTAAATCAAAGAGATCTTCAAAACGTTAAATTTCATCATTTAAATATTTTCTTCTGGATCTTCAATACAAAAACCTACCAACCACAGGATGAACAAATGGCCCAATTTCTGTGGTGTCAGGACCTTCAGCTGTTTAGAAGAAATAGCTGAAGTAGTTCATTAAGAGAAAAACTCCTACAGCATTTGTCCTTCTAAAATAGTGTCCTTTGACAGTTGCCCAGACAAATCTGGCTACTTACCAACTCATTCTCAATGTTGACTAAGCTATTTTCTAATGGTACTTTCACCGTGGATATCTTCAGACTATACTTTCATTTGCATTCACTGTTCAGTGTTGTCTTTAGTGTTCAATCCAGATACTTTTTATAATATTCTGAAGAAAAGCTACCTCTTTTTCATTTTATGTGACTGAACGCATTTTATGAGTTGAACATTATTTTTTGTAGAGGTGATATCTGACACAGTTAGTAACCTTTAGATGGTTGAGACACAGAAGAAATACTGGTCTGGCATTTAATTAGTCATAATTCTTAGCTTTCATGTACTTTGAAGATTCATGTATTTGAAATCTGAGACATAATTTTAATGGAAGGGGAACAAAGCACACTACTTGCCCTGATTGTGTATTGTATCATTGAACCAAGCTTACTCCAATTGTGATTTTGTAACGTTTTCGTGTTTCATTTCCTTGTTTAATTCAGCCGTATGTGCGAGCTGGACTGCTGGCTAATTCTGAGATGGTCAATTGCTTAGCATGCAGAGCTGTACGTAGAACTAACTTATAATCATCAATGCAAAGAAATTGCTTTCATGATTCTGAGCGGACTGATTAGAGAGTTGGTTCTTATGTAAAATTATGCTGCCATTTTCTGCTAGAAATCCTGAAAGGTGGAAATGTTTATTTTATGAATTGTTTCCTGTTTGGTGTTAATTTCTTTATCATTATAACCGGTCAGTATCTGCTTAATGATAGGAATCTTTTGAGTGTGAGACTATTTTTTTGACGGTGAATTCATGCGGCATATCCACATTTTGGATGGGTGAGATGATGAGGTTTGAATCATAATTTTGATATATCACATATCCATATTTTGGCATGAAATTCGTATATGCTTCGTGGTGGGAACTTATGTTCTTTTTGTTGGTAGGTATCATACGTTTTCCTTTTAGCTGTTAAACTTTTAGGAGGAATTTGAACTCTCCCTGGAAGTTCAAAACTTTTTGGAGCAGCGGTGCGTATAATTTTGTCACTAAAATACACATGGACGTGTGATGTCACGTTTGCATCCAAAGAAAAGAGAGAAGAGAGAAGAATGATCAAATTGCAACTGTTATAATAAGAAACCCTCCTGTGTTCCCAGTTGAACGCAAGCATGCGTCTGTTTCGTGGCCGTGTGAAACTCAGCCTTTAAGGGTGATTTAACCATCCAACCATTCTTAATTCTGTACCTATAATTTCTAGACAGTCTGCGAGGATACCTTATCGATAACACTTGGGAAAAAACTTCCAATTGATTGCCCCAAGTCGAATCCTTACTCCACCATATCATACATTTACCGTTTGTGTTTTCCTGAGTTAAATTCTTTTTTTTACTTCCTAAATTGTAATAATTCTCATGATTGGATTCATCATCGAACAACTGTTTGTATTGTCTTCTTCTTCCAAGCTTAGTTATGGCTTGAAAGCATGTGATATCTCGTGATATGTGATCTTCTAATATAACTCTCTTTAATATCTTAAGTACACTTAGATGTGCAAGAGAGCTGTTATCTAGGCATCCATTGGAACCACAACCTATTATAACCCCTAAACACTAATATCTGGGATTGCCCTTTTTTCTTCAATATGGTGTAGTTTGGCTTTTTGAAATCATATTTGCTGAGATGGCATAGTTTTATCAACAGGTCTAGTTCGTGATAAATAAATTTATTGCTCACTTTTGGTTTTCTCAAACGTTTTGTATTTAATAGGTATCGAATCTTCTGGAGAAAGCTGATGAGGATCTTGAAACAGCTGTGCAGCTTATCGTTGAACATGATATATACCCTCTCCTGATGAAATGCTTGCTTGATGGGTATGGAAATCTTATATCTTTGAAATTTTAGCTCATCTTTGAGATTAACATCTTGTTGCTCGCTCTGTTTTTTTATGATTTTCCATTTATGACCCATATTGGGAACTAAAATTTTCCAGTGGTCAATTGACTTGTCTGCCATAACACTTAAAGGCTGATCATGAGATTTGACTCTTCATTTCACCATCTGTATGCATTTGTGCTCATCTTTTTGTTGTTGCTCCTGCTTTCGGTTACGGATCATACTTTGAAATATCACTGTCTTTCTGCTCTCTTTCCTGCTTGGTTTATTTTTGTTTATTTGACGGTGTATTTTATGCTACCTGGCTTACTAATGCAAGAACGAATATCTCAATTGTCAATAAACAGCTAGACATCAAATGTCTACATTTGAAAATTCTCGTTAGATGCTAGACATCAACTGTCTAGATTTTAGATTCCTAATCCATTGCCGCTTTCTTCAATATTACCACTTTTATTTATTTGAAAATTAAAATTCCCATTTATAATGGTGTAAGGTTTGCTTTTATGTACTTGATTCCTCTGCACTTGAGTATGCTTCCACATTACTTATGGGAGATTATTCTTTTATATTTTAGATGATAGATTAATAAGTTATTGCAGCTGTTTTCAAGGCTATTTTTTAATTTACTGGAAAACTGAAGGTCCTGTTTCCTGTCTATATCAATCTAGATAGAATAAGGTTAGCTTTTATTTTCTCGACCGTTATGCATTTGCAAAAATTTCGTCACATTGCCTACAGAGGATTATTCTTTTATTTTATTGTTGATTCACAGTACTCCAAGATGTCATTTTCCAAATGATGTTGATTCATTCTATTTGTTGGATCATTGCAATATATATGTATATATAATGTTTCAAAAAATATTTCCACTTAAACACCAGCGATAATGCAACTTATCCACCACTAAAATACTGTTAATTTAATATGGAGACATCACAGTTATCCTTGTGCTGCAGTCACTCTTTTTCACCCATTTTTCCTCGTTTATGTGGTAGTGAATATAGATGTGTCAAAGTTATTTATTTAGAAACCTAGTTTTGTGTACATTTCCATACGTTCTTCCAGAGTGTCCAAGAAATTATTTATGATTTTTTCTAATTCTTTTACTGGCCATATTATATTTGTCTCTATTAACCACTCTTTATTTTGATATTTAGCAATGAATTAGTTGCTGCTGCTTCATTGGATGCCATCAAGAATCTTGCAAAGTCACCGAAGGGGATTGTAAGAATTTTATCTAAGATTATGTTCACAATTAGTTCCTCTGGAGACCACTCCCCAAAATTACTGGTTTTCGTGCAGAATCTCATTTTCCCACCAAATATCAATGAGGTGACACACCTAAAAAGTACAGCAGCTCGATGTTCATCACTGGTATAATTCTGAGTCTTTTGAATTTCACATTAGACATTCTTGTGATAGTTGTTGCAATAGTCTTGGTTTTTGTAAAAGGAAGTAACGTGGTGTTCTTTCATAGAATTGGATCTACTACTTATGCAGTTACAATTCTCATTCTTGATAACTACTAATTTTCGTTTCTCTATTTAAAAAAAAAAATCGAGGATGAATATTAGGAATACGAGTTGAATTGATTTCCTCTGTTAATTATATTAAAATTCATGACTGAAAGATTTATGGTAGGATATGCTTCTGCTTATTTTTGTGAGGTGGCAAGGATTTTCTTTTTGATGATATATCCTAGTTGCTAACCAACTTTGGTTTTGTGTAGAGATCTATCATTGCTATTGAGTATTGAAATAAAATGATAAAAGATGCTTGAAAAGTTGATTTGACTCTGTTCTTGACCTTGGCCTCTGGAGAGCGTCAATGACATTCTTGCCACTGATTCAAAATTTTGAGGTCAAGAATGTGTTCCTTTCCAAATCCCTTGTTCTATGAATATGCTCATTAGCTAAATGCTTACTCAGATGTTTCCGGAGGATGTCTAGCCCAGATATTTAGAACTGAACAAAATTAATATGTATATGCATTTACATTTGTGAAGTCCTGTATGCCAATCCATGGTCTCATAAAAAGTCTTCTCTCTTTTTTAAAACATTATATTGTGTCCTAAATATTAGTAAACCTGTTTAGTGTATATATTGATGAATACTGTCTCCGATGATTTTTTTCCCCTCTCGAGGAAAATGCCCTTGATAAACAAAATTCAAATAATTCCTACTAAATTTTAATTAGGTTTATTCCTGTTCTTGTGACTCCTACTATTGTTTTTTGAAATGCGTTTTTCATGATCGTTCTGTCCCCTATCACGTGCGGTATCATTTTCCTGATATGTCTTGTCGACTTCATATTTTTGTTCCAGGCACGAGTTCGGATTTTGTCTCTTGTGGCAAAACTCTTTTCTCTTTCTGACTCTGTTGCTTCGGTAATTTACAACTCAGACCTTCTGACCTTATTTGAGGTAGAAATCAGTAAGACAAACGACATGCTTACGACCCTGAGTGCATTGGAACTCTTGTATGAGGTAATTACTTACGTATTTGCATGGTATAATTGTGATATTTCTTTAGTAGCGGGTAAATCACGGATTTATTGCTTATCGACTAATATTTATGTTATTCTATCTATAAACACGTTGTCTACCTGGTGAATAATATTTCAAAGGGGCAACATGGGAAACATGAGAAATGATGATGATCAAACTCTATCCAATTTAGGTGCTGTTTACTGATGGTACGTAGGAAAAGGTTTTTCATCATTTCTATTTAATTTAATGCAAATTTGATACAAAATTTGAAGAGGAAATCTTTAGACTTCATACTACTTGCTAGATGAATGGATTACCTGTTAAAAAGCCAATCTTCCTTGGATTTCTTTTGGGAACTTAAGGCATGAACTAAGCCATACTTTTACCTGAAAGACCTAAACCAGAATTGCTAGACTTTAAGGAGCGCAATAATTTGGTGTAGCCTATCTAAGCCAATGTACATAGAAGACCACATTCACTTCTTTAATACTAATCTTGTGTTCCTTAAACTAGTCTCTCGTTACATAGAGAATAAATTCAGATCCACCATACATCGGAAAAAGAACATTTTTTCTCCCTGTTTCCATGCTTTTTTTTCTTTTCTTTCACGGAAGGTTCCTTCCCAATATGCTACTGGCATCTACGCATGACTTGTCACTCATGTCTATGCTTTTGTAAATCAGGTGTCTAAGTGTCTTAGTAACAACTATATTCGTGCGTCTGTGTTGTCACGGTAGTAATGGTAACATTGTCCACTGTAAATGGAATCTTTGAAGGCTAACTAGTCTAGAGAAAAGTCATTCGCGGCGCAGCCATTAAATCTATTGATATGAATACAAATCCCTGTTATTTTGAGCTGGTACCCCACTTAGATCTATTAATCTATCATTTATACGCCTCATCACATTAATTAAGGGCCAAATTTGGTGGTCCTCGAGAACCTTTGGTTTTAAGAGGATTTTGTTACTTTTTTTAACGGAATAAAGTGGTGCTCATTTTTATTTTTCTTTGCTAAATTATGTTTCTAATAACCAAATGCATAAAGTTGGCAGAATCTCCTCATAGTACAAAATTCCTATTAAAGACGACCTTGCTTCAGCTACTGGCTTCTATGATCAGGTTCTGCAGAAACTTGCTCCATTTACCTATATTTGGCACTAATCTTGATGTTCTTATCTGAGTGTGTTGTTATCTTTTCTTCAGCAACTCCAATGTAGACCCTGCTTTGCGAACAAGAGCAGTTCTGATAACTGGAAGGCTTCTTTCACCATCTGAAAATTACACTCTGATTGATGAATCAAGTAAGGATTGTTGGTGACTTAATAGTAATTATCCACCTAGCCTTTTTAGAGCTATATCTCTCATGTTTAGTGTGAAATATGATATTTCCATTTATTTAATGTTTCATTTGAGATACTATCGTATTGGATTGTGGTCATATATCATTAGTAAACTTTGTGAATCTTCCATGTAAGCAGTATGTGCCTATTTAATGACTTTAGGTGAGAAGTGAATGCTTTAACATGAGACCTATCTCACTTTCAGTTATTTACTGAACTACCTATTCTACGCACTGTCAGACATGCTTGTACATGTAGAGCAGTTCCTCCTGATTCCTTGTTTTGATGCTGGATTCTTTTCATTCTCATTCCATTATCTGTCTACTGATCACAGTGTTATGATCCAAGTGTTACCGCCAATCATCTTGGTTTGTTTTATGATTTTTTTAAATAACAGAGGCTTATGCGTTAATTTGGTACGTTTTTAATCTGTAGAAGAGGATTTAAGGAAAATATCCTAGTTTTCTGCCAAAGACCCAGTAAGATCACGAAAAATGAAACAACTTGGTGTAGGTAGGAAGAGATTCTTTGAATTGATGAGGAAATCACCTGGCATACATTTGTAAATACATGTATGTATACAGTAGATAACATGTGAGATTTTTTTTCCTACCGTTTTTTTTCTTATTCCCTCTGTATCCGATGAATCTATTCTATTTTGTTAAGTGCAAAGCCAATTGTAGCATTGATATTTTGTATCGTTTACCTCTTCATTTAGTAAAACAAAAAGAATCCAAATGGTTTTGATATTTCGTTAGTTCCTCCATTGTCTATCATTTTGAGTGATATCATCTTTATAACGAATTTATATTTTTTTAGCGGTGGGATCTCTAAAGAATAGATTACCATGACAGCTGCCTATTTCTCTAATAGAAGAATTCACCTTGTTGTTGGGATCTATTCTCCAGGTGTGAAAACTTCTCTTATGGCCATTGATGAAAGACTCGAATCACTAAAAGGTCAACATACAGATGAGTGTGAAAGTGCACTTGAAGCTTTGGGTGAGATCGGATCTTGTAAGTCATTGTTTCCTTGTGGCCAGGTTGTGTTACATTTCTTCTAGTACAGTGTCTTATTTTCTGTACGTCTTATGGTGTAATTCTAGGGGCCATGGCTGTTGCATTGTGTTCATTTATAGGCCTTTTCTTGACTTCTGAACCTTCATTACCTCAACTAAAACTTACGCACAAAATCAACACGAGTTACTGCAATAATTAGGATTTTATTATCATGAAAGTCAACTGACTGGGTTTAGGGTACTTTCTTTTTCACCAGACTTGAATTGATGAGTATTGTGAATGACGGACACACTTTTACTCTTGCAATACTTTCGTTCCTCCTCTCATTGGTTCGAGCTATTTTCCTTGTTGAATGGCCACCATATCATTTAAATAAACCTTATGGAGATAGCAATGATCTTCTGGAAATAATCTATTATTTATTGGACTATCTTTTTTGAATGAGTTGTACGCTTTTCTCACTAGTAAAGATGTGCTCATTGTTTCTTGCTTGAATCTCCTCTTTCTTGGTGACCATTTGTCAACATGATGGAGGTAGGTCGTGTGGTTTGTGCTGTTTAAAGCTGTGTTAGCTTGAGATGCACATGTAGATGTTTTTTTCCTCAAGACTGTGATCACACTTGCAAAGAAGCTGTCGTTTGCCTACAGGGAACTTGATACATATTATATTAAACATTTCTTCCACCTCCATAATACCGCTCTTTACTTCAACGTTCTAATATTAGTCCTCATCTTCTAGCTATGCATGGAGCAGAACTGTTACTTACCAGTCCAGCCCCTGTGGCAAGACACGTTGTCGCTTCTGCTTTTGATCATCATGGGAAAGGCAAGCAGATGGTAAGTGGGTATTTCCTTTTTTTTTTACTCGGACGTTATTCTAGGTTCCTTCTAACTAACTAGCTTAAAGTAACCTGTGTAGAGACGACCATATTGGATTTCTCTTTATCATATTGGTCACTAGTCTAACTTTTTCTTTTTAAGCATATGATTAGGAATTTCTGTCATGTCGCATTACATCTGTCCTCAGTGAACTCGCCTCCCTATGCATATTTGTTGGAATATGCTGTAGAGAATTTTTCAAGATTATATGTTTCTTGTCCTTCCTGTAAATTGTATGCTTATCACTGTCTTGGCTATCATCAGGCTTCGTTCATGCACATATTTTTCAAATCAATGATATTCTGAATTGAAAAATCCACCGATGATTTCCAGGAACTATCTTATTGATATTCTCTTTAGCAAGCCCTTACACCTTGACGTTAATTTCTTTTCTCAGGGTTCATAGCTGGGGGATTTTGAGGATGGGAGAGGGATTATTCTAGTTCTCAAGCCCATTTATCTGTGGGCTTTTTTTGAAACAAAGTAGTGTCGAGTGCCGTCCATGCATGGGCTTTGAATCAGTTAGGGTGTTTGTACAGTGCACAGATTAGTTGAGTTTCAGATCAGAATACCCATAAATGTTTACACAAATGTCCAGAAGTGAGGCAATTGGAAATGTTACCTGAAACTGATTTTTGGACGTTATCTTGGAAGGTCAATAGTATTGACTTGTATTCTAGAAGATGGCCAATTGACACAACCTTTGATTTTATGGATGATAAATGATTTTGTTGACCTAAAACCTAACCCAACCTGTACAATCCCTTTGTCTTTCTATGATTATGTGGTTGTTCGTGAAGAAACAAATGCGTAACTAATCAGCTCAAGCCTAGCTTCGAGATAATCAGAAGGCTGGATACACATATAATATTAAATGCGAGGTTTGAAACATGATGCATGACTTGATGCCCGTTGAGCTCTTCTTTTTCTTCTTCAGTTTTGAAAAGCTGCATCGAAGAAATGGATTTCGAATTGGTTCTCATCTTATGAAACGCTGCCAAGATTGACAGCAGAACATACATGCATTATTTAAATGGAAGTAAATTTTATTCTGCTGAATATCCCTCCATATGGCACTATCCTCTTTTCGGAAAAAAAATGCAGCTAATATACGTTTTTTTCCCTTTTTAGGATTTCACTTTTGAAATATGAGACAATCCGTTCTGCCACAAGCTCTGTTTCATTCTGATATGTGAGTTTCTTTGTCTACTACGATGCTTAGGCTGCATTACATGCACTTGCAAGTATATGTGGAGTTGACCGATCAGATGACAAAAAGCTTCTTACTAACGAAGCTGAGGACTGTCTCAGACGCTTGACCTACGAGATGGCAGCCAACAGTTCCAAGCCCACGCCCTCTGTTAGTTCTCTATCTTCTATTCAGAAGCTGATTTATATCACATTTCTTGGAACATAATTCTTCCCCCCCAGAAATAATAATAATAATAATAATAATAATAATAATAATAATAATAATAATAATAATAATAATAATGTAATTGAAGGAAATATTCATTTTTGCTACCCAAAAATCTCTTGTTTGTTTAAATATTTTATTATTTGTTGGCGACTGGTCATTTACTTATGCAGGCATTTCAGAAGCTCACAACCTCTGATACTTTTCTATTTACCTTATCCAGAAGCTGTTGTTTATTGCTATGAACACACATTTCTGCTTCTGCCCTCACAAAAAAAGAAGATAAAAATGGAAAATAATATATAATTGAAGGAAACATTCATTTTCGCCCCCAATTTCTTTCTCTTTCGAATCATTTAATACCAGTTTTTTCTTCTTTAGGGCATTTGGAATATATCCACCGGTTTTTTCCCTCAAAGTTTGACTTTTTTCTCAGGGTCTACTACTCTCACTACTGCGGCAGGAACCAGAAATGCGACTGGCTGTAAGCACCCTCTTGATTCTGTTATATGCCTGATTACGACATTATCTTATCCTGCCATGAGATGATCATATGTGACAGTCATCATTCTCTCTCTCCCATTTTTCTCCCCTTTAACCTGATTGGCTGATGGAATCTAATGGCGGAGTTCATGCGGGATCTCATCCGCGGTGGCGCAAATGGCGCTATTTCAGGCTTACCGATTGATTGCTGCGCTGGTGGCTCGTCCGTGGTCCCTCCTCGACGTCTGTTCTAAGATGGACATCATCAACATAGTGACAGATCCTCACACCGAGACGACCAAAAATGGTATGCTCCTGCGCCGCCTCCCCCAAAGAAACTGTGATCTTAGCGCCGCCCTCTATAGAGTCTCACTGAATCTTTACAAAAACCCTAGCGGAGCTTCTTACCCACCCACGGGAGAAACCCATCTTCTTCTGTTCTTCCGCCCAGGCAGAGCTTCTTACTTGACTTGAAAAAAAAACAGATCCCATCTTCTTCTGTTCGTCATCTCTCAAGAATCTTCATCTTTTCTCTGGTTCTTTCAGTCGAGAATAGACGGGGGGGTAATCTTTCAGTTTCCCTTCTAGGCATGGACGCCCGTCATCTCTGTTGCACCGCCATAAGCAAGTCCTTGGCCGGCTCCAACAGGCTCAGCGACCCCACCCTTGCCGCCATCGCCGAGAAGGTACGCACTCGCACCTCGCCAGCTATGGCGGCTCCCTTTGCTACTTGTGGGAAAAGAGAGTGACGGTGGAGTTGTCTTGTATAGCTGCAGGAAGCCGTCAGACGAGGCCCCTACTTGGCCAAGAGGCATGTGGAGGCCAAGCCCATCGTCGTCACCGCCGAGAGGTTCTGACTGGCTCTTCTGACTCCGGATGGGTATAGAATTCTCTCCTTGAATGCTGATCAGGAACCCTGATCTTGACCTTCTTCAAGCAGGTTTTCTCCCTAAACTATGTATGTTGACTGGACCTTCCCTTACAAGACAAACACATGACCCTTTACCCCTCTCTCTCTCTCTCTCTCTCTCTAAAACCAAATTGAGATAGCCCACGAAGTAGCTGACTGCCAAGTAGGGGGAAAATGCAGAAAATATAATCTAAAATAGGTGCGCTGAAGATAGTAGCGAATTTCGATGTGGCTTTCAAGAAGTTTTCCCTAAGAACAGGCAAAAGGCCGGCGGAGACGGCCACTCAATTGCTCTCTTCCCCTGGAGCGGTGAAAGCTGCATCGTGGGCATATCCACAACCAACCCGTTGACCTTGTGAAACTCCAACGCATAGAGCTACTAGAAAGGGTAATCAAGCATTGGCATGGCGACAAGATCAGACAGAGGTCCACTAATCTGTCATGTGGATGTGGTAATGGGGGAAGAGTGGGAAGAAAGTTTAGGCAATAAGTCAAAGAGGTAGTGCAGAAATGATGGTATGGGTGTTTCTCATTCTTCTAATGACTTCGAATGATCCTAAACTGGGCTGACTGATGCAAGAATAGTTGACTTTTAATGGGCATCTAGGGACTGAATTCAAACCTTCACTTCACAAGGGAGAGGGGTCTGCACCTTCAACAGTAAGAGACGATTGATATGGGAGATTCTTCATGAAGGGCACCAGTAACAGACCAAATGAATGTTAACAGGATTGACAGCTCCATCCATGGTCAGACCCAATTCATACTCCATGCTTGTTGCAGAAGACTAAAGTGAACTCATACGGAGGGTACAGCTCATTTGAATCCCCTCGAAAAGTGTTTGTTTGCCTGATATCGATGCACAAATAGCACAGAAATTCATGCATATCCAAATCCCCCTTCAGCTAAGCAATGTCAACGAAGAATTAGAAAGGAGATATTCATACTCCATGCTTGTTGCAGAAGATTAAAGTCAACTCATGCAGAGGATATAGCTCATTTGAATTCCCTCGGAGAGCGTTATTTGCCTGAGATCGATGCAACTAGCACAGAAATTCATGCATATGCATATCCCCCTTCAGCGCAGCCATGTCAACGAAGAATTAGAAAGGAGATAAACGGGGAATGGAGCACTGTAAACCCAACGGAAATGGCCACTGACATGATGGTTTCCAAGCAATTTCAGTTCCTGACATGAACTTTGTTCCTACATCTGCATTCTTCCTCGTGCTCTAGGATTAGGGCAATCGTGGTGCCACCCAAATGCCGATGAAACAAGAGTGGCTGCACGGGAGGGAAATATATCTTCATTGTTATTGCAAACAGTGGGCTAGGTGAAGCAGTCGATGCAGGCGCCATTCGCAGAGGTAAATGAGATCATAGATGATGCTACAAGAACCCAACCATCATCCTTCCAACGATATGCACCGACTAATCACCGTTTAAAGGGCCCCATCCTAGGAGGAATTCGAACTCATGGTGGCAGTGGCGCAGGGATTAACAAATTAGAACAAAATCAAATGCGATATTCATGGCCATAAAATCTCAAGGAAGAGTAGATATTGCGAATGATGATAAAGACTACTGCAAATCCCTAGAGAACAAAAATGAGACACATCTGTGTGGAGACGGAGAGATCCGGCCATCTATTTAGAACCTCAGCTTGGAGAAGAACCACCTGTTCTTGCCAGTCTTGAAGCGCTCCTCGAAGCGCGCCTTGATTTCCTTACAGGCCGTCACCTTCTTGTCCCGAGATTCGAGAGCGTCGCCGGTGACCGCGTCCTTGAGATCGACGTCGAGGGTGTAACGAGTGGGCATGATGTGGTTATAGTTGACGACCTTCACGAACGCCTTGACCCGCGACTTCTTCGCCGTCTTCTTGGCTGAGTCCTTGCGGATTACCTTCTTCGGGTACTTGGAGATCCCCGCCACGAGGCAGTGCCCGTAGGGGCGGTCGCGCGTGCCATCGTCGAAGTTCTTCACGATCACCGCCTTGCGCCCCGCAAAGCGTCCCTGGAGCACGATCACCGCCTTGTTGGGCTTCAGAAACTTCACCATCTTCGCTCCCACCCCTCTTCCGCTGCCTCTGCTATCGCCGTCGATCCCCACTGGAGGCTGCAACCACGCGAAAATTAGGGCTTATATGGGCTTCCCATCGTCACATTAGAAACCCTAGCGCTCGCTCAATGAAATGCCTAAACTACCCCTACATGACGGATATGTAATAGAATTGGATAATGGATTCGGGCCCAATCCGACTGGGACTAGCCCAATAAATATTTTGAGGTCCAATATCGCCCAATAAGTAAATGGGCTTATAACTGGACTTCTATGAGGCCCAAATACTAGCTAGCCCACTTATATTTCCAACGTGCCCATTAAGTGCCGTCGAGAAAGTTCCAAGGTCTGAGATTCTGTGATATGGGCAGAATCGTCTTTTTATTTTTTAATAATATCAACCCACATAACCTATTATGTAGAATTTATAATAAAATTTAAAATGAATTTTAAAATAATTTAAAATATAATAAAAATAATTAAAGTTTTTAGAGATCATCGGCCAGTCTTAATGATTTCAGGTAACTATTTGATTAAAAAAATCGATTGCGGAGTGATTATGGGCAGCCTTGGAAAATAATAGAGTGGCCGTATGCCTCTCTGTCCCCCCCCCTCCCCCCCCGGTTCCCGTAGGACACATCTGAGAGTATAATACGTGGAATTGGTAGGGCTTAAAAACAATAAATAAATCTTGAAGAGGAACATAATATAAATTTCAAATAAAATATTCCCCCTCTTCTTTGCCGAATCGAGGCTGCTTATCCAGATAAATGCACCGGCCGACATTCGAGTGAAGAGGGGGAAGGTTGCTGTTGGCAGCTCAGCGAGCACGTGCCACGTCTCTTTCAGACATCGCAGCCACGTGGGAGATCTGATTGGCGGAGCTAAGGATAAGTCACGGATCGCATACAGATCTGGTGCGCTCCGCCTTTGTTTCAGCGTATCTTTTATATGTGGGACCCATTTTGTCTCTCGCTCGACCTGGCCCCACTTCCGCCTTGAAATTCCGATCAGATGCGCAAGCTATAGATCCGCTCGTTGACTTGGATTCTTAAAAAGGTAGGGCCCACTCAGTAAATCAGGGCCACCCCTCCTCACTACCCGCCCTCTCGCGCCAAATCCAACGGACAGAGCAATTTCGCATTTTTCAGGGGAGGGGTGTTTCTGAAAATGTTCTACCGACAGCGCCAGCTCTGGGTTTCTTTCCCACTACCTGCATGAGACGGAATTCCTCAGTCGCAGAGGTTTCTCCAGTCATTGGAAGGAAGGAGCTTCGAGGAGGCAGGCGATGGAGGCGCCTTTGATAACCGAGGAGAGTAGCAATCGCGGCTTCGAAGAAGAAGGCGGCGTCGGTGGCAGCGTAGTCCGGCGCTGGAAGGACTACCATAAGAGATCTGATGCCATTACCTACGGAACGCTGTATCAGAGGGCTGCAGCTCTGGTTGATTTGGTCAGTGTTGTCCCTTCTCGTTGATCGAAGTCGTGGCGAACTTTATGATGTTGGAAATTTCACCTCTCTTTCTTTTCTCTTTTCTTCTGCTTAGTTTTATGCTAAACCTCAGTGTTAGAGTGAAATTGTGCGGGAGCAAGCCCGTGACCGTGGAAAAGTGCTCTGTGGTTAATCGTATGCCATAGGCGATTAACACTTATTTCTGTTGTTAATTTCTCTTTGTACGGAGATCACCATTGTGGGGGCGGGGAGGCCGGGAGATACACGTGCCGTAAATAACTCATTCGGAATTATTACACCGCTTCCTGACTGACGAATAAAAAAAAACAGTCAATTTGAATTATACACAATTTCAAAACAATATTCAGAAATGGGTAATATTTGACTCCGACACACGACTTGGAACCAGCAGATTCATTTTTCCTTGGCTTAAATTAGCGGTCGACTTCCCTTCCATTTTTAATTAATCTAAAATTATTCTTCATCTGTAAGTTTCTGAGACATTAAGCACTTTGATGATGGCACTGCATTGAACGAAAATATATCCTTGGGAAAATCACGTGGTAGAATTTCAGGTGGAATAATTTCTTTATATAAATAGATCTTTTCAAAGTTTTTACGCAGTAGCTAATGATGGTCTTATCCAGCAGACGAGACATGGCTGATTCATAAAATGGTCACATTAGAATGGTTCTACATGTGAACATCTGATGCTTCTGAATGAGCGCCTCACCAGTAAATCATCATCATTATAGTTTGTGGTTGAATTCGACGTTGGCTTTGTAATCATCTGAATAATTGGAAGGAATTCGCGAACCTTGGACATCTGTCGATTTATTTTATTCATTTTTCGTAGGGCCTTATATCTTTTATTTTGACATTCATTGATTAATCTAATTTATCATACACTTGGCGTGGTGTTTAAAAGTTGATGAAACTTACTTCATGAAAATTCGCATTGCAGGCTGAAGATGGTGTTGGCTTGCCTGAGGAAGTTCTTGAAGATGTTAGGTTTGAAAGATCAGTAAAGTTCTACTTCTTCTATATTCGATTTGATCTTTTATGGTCTCTCAACCTTTTGGCTTTGGTGGTACTGAACTTCATCGAGGTTAGTTGGCCCATTGAACTTCATCAGTAATTTTTATTTCCTCTATATTTTCATTTATCTTGTAAATGGATGAATATAAATTATTTATCAGTTTATCCCCTAGTATCTACTTGGAAAAGAAGGGAACAAATTTTCTCCACAGATATCTTCCTTAAAGTCCGAAAGTGATCTTTTACAATCTAATAACCTTTTTCTCATTCTTTTCTGCTTTATAAATATCAGAAACCTCTATGGTGCCCAACCAATGGGGAGCATTCTTGCAAGGATAGAGAATATTTTTTCCTTGGAGAGTTGCCGTACCTAACTGTCTTGCAGTCTGTTATTTATGAGGTAAGGTCGTTTGGTTCTCACTTTGCGGTCTGTTATTTAATGTCACATGAAGAATTTTATCTCTTATTTTGGATATTTACATTTGAGGTCTTATACAGAACTATATTAGTTTGGGTTCCATTCTCTTGTGCTCAAGATAATGCATTTTTATTTGATAAAAATTCTAGTTTTATTTATAATATGAACAACTCACAATTCTGTATAAAAAAATACTCTTAAAGTCAAAAATGGTCCGTGCATTCCATTGCTTTACTCTTCAGATGATAGTATTCTGCACAAAGGCCATCGTCATAAATAGAATTCAGTTGGTATTAATCTCTTTCCGAATTTTGCTGCAGGGAGTAACTCTTGTCATACTTATTGCTCACACATTATTTCCAATCACTTATGAAGGTTGGAATCTCTATTGGAAGAGCATCTTGAACATTTTAAAGGTCATTTCTTTTCATATTTATTTTAGAATTCTAATTTTCGTAAGAGACAAATTTAGGAGTATAAAATTATGAACTTGGATTAAGCTGATGTACAACCTGATCAGTTTCTGCGAGAAATACAAAGATATTTTTTCATCCTTCACACTGAAATAACTTCCAGATTCTAGTTTCAAAGACTTTGTTTTCTCGATATTGATAATTTGGTGTGCATATCTCCACATGGTTTTGTTCGATGATGTGCTTTCGAGAATGTTTGATTCTCACATTTTTCTCACGTAAATTTTCACTTTACTGGCTTTCGTCATAATATTGGTTTTCGTGATTTTTTTATTTCAATGTGCTGGATATTTTTTCATACTTTTCAGGTTGCATTTCTGGTTCTTTTGGTGGCCGATTTGTTGGTGTACGCTTTCTATTTGTCACCTCTGCCAGTTAGTTATCTGCCTTTCAGAGTTGCCCCCTACATCCGCGTTGCATTCGTTGCTTTAAATATCAGGTATTTTTTCCCTCTATTATATAATCGAATCATTTTTTTATGTTTTCAATAGTTATGATATTTCATACAGTGGGTGATTCAGTCAGAGTTATTTTTTTCCTCTGACACTGTATATGAAAGATGAGAAAATATGGAGTTCGGAGTTTTTTTTCATGGAAGTATAAGATATCAAATACCTACAAGCTCTGGGCTTCACTTGAAAGTGAGCTATATGTAATTTAACCATCATTAAGGTCGTAAAGCCACTGTGCTATTCTTAACCTCAGAAAACAGAATTTTATTTTTTTTCCAGAATCGCATATGTTTATGTGTGTGCATGGATAAACAGCTCATGAGGATGTCATAGTTTAAGTGCCCGTGGATATTTTATTTGAATCGCATGCAGTGTAGATGTCCAATAAGTGACATCTCCTCTTGTCCGATAGGCCATATATAATCTCATTGGTTACTTGACTTCATGGTTTGATTTGTGGTATAAAATTCTAGATAGGTCGCATGTCCGTCGGCTGTGTAAATCACTGATTGCCGCTAAATTTACAATTTGCATGATATCTGTTCACTTTTAAGTTTTCCTGCAATATTTCTTTTTAGTCAGTTCCTAGCATAGCTCCCTATCCTAAGTTCCACATTTTCATAATCATTTGCGAAAGACTTTAAATCCATGATATTTGATGATGTCTAAATCTGAATTATCTTCAAATGTACATGTTCTTCCTCAATGTACGCCCCACGGATCTGTACATTCTCTATTTTTCCTTTTAATGATCACTTGGTGCGTACTTAGAAAATTGGAAAAAAAGGACCTTTGAAAAGGACCTTTGGTGATAAGCTATTGGAGTGCTGAGCAGCACAAAAAGTTTACAATAACTCAACTTATCACCAAGGACCAACATAACTACAGTTGCAGGTCTATGTGTTAGTAAAACAGGTACCGGCAGCAACAAATACTCTTAGAAATGAACCCATACCAAAATACACAAGCCCTGGGTTATAGCGTCAATTAGAATAGCGGATAAAGACAGCCGAACCACTATGGACCAATGATAATTTAAAAAAAAGAAAAAAAGAAACGCTTGCATCTGCATAATCTAATAGATCTTAGTGTGGCAAATGGCCACTAGAGGAGAACGAGAAGGGTTTCTTAGAAGTTGGACATGGCTATAATAGAAACTATAACAGTAGAGGAATGTTTGACGGGGGCATTTAGAAATCGTCATCCTTATGGGAGACCATCGATGACCTAATGCTTGACAAGGACCTAATTCTCTATTACCCTGAAAAATTTGGAGATGGAGTAAAGAAGACGAAGGGCAACTTTTACAGTTCTATCCCTTAAATGTATTTTGTGGAAAAACCAAAATAACTCCCTCTTGTTGCGCACACAGTTTATTGTGGTGTTTTCCCGAGAGCTGGATCTTAATTAGCTAACCTGCGTAATTGCAGTTTTTATGTCTATTCAAACTTGGGGCGAAAATGGCTATAAACATACTAAATAATGACTGCAACACACTGTCATGGTTATTGGATCCTTGGAACGTTGGATCTGATTTCTGATAGCAATTAAATCTTAACAAGCTAGTTGAAATTCGAGGTTATAAAAATTTAGATCAGGGTTGTTACCATAGTCCCATGATTATTTTTCCCCTTTCATCTATTTCAGGAGATAAAAGGAAAAGCAGCAACTCCTGCTTTCGGAATAACATCATTTATCCTGGTTCTAGAGTCTGATATCTGTCTGTGTTGTCTTTCCTTTTGTAAATTTCCCTTTCTTTTTTTTAGATTCTCTATTATTTATGATGATTCTTTATTCTAGACTAGTGGCTTAACTGTTTATTTATTGCTTGTATTTTAGAGCAAACCCGTATAATGGCTACATACTTTGCAATCCATAAGAAAAGTTCAATGACGTTTTTTTTTATATGATATCCCTTATTTTTAAGAAATTTTTTTGATGGCGTATTTTGTGAAAAATATTGATTTCTTTTATTCTTTGGCTCAGGGAATTACGGTCTTGTATTGTCACACTGGCTGGAATGATGGGCATGTATCTTAATGTTTTGGTAAATTACTAACCTCCAAAAGCTTGAGTTTCTAAATTTGAAACTCATGATGTTCTTCAAGAAATGCTACTAAATATCTGTACGATTAGCTTCTCAAAATTTAGTTTATCCCAGAAATTAAATGACTAATACAGATTAATATTGTCTAGAGCAAATGCAACGTTAGAACCTGGAAGGCTTTTTTTATGAAGATTTCGAATTTTTCTTTGTGTTTCAGGCTCTTTGGGCTCTGTTTATTCTATTCTCCAGCTGGCTTGCATATGTGACCTTTGAAGACACCCAACAGGGAAAGATTATGTTTACTTCCTTCAGTGAAACCTTATATAATATGTTTGTACTTTTCACGACATCAAACAATCCAGATGTTTGGATTCCTGCATACAAGTAAGCTGGATTATCAAGTGATGTTTTCGGTGTTTAATTTTCCGTCTCATGGAAGTACGTGAATAATGAATAAATATTCATTTTAATGTTTTAAGATGATTTAATGAAGAAGGCAGCATGACTATAAAGTATACATCAGTAAATGCCCCAGGAAGATTCCTCCCAATAACAAAGTGTGTGGAACGTTGATAAGATTTCTGAAGACCTAAAACCATATTTGCGTAGTTTCAATGTCATATCAGTATTTGTTATCAATACTGCGAGGAATTCTTAATGATGTTATCTTTAATAGTCATATGTAAACTTCCATTGAGATAGCCATATGATTTTTTTTGCCTTGTCCTTTATAAAGTCATGCCTTTGTTTCATGATGCGACGGTAATAGTGTTGACTCATGCCTTGTACCATTTATTATTCCAAAAATATTGGGAATTTTTCCAGCCCCCTTGCTTGGGATAAGGGAATTAATAAGTGATTCCATCATACGGCCCCTCTCAATTATGACTGGTGCAGAGAACAGCAGTTGTTGTTTTCACCCTTGCCACCCTTGCTGTTGTCTCCCTGGCAGTCACCTACGTAGCTGTCTCTTACGCTACAGCTCAGTCCTCACAAAGCCAAGCATCCTGGTTGTAGCCTTTGGACTGATGCAACATCCTAACACCATAGGTGTCAAACATAAAGGTGTCAAAAATTATACAGTGATGCAAACCCTAGGAGGGAATATTCTAACAAAATAGAATGCTTATTATTCACATCATAGATGACTGCTAGTTATATACAAGGGTCACGAAATAAGGAAACTATCTAAAAAAATAGGAAACTAACCAACTAAGAGCCAAGCTTTAATGCAGAAAACACTTTAATTCAGAAAATGAGAAGCTGCTGAAGTAATTTCCTTAAATATGACTCTTGATTCCAGTAGACATCACAAAAAGGCCTTTCCATTTTATGTCTTCGCCTTTGACTATCACATCCTAGATTCCATTGGTAGGTTTTGAATCTATTTAAGGAAAATCAAGTAAACTTAAATATATTTTGCCAATTATTCGAGAAAATGAATGCTACTCCGCTTTTTTTATGCTATGAAATGCTGAAACACCATAAATGCTTCCTCTGCCAGGTGATCTGAGATATCGACATTCCTTGCAAGTGACAATCAATCTTAATATATTCTTTCACTCTTATAGTCGGAACAGATACTGATGGGTGTTGCACAGCATGTTGTTTGACTTTGGAGTTTGGATGAAGGATGAAATCCTCTTCACCATATGGCTGAGAAACCTTGACATGCAATTAATTTTTCCTTTTTCTGTGGAACAATGAAATGGATGTAGATACTATTCACTATCCCAGTTGAAAATTAGATAGATGCAGTCTGGAATTTATATAAAAAGTGTTCATAGGTCGTATTTTATGCCTTTTTTGAGCATTTTAAATGTAAACATTCCACATAAAATGGGCTCGGTCTGACTCATGATAATCATATGAGTTTGTTCAGCCGTTTCCATGGAGATGACTTGGTAACCTAGTAATTTATCCCACTTTTACGAATTGCACAGAGTTACAACAAATCAGCAAGATCCATCGCAAACATGTACTGTTTTTTCATCTGATGAATCTTTGCGTTATTTCATGTGAAATACTGCGTTAAGGGTGTTTATATTCCAAATTTTATAAAAAAATGAAATTATGATTCTAAAAAGACTTTTTTCATGGAATATCGCTGAAATTTGTTCCATACATCATTGAGCAGGAGTTCTCGCTGGTCTTGCCTATTTTTCGTTCTGTATGTGCTGCTCGGGGTGTACTTCGTCACTAATCTGGTTCTTGCTGTTGTCTATGATAGCTTCAAAGCACAGGTTAGAGATAATTGATTTTTCACTTTTCAATGATCAAATTTTTGGCTTTGGACTTTTTTTCTTTAAATGGGCCTGATAAACTACCCTAGTTCAAGTTGGGTATATGTATAGTGTCCTGGGAATTTATATCTTATCTTAATCAGATACTCACCAGAAATTGAAACAAAAGAGGATAAATGAGATTTCTTTCAAGATATTTCTTTTGATCACTGCATGGTTCCATAGGAAATTAGTTAATGATAAATTTTAATTAGATGATAATTCTCAATGAAGTTGAATAGTGGGATACTAATTACCTGCTAATTGCTGATGAAACATGCGGGTACTTAGGAGGACACTAGGGCATAGGATTTTCCTCTCTTCATCTCTTCACAGATCTGTGGCAGATAACTTATTTTCAAAGTATGTTGAGAAGTATGAGAGTGATAGCGGGGTACATCTTTGGTATATGCCCTGAACTATCATTATGTATTTTTTGATTATCTTTCTATTGAAGATACGTTTGGTTACAAGCTGACATGTAAAATATATAGAAATCAAAATTGTTCGCATGTTGGTGAACTTTCTAGTCTCAAGCTCCATCTGTCATCAGAATTTTACCCATTTTGGTCAACGATAGTTCCAGTTCACCACTCAAGATAAATGAGTGCTAAAGATAGTTTTTACCCTGTTAACTTATCGCAGCATCTGTTAAAGGGTCAACATAACTAGAGTCCTTATTCAAAGGTTTTACATAATTATGGAGCTATATATTTATATTCTCAAGTATGTTATGTCAGTATTCAGCCCTGCGTATGTTTAGGTGCAGATTATCATATAAAAATCAAAACTCACACTTTTGTTCACCAAATATCTTAGCCTGTTAATGTCATTTAGCACATGAAATTTTGTTAATCCAAGGTTATATAAATTTAAGGCAAAATGAGTGTTAAACATATATATATATATATATATTTAATATACATATACTACCCCATTTAATAGCCATGGTTAAAACTGTAATCTCCACATGCCTAAAAATTATTGTAAATATATTGCTTTTTGGAAGAGTTAAAAATGCCTTTGATAATTAAGTTGACATAGTCCAACAATTTTCCACTACATGGAATCATAGAGGGAGATAGAGATTAAAGAGTTATGCAGATCAATGGAAGATCAGTGTTCCTTATTTTGGAGCAATCCAAGTATTATGGGAAAAAATGTTCAGGCACTTTTATATGCATTATGCCATATAAAAGTGTTCTTTACATGCAAAATTTGATGCTTTATTCAATTTTTTAAAATTAATGTGTTTCAGCATGTAAAGTAGATACTCCTTTGATAGCTACATTTGTAAAGGTTTCTGAAATCGTCCAGAAATTCAATGATCTTTAAATAGTCATCATCTCTTTAGACGTATGCTAGAAATTCTTTTATTTATGTCCTCAGCCTTAGAGGCAACCTTTTGTAGAATATTGAGTTTGTCACATGATTGGTACAAAAGGGAGGAAGCTGAAAACCTAATTATGACTTCTTAATTGGTGGTTCTACATAATTATCGGCTGCAACACTTAATTTGACGCTAGTTTGAAAATGTTATTCAATTTAAACACTTTTCATACAGTCTGAAGTCGAAGGAATTTCCTGCTGAAAGCTATTTCTCTCATAGAGGAAAGGAAGTGATGTAAAATTCACAAATAAAAATGTTTGAATGAAGTATAAGTTATCATTTGTTGTTTGTTTTTCAGCTTGCAAAGCAAGTCATAGAGATGGATTCCATGAGGATAAGAATTTTGCGGAAGGCTTTCTCAACAATTGATAAATATGTGAGCCTCGTCATTTTTATCTCTGACTTGTGACATGTGGTCGTATTTTCTTCAAGATTGGGTTTTTATCCGAATTCAGTTTTGATTTGATGGTTTTGGCAGCTCGAATAAATTTCTGTCGTTTGCATTTTTTACATTAAAAATATATTATTTCTTTGATTTTTCCCCTCCTTATCATTGTATAATTTTAGACTATCATGATTCATGAACATAGTATACATGAACTATTTCTATTTTCTTTATTCTATATGAAATATACATAGAACAGCAGGTGTATCCCCATCATTTTGTCATGGGAATTTGAATGTGGTGGAACTGTACTAATATATTTCCATCTACTAAAGACATTAAACTCAATGTAGTTTGGCCAGTATGAATCTTATCTGCTTAGTAATTACTTGGAGAATATTTCTAGTGCATGTTCATATTACTGTTTTTGCCTTTGGTATTGAGACAAATTGATTCCTATATAGGTGGCATTATATTTTTGACTTGAAAATACCTAATTATTTCTAGATTCGAAGGAATATGTTACGAACCTCCCGTGATTTGGGCGAATGTACACCCCAGTCCGACCTTAGACATGGCTCCAGTCATGGAATCAACTCTTCTCTTGTATTGGAGAACCAGACAGAAGAATTAACAATGAAAATGGAAAGACAATAGAGGTTCTCAAGCAATAGGATGAGTTCCTGAGTTTGGATTGATCCTCATTAACAAGGGAGTCCGAATTGGACCTCCCTAAGGACAAACCTCCCACTCTACTTTGTTTTTTGGCCCTAGTACATTATTCTATGGTGGTCCCTCCTCAATATGGGGTCTAGGTCATCTTGTGTAGATGATAGTTGACTTCGTAACATTACTTCCCCCCATGAGTTTCACCTTGTCCACAGCGTGAGATGTAGGGAATTGCTGAAGGAATGTTGGTATTGTCATCCATGACGATTCAAACTCTAGAAGATGTTTCCATGAAACTAATATTTCTGCGCTTTGAGGAGTTGACTTGTAAGCTTTTATTCCATATGGAATTAGTATCCATTATTGATCTTATGATAGTGTCGGGGGAATTGGCTGGCTTTTTTTGTCCGTTCTGAGTGTCTTCTTGAGCTGGAATATATGGAACACTGGGTGAATAGTCGAATGGTCTAACAGTTGGAGTTTATATGCCACTGGTTCAATTCTTTCCATTAGGATATGGACCAAAATAACAAGGGCTTAACTTCTCGTTTTTCTTTTTCGCTAGAGATCTCATCTACCAAATGACCCACCTCTAATTCAACTTCTCTATAATGCTTGTCTGTATTAAACTTCATCCTCACTTGTGCCTTTTGCAAATTGAATTTCAGAATCTTGATGGTAGGATCTCGTTTTGAGAGTAGTTGTTCGGTAACATCAAGGGGTGAAGGAGATATCTCATATTTGATAAGTTTTGGGGGGTCCCTGCCATATACCACTTGAAAAGGAGTCATTTTAATAGAATAATGATATGAAGTATTGTAACTATATTCTGCCCAATGAAGCCTTAATTTTCGTTATTTTAGCTTATCAAATACCACACATCTCAAGTAATTTTCTAAGCATCTATTGACTACTTCAGTCTGTCCATATGTTTGAGGGTGGTAAGAAGAGTCGAGTTTGAGTTCAGTCACCTTGTAGTGTGTGTAGCTCACGCCAAAATATACTTGAGAATATTCGTCCCCTGTCCAAGACCACTGTCTTTGGAAATCCATGGAGTCTTACAATTTCCTTGATGAATAATTGAGCAACCTCCTTGATTGAGAATAGATGATGCAGGACAATAAAATGACTATACTTGCTTAATCTATCCACTACTATTAATATGGCATTTGACTCATATGATTTGGGCAAGTCTTCAATGAAATCTATTGAGAGGTCTTCCCATATTTGGGTAGGTATAGGTAATGGTTGTACAAGTTCAGCTGGTGATAGTGAAGAAGATTTACACTGCAAGCAAGTAGGGCAATTGTTAATATATGCCTTTATATCTCTCTTCATTCTTTGTCAATAGAACTATTGTGAAATTCTATGATATGTCATTTAGAACCCAGAATGACCCCCACTGAGCTGTCATGAAATAATTGTAACACTCTGGTAATTAAAAAAGAATGTGTTGGAAGAACCAAATTTTATTTATATAACAAGGATCCATCCTTCAAATAATATAATTCGTTTGCTGTATCTCCTTTAGACAAGGAAGTTTTAATCTCTGTAAGCCTAGTGTCTTGGTCCATGGCTAGTCGGATAGCTTTAAAATCAATGGAGTGCTGTGCTATTACCTCAATTATTTCATCTCACAGTAATAATGGACATCAAGATAATGCATCTGTGGCCTTATTATTTTTCCCTTCCTTATATATAATTTCAAAACTATAGCCTATCAATTTCACCAACTATTTATAAGATTCAGCATGAATTTTCTTTTGTTCAAGTAAGAATTTATGATTGTACTGGTCTGTTTTGATGATAAAATGCTGACACATAAGATAATGTCTCCATGTCCTTACTGCCAACACTATGGTCATCAACTCCCACTCATAGGCTGATTTTAATTTGATTCTTACTGGAAGTGCTTGATTGAAATAAGTTATGGGGCAGCCTAGCTGCATGAGAATGGCCCCAACACTTGATCCAGAAGCATTAGTTCTCATAATAAATCCTTGTAAAAAATTTGGTAATGCTAATACTTGAGCTATAGTCATTGCTTGTTTAAGGGTAGAGAAAGTGGCTTGTGCTTCTCCTGACCAATAAAATGCATATTTTCTTAATAATTGCATTAGTGACCATGCAATTGAAGCATAGTTGACAATAAATTTTCTCTAATATCTAGTGAGCCCTAGGAACCCGTGGAGTTAAGATTTCTAAGAATCAGCCAATTAGTCATGGCAGATATCTTTTCCTTATCAACTTCTACTCTTGCTGACACCTAGTGGCCCAAATTCTCTAGTTATTAATGCAATCTTAGGTAGATCTTCCTTTTTTATTTTGATCTCTAATTTTAAATCAAGTTTTAAAAAAACTAATTTCCCATATAATCATTTAGTAGTTCATCTACAACTGTAATGAGGTATCAGTCAGGAACTATAGCTCAGTTCAACGCTCAGTAATCTATATAGAACCTTCATCCACCATCTTTTTTATTGACTAATAATATAGGGCTCGCATAAGGATTATGTGAAGGTTGTATGACTTCTGTTGATATGAGTTCTTGGACTAGTGTCTCAATCTCATTTTTCTAAAAATGAGAGTATTTGTAAGGCTTCAAGTTAATAGGTTTTATTCTCGGCAATAGATGAATGGCACGGTCAACATGGCACTTAGGTGACATTCCTATTAATACTTCAAAAACCTTAGGAAATTCTTGTTTCGAGCTGATTTCTAAATCGTTAGGTGCATTAGTGTCTCTATTTGAGTGAATATGATGCAATTCAACCATATATGCCTTGCTGCTCTTAAGTACCTTATCTACTCTTCTTAGTGACTTACTAATTTTTGTAATATTAGGGTCCCCTTTAAAAATATGAATTTTGGCTCCCATCATGAATCTCAATATGAACTTCTCATAGTTGGAAATGATTCACCCTAAAGTTCTCAACCACTATATGTCTAGAATTACATCCGTGCCACTCAATTCTAGTGGTAGGAAATCATGTACTATCAAAACACCTTGTGCATGCAGAGAAATAGTCTTGCAAATTACTGCTCCTGCCATTGTATTGTTGTTTCCCATAACTATGCTATAGCCGTTTAACTTCTCCATTTGTAAGAAGAAGTTGTCAATTATTTTGGTGCACAAGAAATTATAAGTTGTCCCATTGTCAATGAGTATAGACACTTCATTGTAAGAATTACCTTCGTTTCATGAATTCGTTGTAGGTCGAACTTGGAAGGAATTTCTACTTCTGCCTTGCTAATTTGATCCCTATTAGGGTGCGAACAGAATCTTGCTCCTGTACTCTTGTGCATGTAATAATTGCTCCGACAAAAAGACCAGGATGTCCTGCTCTGATACTAGTGTTATGAACCTCCTGTGATTTGGGCGAATGTATGCCCTAATTCTACCTTAGACATGGCTCCACTCATGGAATCAACTCTTCTCTTGTATTGGAGAACCAGACAGAAGAATTAACAATGAAAAATGGAAAGACAATAGAGGTTCACAAACAATAGGATGAGTTCTTGTGGTTGGATCAATCTTCAGGAACAGGAGAGCCCGAATTGGACCTCCCCAAGGACAGATCTCCCACTCTACTCCTCTGTTTTGTCCCCCCTTCTTATTTTGGCCTCTTCTATATTTATAGGCCCTAGTACATTATTCTATGGTGGTCCCCCCTCAATATGGGGTCTAGGTCGCCTTTTCTAGACAACGGTTGGCTTCGTAACAGAATACATGCTAAACAACCACATATTTAAAATGAAGCATGTATATAAAACATATCTACTTCATCCATCAGGAACCTGCCCATCATCTGGTCTCCTTGATTCTTGTATTGATGGAATTGTTCTCCTCTTCAATCCCTTAACATGAATGGAAATATTGGTGAAAAAAATCTAGTTGGTGTCATAGATATAAGAGAAATAATATTTTTCTTGGAATCAAATCAGGTAGGATTTTTATTAGAATAACAGTATAACAGAAAGCATAAATATAGATGTTTATTAATGATCTCATTTCTCAGACAAGTATTAAAATAGCCACGAGTAAAGGGAAAACATATTAACCATAACTTCAGGGCAGAGGATTGTTCAGGTATACTGTTTGAACCAAAACATGTCAATGCTGTCTGTCTTACTAGTGAAATTTATGCATTTAAAAATATTTTTCTCCTCGGAAAATGTTGAAGAACTTCATTTTCATGGCACTTGGTCAGATAGTAAACTTTGAAGTCCTAAAGATTTGTTCCAAAAATTGTTCTCTGCTTTTCATTGAGCCGATGTTGATGCAGTATCAATACCTCTAACAATATTGAATCTTATGCCTAATACTGAAATGGTTCTTTTTTGGTATGTGCATCAGAATTATGGATACCTTAACAAAAACCAGTGCATAAACCTGTTCGAGGAATTGAACAATTACAGGTAAATTCCTCGCAGTTTTATCTTTCCAGTGGATTTCTTGAAACGTCTTCAGGGACCAGATGCTGTCTTTATTTTTGGAAGATTGTGGATTACCCGTTTGGCATGTGAAGGCTTTTTATTTTCTAGTTTTATTGAAGATGACATCAATCGGATGTAATTGACATAATTATTTTACATAAAGAATGAAAGGTTGATGCTTTCAGTGTTCTGAAAGCTTTGGCAACAAATACATAACATTCAAGAGGAAAGTTTATTCATGATAGCTTTTCGTGTAAATGATTGTTTTGGAAATTTTATATGCTTTGAGCAATGACACTTATGTGGCTGAAAGATCAACGAACCATGTAGTTATTTCAGGTTACCATTTGGACCTTAGGCTATTTTGTCGGATCTCTCTCTTGCTTGATAATTGTGCACACTTTAATGTGAGATGCCGTAGGCCAGAACCTAGAACAAGAGAAATGTAGGAAACTAGGACAGGTAGATATGGTACACCATATTTTGTGGTTTGTTGTTTTAGATCCTTTGGCAAACCAGCTGCTAGCATGCAGGTGTCAATAAAAAATGTACACATGAACAATCGCTCTCCAGTTCTCTTTACCTTTGCTTTTATGTTTTTTGTGTCTTTCTTCCTCTCTGATGCTTTATATTTCTTCGTCTATTTCTTTATAATGGCTGTTATGATGAAACCGCAGATGTTATAACCGACTTATGTGGCTTGGTCAGGAAAATTGTAGATTAGTTATTGCAAAAGATTTTTATTTCGGTCCTGAGAATTAGTCCTTTCCATGTTTTATGGTTACCTCTTCGTCATATTTTTTTGTTTGAACATCCTTATTGGACTAGAGCTTTCCATGTTGCAACTCTACTTCGTTTTCTTAGCGATACACATGTGAAGCAATGAATATCCCGCATTTGAGTGCAATAAAAACGACTAAAAATAAATTTCCCCAACATGATATACACTCAATTCTCGAATTCAAAGTTTCCCCTGGTAACATGGTGGGGATTTGATCAATTTAGTGAGAGACGCCTCTGGCAATATCCACTAAAACCAGGGATGTCTGTTAAAGGTTTATTAATAGCCTTTATCATTCCATATTAGTCCAACATAATATTCAGCCTATATGACACTCTGTTTTTTGTGGGATTTGATCCCAATAACCTTGATCTCACGCTATTCCTAAACTTGGCCCAATAATGAAATGTGCTTCTCAGTTGTTTGGTCAAAATTTCAACTCAGTAATTGCTGTTTTTAGTCTTAAACATATCAAGCTAAAACTCACCGAGCAAGGCGTTAATATCGAATCTTTCTGCGAATTAATGTACTCTAGCAGCAGTAAATTCGTCCATAGGTTTAATTCTAAATGTGGTACAAAGGATGGATGACCTACATGCTTCATGTCTCTTCAATGTATGTTGTATAAGATAGCCGTAAGCATGAAGGTAAAGAATGCTCACAAATTTATAAGTTATTCTGATCTTCTGCCATGAGATCCTTAAAATAACATATTAGGTTATTTTAAAATAATTTATAGATGTGCTACATTTGAAGCGCATCTCTTGTTTTTCCATGATCATGATGTTGTTACATGGGTCCTTATAATTTGACTTAGCATTTATTTAACATGATTCTCAGATCTTTGCCCAAGACTTCTAAGGAGGATTTTGAATCAATATTCAGTGAACTCGATGACAGCGGAGATTTTAAGGTAAGATTTATTTGATAATTATTTAGTTGCATCCTCTTTTCTTTTCGAATTTTTAGATCATGCTTGGCAACAACTATGTCACGGCATTGTTCTTGGAAATTTACTTAGCAAATTGAAATGCAGTTCTTTTTGAATTAATGCTTTTCGTTAATGATATTCAACAGCGCACGTAGTGCTTGATTTATATATGTTTCATTAGTAAAAATGTTTTAGATGTGAATATTGAGGAAGTGATCTCTACATGAATACCTCAATGCTATAGTTCGCTCTTCCACTGGGTCTAGCACCGCCCCCCCTTCTCCCTGTCCCCTTCTAACTAAAGTGATGAGGTTCTCAACCCTTCTATGCCCGTAGTCTCTAATACGGGCATTAATTTGAAAAATTAAATGACTTTTCAATGTTTCACGTAACGATTTGATCCAGGTATTAAATTAAGCATTTTTTTATTATTTTCAATGTCTTCTTAATTGGGTAAATCATGAGGATAATATTTTAATAATTTTCTCATCACAAAATTTCAAAGTGTTTTTATTCTAAAAGCTTTACTTGCTCGAACAGAAGTAAGATGCAATCACAATATGGTACGAGGGACATTTGTTAACATATATGATGTGCGCACTTTTCCAAAAAAAATATGTTTGTACTCGGTAGTTCTGCTTGATAATTATTAATTGCAGCCAAAATATTTCAAATCATTTTTTGCCGGATAAGTTTTTTTCATTTAAACGTGTCTTTGTTTATTGTTTTTTTCTAAGTGCAGATTAATGTGGATGAATTCACTGACCTGTGCAATGCGATTGCCTTAAAATTCCAAAAGGAAGCTGCAGTAAGTTATCTTCTTATGTCCGTGTAGTGGTGACTACTAAATTTTGTCCTCATTAAACTTTATTTCATTCCATTTTAGTGGCGACTACATATTCTATTGTGATCAATTTTTCCAGCTGCATTAGTTTGTTGTCTGTGTTAGATCTAATAATTCTATTACACTTGAACTTTCCGCAGCCTTCATGGTTCGAGTATTATCCATCTTTTTACCATTCGCATACGTGCAAGTGCTTGAAGGAATTTGTTCGAAGCTCAACATTTGAAAATCTTGTGGCCTTTGTCCTTGTACTCAATTTAGTTGCTGTGATCATTGAAACCACGGTATGACTACTCCGATGATGCTAAATATTCTCTCATCTACGGTACTTTTATTTCTCATATGATTCTATCTCTTTGATGTATAACGAATTGAGCATGAGGAATTCCATTGACTTTGAGATTATACAATAAAGCCATTTATATGAATCCCGGTTTTTTGTGCTCAATGGAGCATTCTTCTTTTTGATTTTGAAAAATCATCCATTTAACTATTTTGGTTTTTCTTTTCTTTTATAGAGTTCAACATAGCTTAGTATTGTGCTATCGAATTCTTAGTGCCAATAGGCAGCCTAGCTTCCAAGCTGCAGCCAAGATCCAACAAGGCCGGAGATTATGTGGAACAGTGCAGAGGCATCCTCTCTCATTCGTTCTCTCTTTATCTTTATCAAAACTTATAGTTAACATACAATATTAATAGATATTAGTCATCTGAAGAAATTTTATAGTCTATCAAAGGAATCCGCCTTAAAAACTTTTGAGCACACTAAAAAATCCATGTATACTAAAATTTTCCCCAGTATACACCGTGAATATTTCACCCTAAAACCGACTTATACTGCTCGTCATTTGGAAAATAGTTGGATAATCTTTTGGTTCGGTTGGTGTTTTCGTCTATGCACTTGAAATTTTATTTATGAGATTTTCACACAAGTATTTATAAATTACCTAGTTTGAATTTTTTTACATACATATATTTTTCTAAACTTATTCTTATTTATAATTTTTATTAATAAATCATTGATACCCTTTTCTCTTTAATTGGTCGCATAAGTCAGTAAGCAGATTCAAACTGGAAACATATCTCAATTTCTCAAATTTATTGTATTTTAAATGGGAACCGTCAAAACGGAAGGGAAAAGAGAGTTACGATTTTCAGTCTCCTCACCTTTTTATATGTCGGAGGAGAGTGGTCATTACACCATAACATCTGATATGGGCCGGCTAAATGAGTCCAAATTCTAGCTGATTCTCTAATAAACTCTCTAACTCAGACAATCTCAGTTGGCCTCTAAAAAATTTGCTGAGTAGAAATGCCTGTATAGATTATGATTTCTAAAGTCTAACATGTGATCCTTGACGACACAGACAAGTTATAGTACTAAATTTTAGCAATGCACTGCTTTTCCTTGTGAATTGAATGCTTTCCCATTCTAAGGTAAATGTTATTTTGTACATACTCTCTGCTTTATACAGAGAAGAATACTGTCCGATACTGGAAGAAATAAATGATACTTTTATCTTTAGTTTGGAATTCTTGAATCGATAGAATAGTGTAACTGACATTTTCTATCATGGATCTCTAGATTTTTCATTTTTCAATTTCAAGAAAGTCATGTAATACCGCCCATTTTTGGTTCTCAACGTTCTTTTCTCATGAATCTAAACAACCGTTATCCACTGCAGCTTGATATCCAGAATAGTTCTGCTCAGAAAATTTGGCAGGCGGTGGAATTTGTCTTTGGTAAGTGCTTAAGATCAAATAACCCTTTTAATGTTTAGTTTACATTGATCCAACTGCTGCTTCATGCTATGGTAGTCGAATTTCACAAAAATAAATCAATTCACAAAACCTAGGCGGTATTTATAATGGTGACTCAGTCACAAAACTGCATTTTTCATGAGCACTTCTCATCTAGTAAGTGAGAGTCTTCTTCCAGGATGATGTTTTTAATAGTTTTAATTTATCTTTTAACTTATACAATTATTGATACTAATTTAATTTAATGATAACTAAGTAATGTCTAAGGAAGGTCGACAAAAATATAATCCTCCAGAAAAAAAATCTTCTCATGTTTGTAGTCAACATTTACTTGACCGTTTCTTAAGAAAGTTCATCTTCAAATATAACTTTTTTGTGCTTATTTACTCTTTTATGTAAACAGGACATTTGAATATCTATTGGAATTGTTTTCTTTCGTATAGGTTGGCTCTACATCTTGGAAGTGGCTCTGAAAATATTCACCGATGGATTTGGTCGTTACTGGATGGAAGGACAAAACAGATTTGATTTTGTGATCACATGGATAATCTGTTAAGTTCTTGAATTATTCTTAAATTCTGATATTTTACTTTATTGCATGGAGTATGAGTTTTCTCCCTTTTCTTGTATCATATTTGAGTTGGTACTGAGTAGTTTGTCGCACATATTTTTCCACTTTATTTCTGTTCCTTGATTTTAAAATATTCACTAATACTTGCTTCTGTAAAATTCGATGATTTTCAACGAGGGCCTTGTATTCTCAATATTATGTTATTTTAAGAATGCTATCATTTATTGGAAGGTAAGAAAATATCTCTGTGCGATATTTCTCTTATTCTCACTAACTAGAGTACATGTTAAAGTTTCGATAGTTAGGAATTGGGAGCCTGGAGACCAGCTGGATCAGTTGGCCATTGGTACCACCCTTCATAAGTGTGTAGAAGATTACTCTTTAACATGTGGCCCCCGTTGTAAACGCAGTATTGTCCAATTACGTTGTTAGGTTTTGCTCTAACTATAGATACAGAGTTGATAAACCTACCCCGTTGACACGGTGTCTCCTTCCTGGTGTTCAGTCTACTCTTTTCCTCTTCTTTTTAATCAACACTTAGGATGGAATATATTGATGTTGTATGGTCAGATAAAATAATACAAAAAAATGTTGTTTCTTGAAACTTATGATTTGGAAATCTCTGTGACCTCTTAGGAGCTTGCCAGCTCCCTTGCCTTTTGTCGATGTGAATGATGACATCTTCTAGGCTGTAGAAGAGACGACAGAGAGAGACTCAAATAAACATTTAATGTCTCGTTATGAAAAACTGACATATAGTACATAAATGTTTAAGTTGTATTAAAAACATTCAGAAAACAGAAACCCCTAAATGTTAGTTGGTAGGTAGGTCTGCTAGTCCTTTAGACATTTGTGTTGATGTTGATTAGGGATCGTCAGTATTCCTAAAAAAAAATTTGAGGATCAGAATATAAATCACCATCAAAAGTTGTTATACAACAAGTAGAAAATGTGCTTACACAAGTGCCAACTTCTTGCCTTTAATACATGCTTTGATTGTAGCTTTTATCATTGAAAATAAAAAAATGAGAATCGCCTTTCTCTGGGAAGAGATTATGGCATTGTAACCATGCATTTCGTATGTTACATTTAGAATCACATTTAATGCATATTAGTATAAATAAAATGAGTTTATTAATTACAAGAATAAGAGGTCACCGGATTTATCATTGTTCCTATGTATTTATCAAGTGCATGATTCTAATGTCTGACACCGGGTTCCTCTCGTCTTCAGAGTTAAATTTTCCTTCATAAATAATAGCACATGCATAATTTTTTTTCTTTCGTGGTGTAGTTGTTAGCATTCTGATCTGTTTACTTCGCCTTCTGCAGTTATTGGAGAAACAATGACATTCTTCTTTCCACATATTTCTTTCCTCTCAAACGGGGAATGGTAAGTCTCCTCTTTTCTATTCTTAGTGGGGATGAAGTATATTTTTTTAGAACATAATCAAAATTAGGCTTTTAAGAATCAAGGATGATAAACAGGAAGATAAAAAATTAGCCCTCCAACGTCTTTGGCAAACTTTGGAAAATGTCTAAACACCATCAAGGTAATACCTACGGGGGATAGGATAATGTAGTTGTAACTGTTCCAAATGATACGTACATGGTATGCTTCACACTGATGGTTTCAGGTGAATTTTTTGTGGCGTCAAATTAAATTTTTTGGACATGATAACTAGAATTCATGGTACATACCGATGGGGGTTTTATGGAAAATGATCAACATGAAGTGGTTTATGCAATAAAGTTAGCAGGAGGGTCTGAAAGATAAGTAGTAGACCCACACTTCCTCAAAGAGTATTGTCATCACCATTGAATCAAAAGGGGGATTGATGGAGGTGCATTCTTCGACTATGGGACGATTGAAATATGACACTTAAATACGAATCTGCCAAGTCCACTACTTAGGGGGAAATAACTTCCGCTAGTAGCCAACAAAACTGCATTATGCTGTGGTATGAAGGAGATCTATCAAGTTTAATTCTTGCTGTGTCGTAATTTTTTGGGTATTTGTCATTTTGATCTCTTATAAATAATAAATCAAAAACAGTTTCTCAGACTAAGCGAGTGTTTCCCTGCGACTGTGGCACACGCCCTTTATTCAAGAGATAAAAATTTGAAAGCAAGTAATCGCACAGTAAAATTTACAATGATTCAACTCCATCCTCTCCACTATTTGAGTACTATTTTCAATTAACAGAGTGTCCGTTAGAGATCAAGTGCCACCTCAGCCTTTCGACCCTTAAACTTCGAGTGCTTTCTCATCTCATAAAAACTAGCTGGAACCTACACATAAGTCGCTAGCTGTCCACCAATATTGGTGACTAAGTTCATGCATTTCCCAAAATTTCCGAAAAATTAGAAACATTTAATGCAATAATAAGCCAAGATTTTAGTGATGTTTCCATGAATTAGACTTTGGACTACCTGGGAACAATTGAAAATAGTGTTGGATAAGATTACTGAGTTGATCTCTTGATGGTTTGACTGGTTTTTTTTATGGATTTTATAAAAGACAATTTATGTCCTATTTTATTTTTACGGTTAATTCCTGCTCAGTTGGACAGTTTGGGTGTTAGATTAAATGCAGAGAAGGATGAGAGGTCCAGTGTCTGGTTGTGAGACTTAAGGTCAATGAATGACCATTGAGTTTTCTTCTTCTCCGAATTTTCTTTTCCCTCTATTTTCCTTCATTATCTAATGAATAATGCTAGTTTTTAAAATGATATTCCCATGAAAAAAGAAGGAAACATGGTTGTTACAAATTTCTCTGAAGCTCAGCATTTCATAGAGAGACATTACTAAAGGTGAAGGTAATAGAGGCAGAAAGGAGAATAACAATTGGAATTTCACAGAACGATGGAAGCATTGTAATATGCTTGGGTTTGAATTTTCTCGAGTGACCTTATCTAATTTTAGCTTTCAGCGTTTAACGTTGGAAGTGAATCTGAACTCGTGTAAGCTTTCATCTTATTACAAACACTAGGGAAAAGCCTCTATTTTGGGATCACATTTCAATTACTTTATCATATCATGTTTCCTTTCTGGGAATACGGACTAATTAATTTGTTTTGCGCTCAGCGCCAGATGAGACAGGATAATCACTAGGGCATGTATCATAAAATGCGTCCTTCTTATATAGCATACAAGATTTCCTGTTCCAAGTAAATGGCAAGTGATACAGAATTTCATAATAATGCTAATACTAAACCTCTATTTAGCCCTCCTGGGAGTCTTACTTCTGTGTTTTATCATTTAGGCTGATACACATGGAGTGGATATTATTTTTTGCTCATTGCTGACACACATGGAGATTATTACTTTATTGCGGATCATAAAACATCTCCTACTAAAAGCATTCAAGTTTTGTCGTGATGACTGTTTTTTGTTGGCAACAGGATCCGTTATCTTCTTATTGCAAGAATGCTGCGTTTAGTAAGGATTTTATTGCATATCAAACAATACAGAGGATTTGTGGCAACATTCTTGACCCTCATTCCTAGCTTGATGCCATATCTTGGGATCATTTTTTGCGTGTTATGCATTTATTGTTCCCTTGGTGTACAGGTTAGTTATTTTAACTTCACTGAGTCTGATCTTTGGTTTATAACTTGAAATAATGCCTTTGTGGGGCTCTTGTCTAACTCATGGCTTGGTGTTGACCGATGTAAACTATGCAATATATGCAAGAGTTACATTTGGCAAAACTAATGGTTTCTACTATTTAAATTTACGACAATTCATCATCATGAAATCATTATTTTTAGTTTTTCTCAATCGTTTTTACTTCCATGCACTCAATACTAAGATACCAATGGTGAAAAAAAACAAAACATATCAAACATCACTCTTCATATGCTTTCCCTAGGTATAATTATGATTGAATAATGCACATTCTCCCGTGGTGTATTAAAACGAATTCTGTAATGAAAATTATGAACCATTTATCATCATGCAACGTTGACTTCCAATCCAAGTTATTTTCCAGAATAACCTACCCCCCGAAACTTGCTTATTCTTTTCTTCTTGGTTACTCACATCATCAATCCTTATGTAATCCTGGGTGGATTCAGAGCAAGAATTTTCCTATCTTTATTCTTCAGCCATTCCGTCATAGAGGATGACATCAGTCATTTCTCCAGTGAAATCTGCGTAGATTATGCCTGGTGTTTATGGTAAAAGTCAAAAAACAGTGGTTCACACGTTATAGTCCAACGCATCATCTACAGGTGTAGTATAAATATTTCTATCAGTACACAACTTCATTAATATGGTTTAAACGTTCTATGCTCTTCAATGTATTTTCACACGAAGCACTGCCTGATATGGACCTAATTATCCTTTTAAGCATCATAAACTTTTCTCTTTTAGAAAAGTTTATGTTAAGTAGAATTTAACTTCTAAATAGTCCTGGAGAAGTGCCTCTTCGATAAATTTGTACGTTTGATCAATAATCCATGAATTATTGACCGCTTTTCTTTAGAGCATTCAATGGAACCTGAAACTTACGAATAATTTATTTACATTTTCAGCTCTTTGGTGGCATTGTTAACTTGGGAAACCCAAACGTGGAGTCAACTAGTCTTTCTGATGACGAGTATCCTTTGTTTCATTGTCCTCGTGTCAGTGAAATGTGTTGCTTTTTTCATTTTTCAAGAAATGAAATGTGTAGCGTTCTGTCTAAATACAACCTGCGAATTTTAGGTTATCATGCCAGTTTCCTTAACGCTTTCAGTTACTTACTTTTCAATTTTAATGACTACCCAAATGGAATGGTGACGCTTTTCAATCTGCTTGTCATGGGAAACTGGCAAGTTTGGATGGAGGTAATTTAGTGACTGTTGACCTTTTCTCTTTCTATAATTTTTGGCGGAACGTATCAGATTGGGTACACTTCCAAGAAGTTTCCTCTGAAATTTTGTTAATGAATTTTCCACCTTTTATGACTGACATTACCGATAATCCACATCAGAATTTTTTCCTCAAATTTATTTACGTTAACTAGCATACATATTGCCAGATTTTTAGGGTTTAAGGCTCACTGCATCATTTACCCTATCAGACAGTCCCCCAAATAGCATACATATTGCCAGACTTTCCTTTTTTGTTATCATTTTTTAGAATTATTAATTTATGTTTCCTTTTAACACATCCATCCTTCTGCTTGGGCGTGATCTCTTTTTTTATTATAGACGGATGAAATGAATTCTGAGAGCTTAGGGTTCTTTTGGGTATGATGGAAGCCAGAAACCGACGACCAATCCACTTCGATCTTCACGGTGGCTTCAGAGGAACGAAGCAGGAGAGGGAGAACGGTTGAAACCCCCAAAAACAAATGTCATGTTCACTCGATTAGGGCATATACCGGGCTAGTATTCACACCAGTCCGTAAATACATAACGACGAGGAAGGACATAAAATAAGAAAATACAATACATGGAAGAAAAATAAGAAAATAAAATACATATCTCGACAGGTTAGTTTGGCCATTTTTATCATATTTGGCTACTAGGCCAAGGAAGCTGCGAGGTTTACAAGTTTGAAAGGATACACAATCATTCATTTCTTTGAACCGTTAACTCTGTCATCACAATAAAATGGTAGCATTTGATTGCCCAAAGCTGATCGTTTTCAGATACGCTAGCATGTGGCAATATCATCGGTGGTACCTATCACCATACGCTTGTGTGAAATGTTACAGGGTTTACCTGTATATTACGAAACAACTACATACAAACAGATTTGCTCTAGCAGTATTCTGGTATGCATTTTACCATTTCAGCTTGGCGAACCATCCATTTATCTAAGCAAAAATAGCCTCCCAAGTGAAGGAAAAACTGGATTCACTCAGTGTTGCATGTATTTCTTCTTCTTCCATGTCTGCCACTGGTTGAAAGAGACTTTTTTCATCAGTTCCCTCTAGGTTACTCTCCTTTTCATAACAGTACTAGTGGGTTAGGCCAAATGGGCGTAGCACTATAGCTTATAGGATGGACTACTTCAAGGCTCATTAACTTGAAGTATAGTTACGGAATTTAAGGCTTTAACTCTCTAATACTCCCCCTCAAGTACGTACAAGCATATTTATATTGCCCAAATTGTTACATAAGATGGAGAATCCAATACAACTTTGTAATTAAACGCGGTATAAAGTCTTTGATGCAGCATATGTGGCATACTTGTTTATGAAAGACAGAATTCGAACGTTAACTATAGCCACTGAATTATCAGTGTATACTCACTGCCTCGTTGCATTCAATGCTAAAAATCTTACATAAAAGATTTTAGCGGTAGTTCATGTCTTGGATGAGTCGAAACTTACATGTAATCTCAGCATAAAGTACAATAGCTTGTTTGTTACTCCGCTGAAAAACTAGGCTACCTCCTATAAAGGTACGATAGCTTGTGTGAGAATGGCATAGTCAATTTCAATCCAAACCAGGATATTGAATTGACGATTCAAAAGGAATTCCATTGCTAACTAGGTTTGTTTTTCATTAGTTATGGACTACAGTTTTGGATGACTTGTTTCAAGCATAATTTCTGCCTTTTTTTACGTGCCTGGATGTCAATAACCATGATAAAGGTTGTATTTTGAGCAACATCATCGTAGCCATACAAATGATTAGGTTATTTTCAGATCCTATAGTCAACACTAAACTCGTCAATTGTGAGAGTTTGTGCCTGCAGTGTAGGAGAAGGCTCAAGGTACAGCCTCCCAAAATTTTCATGTCCAGATGTTTTTTATTTATCAAGGATTTCAGGGTATTTTATTTTAATCTTTAAATTTTAAATTTTAAATTTTAAATCTATTGGGAAATTTTGGGTTGAGTTTAAGTTTGGATTTTTTTTAATTTGGCTTTGCCAAAAATATCTTTTATGAAATGTACACCCTGGCAAGGCTCAAGTTGAATCATGTCAACAGGTGAGGCTGTCGCTTCTACGTCTACTAGGATCAATTTAAATACCGATAGTGTATAATTAGCCAAGTGCTTTGTAAACTTCGACAGGATTATTACGAGATAGCAACATGAATGCAGAAATCTTTCAAGAATGGTGACCGAATGGTTCGCGTTGTTCGAGGAGGATCCGAGAAAACCAGTGCTTGTTGGCTCTGGTTTTTTTTGTAATCCTTTATCAGTTTGACAAACCTTGCATGACTTTAGTGCCTCTACTTTCTCCGTCACTGTCCCATTTAGTTAGAAAGTGCCAAAGGTTATGTTCATAATTCTATCTGATATTTGTGTTATTTATCATGTAATACTCTGACCTGATGTATTTATTCACTGAATCTTTAGTAACTAGGTCATTAACTTGCATCTCGCTTGTTCCATTTCAGAGCTACAGGGATTTGACAGGAACTTCCTGGACTCTGATATACTTCGTCAGCTTTTACCTCATAACAATAGTGTTACTACTTAATTTGGTAAGTTTCCAGCCATCAAAACTTATATCTCCATGCCTCGTTTGGTCTTACTGTTACTATGTATTTAAGTTGTCAGTCAACGCAAAAGTAACAGATAATTATGCCATTTGTGAAGACTGCCTGTTGGTACTTATCTCTCATACTTTAGAATCGAATCAGCTGTCTAGAACTCCGTGATAGGAAATTACACAGAATTTTACTTAGTGTGATCTGGAGAAACAGATCACAATGCTGTAGCACAATGCTGCCTGCCACGAACTTAAAATGATTCCTTGGCATCGCAGTTACATCGCAGTATATATTGTATTCCTATTTTTTTATTTATAATGAGAAATCAGTACACGTTCTGAAAGTATATTGCTACTTTAAGAATAAATAACTGATATGAAACTTAGAAATAAACTGTATCCTATTTTACTTATTTATTCCTGCAACTTTAGCCCACGGCGTGGGTTATTTCTCAAATGTTTTTTTTTTTTAATTCCATATCATGCTTCCTGTTATAAATTCGTATAGATGACGTATTACATGTGTATATTGCATATGCACAATAGATAAGCCTATCTTAACAGTAATATTTGACATTTCTAATTGATAAACCACGCATTATTCATGAGTTGGCATATGCATGAGGAATCACTGATTACTGGTTAACTTGAGAAAGTCTATATTCTGTTCAGCATTTCACTAACAATCTCGGGCCACTATATATTTTCTAGGTAATTGCATTTGTGTTGGAGGCGTTTTTTGCTGAAATCGAGCTTGAAATGGAGAGTGAACCTGAAGAACATACCGTGAGTATAGTAATCCAAAAAAAATATTGGAAAATTAGAACACTATGCTTTGGTATCTTGGTAGCACGTAATACTGTGTTTTATTAGCTCCTTCCTTTTAAGACATCTTATCTCATCAATGCCTTTGGATATCTCAAACGTGAACTTCCTTCTTCCAGCGCATGTCAGGAGCCCAAAGGAGGCGTCGGAGTATCGGGTATCAATCATATCCATCATCCGAGATTGAACTTTATCCTGTGTGGGGACACACGAATACCCAACGAGTGATCTTCCATCTTGCAGGATTAAATCTAGGAGTCGCACCGTGGATATTCTTCTTCACCACATTCTAAGTGACGAGCTGAATCAAAGTCAAAGCATCAAAGAAAGCTCGCCCTGAACACGGTAATTCTTCTAGGACGAGATGCTTGATCAGATGTTTGTTCTTTTACTCTATTTTAGTACATTTGTTTGTCCCAGGCGTTGTTTGCCATCTTGGTTTCTGGATGGCATCAAGAGGGCTAAATATTTGAGGTATTCTGAAATGGAAAATGAGACTAGAACCAAACACTGACGTGAAAAAAAATTAAAAATGAATAAGGCATGCTATACATAAAAAATATGATATGATCCCTTGAAGTGAGCTTTGATGAACTATCATTATTTAGCATGTTGTTGGACCATCCAGGCCAGTCCTTGAATTCAGGCTGAGATAAATCTGTACTGAACCTAGATTCAATTGAGGAGGGGGCATCGACTGACACTTGGACTAGGCTAAAAATGACATGTGTTTAATTCCAAAATCATTTTTCTTTTTTTGCAGTTGACTTCCTTTTTTCAGACCAATTATTTTCGCCTATAAAGAATGTGTTTAATTCCTGAGGTTGGAGCAGGTAACCCAACTGCATGAAGATTACACTTATTGAGATCCATGGATTCTGAGGTTTGGGATAATGAAATGGACTTGATAATGCCGATTCTTATTAAGTAGGTTTTAGACGCTTTAAAAGCCTTTTTGGCTACATCATCAGACAGGCCTCTGACTGATTAATCAGAATCCATGGATCAAGTTGCTCAGACAGTGGGTCACAGTCTGGATTGTATCGGAGAAATGGCTATTCCTCAAATATTGTTCGGATGCTAATTTCACAGAAAAATTCAAAAATATAGGGGACTACTGAACATTGTAGATATCAATCAATTGGGATATGGAATCTATCGACGATGCATCTTGTCAAAACTTTGGCCGCATTTGCCCATGTTGAATCCCCTCCAATAAGGTTCGAAATTCATAGACTTTCTGATCAGGAATTTCACTTACGATTCACACATCAAAGATAACATTCGTATAATCCTAGTACTTGAAAACTAAACTCTTTTTGTGGCGGAAAAGTTCGCATGAAGCTGTTGCTACGGGGCTTTGATGCTTTGGATTCACAGTCTCCCAGTTTCTTGATTATCCTGAATTTTTTGAAACGTTAGATTGAAGATTGATGAGGACTTTATTATTTTTTCGCTCATGCAATTATTAAACTATATTTATAATTCATTCAAATGTGTCACAATCTTATCTTCTCCTTAAATCAACGAAAGCCCATCACAGCTAGAAAATTCTCTCCAAAGAATAGTATTTCAGTGCATCTCTACTGTCTCATTTCTCCCCTTTTTCTAATAAGAGAAACTCACTGCAAGCAGATTTAGTAAGCATCAAGGATATCTGAACCCCTGTTCTTTACAGGGAAGGAAAGCTAGAGCTGGATCAAGCTTCAGAATATTTTCTCAGAATTCACCGAGGTATCTTTCCTCTCTGGTTAGCGAGCAAATAAAGCCCTATGGTTTTGAGTACGAGATCCACATCCCTCTTCATGTTCTCATGGGCGGTGGAATTTCTATGAATCCGACATGGAGAATAAAACCCTATATTTGGATGGTGGGATACTTTTGAACTTTCATGTGTCAAAAATGTATTGTAAATTAACATGCGACCTCAGCTTGATTTGTCTTGCTTCTTGTCTTTCTATTCCAAGTAGATAATCACAAGGAACAAGGAGGGTAGTAGTTCTTAGGCTTGGGCAACGTTTGGAGTTGCAACCTAGACATAGGAGACTATCAGCAATAGGCAAACCCATCACCAAGCTCCATCAAAGTTTCATAAACTTGGTTGAAGACAGCGAGAGTTTGACTTTCTGCTGAAATTTGATTGATAAATTCAAACTATTCTTACATGCTTTTGAGAGTGAGGAGAGCGGGAAGTTTTACATGCTTTGCACTCTCACACCAACGATTTGTAACTATATTGGGACACACCATTCTGAGTGGACGTCATTTTTCACATGAGTACCAGTACCTCAGGCTCATGATTTCTCATGCTAGAAAAGCAACAGATAGATAGATAGATAGATAGATAGCGAGAGAGAGAGAGAGAGAGAGAGAGAGAGAGAGAGAGAGAGAATCGATTAGTGCAGGTGCATAAGTGTGAGGAGCGATGGTAGGACATTCAGAAACAGTAAACCGGTGCTCCATAAATGGTGAACAGACTAGAAGGGAGGGGGGAGCTTGAAAGAACAGCTTAAACCGATCTATTGAGTTGGTTTGATAGAAAAAAAGAGCTAAAAGGAAGCTAAAAGTTACAACATAAAATTTTAAAACATGAATTTTGCCTTAACATTGATTTTTTTTTCATGTAATCTGAAAAGATGTTTACAATGCACTCTCAATAAAAAATTAAAAAAAACATCTTAGACGTACATACTCTCTTGGGCCAATCTTTCTTCATATAACTGGCTGTTTTTCCAATAGGGTTATATGAAATTGTACAGACGTCTAGTCCCATGTTTGCTCCCATCAAAGCACTGGGCAGTTGTGACAACAACATTCAGAAAGAGAACAGATCACCCAAGAACTAGAACATTGACTTGTACACTTTCGATGAATCCTTAGGGTTTGTGATTATAGCAATGCATTAAAACAGATCTTAGATGAGGAGGCAAGTGTTTTAGATGTATCTCCCGATATCCATGCAACTGTTACATGTAGGACATGAACAAAGATTGATGGCGAGGGAAATGAAAGCTGCCATGCTTCTGTATCGATCAAATCATCAATGAGATTTCGTACAAAGTCTCTAGAAGCCCTACGATATTTATCTCTATTGAAAGATTTTCAACTCTGTAGAAAAGGTTTGCAGTGCTGTAGAATTATTTACCATGGATATTATCTCATATCCACCTGGGTTTCTGAATCTTGCTGTGAGGATGCAACTCCCACCAAACCGCTGCTGAAAATAAAGAAGAACAGCAAACAGAACCCCTCCACAAGGAATGATAATATTCCAAGAGGACGAGTAAAAATCCCACTGGGCACTACTAGCAAAAAAGTAGGAAGAATCTATGTGGGGCACATAGTGACTGGCTCTATATGCATCATATATGTGAGGCATTGCTCTAACCATGGTATTTCCAACGTAAAATGCAGGAATGAGAACCTTCTCCTTAGGGCTCCAGAATACATTGAGCAGAATCTGAGGTAGTAAGAAACCATCAGGTAATAAGCCAGCGTAGGATGTGAGATCTGCCCAAAGTGAACTCCGTGGCTCGTAGAGGAAATGTGGCCTTGCCATTTTAGCTTTGTAGGATCTCAGATGAACAAGCCAAGAAATCAGCAGTCCGATGAAGTAAAAAGGCAGACAGAACTGGAGAGCCCTTCTCTCTGCATACCACAAACCCTTTTTGGTATCCACCCCAGATCTTGCAGACCATGCCAACTGCACTAATCGAAGGTGCAACACCAATACAACCATGGTTATAAGCTTCACCACGACCTCATTCACTTCCAGCCACCCGCTACTCCCTAGGAAACCATTTTGTTGATCATGGTTAGCGAAGAAAAAGGCCTCAAACTTCACCATTAATGGTATCATGTGACCGAAGGTGAGTAACACAAGCATGGTGATTGATGTGGAGGGAAGGGTGCTAGGGTGCTCCCTGACGTGGAACAGCTGCAACCCTATGAAAACGCATGAAAGAGAAAGAGACATAAGAACCACCACTGCTTCAACATCCATCCTCCATATTGACTCTGCTGCCTGTTTCCTATACATGATATTGGAAGAAATCTCTAAGGGCTTGAAGTGAAGAGGATCAGACTCGTTTCTCATGCTCCTTATGGTGCCACTGACATGCGCCCCTGCCTCCGGATTCAAAGGAGCAAGCTGGATTTCAATGAGAATCCTGCAATCCATGGAGCTCATCTTCCTTTCATGCATTTCACCCATTGAATCAGAAACATCTAGACAGCCTATCAAGCAGAGCTTGCCTGTTTCCTCACTGTAAATCCCTTCTGCCAGTATGTTTTTTGCCCTATTCATGCCTGACGACCCATTAATAAAGGCACCACTAATTGTGTAGCTTACATTCAAAACCCTATTCTCTGCAGCAACAACTGGACTAGAACGAAATCTCACAGTAGCATCCCCATAGATGATCCCCCACACTGCATCCCCTATAGATACAGGATGTGCATATGCCCAGGCTACTGTGCCATCAGAGCTTCTTAGACCCATATCAAATGTAAGCTCTATCATGGCCTTTGCATCAGGGTAGACTCTCCCACGCCTGTTCCTGGCACTATCACTTCCACAAGATCTCCTCGCGAGGTCAGCCTTTGTGTACTCATACTTCAGACCAGAAACGGGATGCATGTTACTGTCTAGAGCCCGGAACTCCACCAGCTCCAAGTGGAAAGGATCAGTCGAGTTCCGGCTGCTCCAGATTTGCCCAACCAGTGGGCTCCTGTTCTCAATGGAAAGCACCCCAGGGAACCACAGTCCCAGCACCGCTGTGCAGTCCCCAACGTGAGCATCCACCACAGAGTGCTCAGGGTTCTGCACTGGGCAAGCCACGGCAGAGAGATGGTTCCTCTGATGATCCCAGAACCCTTCTGCAACCAGGATCTTCTCAGGGTTTAAGAGAGGTGGGTACCTGAAGGATTGACTGTCTGAGAAGGCAACATACATGTGGACATTCCCATCATCCGAGCAGTGGACTTCTCCCAGGGAGAGGTAGCTTGGCTGGGCAAAATCCCCACTCAGAGGACTGCAACCCCCACCGTGGCAATCAGACCTGTGAAACAGTCTAAGCCCGTTGGAGAACCTGGACAGTATGGAACACAAGCTATCACCTGCTCCTAATGGGAGAGACCTCTCATGGTGAAGAACATCAGAGCTCATTTTCTCAGCTTGGGGAAGCAGAGTATACTCGTAGGTCCTCTGTGAGTAAGCCAGTAAGGATATGGGACTAAAGTGGCCGGGGCTTCCAGGGGAATCCAAGCTCTCCACGGTGCCGGTCACCAAGACGTTGCTGATGCTTGAATGCTTGGGGTAATGGAGCTTCACAGCAGCAGAGAGATCGAGGAGCTTACCCACTGCGGAGAGCGAGACGCCGGTTCCCACCATGCACAGCTTCCCGGATGCCTCGGACCAGAACCCCGACAAATTGAACCTCACCCGCCTCCCTCGATTGAGGACGCCAGGGCCCCGAGGGCGCACAACGCGGAACAGACCTCGACCCCTGGTGAAGTTCCTGCGCACGAAGGAGACGCCTCCTCCTCGGAAGACAAGGCTACCCTTGATGCCGATGACGCCGGGCTGCCGCGTCCTGTGCAGCTCCCGGGGGCGGAAAGTGACCGATCTGGGGAGGGAGAGTGCGGGTGAATCGTCCCGCGCGAGGATCTCGTCCCCGCCTTTGAAGAATCCGTCACGGATCAGGAGGGAGCCGTGCGGATCCGTGTCCCCGCCGTCGGCGACGGACTCCGGCACGACGGAGCCGCAGTGGTCGGAGTAGGAGGGATTGGCCGCAGAAGAAGAAGAAGAAGAAGCCGTAGGGGAGGTCGCGACGGCGTCGAGGACGGACAGGACCAGGACGACGATCCACCGCCACCGCATCCTCGAGGAATCGATCAAACCCTAAGAACCGCATTGGGAGCGCAGAAGAAGAGTGGACCTGTCGGCGGGGCCGCCATTTGCCCCCCGCCGGAGCGACGTAGGAGAGAGAGAGAGGTAGAGAGAGAGAAGCGGTGAAGACGAAGCTGAAAGAATGGCCCACAGTCTATCGGGTAGAAGATGAGGAATATTACAGAAACACCCCTTCCACAATATTGCTTTTGAAAACGTAACTCGGTATCTTACGAGGTCTGAATTTAAATTTCTTGCTATAAGAAAATACCAGAAAAAATAGGATTCGCCTTCTGCCTGGCTCTCTTTCTAAACACACATCAATGGATAAATAACGAGAGAAGGAGAGAGACTGACCCATTCCTACCTTCTTGAGAGAGAGAGAGAGAGAGAGAGAGAGAGAGAGAGAAGAACCAACGGTCACAAGGGGGATCACTAAAACAGTCTTAAGAGAATGGGCACCAGACTAAGTACGGGGTCATGGTGGCTGGGGTAATTAACGTCGAAATTTCTCAGGAATATAATGGTCAACGGGAGATGATAACTAAAAAACAAAGATTAACTTTAATTCAAATCAGAGTAAAAATATGCCGGATTTGGTATTAAATTTATCAGGAATATAATTGTCAACGGGAGAATAATTAAAAGACAAAAACAACTTTAATTCAAATATGACTAAAAATATACCCGATTTGGTATTAAATTTCTCAGGAATATAATTCTCAACGGGAGATGATAATTAAAAAACCAAAAATAACTTTAATTCAATTCAGAGTAAAAATATGCCGGATTAGGTATGGAACACAGAAAATGATGAAGAAACATAGTGTTCCACAGCTGTGGAGAACAAGACCTCCACAGCTGCTCACCACCCAAGGCAATTAATCAAAATTTCGTTTAATAAAACGAAGTCAACGGCTCCACGGTCTGAATTAGTGATCATGACTCCCCGGCTCTCAATGAACTGAAACCAGCATAATCCAATGCAGAGCCCCCCAACACACAGTTTCCAAAACTTGGAAGCTTTACAGACGACCCTGAGCGTAAGATCAGGACAGGTTCCTCACCATACACAGAGGAGTTGACTTTTTGGGGGGTGGCCAGCAGCACAGGAGATACTTGGCGGGAGCGGATTGGCCCGAGGAAAGGAGCTTCCTTTATCTTGCCTAGGCAGGGATTGCCGACCTGGTGGGCTTGTCGATCCCTTGAATATCCGTGATCCTCAATTTAGTAAGCTCCTGCAGAAACCCAACCAGCGCCTGTCAGATAGAGGAAAGGGGGGGGGGGGGCGGTGTCCGAATGCCTAGACAGTTTTCTCTCTCCTCAAGAAAAAAAGTCCAGCACGCTGCTCAGCCATACATAGAATCACACACTCATTTATCATCTCCTGGAGATAAAAACCAGATTCGTCCGTCCACATAATTTCTGTACGAAATTTCATGTTCTCCCCCGTCATCACGGCATGCCGACAGCATATCGAAGAAAATCGTTAGAGCGTTGACTCATCAAGAAACCCAGACCATACCTGGCGGTGCCCCTTGGTTCTCCGGTAGTTCTTTCTCCTCTTCTTCTTGAATATGATTACTTTCGCATCCAATGCCTGTGGGAGGAGAAGGAAAGGATTGGGAGGAAGAGAATTCAGAAGGGGTTGGATCTTGCAGACGTTTAGGATATTACTTATATTATTCAAGTGATGATGGAATTACTCAAAGATAAAGTTATGTGGCCAGATTCTTCACTAAAATTATGATAAATCAAATGAGATACGTTACTATAAATGGCCAGATGCTAAAATATCAAAAATTTACTCGTGATTATGAAGTCCCAGAATCTGAGACTACATTGCATGCCCAACAAAAGAAAGCAAAAGTGGAACCCTAGCAAACTGGGTAAAATAGCAGAAGGTGGAACATAATCAATTAACAAGAATTTCATAACAGATACCATTACACTCTTACAAAGAACAACGTGGAAATCACAGGGGGTACAACGAGGTACAGTCCATGTGGTTCAATCTTAATTTAAGCAACTTGGGAAGATTGACGAATATATTGAAACAAAGAACCAGAATTAATTTCCAAGAATTTGGTGCTGCATTCATCTGATAAATTTGACTCCACACTGAGGTGATCATTCTTGAAGTATAACTAAAACATGAGAAACCAGAAACAAGTCTCGGATTCCTAAAAACGTGTGAGTCAGTTCTGAATCACACACTACGGATATAAAACCATGAGAAATCAAAACAGGTTACATCAGTATATATCGGTGCTGTTTACCACAAATTATGAAAGATATTTTGGTCACTAAAAAGAGAAGAATGCCCTTACATGTTCTTCAACAACGGCATGCACAGCAGCTTCGGGTAATATCGGCCTACCAATGATAGTCTGGGCCTTTGATCCAAGCATAAGAACCTTGTTCAAGATCAACTGCATAAAAAGGAAAAACACAGGTCGAGGCAAGCAAGTTTACTCTTATGCATATAATGGCCTAAACAATGAATAATATATATGTAAAATAAAATAACAAAAGCTCTAACAACGTCCATGCAAAGGGATTCCTCCAAAGGGTGATCCGGTGTCAACATGGATGAGCAGCTAACAACATATGAGAGAGGTGATAGCACATGCAATGATCAGATGGGTGAAAAATTATCAAGATTTATTTTTACTAATACATGTTGTCCAGATACTTATGCGGAGAAGCTTCAATACATCCATCCACGATATTGTACTCACTTCACACTGACAACACAATTATTCAATAGAGTGACATACTCAACATCTGAATGCCTAAACAATGAGAAGAACATTAGTAGTACAGAAAAGGAATGTGGAAGATGATTTGAGAACATCTAAATTTAATAACAAATAGCAGCCATACGAAAGATTACCATGACAACGTGGCTAAGGACTTATAAAAATGGAATTAACAGGACATTGCATATGCAATTCCTGTTCCTCTACTGACAGTTCACAAAATAAAATGTCTAAGGTGGTTAGAAAACTTCCGTATAATTTCATAACATTCCTTTCAAACCATTTTTTTCGAAGAAAGAGTTTGATCAGAGCATAACCCCTGATTAAGAAGCAAGTTCATCTGGGATCATAGAGAAGATATGTATATTGTTCCAACTATTCCTACAATTTAGCAAAATAATCTATTTTGCAAAGAAAGAGGGAATATCATTCATGTTGTCATCTAACAGATGAATTAATTTTAGCAGAAGAGATCCATGAAAATACAGTTCATAGATAGAACCCAGAAACGGTAGAGCTTCCGACAGGAGTTTGAAGGGGACTGAATCTTTTAGAGACCGGCATTCTTCACCAAATTCTATAGCATCAACTCAACAGACTGGCGAAAATTTCCAAGTTTTTTAGGATTTTTTTTCCTCATATTTTGTGACAGGATCAGATGTACCACGCAAAAAACTATTCAAACTCAGTGCTCACAATAACCTCAAAGTCCGGGAGATATTCAGGGCAGTGAGTGAGGGCCGCTTCAGTCCAGCCGATTCAACACACTATGGATGTGGTGAGTCGCTGTAGAACTCGAATCCAAACGAGAAGGCTCCAGGCGTGACACCATCGAAACCCATAAGAACCCTAGAGTGTTATTATGATGGTACGGTGGTATCTTAAAAACGAGATTCACAGACTTCTTAAAACCGTCAAGAAATGTCCGCAGCGCACTTGCCCATGGGTTTATGCAGAAAATGCTGTATCAGAGATTCTTGAAGCATTTTTTCTATACAATCGTATATTGAACATTATCGGATAGTTCAGGAAATTATCATGGAGAAGGTAAGAAATGGTAACAAGGAAAGTTAAACAGCCATGCACCTTGTCATTAACTTCACAAAATTTTAGCCTCTCGGTGAAAATGGAGTCTCCGTTGCAGACTTTGAACTGATGAGAGCCAATCTGAACAAGAAAAAAAAAACGAAAAATAAGTCATTGAACAGATATCGGAACGCAAATCGAAGATGAATAAGCAGACCTGGACAACGGCGAAAACAGGTTCCCATGGTTTGAACGGCCTCTCTGATGACTCAAGCGGTCCGATAACTTGGTATCCAATCGCAGCTGCCTCAGAAACCTTCTCCTCATCCGATTTCCCGCTTACAACAGACCGTCTGGGACCCGAAACCACTCCATCATCTTCATCCCCGTCACTCTCCTCCCCTCCACTCCCCTCTTCTTCATCCTCTCCGAACCCTTCATCATCATCATCCTCGTCTTCCTCTTCGCCAGAGGAGACCGTCGTCCGCGAAGAGAAATGGTGGAGCGATCCGGATACCAACGGATCAATATGGCGGAAGAGACGAGGACCCAGGTGGGCACTCGACTCTGAGAATGTGGAAAGAGCAGAAGGACGGTAGGAAGTGGAGGCCCCCTCAAGGAGCTGAGAGGGCAGAAGCAGAGATCTGCAATGGCGGGTCAGCACGGCGAGGCACCGCCTGCTGGGTGCTGCCATTTTCTTCCTCCTCTCCTTCGACGGAGGTGGCAAGCTCCGGCGAAGGTGAGGGTTTTGGGGGGAGGGTGGAGGGGAGGCTTCCACTGAGGCTTGAAGTGGAGGGAGGTCGTCCGTTGAATTCATGAGAGCCCATCGAATGGACGATTCGGATCTATCTAGGAGAAATTTAGATTAAAAAACGTTAGCTGCCATTAAACCTAATGAGGTTTTCAAAAATAGCATAATTATTGTATTTAAATTACTATATTATCTGAATCATTTTAATAATATGAGCAGTACCCTATCTGTCAGCTTTCTCGTACATGGGCCCGCTGGGCCTCCTCAAGCCCAATTTGGGCCCTCTCTCTCTTTCTTTCGCCACTGGGATTTACAAGGCTCGGCGCGATAATAACACCGCCGCCAGCTTCGCCTTGGAATGAGAACAAATAATGGCAAGTGTGGGATGAGTTCGGATAATCGATGGACGGGCCTTTCGGACCGATAAGGCTGTCTGCGAAGGATCCGCTTCGCCCCCACCGCCTCTCTCACCCTTTTTACTCTCTCCTCCATCTTTCTGCGCGTGTAGGGTTCCTGGAGGGAAGAGGCGGTCGCCTAAACTCGTCTCCCATCAGCGGGTGCGATGGCGGATCGTCTCACTCGTATCGCTATTGTCAGCTCCGATCGATGTAAACCGAAGAAATGTCGCCAGGAGTGCAAGAAGAGCTGCCCTGTTGTGAAGACAGGTATCCCCTTGTTGAATTGAGAGCCATTTTTTTTGTTTCTTCTGTTTCCAGCTACGTAGGAACTTTTCCCGTGGATTCTGTTTGAAAAATGACCTTTCCTTCTTTATGTTGTGATGTTTGGTGGATTTTGACGAATTTTAAGCTGATAGCGAGCCTAATTCTTTTGATTAGTTATCAAAATAGGCGACGAATAAGTTATGTGTTTGGTACATTAGGGACGGAGGAAAGTTATCCTATCGTTTGCCCGTGACGATATGTTTTGATTTGAATGTGCCGCTCTTTAGTATCTGCTTCTCGAACCAATTGCCTCTGGGCCCGCATTCACGAATGAGATTTACGAGAGCCAGGTGACTAGATATGCTCAAAAGTGAAATCGTTACTCTTTTCGGAAACTGTGTCAATCAAAAGTTATCCTAATTGCTTCTTGCATTGTCTTAAAACCAAACTTATTTTCTCTGAGGCAGGTGCTATTTATTTTATCTTGAATAGCCTGGGCTAACTGCATTATTGTTGTTCTCTCAACTATCTATATTCATTTCCTCTGCTCTCTTGCCCATGGGCATGGAATAATTAATTGCGCAGAGGATCCTAATTTTTAATGGGGTATATGCTTCCAACCTGAGTGCATATCTGTGAAGCTCACTTTAAGGGGATCTTTATCTCCTTGGGGGGCTTGATGGTGATCTGATAGGTGCTGTGTCGGTATGCCCCAGTTGCCCTGTCACCAGGACTGCATGTGCTGCGGTAGGATGGTGGAAGTTCTCCAAACTAGTTGCTTACTATATGACGCTCCCCTTCCCTTGCCCCCAGCCCCCCAACACACACACACACGAAAGCAAACTAGCTACAAGACTAAAATTGCATTTGCATTTACAGCCATGGGTAAAAGTAGTCAGATAGGACCAATGATTCCCCAGTTGTCTATTATCGCTGCTTGTGGATCAAGCTGACTTGATATACGTGTCTGTATGATTTACGTAAGGCAGTCCGCATGAGAATTGACAAGTTATCCAGATTTTCAAACGCTCAAACCTTCTGTAAGACATTGGACTCTTTCTCATGCGATTCAATTATAAAATGACTGGTGACCGATTGGTTGTACCCTCAAAAATCTCAGGCCCCTTGGATCTAGAAAAATAAGCTGAATTTGTGTGGACCAAATCTTCAAACATACTTGTCAAGTCATTTTAAGGATTTGATACCAGGAAGGTCTGAAAAGGTTTTGTGAACTTGCTTGAAAACGTTTTTCGAATCTTTGGATTTAACTGGCCAAGATTGATCCTTGTTAACTTTGTTTTTTTTTCTTTTGGCCTCTTCTCTTTACAGGAAAACTATGCATTGAGGTGACTCCATCAGCAAAAATTGCTTTTATCTCAGAGGAGTTATGCATAGGATGCGGTATCTGTGTCAAGGTACGTCTGCTTATCATCAGATTTTGATTATATCTTTTTTTTCCTGCTTTTTAATTTTTTTCGCCTTTGTTTGCAGAAATGCCCTTTTGAGGCCATTCAGATTATCAACCTGCCAAAGGATTTGGATAAGGACACTACTCACCGTTATGGTCCAAATACTTTCAAGCTTCACAGGTTCTTTTAGCAATGATATTGATGTCTTGATATTCTTTGTTTGGTTTCAAGGGTGTTTTGACCACTGCTCTTATTACAGACTCCCAGTTCCCCGACCTGGTCAGGTTCTGGGCCTGGTTGGAACAAATGGGATTGGCAAGTCGACCGCCCTGAAGGTCTTGGCTGGGAAGTTGAAACCAAATTTGGGTCGGTTCAATGTAATGCCTCACAGAAGTTCGATATAGTAATCATTGCATTATTTTTTTTTGTTTTGTTGTACTGATATCTGACTATGAATACCTGTTCTTTGTCTCTCCCTTCCCTTTCCGCAGAACCCTCCTGACTGGCAAGAAATACTGACATATTTTCGAGGATCTGAGCTTCAAAATTACTTTACTCGTATCCTGGAGGACAATCTGAAGGTGCTTTAGCTGATTCTTTATTTCATATTTTTATTTTACCTTTACTTCCAGATTTAAGAACTTTGAAAAATGATTAGATCCTTGCATTTGTTGGGTCCTAATCAGTAGTCAGATATCAGTGATAAAAATGAAATGTTTTCTCACTTCTGAGTTCTTTTGTTGCAATCGTCATGATAAGTGACCATACTTTTGAATTTTCTGTTATTCTCCCATTAAATCGATAGCTTTATGTTAACAGATAATCATAAATTCATTTTTTACCATTCAAAGTTTGAAAGCGATCCACAACCATTTCCTCTGTTAATGTTTTAGAAGACTACGTTTAACATCAGAAAGTGTACACATATTATTTCTCAGCAATGTTCATTTGTCGCCTGAATGACTTACCTGTGTGCATCGAGAAGCACACTTATCTGTGTGTCTTGCTGATGGACTCTGTTCGTGGGAATGGCTTCTACTTTATCAGTGTGATCGACAAGCAGAGCACTAGTACGGCTCTGATCAATTGGTAAGGGAACGAGATCTATGGTTTTTGATTGCAAGCAAGTAGAAGCTTGCATCTCAATCACACATTAGGTTTACAACAGCAACACCGAGGTCAGTTTGATGAGCTATGGCTAAGTTGCAACCAGCATCAGGACAGAGAGATATGCGCATTTTTAATGAAGGAAAGGCCCACAACGGGTCAACCTTTCTTTTGGTTCTGTGATCGGATTAAGAAATTGAGAGTGTGGGGGAGGACCTTTTTGTAGGAAGAGGTTAAAGATGCTGTCATTTTGTGGATCTTGGGTTACTAGTTCCTCTCACGGTACTGACCAGTAGTGATGCCTGAGGGGTTTTCTCCAATACCCTTTTGGTTCAGCTTGTGCATTCCCTCTTTTCTATTTATGATTTACGTGGTCCTAGCCTTAAAAAAAAAAAAAAACAAGAATAGATATCTGTATGCCACTCGGAAATGAGTTTCATACCTCAAGCAATATTGGTGAAGCTACTATGTCGAGCTTATTGACAAAGAACATCGATTAAGGAGTTTTCGTGCTTTATGTAAGTGACAGATTCTCCAATGCTAACCCCTGGATGGATCTTAATTGTTTCTCTGGTGGTTTAGTTGTAAGCTTAACAACCATTTTTCTACAGTTGCCAACATCCCATTATCATCTTCTTGTCCAATATCTCTTCATCAAATTGAAGACTGCCCAGTTGTCAGATTCATTGCCAAAGCAATCTTTACCAATCTTTTGTGTGAGGATATGGTTGAAAACTATTATGGGGCATGCTGTTAACATGATATAGCTTCTATGCTCATTTTAGATATGAATTGGTTGAAGTTGAATTGGAGGGATAATATTTCAGATGCCATTGTCCATGATGCTTTAATAGTTGTTTGAAATTAGCGCATGGGTACAAATCTTCAAAAATCTTGACCATATTGTTCCTTTAAGAATGATCCGTGGTATCTACAGACTCTTGATAATGCACCACCTAAATGAAAAGGACTCGCTCAGTCAGCCATTACACTATGTCACATTCACTGATGCAATGGTTTTGCCTTTAGTGGTATTTTTTATGGAGAAATTTATGAGCTCTGGAAAGGTTTTCATTCTTCTCATTCAGTTAATTTTTGTCAATGTAAGAGCCAGCTTTCCTTTATGTCCATGTGTATATCATGTAAAGAAAAACCTGTATTCATGGAACTCCTTTCGGTGGGCATGTGGGTTTTCATCCATTTGTGATTTTTTGCTTTTTTTCAACTTCATCTGTAGTGCTACGACACAAATCTAGTTGTGAGATAGTGAATGGCTTCAGCAGACTTTTCATTCTGATCCACTACAGCGATCCTAATTGTTAACAATAAGCTAGTAATCAACTCTATTGGTAAACAACGTGTACTGTTCAGAAATTTGGGCATAAATTTTATGGCTAGTATATGTATCCGGTGCTTTCCCAATCCCACATTTGTGATCCATGTTTAAGTTTATCGTTTTCCGTATTATCTAGTGTATCTCTATTTTATGTTGCGCTCGTTTTTAAAAATGGTTCAATTTTGTTGCAATAGGCACTTATTAAGCCCCAATATGTTGACCACATTCCAAAAGCAGTCCAAGGGAATGTGGGACAGGTGCTTGATCAGAAAGACGAAAGAGGATTGAAGGGTAGCCTCTGTGATGATCTCGAGCTGAACCAGGTCAGTGATCGCAACGTGGGTGATTTATCAGGTGGGGAGCTGCAAAGGTTTGCGATTGCTGTTGTCGCTATACAGAGTGCTGAAATATATATGTTTGATGAGCCATCAAGTTACCTTGATGTAAAGCAGAGGCTTAAAGCCGCACAAGTTATACGCTCATTGCTTCGGCCGAACAGGTGGCTTTGGTTGTCTTATGTAGTCTTTTCATTTTCTGCAATTCATTCAGGACTCGCCAATGTTTTCATCACTCTATGACTGAATTTTATTTTCCTTCAGTTATGTAATAGTTGTGGAGCATGACCTTAGTGTCCTCGACTACCTATCAGACTTCATTTGCTGTTTGTACGGGAAACCCGGAGCATATGGAGTTGTTACCCTACCTTTTTCTGTTAGAGAAGGAATCAATATATTTTTAGCTGGTTTTGTGCCTACAGAGAATCTACGATTTCGGGATGAATCACTCACATTTAAGGTAGGATTTTTAACGTTGCCATGAGGGCCTTGATGTCCAAAGACAGTCCTTTTAATAGAACTGCATGATTTGTTTTTTCAGGTTGCTGAGACACCACAGGAAATTGGTGATGATGTTCAGACATATGCACGATATAAGTACCCTACTATGAGCAAAACACAGGGTAACTTTAAGCTTCGTGTTGTGGAGGGTGAATTTACTGACTCCCAGATTATTGTGATGCTGGGCGAGAATGGAACGGGAAAGACGACATTCATTCGCATGCTGGTACTGGCCAACTGTGTCAAACCCATAATGATTTTTCTGGATTAACTGTTCTACTTCAAGTTTGGAAATCACTAATTGTTGCTATTAACTCTTCTCATTGAATGAATTTACACTTGTGAGAAGCATGTCCTGAAGCATCACAATCTTTGCAGGCTGGATTATTGAAGCCTGATGTAGTCGAGGGTTCAGATGCTGAAATACCTGAATTTAATGTTTCTTACAAGCCCCAGAAAATCAGTCCAAAATTTGAGCACAGTGTTAGACATTTGCTGCATCAGAAAATTCGGGATTCATACATGCATCCTCAATTTGTGTCTGACGTCATGAAACCCCTTCAAATTGAGCAATTGATGGACCAGGAAGTGAAAAACCTTTCTGGTGGGGAGCTGCAAAGAGTTGCTTTGTGTCTTTGTCTGGGGAAGGTATGGCTTTATTTATACCTTTAGCTGTTGATTTCCACATTGAAGCAAAGTTTCTGCAGTATTAATAACGACCACTTTAATTTCTGCCGCCAACGTCTCTCTTCACGAATGCGTATGATATTATTGGAGCTTCTTCCGATTAAAGTTCCCTAAATAACTTTCTCAATGGTAACACATGTAGTGTTCGGCGGCCTGCATCTTCTTACATCAAGAAAGACTCTGTAGCTGAAAATCTTCTAGTTTTTAAGCTGATGTTCCTTGGAAGTTTGTTTTTTTTTATGGAGTACGAGCATTTGTTGAAATTCTAAGAAACAATCTACAGATTTTTTTTGATTTCATATTTTCCATCAGTCTTCTATCATGAAACTTTGTGTTCTAATTTAGCTTTTTGTCAAAAGGCATTGACTGCTGTTCTTCTTCTTTCCTTTGGCGATCTTATTACCACTCTCTTGTTTCACATCATTGATGATAGAGTCCTGGCTTCTAGGTAAAGGGTTTTCTACTTGAACTGAGGAAACTTTCTGAAATCGTCTTCAGCTTTTGGAGTTTGTCATCTATGTCAGATCCTAATAAAAATACCCTTGCATTCGTACCCTACAACTTGTTTAAAATAAAGCGAATTCCAACTTTTCTTGGGAGAAGTGACCCCACACAAGATATCGATACTTGTGATTTCACCTCTGTTTATTCTATGATAGTTGATTAGGGTTTTTGGTCAAAACACCTTCCTTGTCCTCTCTGTGACTTGGACAGGTAATGATGTGGCCGTATTCTATTTATCATACCCTTTTAGATTATTGGATTTTGTCTTTTCTTCATAGTGTCGTCCAACTTCACAAGGAATTATGCCCTCTACTTTCAGGATGCTATCTAGACAACAATATTTGAATGGCCTGGCCAAACACAACCCTGGGAGAAAATATTCTACAACATTAAAACACCGAGGGCAAGTTGACAAATCGTGACTCGGGTCGAAATCATACTCAAATTCATCATTATTACATACCCTTTATTGTTAAAGCCGAAAGAAATCTTAAAACCATGATTCTTCCACAGAATGATCCTTGTTGCACACAGGAGATGGGATCATAGATTGCTTCTAATGTAACTTGGCCTGTGTCATTCACCATGCAGAGAGCTTCACCGATTTCAGTATTATTTTTTTTTTCTCCTGGAGTTGATGTTACTTGCAATTCTTTCCTCCGAGTGGTGTAGCTATCGACGTACATGTTCGATCGTTTATGCATCTATCCCTTTGGAGCGAAGATCATTCATCTGAACGATATGCTAGATATCTCCACCCTCTCCAGCGCCGATTGACCTGTGGCTTTGTGGTCTATCCTGTGCAGCCCGCAGATATATATCTCATAGATGAGCCGAGCGCTTATCTTGACTCCGAACAACGTATCGTTGCTTCAAAGGTCATCAAGAGATTTATCCTCCATGCGAAGAAGACGGCCTTCGTGGTGGAGCACGACTTCATCATGGCAACTTATCTTGCCGACAAGGTTATAGTCTATGAGGGAACGCCATCCATTGATTGTTCGGCCAACACTCCTCAGTCCTTGGTATCTGGAATGAATCGATTCTTATCTGTAAGTTCTTCAACCCACATGGCTCATAAGCATGCTGTTCTGTCTCCATCTAGCATGTAACTTGTAGAGCCATATAAGCTTAAAAGGAAAGAGCCTGTTAGTCTTTCGAGAATTTTATGTCATTTATTTCTCTCGCTTCTGGGGATCCGCGCCTATCTTTTTGTCTGCTGACGTATTTTCTTACTGATTATAGTAAAAACTGGATTACTTTGATGCTGATCAATCCAATATCCTTGGTGAATTTTTTTATCTTATTTTATGCAGCATTTGGACATCACCTTCAGGCGAGATCCGACGAACTACAGGCCACGGATCAACAAGTTAGAATCGCTCAAGGACAGGGAGCAGAAATCTGCAGGCTCATACTATTATCTCGATGATTAGTAATCACCGTCCTGGTTCTCTAGAGTGATGAGCAGATGCCGTTTGTCCGGGCTGCTCCCCTATTTTTGAAGCCGGGATCTTTTAATTATTATTTTTTCTCGAGTTTTGTCAAATTTAGGAAAAAAAAAAAGTAGTGGGGACCCAGTAAATTATTTACTCTACTGAGCAGAGATTTTCTGATGTCAATTGGCTTGTTTCGATCGATGTCGATGTAGATGTCGATGTCGTCTGTATATTTTATTTGCGAGGAAGAATCTTTATCTCACTTGTTCGGGAAGATTGGAAGAAGAAGCCTCTGAGATTCAGCCGGGGGAGAGGAGAGGACAAGCCTTGGTTGCACAAGCACGGACGCCAACGCCCAGAGAAGGATGTGATCGAAAGCGCCGTTCTTAGCCTCGGGCAGTGTTCGGATCATACGTGAGAGAAAAAAGTAGAGAGAGAGAGAGAGAGAGAGAGAGAGAGGCTTCCACATGATCATGAGGATGAAACCGTTTTGGGCCGTCGAAATATGTGTGGTTTCCTCGCATGACTGGTGGCCATTATTTCTAGGTGAATCTGCACAAACCCACTTGGATTCCTCTACTAAATAAACACAAAAAACCTGCCTTTTTTTTTCTCTGGGTTGATCCGAGGAGGCTTCGGTGGTTTCGCAAGGCATGCAGCTTTATTCATGGGTCAGAGAGAGAAAACACACTGGCTCGACCCCGATTTGGTAAATCTCCATTATTTCTAGGTGAATCTGCGTAAACCCAATTTGATTCCTGTACTAAATAAACATCAAAGTCCTGCCTTTTTTCTCTGGGATGATCCGAGAAATCTTCGGTGGTTTCGTAAAGCATGCAGCTTTTATTCATGGGTCAGAGAGAGAAAACGCAATAGGGCGACCCCGATTTGGTAAATCTCCATGGGAGCCCTCAAGTCAAAAGCCATTATCCCCGGCAGTTTCTTGCTTCTCTCCTCCTCGATCCTTCACAATCCCCCTCTTGGAACAAGGAGACACCGCCCAACAGTAACCCCTTCCCACTGGGGAGAGGGTCTCCTTGCTCCTTCGGAAAGGCTTACGAATTGACGTGAGCGGTAGATAAGAGGCCACCGCCGCCCTCTCCTCTACTCGCATTATTGAGAATCTCCCTGCGGGGGCTATAAATACGGAGGGAGGAGGCCTCTGTTACTCACTCACCCACCCTCTTCCTCCACCGGCGATCCAAAGCTTCAGCTTCCCTCTTACACTCTGCCCTTCCATCCTCGCTGCCATGTCGAGCTGCGGCAACTGCGACTGCGCTGACAAGACCCAGTGTGTGTAAGTTCTTCTTCTTGGAGCCTCGGTTTCTCCCCTCTGCGCGTCTCTCCTACTCCGCTGACTTGATTCCATGGTGTTTCAGGAAGAAAGGCAGCAGGTACGGCATGGACATCTTGGAGGCTGGAAACAGGTGAGTACTGCGTCGAAAATGGCGTCTGTTGTTAGATTCCATGCAAGCTACGGCGGTGGATCCTTGGTCTCATCGTTCTTCTCGTTGCAGCTATGGCGGCGACGCTGGGTTCGTCATGGCCGGGGAGGAGAACGACCCCAAGTGCAAGTGCGGACCTAACTGCTCCTGCACCACCTGCTCCTGCGGCCACTGAGCGGCGCCGCCGGGCCGCTGCCCTTCGCGGTGGCGAACGGTCGGCGAAGCTCCGGTGTCGTCTGCTAGTCCGATAAGGAGGGTGTCGTCTGTTTGTGTAATAATCTCGCGGCGCCGTAGCCGGCGCCTCTGTCGTGTGTGCGGTGCAGCTGCTGGTTCGGATAGCCGGGCTTCAGTCATGCAGCTGCCCTCCCCCCTTTCTCTCTCTACTGTATTATCAGTTTCCGCTGTTTAAATGAGGCGGAGTCCTTACAGTGGTTGTGCTCATGTTTGGGAAGATGACGTCGAAGTCACCTCTTTTCTTACACCCCGTCGGATTTACTGGAATGAATCCTGATTCGCAGATACATCCTCCATGGAGGTCAACGATAGCCCACATACTCTCCCTCTCCCTTTTCTCTCTCTACTGTGTTATCGGTCTCCACTGTTTAAACGAAGCGGAGTTCTTACAGTGGTTGTGCTTCTGTTTGGGAGGATAACGTCGAAGTCTCCTCTTTTCTAGCACCCCGCCTCGGGTCTACTGGATGGAATCTTGATTCAGAGAGACATCTTCCATGGAGGTCAACCCTAGCCCACATACTCTCCCTCTCCCCTTTCTCTCTCTACTGTGTTATCAGTCTCCGCTGTTTGAACGAAACGGAGTTCTAAGAACAGGGATGAACCCCAAGATCACCACCGAAAACATGAAGATTGAAGCTTTGAATGAAACCTGAAACCTGAAAATGGGTTCGCTGCCAGGGTGAAGGCGGTCATCTATCATCCGATGACTGACAAGCAGGAAGAAAGCCTTCCCTCTTCGTCTTCCTGGGTTGCTCTCAATCCACTCGTTCCTCACAGGAGCTGAAAGAACGAGCCGGACCCGCATGCCTGTTAGAGAGAGAGAGAGAGAGAGAGAGAGAGAGAGAGAGAAGAAACCATGTAACCGTGTGAATCAGAAATATGTTACTTGACAAGAAGGGCTATGAAAGATTGGACCCAGCAGAAGTCACCAAGATTTCCACGCCAAGGGCCACATAGCTGCCTCCTCTTCTAGGTGGCTACTTTACAGATGAATCGATCGATCGACCGATCGACTTCCGTGCGAACCCGGGCAAGCTCAAAGAAAGGGGAGGAACAAGATCAAGAATGGTTAGGGAGGAAAAAACAAGAAAAAGTCCCCACCCTCCTCCCCTCCCTCAGAAGCTCTCCCCAGAGATCTTCGCCCTTGACGAGTCCTTCCCATGCCCGATGGCAGCCAGCCGGGAGGATTGCTCCTTCAGTAGCTTATAGATGGGTGGCGCCGCATGCGGGACCAGGCCAAACTCGTCGTTGTTCTCCTCCATGCCGCCAACGATCAGCTGCCAAATGAAGGCCCCGCCGCCGGCGCCGCCCTGCTGAGCGGACCCGAACACAACGTCGAGGATGGCCTTGTAGAAGGACACCCGGTGGGAGGGCCGGAAGCCCTTGATCCTATCAGAGAGGCCAAACTCCGTGAACACGACGGGCTTCCCGAGTTCTCTGTCGCCATCACTGATGTGAAACTTCATCCATTTTTTTATGTACCTGGTTTTTGCATCAATGCCGACCTCTTTCCCCGCAAACCTGCACAAAAAATCATTTTTTTTCCGTTTTCATAGGGACCCAGACAAATGAAAGGTAATAAAATGGATCGAAAGGGTCATTAATTAATAGTAATGAATAAAATCGTGCATTCTTATAAGAAAAATACTTAATCTTTCTCATTCCATGTGAGATAACTGTTTATTTGCATGAAACTACCGAGTGGGTAAGGACAGATGGGAAGGCAATCTAACCCAAGAAAGATGGAACTCAAAATCAATTGGCGACTGGTGGAGAAAACTCCTACGTTTTCACCAAAAATTTAACCGAGGATCACTTTAAACCTGATCCTTGAGTCTCTTCAATAGATTCTTTGGCTCATTCATGTTCAACTTAATGGTGGGTCCCCTGCTTTTATTGGAAACTGCAAGTTGTGAGTGGGGATGCAGTGGAGATACATGACGGCTTGGATTGAGAGAGGAGAGGAGAGAGAGAGAGAGAGAGTCGGCGGGAATCTTACCAATGATCAGGGTAGATATGCACTGATGCGAAGTCAATGGTGGCAATCTTCGAGTTCCGGATGAAATCCACACCCAGCTGGCTGGCCCATTCTGCCGGGTTCACATTTAATTTTTCCTGAGGGCTTGTAGGGCCATAGAATCCTTCCAGCCCGACTGTCAGTAGGTGCTTTCGATCGAGCGATTTCACATACCGCGCCATTTCTTCGATCCAACCCTGCAATCATCCAAAACAGATGAATTATGGAGATTATGGAGATTGTTCATAAAAGGATTCGATTGAGCATGCGCTTTTCATAGGTTTAATCATGATTCTAGTCAAGAACATCTCTGATTTAATCCAGTAAAATAATGGGTCAAAGCTGTGATCCAATGCGACCCATTTAACCAAACTGAACGATGGAACTATTAATAAAATTAAATGGTAGTCAGTAAATAAAGTTACTCGATGAATGGTGGTCATCCAGCCCTAACCAACCCATTTACTGCTGAAATTTTCAGATGGGTTGACCTTCTAGTGACCACACTACTTATATTCGACCAAGGTCAACTTTATCTAGCCAGGTTCATATCCGAAAGGTATTTATGGAAATAAGCCATTGACCACCTCTCTTTCCATTTCATTAATTAAACAGAAAAAAATACAGATTTGTTCTCCTTTTCGGAGCTTCATGTTTACATGATCTTGGGGGAATAATTTGTTTTAATTTCGTCACTTTTCAAAAATCGGTTGAAAACAAACTCCAGCATTGAGGATATAAATTATATTTTTAATAATCTGGACAAGACTAGGAGATGAACAGAAAACTATTCTATGGCGGAACTCTATGCCCTGAACCCTAAATTAACCAAACGCACCCCCCTCCCTGCTTTCCCAGTTGGGTTTTTTTCTTAAAAAAATATCCAGAACTAAAAAGGCAGTCGTTTTATTGTAATATTAAATAATTTTAATTCAGACCCACAATTGTCTTCAAAAGTAGGAGAGGCTCACCTGAAGAGTGTTGCCAGTTGCATCAGTCATGCACCGCGGTTCATTCATCAACTCCCACCCAAAGATCGTCGGATCTTCCCTATACTCGATCCCAGTCAGATGATTTTTTCTTGTTAACAGGGTCTGCAGAAATAGATGATCCAGAATATTACTCAGATCCTCTAGAGTGAAATAACAAAAAAAGATAAATAAATAAATATATATATATATATATATATATATATTATAGGGAAGGAAGTACCTTCAAGTAAAGTTTAAAATAACTGCGAATGGTGGGGTCAACAAAGAAAGAATCATTTGAAGAGCCCAAGCCGACACCCTCTTCCCATGCCCATCTAACATACTGAGTCTTCCCCCCATATGCTTCCAAGTTATTGGCCAAGCTGAGAAGGAGCCTGATTCCATGCTTTCGAGCCTCGGCGATGACTCGATCCAATGCCTACCGTACAAGAAAAATCCGTGACTGCTAGATAAATTTTACCTCATAAAAATAAAAATCATAAAGTAGCTTCTATGGAACGCATGTTCATAAAAAATAAAATTCCTTGATTTTTTTCATAAAAAAACAGTTGAATTTTTGGGTGGGTGTGATGGAGCATTTAAGAACAAAAAAAAAAAGAGGTACCAGGAAAGCAGGAAAGATCTTTTCATAAAAAATATAAAAAATAAAAACCTGCTAGATAAAGTTGTCCTCATAAAAATAAAAGTTTGACAAATCGGGTGATTATGGCAGAACATTAAGAACAAGATGGAGGCACCAAAAGAAGCAAGAAATCGGCTTCTACAGAAAGCATGTTCATAAAAGATAAAAATCGCTTGGAAAAATTTCTCCGCATTAAGGTTAAAATTAGGTGTACAAAAATAGAATAAACCGAGTATTAAAAAAGTGAAGAGTCCTACATAAGATTCCATATCTCTACAGAGTGTAATTTCTATGGAAAGTATGCTTATAAAAAATGCAAATAAAAATTCTGAGAAATTTCCACCCATAAAATTAAAAACCTGACAAATTTGGCAAGTATGATGAAGCATGATGAGCAAAAAGAGACAAAAAAGGCAAGAAATTTCGCATCATATTGCAGAACAATTATCAAAGAGAAATAGAATGAACCAGTTATAGACCCTGAAATGAACGATTTCTATGGAGCATAGCTTCCACGGAAGGTCAAACAAGACAATTATAGACCTTAAAATGGAAAAACTATCGAGTGCAATACCTTGAAGACACGCTCGTCGAACTGACCGAGAGAGACCTGCAGGGCATTGTATGCTCCGTCATTGAACGCCCAGGACCTGCAGACGGTAAGGCCCATCTCTGCACCAGTTTGAAAAATGGCCCTAACCCTATGCCTGCTATGGTCCTCAACAGCCTGGTCCATCAACCAATAGGAGTTCCACCCGTTGACGTAGAAGGGCCTACCATCCAGAACGAACTGGGTCCCATTCCTCCCCACGAAGCTCATCTTCGGCTCCACGCCATGGAAGAAGCCCACGTCCCCAAATGAGAAGTAGATGAAGGCAACCAAGGTCGCCAGGCCAAGAACAGGGTAAAGCAGCCCATTGCCGCCGGACCGCTTGCTTGGGCGAGGAGGAGGACCCATGCCACAAGCTCTACTGCGATAAAACAGATTCTTCTCAAATCCCCGAGACCGCTTTGGGATGCTCTAAATTGGTAAGGAAGTGGGTACTGGACGCAGGCAGGGCCTGGATTTGATGTGGAGCAATGGCAAGGTTTCTCAAAGGCCTACAGCTGGGCCGCTATTTCTGGGGAGAGAAGGAAAGATGAGCACAAACCAGACGGCCTGGGCGGAGGAAGACGGCCATGGGCGGCTCATGCGACTCTGTCTGGCTCCCTGAGGTGGTACCCTCCTTAAGAGAGAGAGAGAGAGAGAGAGAGAGAGAGAGAGAGAGAGAGAGAGAGAGAGAGGGAGGGAGGGATGGAGTGCAGTGCAATGTTGGCATCAGCTTGTCCCCATTAATCCTACCCTGCAACAAACAGGTCCTTCCTGGCAACGGAGATATCATTTCTAGGAATGGGTAAATTAATGAGGAAGACGAGGCCGCACCCACATGGCCAGAGGGCAAGATCGGATTATCCTCCCCTGTTCAGTGGATCCAGCAGGAGTAGGGTTCACTCACCATGTGGCCACAGCAAGCTCTCCGCCACCCCCTCCCCCCCTTACTAGAAAACCCTCCAGCCCACTTCTGCCTTGCCCGCTCGAGGAAGACGGAATGGGAGGCTGCTCATTCCCACTGTGAAACCCCACCGTACTTTCTGAGATCTCTGAGGAAGAACGGCTGAGCGTTTAAACAAGCCAAATTGAGGGGGACGTGATCGAGCTCCAACGATGAGAGGAGAAACTAATAAATAGAGTGAATTGGTCGGGTACGGAGATTCTTGACGATTATTTTATTTTCATAAAAATGCGGTTTTTGATATCTTGATTTTGCGCATGGAGTTTGTTGATTTGGCGTGAAACTTGTTTTCCAGGAGAACTAATTCTACATCCATGTCGGAGGAATAATATTTATATATATATAGAGAGAGAGAGAGAGATGGGACATCAGACAGATTCGACGGTGACGATTGGCCTGCCGCCAAGTCCAGTTCATGGGCCAGCTCGCTTCGACAAGGGATATATCGGTCAAAAAACTAACTCACTCTCTCTCTCTCTCTCTCTCTCTCTCTCTCTCTCTCTCTATCTATCATTCCGTTTAGGGGCCAAATCATAAGTGTCCAGCTCGCAACGGATAAAAAAGGTGATTCGAGAGAAGTTATCGTTAATGGGCCTTCTAGTGTGGTTTATCGGTTGGGCTCATTCGTCATGGCCCAAAATACTTCGACCTACGCTGGGTAATACCCGGCCCGTTTAATAACTGCGGCAAGAATCTGGCCCACTAACCGAGAGAGAGGGAGAGAGAGAGGGAGAGAGAGGGAGAGAGAGAGAGCATTTTTCAACCAGATCTCAAGGCGTATGTAATTCCTCGGGAACGGGCATGTCTGTGGGCCCTTCTCGTGTCGCTTTCTCATTCGTCTTCAGACGGAATCAGTCAAGCGATACGGAGCGGCGCAGTCAAATCTCGTTGGAAAAGTCTTGGCGTTTGGAACCGGATTGGTTAACGGATTTAGGAAAAAAACCGAGGCGGACCCGTTATGAGCGGGGAAGATGGAAAGCGTCATCTTCGTTGGAAAGGCGGCGCTTTTTCTGTTTTCTCGGCGTCCACCTTTCCTCTGGCCCTGAAACTGACCCAGCAGTCCTGCCGGCGGCGCCGCTGCCGGCTCCGGCGTGCTGCTGTCCACCAGGCGACGGAACTCGTCGGAGGAGAAAGAGGAGATCTTTTTTCCCCTGGTGCTCTTTTCTCTTCAGGAGAACCTTTCGATCACCTGGTAATGGAACCAAGATCATGGAGACGGGGAATTTTTCCTCCGGCAAGAAGCTACTGGTTCGGGGAGAAAGCAACACATCCAAGGGGTTTTCCGGGCCGAAGAGGAGGAGGAAGAAGAAGAAGATTAGAGAGATAGAGAGAGAGAGAGAGAGAGAGAGAGAGAGAGAGCAGCAGCAACTCCAGATCTGGGCTCGGCGATCAAGGGGAAGCTGAGGAGAAGACGGGGAACAGGGGGAGGAGCTGGGGAGGATCCGCCTCCCGCGGGGTGGTGGCGCTCCTCGGAGATGGGAGGAGGTAGAACCCTTTCTCCACGGCAGCGACGGCGGCGGCGGTGGGGGGGGCGGCCCTCTCCTCTGGCCAGATCCCGGCGGCGGAATTGGGATCTGGGCGGCGATAGAAGGGGTCGGGGATCAGCGGCGTGACGGGGCTGAGCGTCAAGGATGGGAAATCCAGCACGCTGGGGGAGAGAATCTCCGGCGGCGGCGCCGCCTGCTGCTGCGGCTTCCGCGGGGAGAAATCGGAGGGAAGGAGGGGGTTGATCCGCAGATTCTTGAAGCTGTTATGGCGGCGCTCGCAGAGCTTGAAAGCCGGCCGCTTGGGGCCGTTCCTGCAGGATGGGAGGGAGGGCTTTCCGGACATGTCGGAGGAGCCGGTGAGCATCTGGACCACCTGCTTGAAGGAGGAGGTGTCCGCCTGCACGAAAGTGGTCGGGTAAGGGTTGGCGTCGGAGGGCGGGATGAGCTTCTGCGCCACCGGCGGGGGCGGCGCCGCCGCAGCTGCTGCTCCATTGCTGTGGCCGGCGCTGCTGGTGGATGTTCTTGGAGACGACTGTGTCGACGGGCTCTCCCTCTCCTGCGATCTACACGGGTTCCCCATCCACAGCGCCCCACACAGAGAGAGAAAGAGAGGAGAGTGGGGAGCAGGAGCTGCTGCCTCTGGGTGAGAGACGGAAGAGGAAGGAGAGGGTGTGTGGAAGAAAGCTGATCAGACGGCGTTTGTATGTTTCTCCGCTTTCTTTTGTCCTCTCTCTCTCTCTCTCTCTCTCTCTAGCGCACTCCACTGAACCTTAAATTATTACTAAAGGTTCGAACATATTTAAAAGTTTGCGCTTTGGCGTGTCCTCCCAATATATTTGTTTAAATACCCCTTTCCGCCATTTTCCACGCGAGTAGCCACTGTGGTCCAACATTCGCCGTACTTGGTGCTAAAAGACCCTTAATTATTATTTGATTTTCTTAGGTGAGAGGGTGACTGGGAAGGCCATTCGATATGTGCAGACTTCCTAATCTATGAAGTATTCATAATCTTATATTTTAAAAGTGCATTAATTCTTTTATTTATAGATATATTATGTATTTCATCTGGTAAGATAATTATTTTTTTATTTGTTGGTCATGTGGGAAAGAAAATGAGGATCTAATTCTGCTGACCGAGCATTGTCAAAATTAAGAGTTGACTCAGAATTATAATCAATCTGGCATGCTTTCTCTTCTAGGCTTTATTTTCGGACCCAAATTTGGACCATATGGATCATTGGCGCTTACTTTCCAAGGTTTTTTTTTATTTTTATGAATTAATAAATATAGAAATATAATCATTTGCATTGTGACTATATAATTAGGAGATAAATTGATATTTTTGGGTCACCAAATGATCCGTCATAAGAATGAGATCTCAATTTTGTTGATTTGATAGTTATTATGATCAATCTATTGTTGACCTAGTAGCTTTGACAACAACAACTATCGTTAAATCAAAATGGCCCTACTTTTTTCAGATAATTATCAAGTTTTAAGGTTATATGTTGACTTTATGATCACAAAAACCTAGAGTCATAAATTTTAATTAATTATATAATTATTTAATTATTTAATTATTTAATTATGATGCTCCAGTAAATAAAAATATAATTTTGCACTTTTCTTCTGCATATATTATCCCATGTATTATTGGTTAATATTTTTGGAACCATATCCCAAGGTGAGGGGTCAGCTTTGGATTACAAATGGTAATAGAAAATTATTATGACTGAAATCTGACATAATCGCTATATTATTAGTTATTTTAGAATGCATAAATTAGTTCCATATTATTTTTTTTGATAGAGTTGATGGAGATAATGTGATTGTTACAGGCTTGTTGACTTTGGGGGGGGGGGAAATGCATACTTTTCCAAACTTTATCTTCAAAATTACTATTTACGGAATTGGATTGGATTAGGTAAAGTATGGTCAAAGATGGCAAGAATGGAGTTGGACCCGGTTTTGGGGAAGGTAGGGCCCCACCCCACCCCACCCCACCCATTTTCAAACTAGAAGTTAAAGTGGAGTATTTTGAAAATATTTTAAGATAGTTTGACTCACCTACGACTGAATTGGCAGAAAACCAAGGGAAATTATAATGATTTTAGAAAGAACACCTGGTTACATTGAATTTATTGAGTTCCCCACCGGGGTGGGCCCATTTAGGTTGAAGGGGGGGGGGGGTGGGGGTGTTGGTGACTTATCGGATCTGGTTCGGAAATATAAAATAATAAGAGATTTTACACGGAGATCCCCATCCGGCATTTTTTTTTGCGTTTTCTGACACTGCAGAAAAAATGAGATGGGGGGCGAGTTGGTGAAGAGCCATTGCAGAAATACCCTAACATTTTTTTTTTGTGTATGAACACAGAGCGGCGGCATCTTGGACTGTTGGAAAAGGACAGCTGAAGAGGCGACCGCAGACTTGTATAATAACTGATAGGTCTCTGTCGAAAGTTTTGGTAAATTAAATAATAACTAGCATAGTTCTTACATGACAGAAAAGCTGGTGATAAAAATAAAATTTCGTCGTTACTTTGACCTTTTATCCTCAAACGGGCCTGTTAGGCCCAGAGCCCGGCCCGGTCTCGTCTGCTCGGTTCATCATGAAAGACTAGATGCCTGCTCCCTCTCTCTCTCTCTCTCGCTGGCCGGGCCGTGGTTCATAAGATGTGGACCAGGCCCGAGACGCCCCCAGCCCGCTGATGCAATCTTTTTAATTGTTTTTGTAAAAGTGATTGTAATGGTATCGTGATCCAGTGGGCCCCACTGCTGGTGAGATTTTCGTCTTCTGGGAGCATTTGTTCGGGTCAACACACGTCAACGTCATGGCCCCCGCTCTGGTTGGATCTTCCGCCGAGGAGCGCGTCGCCGGTGAAGGGGCCTGCACAAGGGCCCGGGCTGGCTTCGCTTAAAAAGACTTCAGTGAGCCGGTGGACTCAGTGACAATATGTCAGTTATTTGAGGATTTAATGAAATATTTTAGTTGACCTCTTGTTTCTTCGCACAATACTACAGTTCTCCAGAAGACTACGGAGATTTTTCTTATTCAATACAAAATATTTTTTATTAGAGGCAATTAAAATTTATGAAAAAAATTGGTTTCTGATTGAAAGGCGTGACTGGGCCATTTCCGCCCATGACGGCCAATTCCAAGCCCATGGCTCTTATAATTCTCGACTCGATATGGACTTTTTGAGAAAATTGTAGAAAATAGGCTTTGGGCCTTCGACTTATGAAGCCCGGGCCCAACCTCTTTATTCACAAGCCGCAGTGCCACAGAGGAGGATAGAGAGAGAGAGAGAGAGAGAGAGAGAGAGAGAGAGTGCGGGCCGCAAAAATTGGACGAAGGTCCGCCACCTGTGCGAACAAGGGGTAGCTCGTCTGGGGAGGCCGGCCCATTGGGCCTACATGTTATCCCTCGCACGCAATATTAAAATACCGGAAATACCCCCACCGAATGGTATATTTTAGGAATTGTTTTCGATGGATACGTGGCATAATCTATTGGTCACTGACGGCCTACGTGCCCGACGAGATTTTCTTTCCAAGGTTAAAACCCCAAACCGCCCCCACCCCGCCATTACTCTCTTCTCCACTCTGGTTCTGCTTATCCTCTTCTTCTGCCGCTCGAGCGGCAGGGGGGAGGGGAGAAGAAGATGACGAAGGGGACGGACCGGCTCGTGCAGCAGGTGAAGCAGTTTGTCGATGTCAGGATCAAGGTCTTGCAGTCGCGGTACGGGCATGTCGCCATCGACCTGCTTGAACTTCCTCTGAAGGTGATTCTATCGCCGTTCACCCTCCCCTTCGACATTGCCGGCTCCGCACCGCGAGGCTTCGGCATCCCCAAGCTTGTCTCCGACCTCTCGTTTGGTGCCATCTTTGTAAGCGTCTCTCTCTCTCTCCCCGCTCCTCCTCAATTATCTTCCTCAGCCGCCACGCCCTGCCGTCTGTTGGTTGGAGTTATTGTGGAACTTCTTTTTTTGGTGTGGTGATTTTAGGCGGTGGCTACAATCGGCACATATGACATCGCATTGGAGTTGGGGAAAAAGGTCCTCTCCCAGAGGTAATCTGTGCCGTTTTGTATCGTTCACTGCCGTTGTGTGCACCACGTACTCGTACATCTTCGGTTGGTTTATCATCTGTTTCGAGAAAATTTTCTAATCCTTTATTTTGACTTGATAAATTTACAGAAAATACGTAAGGATTATTAAGTTCTACATCTGGGATAAAACTTGATAAAACTTCCTTCACACTGTCAAATTTATCAGTCTTTGTATTTCCATATCTATGTGAAAATGCATATATTTTTCACCCAGCTCAAATCATGCCGTTGCACACACAGAACTAATGCTTTAGTTGTAAATATAAAGATGCAACTTTAAGTGGTATTCCATATTTGAATCGTCTTTTCTGCATGCAGGAATTGTCAGACCTGCAACGGTTGGCAAGCATTACGGTGCTCTATGTGCAAAGGTTCAGGGAAAGTCCATTATCGAGTGAAAGGCTACAGCTTAAAAAGGTGGTGCTTGATTTTCGATATATTTTTATAACGTTAATGAAAATTCTATTCCGAATATATCCAATAAATCTCTGCCCTTGTTGAATAAATTTGTGATTCTATTGTATTTCTGTATGCCGCAATCCAGAAAGTAGGATTCCATTCATTACATATACTTTCTGCCAGACACTGTTCCTGCAATTTTTACATCTTACTATACACAGATTTCACCATCGTCTGAAACCTGTTCTTTTGTCGTCTATCACGCTATTTTGAAACGGTTCCACATATATTTGGTTTTTTGAGAAGTATGGGAGCAAGTTTCTAGTTTTGTGATCCTCTTCTATTCCTTTGACAACTACATGGAAACAATTAGACGATAAACTTGTAGATACCAAGTATAGTGTTATGCTAGAAGAGCCATAGCGTCCATTGGGCAGTCAGTAGGATATAGGAAGTGTTTCCTTTAGGCATGGTTGCAGTCTTCTTCCCCAACTCATTTACACCCTGACTGATGAAGGATGCTTTTCCCTGCCATTCCGAGGGCCCTTTTTTTGGGTAAGGAATAGGAGGATGCTTTATGATTAGCAGCAGGTTCACAAATTCTCCACTATCTGAAGTGAATCAAAGGCTAGCATCGTTTTTTCTCCTCTCAGATCGTGCTACTTCATCTGTTGCTTTGTAGATGGCGTTAGGTCTGTGTATCCTTGTCTCTTGGTGGATTTTCCAGGGACCAAAATCTGCTGTAGGTTCATGTATCCAGATTTTTTTTTGTATGCTGAGTTTTCATTAAAAAAAGGAACTTTATTTCCTTCAGAAAATAGAGAAATGGGAGATAAGGATGAATTTGGTGAATAATTTAATATAAATCATGGGACATCAGAAGTGTTATTTTATTTGGGTGATGTTGGTTGGAAAAATGATCATTGCGGCATCAGCTTTCCAACATAAAATTGCTGCAAAAATTGAATTTTTTCAAGAAAATTTCCTAAGAAGTTGTTTCTTGAATCCCCATGAAATGGCACCAGTAGAAGCAGTAGATGTGTCTTTTAGAATTCAAAACTTGTGTTCCTGGCAGAAGATTAATGTTTACTTGATTTATTGTTTATCCAGATGCGTTTATGGTACAGAAATTTTAAAGTATGGATTCAAAACTTTTCTGAAAGGCTTCATTTGACCACATCTGTTCTCTACTCATTCGTTTCACAGACAATGCTAGGTTGTAAAAGAGGACCACGCTATTTATTTTTTTCTTTGGCAGTATATTGCATTTATTTCCTCTTTTTGGATTGGGGGTAGTCAAGAAATCTGACTTTTATTCATGTTGAAACATTTCTATGAACTCTTAGGCTCATAACTCTGTAGTCGGTCTGACTCCTAATCTGGTGCGCTGATAGATGCCTCAGCACCCCTGGAGAAAGAAAATCTTTATTGATTGAAAAAAAACTATTACGAGGAGAGCGAAGTCCAGTATTTATAACAGACCCCTAGAAAGTTCTAGACATACTGACATAGACGTGGACATATAAGAAACAGTATTTATTAAGTACATCTCGACAAGAAACTCACTTAATTTAGTATCTCATTCCTGTCAAGTGATGGAATTCAAGTCCGCATCTTGAGATTTATCTGGTGAGAGTGATTCCACAGTGTTGTCATATGCATTTCTTGTGTATTTCATCATAGATTTTTGTACAACATTTTGAATTCTCCTGGTTCGTTGTTTTGAATTCTAAAGTCTTGGAAACTTTTTGAAGTAGGATGTGTCTTTAAAGATTCCCGATTTCCCTGATTTCTATTTTATAGTGGCCAGAAACCAACAGCTGAGCACATTGCGGAAGCCATTGCTGAAAACAGGGCTGAGTTACTGCACCTTCCATCTGCTATTGATCCTTCTCTACCTTTACCTTCTAAAGACTGTCCAAAATGTGATGGATCGGTAAGTGCTTATTGCTTATGTGTTTCTTTAACTACTGTCTTCGCAGCTTTACTTTCTGTGATTAAATTTCGTTTCTTAATCTTCAGAGACATTTAACATGTTAAGTCAGTTCTCAAATATTTTATAATCATTGGATACTATTAGTCATCCACTTTATCATTCAGGTCAAATCACCTTTTGCACATACATTGCAAACGAAGAAAGTTTGATATCGAATATAACCTCCATTTATTGATGTCTTACAAGGAGGTATATGGAAGTTTTGGTATTTATTTGTGCTTTTGGCCAATCTGCTAGCTACTACTAACATTGGGTTGACAGTTGGGCATGGGATCATGTCCGTGAAATAACCATAATCTTTAAGTATTATATGCAGCTGAAAGGGGTACCAGAATGCATAAGATATTCATATTCCACCGTCCAATATCTCAAGTTGACTAAGACTTTCATATGTGGTGCTGTTTTTTGTTCAACATAAATACATCTACGTCATATATATTGGCCAACTGAAGTACCAATTTATAGTTAAAAGGACGCTGACATGAATAGATCTAGTTTCCATTACATGTTTAACTCTGTAAAGTAATTTCTAAAAATTTTATGTGTTTTACTTGCTTATTACTAGAAATAGTCCTAGTTTGTGTTGGATTTGGACATGGCAAGCGGAAATTTCTCCCACCATTTTTGTTTAACCAGTCCACCTGATATTTAGAAATTTAACTGGAAATTAATGTGGCAAGCTGTCTTTCATGCACTGATAACTTAAATTCTATGCTGTTTAAATTTCACTTATCCTTGAGGTAAGGATATTTGGAATTTTGTCTCTGAGGTTCACAATTCTCTAATTGCAGGGTGTAATGAGTTGTCCAAAATGCAAGCATCAATTGCAAGTTCGTATCTCTGCAGATGACGTGAGTTCTATGTCTGAGAAACGGATTCATCTTTAGGCACTACTTTAAGATTATAATCTACATGCCTCTTTATTCTTGCTAATTCTTTCTGCTTTTGTCTTGTAGTATATCTCGCTGTATTCTTTGGTTTGGTTGGAATTGGTAACGTGAGTGCAATGAAAATGACACAAGTTCTTGATTTTTGCTTATTAATTCCGGACAAGATACGGACATCTCTTGGTATAACTGAAGCTATTGTTTTGACCTAATTATCTGCCAAAAGGATACATGTGCTCAGTGGGGGTCTTCCATACAATCGAGAGATGGTGGAGGTTTTGGAAAAGTACAATCTACAGAAACAGTCTTCTTTCTTGAGATGGTCAAAGGGCCGACAGAGAGGAATCATAGTTAATCCATTTCTCCGTTTTCAACTGAATGTCTTCAGTTCGCAGAACCTTTGATTTTCTTAAAGTTGTTTTATTAGTTGTGCAGAATTATACTGATGCTTTAAGTGGTGTTTTACCTGCACTATTTTAATGTTCCTGTGAACTAGATCTTTTGCATTCATACCTGCACACAGTCGAATTTGTCCTGCACATGCTTGAGCATACCATAGGGATATATTTTCACAATTCTAGAAGATTATGATGCAATCCTCTTATTTGTTTTTCATGAAATTTGACAAGATTCTCTTCCAGCATTTTTTGCAGTGCTTATACGAGTTGTTTTTATTTTTCTCAGATTATGGAGCCGCCATGGAAAGCCTATAATGTCTTAAAGAAGATGGACTACCCATACGAGGTAATTAAAAAAAGTACACTATATCCTGGTTAGCTTATGATTTCTCTTCAGTGTCGGCAATCTCTATTTCGTTTTCTTGCTCACATCCCAATGCAGTTTATGGCTTATGAGAATATTTTTATATTTTTACTTCGTCGTCCACTTGGATCTGAAAAGTTCTAGTTCCTTTTCTTGTAATTGTCTGCTAGGAGTCTCTTGTGGTTCTTTTCAGCACAAAGATGTATTACCCAATCTTTACATGCATTTGCTATCTTCTGTTTCAACATACTTTAATAAAGTTCGATCTAAAGTTTTGTACTTATTTGTTCAGTGGATTTCGAGTTATTGAAGGATCAGTGGACTTTTAACATCAATGCCTTAAATGCATTTTTGTGGATTATTGTTATCATTTTCCAGTTTTCACGGAAGGGTTCAGTGATGTGTTGCTATTCCTACCGGGAGCTGATTTTTTTTTTCCCTTTGTTGCTATTGGTTTTTGTCATTTTCTTAGCAGTGATTCTCTGTGGATTATAGATTCCTACTTTCAGGTTCTGTTGGGGTTATAGGGCTAGTTATCTTTTTCTATATTCATCTTTTTTCTTTATGCCGTTCAGAAATCTGTTTCATGTGAATGCCAGAAACCGAAAAGAGCTGTTTCTCTTTCTTCCATACGATATTTGTGATCTTCCCGTCATTCAAATAACACCATGATAATTGAATGCCAAGTGAAGCCCTTGTTCAATGATGATGGTTTTATGAATGTCTTCAAATGTATGGTCGTGTTTATGTCTATGCTATAGGGTCATTCACATCATAAATAAGATATCTGATGTCATATTCCTTAACAGGGTTAATCTCTGTAAAACTTTTCTTCTCTCTTATTGACTATGTGAGACAAAATTCATGCTTGATTGTCGGTAGACCATCCCCAAAGTGATTCTCTAAGGCTGAAAAAAGGCAAGTCGTGTTGATGTGGACAACTTTACCTTTCTCTCTGCAGAATATTCTTAACAGCATGAAAGACCCAAAGATCGCAGCATTTTGGTTGCTTACAATGCCTCAGGTTGTGGGCGGATTTAACTATGATGATGAAGTTAAGCAGAAAATTTGGTGGGCGTACAAGGTACGGGGACTTAAGTTTTTAATCAACTTCCATGTGTCTTTATGTGCTTCTGTTCAGCTTGGTGCCTGTCGTTATAGAATACATTCCCGACTAACTTTGGTCAAAGTCGGTTCATCTACCTGTTAAATTGGCTTCTTTCTATTGATGAGGCAGAAAGATGAAATGATCTTTCATATGATCTGAACAACTGGTTTGCTAAAATTTATCAAAATCTTTACTGTCCTGAGAAGTCTTCCGGTGACAACTTAAATGAAAACGAGATTTAGGATTTATTTGGATGCTTTAGTCGAATATTATTGATTCTGATGTCCCTCTGATTGGGGAATTCGGCTCAGTAGAACCCAAGTCTGGTGAATATTTTTTTTGGCAATAAAATTAAGTCAGGTGGAAGCAGTCAATTCTGATGTGGTTTACTGGCGATCTTGTCTAATCCCACCTGTTTCTGAAAAATCATTGCAATACAAAACTATTCTCTTGGTTTTTGAACTAACTCGTGTCAATTCTGATCGAATTGGCCAATCTTGCAACTATGAGAATGATTGGGCGGCTTGGAATTTATCAAATGACAGCGACCCAATTTTCTGGCTTCATACAGCCTTATTTTCATTTGGTGGCATCTCGATGTCCAGAATCAGGTTTCCGTTCTGCTGGTTTATTGCATGGGCATGCCACAACCTGTACAGCAGTAGAGTAGGAGTGATCAATATTACGATTTATCCAGAAAAGGACATTTTTTTCCTCATATGCATTCATCTCTGGCGAATTGATGTGGGCACGTTGATCCTATTATGGTCTTCCACTGACATTATGTTCGGAAAAACTTGATTTAAAACTTATGCGTTGATCTTCTTAATGGCATAGTTATATCACCTTAGAAACTTGTTGGCGCATCAGTTTCATAGAAAAAGCATCGTTAGAACAGATCAGAAAATGTGTATGAAAATGAGTTTTGGCAGTGTTTGTTGTAATGTTTGGCATGGATGTTCTGTTTAGTTCCCATTCTTTATGTTAGTATAGAAGCATTGAGGTTTCTTTTACATTGGCTTTCTTCTGTTGCTAGGAATCAATGCGTTATGACCGACTTCGGGATGTAGTTTCTCAGCGAAAACCTGGTTGGGAGCACTTACAGAGTGTGAGTATCTGAATTTTATCATGAGTCTTTCTCATGCTTTCTTTTTCCAAATTTTTTGCTGGTGAGAGAGCAATTGGTTGGTCAGAGATTTTAGCTATCACAGGTCATGCTGTGTGTACATACTGTTACTCTTCTGTCATTAGCAGTTCTATATGATCCACACACGTCTGGACATGAATTAAAACGGAGCTGATTTAATTTCCTCTGGGCGTTGAGAATTTCGTGGTATCATTTTTTCAGCAACATAAACACATCAAGATATATCATCGTGCTATTTAGTAATCATATCCTATCACGGTGCTGGCCTTTAAATTTAGCTTTCTCGTGGGAATTTCATTTGATACGGTAAACTGTGCACATATTGTTTGTCAATTTTTTCTCATAATACCTAGATCTCCACTAATGGATATTTGCACTTTCATGTCTAAGCTTATATAATTCTGCCAATAGAATTTCTGATTGCCTAGCCATATCTCATCATGGTGCCGGAATTAGCAATGGTATCCTGTGTACAGATTGTAGATCAATTTTTCTCGAATAACTAGATTCCCACCGATGAATATTTTTCTCTTTCATATTTATATAATTATCTCCTAGCCATCATTTTGCCTGAATATTTGCATTTTCATTTTTATATACTGATATCATTATCAGACTTGCCTTGTTTTCTCTCATAATTTTATGTTCATTATTTGGGAAAATGAATTTTTTATTTCAAAGGTGTTCCAGAAACCATTCATGTAGGCAGGATTAATGATTGCAGATATTTTATAAATGTTCAATTGTAACCAATAAGTGAGTTTCTCAATTATTTACGCTTGCAAAGTTTGCTTGAAGCTCGTGCATATAAAATCTGTGAGAGAATTTTTTCTTTTTGGGCATGCTTTTATTCTCAAGGTTCCACTATATGCTTGGGATACCTCTGTTTTATAGTCATTGTGTGTGCATGCACGTGTGGATACCTGCTTGACTGCCTGCGCATGTACAGTAAGATAAGGCATAGAAGTAATCTGAGGGATTGCCCTCTTTGTTTAGTCAACATTATTTTGATCTTACAGTGGTAACTTTGGGAGATATGTTGCTGCCCTTTCATTATTGATCTATCAAGTGAAGAAAGCTCTCTTCCTATAGAACAGATATACTGAGTTGTATAATTTGTAGTACTGCTCTTTAAGTTGTGAATTACTGCATGAATTACTCTCTCTCTCTCTCTCTCTCTCTCTCTCTCTCTCTCTCTAGATCTGGTATGGTGAGTCAGAAATCTGACTATCACTTCATCAAGTAGTATATCATATTCTTTTTTTTCCTTCAATTCTTGGCAAGTTATTAATCTGTGTGCGAAACTGATCCATGTCATTTGTCTGGAATATGCGCCAAACTTGTCTGGAATATGTGGCATTGTCACAGGTCCTCACCTCTATAGATCCAGCTCGTGCAAGGGATGATCCAGCTATTATTAGAAACGTGCCGCATTACAAGGCCAAGAAAGCATTGGAGGCAGAGGTTATGAGGCTAGACGTCCCACCGCGGCCTCAGAACTGGGGTGTAAGAACTCAAAAGCCTTTCGTTGACTTTCTTCTTATCCATTTCTCAAACATATCTTGTTGACACGCCCAATATAAAGTTCTACTATTGGAAAGAATAGCCGCCTTCTGATACTATGTAAATGGCGAATCATTCCCCAGGAGCTCGACCTTCCGATCAATGCATCTTCGTGGACTAGAGAGGAGCTGGAAGACCCGAAAAAGCTACTAGAAATGACGAGTCTTCTGAGCGCCCAGAGAGAAATGGCCGACAAGATCTTAGATGCCCAGTGGGAGGCAAAATGGCGTCAAGATAAGGTATGCGACATCTGAAGCTCATACTCGTTCTATGATGACAATAATAATACGACTAAGATTTCCATCTATTGTTGATGACTTGATTTCTGGGCATTTATTTAATTCCAGCTGAATGATCTGCTGGAGGAGAAGATGCGGCCTTACATCCAGAGCATGGATGATGTTCTTCCCCAGTCTGTCATCATCCAATCCAACACTGTTGAAAACAAGGTCTCTCTCTCTCTCTCTTCCCAGATCTAACTCTCTCTCTTCGTATTATTCTTTTATTTTATCATACTTGAAAGGCCTTTGGATGACATGGATTTCTCATGATCCAGAGAAAACCCAGGCGAAGATGGTGGCTCTTTTGATCTACTTCACAAGCGATCATCTCTTTCTTCGTTCTAGTTGTGAAGATTTTTGTGAATTATTGAGGGAACTGGGGCTACTTTACTGGCATTTCGTTGAAATGGTGCAGAGACTTGGCCCGTTATTCTATAGGAAAATCATTTTATTCTTCTAATAATCTCACAATAACGCCAAAAAATGGCCGAATATTTAGGGAGATTATTCTGTACTGGAGAAATGGCGAGAGATTGAGACATCCGTGTCCATCCTCCTGAATGGACAATTCTACAGCAGGAAGGCGGCTACGCCACCGAACATGGCCACCGCCGCCATGCTGAGAGTAGCTCCGGCGGAGCACCCGGAAACCGGGGACGGTGGCTCCCCCTCCGCTGGGCCTCCGGCGGCGGTGAACGCCGGCGGAGCAGTCGGAGGCTGCAACATCGACGGCGGCGGAGCACCGTAAGGAGCGAAGCCCAACGGCGGTGGCGCTGGGGCCAGCGGCGGCGGCGCCGCTGCACCCCGTCTCGGCCCGCGCACAGAGAGCACCACAACGACCAACTTCTGGCCCCTCTCGCACCGCCCGGCGGCGCCGCTGATGAAGAAGAAGGGCCCCGACCTGGTAAGCCGGAACACCGAGTGGCCGCCGTGGAGTTTCCATAATGGGTTGGATGTGTTGCAGGCCCGGTAGTCGGCCTCCGTCACCACCAGCACCGAGTCCTCCATCTCGTATCGGAACACTGTTCAACCGCCGTCGCCGTCAATAGCGGTGCCGCCGGAGAAGAACACGGAGGAGGGCAGAAAGAGAAGGACTCCTCCGGTGAGGTTATGCGGCTTACCGAGGCTGTCGTTGACCTGGAACCTGTTCCTCCCCGCCCACTGGTCGAAGCTCTCCGAAGGGTTCTCCACCCACCCGTCCCTCCCCCCGACGTAGAACTCGTGGGCGTCGGAAGAGCCCATCATCGCCGCCGCCACCGTCACCGCCACCGCCACCGCCGCCACCGTCGAGCTCAGCTGTGACGCTTTGGGCTCCATCTCTCCTCGTTTCCTCCCTTGCTGGCCTGCTGTTTCACTGGCATGGGGAAGAAGAAGGAGGAGCCACGCGTTGATCCATTCTTGTACGTGGCGAGTTGTCATGTAGCCTGCCCCGCTGACCTTCGCGACGCTTCTTCCACCTGTGAACTTCTGACAGAATATCGGCCTACTCTTTCTCACTTCAGTCCCCCACATTTCTTTGAATCAGCAAGAAGACCGACCAAATATAAAAGTTGCTTTTCCACTCTCCCCTGAGATAAAATCCTCCCAGTTTTATGACGCATCCATGGCGTCATAAATACACACATTTACTTTGAAAAATTAAAATTATTTAATTTTAAGCTCGATAAAATATTTAAAAATTGGAAAGAAAGAGCAAAGATCCATGCTCCCACACCCTAATTTTAATCAGATAGATTTAAATTATTATGAAATATTTCATTACACATGCTTATAAATTAACGAGATAAAAATTAAATTTCACGTGTGAAATTCAACACGAAACTCCCCTCAAATAGTCAATGTTCAATGCAAACGCTTCATACTTTAATTATCAGGAGTGAAAAAAAAATTAAATTATACGAGATATTTCTTATTTCACATAATTTCAAGATGTTATAGACTACATTGATTATAAAAAATATATTGATTAAAAGATAGATTTTATTTTTATGCCACGTAATTTTCCTGAGGTTATAAAAAATACAGTCATTATACATGATATTTTTTATGTCACATAATTTTCTTGAGGTTATAAAATACATTGAGTATCGTGATATTTTTTATTTCACGTAATTTTCCTGAGGTTATAAACTACATTGATTAAAAATAAATAAATTGATTGCACATGATATTTTTTATTTCACGTAATTTTACTGAGGTTATATACTCCAGTAATTATAAAAATACATTGATTATACATGATATTTTTTATGCCACGTAATTTTCCTGAGGTTATAAACTAAAACAAATATACTAGGCAATAATATCTCACCCAAAACATTTACTTCGGGGTTATTTTGCTCACAAACTACAGCATTTCAGGTCGAAGAACTTTCACGGTAATAATTTTTGATAAAACTGATCACTCACAGAAGCAAATAAACTCATAAATAAAATTACTGATCAGTTCATGTGTTTATTTATTTTATTTTGTGATAATTTTGAATAATCTTATTTTCACGGTTATAAATTTTGATAAAAATGATCACAATAGAAAATAAATAAGCACATAAATAAATAGAATTAGTATTTTTAAAGTGAATAAAAAAGAAAAATGTCGTTTAGTAATTGGTGAATGAGGGAAAAGTGCAGAATTTGAGGGCAAACGCGGTCGGAGGCCTACCTCGTCGAGATGGCGTGTTGTCATCGGGGGCCCGGGGTCCTCCTCGCGTTCCTCCTCTTCCTCCTCCCTCCCCCGCCTCCGGCGGTGGCGGCGGCGCCATGGTTGGGAGCGTTGGGGCGGTGGCGAACGGTGGTCTCCCTCTCCCATTCTCTCCTGCAGCGCGTGGCCAACCTGCGGACCGAGAGGGGCGACCACACCGGCGCCGCCCGTGCCCGCGCTATAGCGCACAGGCTGGAGCTGCTTGGCGGTGGCGGTGGCGGCGCCGAGGGGGGGCTGTGGTCACTGTGCTGGGACTACCTCCGGAACTACGCCTGGCGCGAGGGTGGCGGCATCGGCGGCGTCGAGGCGACGGCGGAGATTTACCGCGCGGCGGGAGAGCTGGTCTCGTCATTGCAGGAATTGGGGCCGCTTCGATCGGACGCCGAGAGAGCTCAGTGGGCGGCCAGGAACTACCCCAAGATGGTCTCTGCCGCCGGCACGATATTCCGCCGCCTCTCCCAGGCCTTCTGGAGATCGGTAACCCTTTGTTCTCCTCGGAAACCTAATTGATACGTGTGGTTCAGAAACCCTAGGTTTTTCTGGAGGACTAACAGCTGCTGCTGCTGATGTTGTCGCTGCCGCAGGGGGCCCTGCGAGAGACGGTGCTGTTGTTACAGAAGGAGGTGGCGGATGGGGATCTGGTGCGGGACTGTCTCCGGGTGGGGGCCCAGGACCTCGAAGGCTTGATCCTCATCGCTAGGGATCTCTTCTTCTCGTCCTCCACGGGTTCCTCCGTGCCCCCTGATAGTGACTACGATCTCTGACGCGAAGCTGATTAGTACCGATCAAATTCGAGGCAGCAGTGAGTAGACGGCGCAGTGTCTGCATTCCGGGTGTTCATCGCAACCCCTGAGAACAAGATGTGGTCAGAAAGGAAAGGTATGTCGTTGGCCATATCTTCTGCTTTGAGGTCTTCTTTGCCCTGTTTTCTACTTTGCTAGCCACTGTTACCTGAAATTAGATGCATTCAAATACTCTAGGATCACTTCTGATAGGCCATGCATACTCTGGTTTCTTTCCATATTCTTCCGACCTTCGCGACCAAAAAAGACGGTCATCCCATCAACCTGCTCCTCCCGTCTTCCTCTGGTTTTCTATGGTTCCTTGGGGAGGATCTTCGTTGCCAGGCAATTTCTGTCGTAGGAGCTTCTGTGATGGACTTGTGAGCAGAAATGGGTCACCGTTATCCTTGTTTGACCCCTGGATTTCCGGCTGGCGGCTTATGTTCTTGTTCTATGTTACATCGAGGGTTGACTTTTTCCGGAAAGAAATAGACGAGCAAGCCCATGGATTCATGTAGATTTCTTGCTGCGGATAGAGGTGAAATGCGGCAGCTGAGAGAGCTTGGGAAGCATGCTTCCTGGTCAACTTAGATTCCCTTTTCAATCCCCATTATTTATCTTAGAAATTTGTCATCGGGGTTCTCAATTTTGGGCGTTTGTTTGTAGTTGATTACTATTTATGTATATATTTTCTATCCACTAGCCAATGTGTCGAATTCTTCACTGGAAGGAAGATAACTCGCTGACTAACCCATGAGACCAAAACAGTCGAATTCGTTCTCTGAACCGTCATAAAAGGTCAATAATTAAAATGTTTTAATGACGTTGGTGCATATATTAAGCATAATTTGAGGGTAAAAATCATTTTTCAAATATATATTTTTTGTGCGATATGTGGATGAATGTACATGTTTGGTGGACCTATCTCGGTTTGAACTTCTTGAGGTGTTCTTTGGGGTTTGACCGGCCAGCTGGGTACCTGGGCTAGCCCTTGTTTTCCGAATTGTCTTCAGAAGTAGACATAGAAAGAGAAAATAGGTGGCCAATTCCATGTCTGGATCGTGCCCAGAAACGTAAAGTTAACATCTTCTCTCTCTCTCTCTCTCCCCCTTCTTTTGGATTGCGTTGAGTTGGTTCTAAGAAGGGCGGAACCGAGCTTCACAAGAGTCCAGTGGGAGTCAATTTTCCGGGCTTTTATCCAGACCATGGCGGCGAGCAAATAAATTGGAATCGGCTCTTTCTTAATGTCAAGCTCGAACTCCCCAACTGTCCTGCAGAGACCGACCTTTGTGAACATCCCACGTTGTCAACGGAGCAGCTCTCTCTCTCTCTCTCTCCTCTCTCTCTCTCTCTCTCTCTCTCTCTGTAAATATTCGCTGTACTGGTTGGTTTTTACAGCCTCTGACATGACTTGCAGGGCCGATATGACAGTGCACGTTACTTGTCGTCGATCCAGAGGAAGCGCGTTACTCTCTCTCTACTCTGTGGTAGTCGTCTCTCTCAGTGCGGGCAATCGGAACTTCCATGCCCTGCTGCTCTCTTTCCGGCGCCGACGGCATTCATGCCTCGCCCACCTGCCGCCGGCCGCCCACCCAACAACTCAAGTAAATGCTCCCCCGCCGCCGTGCTCCGGCGAATGGGCTCAGGGTGGGCCCGTAGTCTCTCTCTCCTTCGACCACCATCTTTAGACCTCGTGAAACCTTCAGAGATGCTGTAAAGAGTGTGACCGGGAAACTCGTCTATAAGTCTCCACATTTGGAAGCTGCACTGGGTCGTCGTCCATTCCTTCCTCACATTATTCCTCGTTCTCTGGGTCTTGGGTCATCGGGGAGGGGGATGGGGGGGAAGTGGGCGGCGCTGCGTTGGACCGTTGCGGCGGCGGTGGCGGTGGCGGTGTGGAGCGCGGTGGCGATGACGGGGAGAGGGGAGCCGCAGGTGCCATGCTACTTCATCTTCGGGGACTCGCTGGTCGATAATGGCAACAACAACGGCATCGCCTCCTTGGCCCGCGCCAACTACGCCCCCTACGGCATCGACTTCCCCGACGGACCCACCGGCAGGTTCTCCAACGGCAAGACCACCACCGATGTCGTAGGTGAACCCTCCTCTCTCTCACTGTCTCACTCGTCCCTCCTCCCTTCCTCTCTCCTATCAGGATCTTAACGAGGTGTGTGATTCCTCAGCGTACTTGTATTGTTACGTCGTGACGGAGAGAGGTAAAGATTGATGGGAGAGAGAGAGAGAGAGAGAGAGAGAGAGAGAGAGAGAGAGAGAGAGAGAGAGAGACACAGCATCTAACACTACTTGTGGAACTCTCAGCTGAACTCTTGGGGTTCGACAGTTACATCCCACCGTTTGCGACCACGAGAGGAGACGCCATTCTCACCGGCGTGAACTTCGCTTCCGCCGCTGCCGGCATCCGGGAGGAGACCGGCCAGCAGCTGGTAAGCCCTCTTCATCTACTCCCCTCTCGCCGCCGGAGAAATCTTCGGCTCATCTCTCACCATCTACTTCATCTGATCGACAGTTCTTGTAGGGGGCCCGCATAAGCTTCACTGGGCAGTTGCAGAACTATCAGTCAACTGTCTCCCAGGTGGTCAACCTCCTGGGAGACGAGAATTCCGCCGCCGATTACCTGAGCAAGTGCATCTACACCGTCGGTATGGGCAGCAACGACTACCTGAACAACTACTTCATGCCGGCGATTTACTCCACCAGCCGCCGGTACAGTCCCGAGGAATACGCCGACGTACTCGTTGACGACTACACGGACCAGCTAAGGGTTGGTGAAACTTCACGAGAGTCCTACCATTGACTTTCGGTTTGGTACGGATCTGATCCCCTCGGTGCTGACCGCAGACCCTCTACAACTACGGGGCGAGGAAGGTGGCGGTGATAGGAGTGGGACAGATCGGGTGCACCCCCAACCAGCTCGCCCAGCTAAGCTCCAATGGCGTCACCTGCGTGGACAGGATCAACAGCGCCATCGAGATCTTCAACAGGAAGCTGATATCCATGGTTGACGGCTTCAACGCCAACCTCGACGGCGCCAAGTTCACCTACATCGACTCCTACGGCATGTTCCGCGACGTCCTGGCGAATCCCGCCGCTTACGGTGATAAATCATTATCATCATCATCTTCTTCTTCGTTATGAGAGAAAACCGAGATTAAAGCGTACGGACGTGATCTTTTCGCAGAATCTGATCTGTGTCTGGTTTTTTGCAGGATTCGACGTGACGAACGCGGGGTGCTGCGGGGTCGGTCGGAACAACGGGCAGATAACGTGCCTCCCGTTCCAGACGCCATGCGGCGACCGGAAGAAGTACCTCTTCTGGGACGCCTTCCACCCCTCGGAGGCGGGCAACGAGGTCTTCGGCCGGAGATCTTACAGCGCCGGGTCGCCTACGGATGTGCACCCCGTCGACATCCGCCGCCTTGCACAGCTGTGAGGCCAGTAAGTGCCGGCGTTAGGAAGTGAGCGAGCTCTGCTAAGCTCTTCCGGGAATTTAGGCATCTCATTCGTAGTAGCTAATCTATGTGATATGAGGGATTCGATGTGGGGGGTTCGGCTTCTATTGTTTATGAGAGGAGTGTTTCGAGCTGTGTATGATGAGTAAGCAGTATATGGTAGGTTTAATCGATAATTTTCTGGACTATAAGTGCCGGCATAACGCCTCATTACGTAAAAATAAAATAAGCAAGTTCTTGGGTTGAGAAACTGGTGGATATACTCAATTGTTTTTGTGAATACATGCATAGATCTTTAGATACCCAGTTTGTGAAAGATAGGGCAATATGGGCTTTTGAATTCACTCTACCCATCAGTACCTATAATTAGAAAACTACTAGATGAGGGGATTCATACGCATCCATTGATTAGTTGGCTTCAATTTTGTAGTGCACTTTCTTCTGTCACATTATTGTCGGCCCTAAGTAAACAGTGAACTCTGTTATTTCTAATTGGACCACACCGAAAATTGATGAAATTAAGATTTGATGTAGTTCTAATGCATGTGTTAGTTATAGTTGAAATCATGTCTTTGAATCAACCAGAAACATGATTTTGCTGAAGATTCTTTACCCTAAATCTACAATCAAGAAACTTTGACTTTTGAGTTCATAAAGGTTTGATCTTGAGTTCTTGATCCACATGATCACTGGCATCCACTAGTAAAGAAAAAAAATCATAAGAGGCTGAAAATACATAGAATTGAGTTATAGTTCCTATTGGGCTCCAAAGGGTGACTTTAAATGAATTGACAATTAGTTAGAATATTTCTAAAGATAGGGGGGGTTCGGTTGGGTGCCTAAAAGTTAAATTTCGGCCCATTAAAATAAATTTGAAATGACTGAAAGAGAGAGAGAGGCGTTTTTATTGTGCCTATTTATTATTGGGACAATTTGAGGTCGAATTGGGCCAACTTATATCTTCAAACTTCTTGGGCCGCATGTCCACTTGAGTTGGGCTTCAAATGGGCTACATACGTAAGGCATGATAAGAAAGCAGAAGAGAAAGGGATGGTTTGGTTTTTTTTTTTAGTTAAGGTTTTGATCAAGTTTAATTTATATTACGAAAAAGTAGATGAGTGACCTTTCTTCGACAAAATAGTATATAATTTTTAGGGTATTTTTATCTAGTTTACTCTTTTAATGCACCTCAATAGGTCCATCTACTATCTAGGGTACAAATGAAAAACAAAATGATGTTATCTTACCTATCTTTTTTATAAAACTAAACATCTCACCGCTAGACACTGTGTTATCTCTCAAGTATTATTAATTCATGACTATAGAGTAAGTTTGTGTGTAGGGACATTAATTGATAGTTATTAACTACGAGGAAATATTACTTTAAATGAATTCAATCTTATATATTGAAGATAGAGTACATCTCTAGAGCATGAAAATATGGGCTCAGACATGAAGGAAGGTTTCACATTATTGGGATGTCAAGTTCTTTTAATGATATCTTTAAAAGAATCCTACAATTGAATGACAAACTTCTATCTTTTATGTAATCACCTAGCAACAATAAAAATTTACTTTTTGAGCTGATGCATTGGTTACTTGCAAACACTTCTCATATTTCAATATTGTTTTATCTTTTAATCTATTGTCTTAGGTGAGTCAACTCCATTTTTCAGAGATAAGTAAATGAGCAATTTGTTGGGTTTCTTTAAAGAGTAAGTATTCAAATTGATTGTCTAAAAATAATAAAACTATAATGATACGATGATGTGAAATGAGCATTTTACTTATTTATCTTATCAACATCAAATGATGTTAAATCAAATATCAACAAGTTGTCATTTTTAATATGTATATAGATCACTGCTTTTGCTTCTGATTAAGATAGATATAGGTGGATCACTAGTTGCTATACACAAATGAAATATATGTTTATCATATCTTTGATTGTCAACTTGCTCAAATAATCTAAGAAAATTTATTTTGCCTTTCATTCAATTTTTCCTAAAGTCTGATTGTTGGATAATAAGGTGGTAGCTCATGTTACATTAATGGGCATTATCTGGTTTTAGATGACTTGTAACTTTAGAAGAGTTAAACTAATGAATATCATTGTGTAAGCTTGCATATCTAGACTATAGATTATCTTTCTGTTCTCACATGCCACGGTAGATTCATGAGTATAGAAATTATCCAACTGCACCCATTATTTTTATGTGCTAATTGACATATCGCCAAAAACCATCAAAAAAATATTTTAGTAGTTTGAGGTCCACATAAAGAATAGGATTTATACAACTCTCTCATCTTTACCTTATCATTTTAGGTCCCTGTAGACTATCTCAGAATTAGGAATTTATTTTCCTTTCAATCATTTTCCTCAAAGCATAAGTGATAAAAAAAGTTATTTAACCTTTAATTTGAATTAGACTTACTAATTAAGGCAGTACACATATTTATCATTATTTTTGATTTCATCTAAGTTTAATATAATGATATGAAATGAACACTTTGATTTTGTATCCTTTTTTGTTGTTTTTGAAATGAGATTGATGTAAAATTAGCAAGCTTCCCCTTTGTATGGTAAACATATGAAGACAAGTAAGACTAACATGCTTCAGAATGAAATAGTGATGTTTCCATATGTTCCTAAGAATAAGTGTCAAAGTTGATTAGACCATGTGCTCAATCATGTGACATTATGAAGCTCCTATATGTATTAGAGCCTAATGTGAATTTTTTGACCAGATCATATTTTTCTTAGCTTGAAAATAGAGGAAGTTCATATTTTATAAAAAAATATTAGGAGAATAATAAAAATTAAATTTTATTTAATTGCTCATATTTTCTTCCCACCTTTTCTGGACATCAAATGAGGGACATTTAACATCATTGAAAATAAATGTATATCAATATATTATTCAAAAAAATTCAAAGCTTTGTTCATGTTTTCAAAAAGTTAGCTAAGTGTTGTTTATAGGAAGGGGTGAAGCAATACTAAGTGATGAAGGGCTAAGGAAGGAAGCATGAGAATATTTGAGATGTTAAGAATTATATGAACCTATTTGTTCTTTCTGAACATTTTTTTTTTTGGTATCTCTATATTATTGTGTAGCATATTGAATCCTTTGCCATTGATATGTATTTACCCTGTTTATCTTTCGTAATGAAGAACCTTATAATGACAATTCAGTCAGGTTGTAATGAATAATATCTTTTTTTGTGAGCAGGATCAGTGAGTGTTACATTGACAAAATTATGTTAACATAATTTTTGATTTTCATTAAATATAATATAAACATTGGTTAGATGTAAGCATAAATGTTGGATGATAAGATGACCTGTTGTCATTTATATGTGAGGTTTGGAGGCATAAATGGAATTCAGGAGCAACTTTGGAGTGGTTTGGCCTTCAAAGAGACATATAGTACACTAAAAATATTTGATAAATTGTGATCATCTTTGCGAGTTTTTAAACTTTAGGCTAATGGATTTAATTGTCTAAATAGAAAATTTATCTTTTGACAGTTATAAATTCTAGTTCAAATCAAATTCAGATTTGGGTAATAGTTCCCACTAAAGTTGCTAGGACACATGATTAGTAAAAAAATAAATTTTTCTAGGCTAGATTTTTGAATTTTTTAGTAGACTAGAAATAAATCACAATTAAGTTAAAATAAATTTCCAATAAAATTTTCTTTGAAGCAAAATAGATGGAAAACTTGAGGTGCATATTATATGCTGCTACTTGAACATGTTGTTCAATCTAAGATGGAAAATGCATTTTATGACTACTAGTGAAGGGAGATGGATCTTCTATTAGTTGCCCTAAAATAGACCTTATGAATGATTTTGGCTTTGGCTTTGATTTCTAGGAAAGAAATGATCTTCAAATGGTAAAATTTATTTTTCCTTTGAGCGTTTGCTTAGAATTTGTTTTCAATTTTTTTTTTCAAAGTTGTTGATAAACTTTTTGAAAAGTTTTTCTTAGCATTTCATTACAACAATGCTAATAGTTATGTTCTATTAAAGTTATTTTGCATCCCCAACCAACTACATCAAACATCAACCATTGATTGACATACTTATAGCTAATAATCTATCAATAGTTACTTCTTTCTTAGCCTGAGGATAAATACAACAGCACCTATTATACTCACTTTAGAATCAGATTTTATAATAAGAGAAATCCTTGACATAGGTCTTCCTTTTTTATCAAAAAAATAATATATATTATATATTATAATTATAATTTTTTTATTAGAAACTGATTTAATACAAATAGTAATGCCAAAGCTATTGTAATTAAGCCAATTATCAATTAAGAATCATCTGAAATGGTCACTTAGGATTTCTTTAAGAATGTTGAGAGCTTTCCTTAACTTCAAGACTTGAAAAAAGAAAATTGGATCCTAAAATCAAGAAATTCATATTAGATGAATCCCTTGTTTAATGATATTATTATAAGTTTTAACATCATTCTAAAAAGGTTTAATCTTGTGATAGATGTAAATAGAAAAATAAACACTACATGATGCTACTAATCTTTGATGTACACAGGCTCTATAACCCAACCACTCAAGTTTTTCCATAGAGACTCCACCCTTTTAGTAGCAAAACAAGCTATAAGTACTTTTGGTTTCACCCAACAATCTTTCATGTCACCACCCAATTATCTTAGAGCATGATAGAAAGCATTTTCCTTCAAGTTGGATGTCATTCAATATGTCAAAGCGAGAACAAATTTCTTACTTGGATATTCATGTAAAAAGTTCTATTACATTTCTCAAGCCTCTCTTTATTTATAAGCAATCTTCTCTTTAATGATTTCTCATTTTACCAATATCTCAAATATTTAGAAAACTTGTTCAAAACCTTACCATTTTGTAGAATGCACTGTAACAACCTTTGACCCTTTTGCAATTTAAATCTTTCTATTCCCTTGTCTATTTGATTTGAAATTTGAAGTGAACCTTATTAT